AGAAGATTTTTCCATTTAACATGGAAATGCCTATTTATTTATATATGCACATTATCAGAATGCCTCATTTATGGATTGACACAAACTTTAAATATAATTTATGTCTTCATTTGATGATGTATTGTACCTATCAATATAGATAGGCCAGTACATCATCTGCAGACCTTCAAGGTCTGACATAACTAAAGTCTCTTTGTTGAATCTTTGGGAAAAAAATTGTATTCTAGAGAACTTTTTTTTTGATACACTGAAAAGTTATCACTCATAATACAAACCTACAAAACTACAACTAAATGTCCTATCCATTTCCACTGTTTAGTATCGTTCCCTCGTTAGCGGTACTTTTAATCTATTACAACATATGTAGAAGTTCGGATTAAGAAACAAGAAACACTGCCTGCCTTGTGAGTTCGGTTGCGAAAATTGTCAGACCATCAAGCTGTCGATGATCTATTAATTGTAATAACATATCCATCCGTTTAATAACTACATGAAGATAATAAATTAATCTACTGCCAATCATTAGTCCTTATCTCGCTTATTTCTTATTGCGTATGCTATGGTTGTCCGTCATGGAAACTATGTTCATCCTCGGGACGTACATGGACAATAGAGGTCTGATTTACATACATAACCCGATAAAAATAACGAAATTGCTTTAAAGAAAATGCCATAGGCATTGCACTGTGCTTTGGTTCGCTTGAACAAGTAATCTTTTAAGTATTGGATCAAGCTTCATTTTATTTCGACATGGGTTAACATCTACCATTATCACTAAAATAGGGAATCAATAGTTATATTCTTAACTATTCATGATCAAAATTGTGAGATTTTGATATTTTTAGTAAGTCACATAGGCTGCACTTTTACGTACTACTACATTTTACTACTTAAATAGATACTGTTAAATATAGTTCAAACAAAGGACTTATTTGAACTCAACATGAGCAAACGACACTAGAAAAGAAGGAGAAAAAAGGATTCATTTAATATGTTTTTCAAATATTTGGGACGTTTTCCTCTTCATTTTCAGGCATTTCTCTATTACGTATATTCTAGATTGTTAAAAGGGAGCAAACATGCCATCTACTCTTGACTACAAAAATGTGCTCAAAGCACCTAGTTAAGTTGCCAATTCCTTTATAAGAATCTTCAAATAGTTTAAGTGAAATTAACTACAGCGTAAAATCTGATCCTTCAATTTGTCAAGAATTTTTTTTTTGATTCATATTCAATCGCCATTTGAACTTGCAGGACTTGCCACTCCTTTCCTGGTTAGCATTTTGTCTTTTTAAAATTGCAAATCATCGAGAAGAGCTACTATTGTATTTGTATATATTGCTTTCTGAAAGATATATCAGAGGGGACTGTAAAAACTACTTAGAAAGACTTCGGGTTCTTTTTTTAGCAAAAAGTACTTTTTTGAATATATCGCATTATTTTGTAAAATTGTTGCAAAAAATCAAACAGTTTTCTTACTCATGACTTTCAATGGAAAAAAAGGTACTATTTCAATAATACTGAAGGTTTTGTTTCTAGCATTACCGAGGACTGTGGATAGTATTCTATAGAGCATACTAGTCCCAAAGGGATATTTCTGTATTAACCAAAGAAGCGTCGTAAACTGTCACAAATATAGTTATACTTCATATTGATGATCTTCCTTGATGGTCTTACATTATCTGTCTTGGAAACTATGCTCACTCTCTGGAAATGGCAAGATAAAGTCTGATTCACTCTCATAACTCGATGAATCAATACCGCTTTCGAAAAATGGTTTTCAATATAATTCCCAAAACGATTCTTAATAAAAATTTTGTCTGCCTTTAGAAGTAGTGCTGCTCAAAATTTTACCCAATAAAAAAGAAATCAAATACCTTTCGGTATGTACAGTAATCATGAGGTATCATAGTCATTACGAGACTAATGTGTCTTCATTACGAGACTAATGTGTCTTCATTACAAAATTAATTTTGAAAAGATAGTTCCAGTAACGTTAGAAGGGTGTACTTTTTGAACCAGTATCTTTTTTTCAATTAACCTAGCTTATAATCCTAGTGACTTTACATTTCATGTCATTGCTCCCTCATCACAATAACTCTATATGGGATCTTCCTCTTTACATGGAATTGCTTTTCTATTATGGCTTAAATCTTCTCTGTCATTTTTCTTTAACATTTATAAATTAAAAGGTATGCATTATTACTTCAGCAGTTATTATATGAAATGAATCATTCCTGATAAAAAATAATAGTCAAGTATAGTGTCAGAAAAGACAAAGAATATTTTTTCAGGAAAAAATGATACAAAATGGACACTTATTTGATCCTAGAGAAAAAAAAAAGATTGACATATAGTTTTTCACTTAGCTCTATTACGGTTATCAGTAAGAATATTGTTGGATAGTGGCTTATTAAAAAAATCATTTTATATTTTAAACATTTTTAGTCATTAAAAATGTATACTTGTTATAAAACAGCACGAAATTTGAACATGAAAGCGCCTGCGTAGCGTAATGGTTAACGCGTTTGACTTCTAATCAAAAGATTGCGGGTTCGACTCCCGCCGTGGGTTCTTCTTTGCGGTTTTAGCTCAGTTGGGAGAGCGTCAGACTGAAGAAAACTTCAGTCCAGTTAATCTGAAGGTCCTGTGTTCGATCCACAGAAATCGCATTCATTTTTTGCATCTTCTGGCATTGGAGATGTATTTTTTAGTTACAGCTAACACTTGATTGCTCCTACAAAAGATGAAAAAGTAATAAATAGACCCTCCAGAGGGATTAACTGTAATTAATACAAACTTAATAAAAAGTTAATTTCGTAAATGTAATTTACAAGCTTCAGCAACGCCGAGGGGTAAACCAAAGACTGGATTTATTGGGTTTGTTGAAGAAGTTGATTCCAAATCTTTTGATTGAAAATTGAAAGCAAAAGAATCATAATCGAGCCCAGAAGTTTCTGGGAAACTTAATGAATGTTCAGTTATACTCAAGCCTAGTAAAGTGTAATTAGTATGATAGAAATCAACTGATTTACCAGGTTTATCTCTAAATCCACCTTTAACTGAATTTTGGGAACAATTCAAAATATAACATTTTAAAGCATCCTTATCGAATAAAGATTCTATATTCAATACCGGTTCTAGAAGCTGCCCCACTGCACCAATCCAAAAACTATAACAGGCATCGACCAATTTATTCGATCTGCCATTGAATCCTCCTTCCAATTGTAGCTGTCTATGTGAGACCCAACTTATTAAAAGATCCAAATCGATATTTTCAGCCAACTCTTTGCCAAAGTCATCACTAGAACCTAACAAGAGAAAGTAGCTTGCCACTGAGCAAAAAGTATACCCCCCATGAGCTTCAGTTCCAGGTATACCAGAAAATCCCCCTTCATAAGTTTGGCACTTATTTAACCAGGATAAGGTATTTTCGCAAAGTTCTTTTGTTAATACGTTCAATAAAGAAGCAATGACCAAAGCACAGTAAGTTGATCTTGCGTCATGTTCACCTTGTTTATGCATTAAAAAGGAGCCATTTGACAATTTTAAACTCATTAACCAATCATATATTGGTTTTTGTAATGATTTCAAAGTACTATAGTCTCCAATTACAACAAGAGTTAAAATTGAAGCATAAGTACTGGCTATATGGCCTAATTGGTTTTTCCCTCCGCCAATTCCTTCATAACCGTTATTAATTAAATTTTTTTGTATTTTATCTGATGCCAATTTCTTGGTAGATTCATCGAGAGTGTTTGATTCTTTTAAAACATAGTAAGGATTTATCAACCAGTAAAGCATCCAACCATGGTTGGGGTCATATGGGTAATATAATTCATTCATTGGCTCATTCAATGATTTATCAAGATACTTTAAAAGTTTCTTAGTGTTCAAGCTATCATTCTTGATATTTCTGGATTCCCTGGATGCTTCGTCCACCAAATCTTCATAGATCTCTCTAATAGTACTCTCAACTTCATTTTGTGCTTGGGTAGTTGGGGTAATCAAAGTATCTGCTTCAATCGCTGGGGCCGTTAACATCATGGTCAAACTATCCGGAATGTCCTCAAAATCAGAATCTGGGTCCAGCGACAAATGGGACTTCCCCAACAACTTCAACAAATACGATACTTTCTCTTTATTTATATCATCTTGACTCATTATAAGTAGCTGTTAAACCAATCTGATGGACTTGAAAATTTCCGCTTATGGAATCTACAATGTTAAATCAAATAATAAGACCTTTTTTTTTTTCTCCCGCATCTAGACAAACACCCACACACCAGCAAAATAATCACGATGAAATCGGAAATTGCTCTAAAAGTCGACTAAAATCCCGAGCAAATCTTATTTTGCAAATTTCCCAGCAATGACGGAGGAAATAAGCATATGCTGCCTAACAAAATCTTCTCGGAAGAAGAAGAAGTATTTGGGGACCCCAATTTTAATTGTTGGAATGACAAAATGAAAAATGATTTCTTGCTCGCCAATCTGAGTATGCTTTTCCAGGGCTGTTCGAAACAGAGAAACCGAGCAAAACCTGCACAGGAGGGTCGACGACTGCAAAAAACTCGTCTGGAGACGGCTGGAGCTTTGGACCGTGGATCCAGATGGAAAGACCCAACGGTTGGGCAGAAAGTATGCAACAAAGATGTTGTCATGACTCCTATGGATTATCTGAATGACGAAGTAAATTACCAGTTTAACCGGGTGCATTTACTAAAAGTAACTGAATAGAGAAAGGTACTCTTTCAACAATAGTAAAGAACATCATACATTAGGCTAGGCAACTATAGAAAAGATTCGCCGAGCATGAGCAAGTGCTCATACTAAATTGCTTCATAAAACAATTTATACTACAGAAAGGTTAAATATAGAAATATTAGAAGCCTATTTTTATTAAATATATACAAAATGCTATTAAAAATTCGTTAAACCATTAAAGGGAGAGAGAGAACAGTAATTATATTACCGAATTATTTTTTCAATAAGTTATCAACAATATACTCAATGATAATTTCGTAACAAACAATAAATTGATCCAAGTTTTGCACCATTGATATTCTTTGAGTTCTTTGGAATTGGATTGCTTTGTAGATTAAATCATCGTTACCCCAGAAATCAAATTTTGAATTAGAAGGAGATTTCATTAAATCAAGAATCATATCTAAAGTAATAAAGCAGCCGGTTCTACCACAACCAGCAGAACAATGTATAAGTAAATCTTTTTTCAAATTTTTTGAAGTGATTAAATTTGATTTGTCATTAATTAAATTTAAAATTGAATCAAAAGTTTTGGGAACCCCGAAATCAGGCCAGTCTTTATATTCAAAGTGATTAATAATTTGTGTGTTATCATGGTTATAGTTTAATTTAGATAATTTAATTTCCCGATGAATATAATTAGATTGATTTTTAGTTGATATGACTTCAACTTTTAATTGACTTGTTGGGAAAAATTGATCATCAAAATACTTTTGATTCAACATTAATGATTGATTATTTAAACAAATAATCAAGGGGATTTTATTATACCATATAATTTTCCAAAAATCCTCAAATGTAGATTGTAGAGGATTTTGGGTAGCGATATAACGGTTATTACTTAATTTGGGGAAATGAATGTAATTAGCATTGAAATAATCATCATTATCATTATTATAAATTTTTTGGATTGAAGGCAGGTTAATCAATTTGACTCTCGAGTGTTCATAGGGCCAAATGTTATTGTAGCGATTTTTGAAACCATATTCAATACCTTTTGGTATTTTATAATTGATATCGTCACACCCAGGACATAAAGACGAAGGACTGCAAATATTAGGATTGGAACAAGCTGCATGATCAGAGTTTCTAGTGATTGCTGCATTTAATCTAATTTGTTCACAAGTTTCAATCTTATTAAATTTCAAATTAAACTTCTTCAATAATATTTCATTATGATTAACATCATCGATATCTTCTGCTAAAAACTTTAACCAATTGGGTAATTCATCTTTATGATCTTTCAAGTTTTTAGGTAGTTTGACTTGATAATTATAATGATTGATATCATCATCGATTAATTCTTCATTTGATTGTATTGTTTTCATATCAAGTTTTGGTAATATCAAGTTATTTTTCTTAATACTACTTAAAAATTTTTGTTGTGATGGTGCTGAAGAAGGTAGGGTGAATCCTCCAAGGTATGGTGCATGGTCATCGATATGGTCATTTGAATGCGATGTACTTGCTAATGGACTAATTGGACTATCCGAACTAATCGATGAACTTAGAGAAAACGTTGACGAAGGAGGTGAAGCAATGGTTAAATTATTCGAAGGGTTTAATTCAGAAGAATCAACGATTGATTTATTTTCGATAGAATTGAAACCTCCGTTAATATATCCAACTTTGAATTTAGTTTCTTCATTAGAGTTATATTTCAAAAACTTAAATATAGTTTGATATAAAGCAAAAGTAATGTGATTAGTATAAGATTCCGAATCATAAACAAGAATACTGATTGGTTCAGTGGTCACTGTGTGTATTTGATGATGTATGATTTGTTTATCGTTAACCGAAATATTAATCAGATTTAATAATTGAACCAAATCATAAGCTGGTCTTTTCAATAACGTGGTGGGCATACATAGGTTGATTGAATTAGATAACCGGGATTGCGAGTACAAGTTAAATGGTCGGATATCGAAAACTATTGGTGTTTCTTTCTTAAAGTACTCTTCTATATCATCATTTGCAATCGACTCAACCGAAGGTGGTAAATTTTTGAATGGGAATTTAGCCGTTGGAGAAACCGGACTCTTGGAATATAACTTACTTGGTGATAATTTTGTATTACTACTTTTTTTTTTATCCGACTTACTTCTTTCAATATTAACTTGGGGTATTTGAAAATAGTTATTAGACGTTGTTGGTGATGTTGCTTCTTGTTTATCAGTGTATTGATTATCAGACAGAACAAAAGTCGCCATTATTGACGATTATATTAATGGCCAGTTTATTAAAATATTAAATACTTCAATAATGTATCTGATAAATATAATTTAACAAATTGTAATTTAGTCTTCTTTATATAGGTTTTGGCTTTATTTCTCTATTTCGCTTTGTTTGGCTCACCTTCAAATTTCCGTTTTGTCTACGTCATACTTTCACAAAAGACAAAACAAACAAAAATAAAAATAGTCCTCTGCCAGGAATGTTCTAGATTCGGACCCACCCCCATCCGCCATCCGTACACCACACTCTGGGGTCACTTTTTGGTCTGGCAAATGACATCACCTTTGGGCCCGGTGCGTTTTTAGCCTCGGTACCTTAACTCCTTTCTCGGTGCTTTGTTCTTGTTAGCGAAGCCAGTTCTAGACTGAACCGACCGAGTCTGGCGAACGAGTGCTGGTCGCCTTTGCCCGGAACAGACAGACAGAACAGCAAGGAAAAAGATCCATCCACCAGGAACGGAAAAGCCAGTGCACCAGAACTAACCATCACACGAGACGCAAAACGAATTGGGAAAGGGAAAAAAAAAGAAAGAAAAGTTTACTGGTCGTGTCTTCACCGCCTATTTTTAGCAGCATTTTCCAAAGGTAAACCCTGTACGACTAGATCATCTATTCTCTTCAAAAGGCTGGATGGTGCTAAGGTAAGCTATTTTCAGGTTGAAGTCTTGTTTGTCAGTGACTCTTCTGCGGAGGCGGTTTATAAATAGAACCATGATGATGTACGATTTCAAATTTGGGTTGGGTTGATGGTTGTAATTGTAATTACCAATCAAATGGTTAGTGGTCAGATCTTTTAATAGATCTTCGGTATTGTCATTGTCGGGTGTTTGTTTTGTTTGGCTTTTGTAGTAGTTGATAACGTTCTTGCATTGGATTAGTTTGTCGGCCAAATTAACGTAATGGTGTTTATAGTAAATCAGACTAATTCGTAATTTCTTGATGAGGCTGGTTTGATTCCGGTGTTTATCATTTTCATCTTTCAACTGGTCATTTTGTTGGACTAGCTTTTTATTCTGGTACTTGAGTTCTTCCACTTGTGCTTTATATAAGTTGACTTCATTTTTATTCTTGATATTTTGGAAATTTTCGAGTTTTTTCAAATTATCAGCGTCAACTTGGGTTTTCTGTCGCTCGCCATTCTGTCGTTCAACTTCTTTTAACTGAAGGGCTTTGAGCTCTTCATTGCTTTTACTCATCATTTGGTTGATCGCTTCGAGCTGGGCTTTCATCCGAATATTCTCATTCTGTAGACTAATACTATGGTTTTGATTTTGCATCAATTTTTTCTCTAATTGTTCGATCTTGTCCTTTTGTTGGTTTAGTTTATTGATCAATAAATTGTTACTTTCCTTCTCTTGAACCCCCCTCTTGTCCTTCTTCCTTTCACTTGATTGAATCGGCCTATCCTGTTTGTTATTCCTTGCTTTCTCTGGTCCCTCTTTTCGGTCACTCATCTTGTTCAACTTACCCTCGTTGGGTAACTCGTACTTGTTTCTCCGGATGTGTTCGATGTTCTCCTTGAAGTCATCAAAGTAATTGTGGCCTCCGCGCACCTCGGTGTCCTCGAGCATCTGGCGTAGCTTCAGCTTCATCTCTTCATTCCCTCGTCTATACCGATATAACGTATCCTCCATCTTTAACGCTGTGGTGATAGACGCGTGGTTGAATCGAAACAACAAAAAAAAATAAAAATAAAAATACACCGACTGGATTAAACACCCGTACACCAGACGGCTATCAATTAAATATAAACAAAGCTCCATCTAGCGATACAACCTGATCAATTCAGCTCCAGTCACGTCTTATCATGCCCCGGAAACCGTTTATAAGGAAGCAGCCGCTACTGGAGAAGATCAGGTCATACCCCTTTGATTTTCTTCTTTGGTTGAATGAGAGCAGACTATCGATAGATTGGGACTTGTACCACAGATCAATTGGTTTACCCTTAGGCTTTGGTTTAACAACCTTATTCAATGTATTGGTTAAAATATTGGATTATTATGATACTTCCTCAGATAAAAAAGAGAATAGATTGTTTCAAATTGACTTTTACCGCTACGAACAAATTAAAAGAAGAGCCATTAAGGGCCAACCGTTGATTCAACTGACTAGTGATCGTACTACTAATAATAAATACGGGATACTTTTCATAAAACTCTTAGCGTTTTCAATATTTATGGCATCAGTAATTAACTTTATCAAAGTGTTCTTTATAAGTTTCAAAAATTACTCCTTACTAAATTCAAGTCTTTCTAAAAAACCAAATTCAAATTCAGCTATTGAAATATCCTTGAATAATGCAAATGAATTTGAAAATTCAATCTGGTTCAAATTAAGCCGGTTGTTTAGTCAATACCCAAACCACAATCCTTCTAGCTATGAAGACGCCAATGATAGCTATAATAATGAAAGCTTTCTCGATGACGATACTACCGAAGAAATTAATCTAATTGAAAAAAAAATTTGGCAATTGAAAGTTTGGTCACCAACTAAATTCCCTCTCTACTTATTCATTTCTTTCAATCCAGTCACTTTGATGATCTTGAGGTTTTTGTCTTCAACAACGTCAATCTTGAAATTATTTACAATCGTAATTCCTTCAGTATCTGCTTTAAATTACTTATTGATCTCGAATTTTTTAACTTTAATCAATGATAAACAGATTCTTTATCAAGAAATGTTTGGTGAGTATAATGATAAATTCGTGAAACCAAAGACTTCAACTTTGAAAAAAAATGCAATTGTTGATGCTACTTTTGGGCCTAATATTCCTGCTCAATACGTTGTTAATCATGATTCGAAAGCTCACTTACTCACTGATAAACTGAAAGTTTTCATAACTCATGATATCAATGGTAAGCCTTTCAATAGTGTCAATATTAAAAATTCTCAAACTTTACCAAATACTTTACTCCCAAGCTCTACCAAAGATGATTTACAAAGACTTCATTTTTTAGAAGCCAAATTGAATTTTGAAAAAGAACAGTTAGAAAAGGAAAAAACCCTTCTTTTGAAAAATAAAGATTGGAGAGATCGGGAATTATATGAAAGGAAATTAATCAATCGTGAATTAAGAGATCGCGAATTAAGAGATCGTGAATTAAGAGATCATGAAAGATCTTTTGTTAATGATTCGTTCCAACATCATACTCTTTCAGAATTATATGATTTACAAAAAAGATCTCATTATAGTGATAGTGAAGATGATGAATCCCAACCTAATTGGATAAGTCGATCAACTCCTTATGTTCCCAAATTTTCAAGTACGATTCATGGTAGCAGACTATCTGATAATCATAAACCTGATTTAAACCCCAACAAAATTCTTCCTTCATTATCGAGCTCAAGGTTTATTCTGCCTAGTCATGGATTATCTTCAAGATCTCCAAGTCCCCAGAAATCAATGCATGACCTATATAGAAGTCCAAATCCTGTCAAGTATGAATATGGCTCAAATCCATCCTCAGTGAGAAGTTTAAGTCCTTCTAGAAGAACAATGAGTCCTCCAAGATATCCTCAATCGGATCTTTCAAGGCGTCAATATAGATAACTACAGTGATTACCTCTAACTTAATATATATTTAATGTACACGATTCCCTTATAATTCATTGAATCCAAAGAAAAATTTGAGGGTTTTGCCCCAAATCCCTAATTTTTCATCATTTTTCTTATCAACTTCAGGTTTAGTTGGGTCATTAGCTTTCAAAAACAATCCTGATCCGTCTTTAATATCTAGTCTTTTAACATAAGCACCTTGGATATCACTGGATTCTCCTGGATTACCAATGGTGTCAAGTTTTTTTGATTTATCTAACAGTCTACGTAACTCAAAATCCCCACCAATATCCTCATTTTCGGTTAATTTTCTTTTTTGTAATTTTTCAATTGCATTTCTTGTATATGGAATAACTCCTAATAAATGTCCGTTGAATACTGTACCATTTTCTTGTAATGCATCAATAGCTGAAGATGGATTATCATATGTAATCTTAACCCAAGATTCTCCACTAAATATAGGAGCAATTAATTTATTATTATCTAAAGTTTGGTTAATCAAACTGTTACCGGCACCCTTAGACGCACTCTTATTAATTTCAAAATCTTCTAAAACATTACCCAATTCCAGAAAATGTAAAATTACTTGATTTGCCATTGCTTCAGGGTATCCAAATACTAAAATGGCTGTTTCTCCATGATTCAATGGGTTACTAGACGATGAAGATGCTTTACCATTAGCGGTGGCAGAGGTGGCCCCTGCTTGTTTAGCATCGTTATTTTCAATGGCCACCAAATCAGTGGAGCCCTTATTAGTGAAAACGTTATTATAATTCTTTGGATCTTTATTGATAAAGGAGTCCGGATGCTGACTAGAAGGTCTATTGAGTGAAATCAATACCTCATCATTCAAATCAAATATTGATCTAGACGGTGGTAAGTCTTCATTATTATTATACAAGGGGAACTCTTCATTAATAGTTTCATTGACTGTATCATGATATTTCAGTAAATCTCCACTACTGATATCAAAATCCGATATTCCGGAGCCGGTGGTTATTGATTTACGTTGTTTGGATCCAAACGATACCAAATTATATTCATTAGAAGCATCAGTATCTAATAAACTTTTAACACTGTTTTTAGATTCACCTCTGTTGGATTTATCATTTTTAGAATCACCATTGGTTGACGATGCTGATGTACTTTGGAAAGCAGACTTTCTTTTCGGCACTAGATGATTAGTAATGGTTCTTTTCTTAGTATGTTCAAACCAAATTGGCCCATTGGCATTATGTTGAGGTGCACTAGTGCTACCGGTGCCATGACTATTAGATGCATTATTGGCTCCTGCAGAACCCACACCGCCAAAGAGCAGTGACTGTGTTGCGGTACCACCACTACCACTGGAGTTACCAAATAAACCAGACATATATAAGCTATTATAATTGAATATTCGTCAATATTCTAGAATACCTTGTTTTGTAGATGTTGATGTTTTCAATTTTTTTTCGCTTTTCCAAATGAACCTGCTTTTTCGGTACTGCACACCTTTTTTCTTACTACTTCAAATTTTTTTGCTCTTCTCGAATCAAGTCAAAGCATCTTGGTGATATCTGCACAGAATATAAGGCCAGAAGAGATTGAATTATGATATTATCACCAGCTGAGAGAGCGTATCTACATGATTCCTTGTGCCAGTCGCCGCCTATCAGACCGGATTCAAGAAGTGAGCACCGGTTCCGTCCTCTAGAGGCAAAAACATCGTTTCTTCCAGGATCTAATGGTTCAGCTAGAATAAGGTTAATGGATGGTAGTGAATGTATAGTGAGTGTTAAATCCAAGGTTGTTCTTATAGATAGAGAGCCCAACTTGATTGAATGTGATGTTGATGTTGCAGGGTTTAGAGATGATTCCAATTTCGTGGGAAATTTAAAGTTCAACTTGACTAACTTATTGATGAAAAATTTCCCATTCAAATACTTGAAACTAACCACTAAATATGCTTTTAAACTTTTCATAGATTGTATTGTGATCAGTCATTCGTCTTACCCATTGACTTTATTATCCTTAACATCGTATTTGGCATTGAAAACCACTCGTTTACCATTATTAGTTAGTGAAATTGATGATGCAGAAATCGAAGAACAACCAACTTTCTCCGATGACTGGGAGAATGCCCAATTATTACTGACACTTTTCAGGACCGATAAGTTTCAACCACCTCTTTTCATAACATTAGGTGTCATTGGTGATAATCTTTTATTCGATCCATCGCTTGAAGAAGAACAGGTTTTGGAGAACGGTTTAATTATTGGTTGGTACGATAATAAGGTTATTACTCCAATTTCAAATATTAATTTGGCTGTTAATTCGAATAACAGTAATTTCAAGGGTCTCAAACCTCAGTCAATAGTGAAAGCCATATCAATGGTGAATAAATACTGTGGAGCCATTGTCCATGCCTTAGATACTCTTGTGGAACAAGATGATGATGATGGAGAAATTTTTTAATTTTATTAAATTTTATTCAAATAGAGCATGTTTTATATACCATTATGTACAATAGTTTTAATAAATAAATAGATTATTTTAACAATGTTGAGTAGAGTATGCATGAACAATAATAGCAGTAGCTGTTTGAATATTCATGGATCTAATAACACCAACTTGCTTAATTTCAACGCACATATCTAACTCAGCTAATAAATCACCAGGAACACCTTCTTTTTCTTTACCAATTAAAATTAAGGATTTTTTAGGGAATTGTAAATTAGAATTCAACTCAACGGAATTAGTGGTTTGTTCCAAACCAATTAAAGTATAACCTTCTTTCTTCTTTTCTCTTAAAAATTCAATGATCCCGTTTTCTTTAACTTCAATCATAGGCATCCAGTAGTCAGCAGTAACAGCAACGTTCTTGAATTGAGGATGATTTTTTACCCTAATGTCATTTAATGTGAGTAAACCAGCACCTAATACATCACATAACCTACAAATACCTCCCAAGTTTGGTGGTTTATCAACTAATGAAGATACCACAATTAAGTCACTACGGACAATTTCCCCACCACGAGCAGTTTCATCAACATCCATGACAGTTGACCAGGCTCCACTCTTGGTTTGAAGGGTGGCTTGTTGACCCTTTTCATTTGTTGACCCGATTTTGTTATTTGAGTTCAAATCTTCAGCAATTTTGTTGTTCTTACAGACTCTTATCCATAATTCCTTCAAATCTTCCCCAACAGGGTTTTGCAAATTATCGATTTGAGCTTGACTTAAATGTTTATTATAGTCTTCCTTTCTGATGAAATCAATGTCGGACCTGTCACTAACTCTTAACAAGACACTTCCAGTCATACCCACTAAAGTGAAATCACCTAAAATATCCCACAACAAAGCATCTCCACTTCTATAAGATCCAAAAGCATCAGAAGAAACAGCGGATTTGTACAAGTTCTCAGACATTTGAATAATGTCTGGGTTAATTGGCAACTTCTTCTTCATAATCTCTGGATAAATTGAACAATTCAAAGAAAGAGAGAAATGTCTAGTAGTGGCTTTGTTTGATGTGGCCCCAGGGAAAAGCACAGATAAAAACTTGGTTAAATATTCAGCTTCTTTTGATGTTGTTAAATGTTGAATTGATAAATACAATATTCTCTCGTAAGCAGTAATTAAGGTTGGTTTCACTGAATTACTGTCCATTCCGACTTTGAATTTTTCGAGCATTATATCAATATATTTAGGTTCTCTCAACAATATTCTTGCTGTGATCCATTCAAGATAAACTCTAACCAATGGACTAGGTTCGGTACCAAGTAAAGCCATGAAGTCATCAATAATAAGACTTGAATCTATCTTCTGGATTATCGATAAGATGACGGTAAGTAATTGGATTCTTCTCCATTCTTGGAATCCATCATTTTGCTTGATAACTTGAAACAAGTGGTACTCTTCTTCTTTACTACGAATGAATTGGAAAATCAGAAGAGCAAATTCACTTGATTGGATAGAATTAATCAAAACTATGGCATTAATACGACCGCTTATTTCCTCTGCACCATAATATTTGGTATAAATATTCGACCCAGCTGTTGAGGAAATCTGTTTATCGTAGAGACTGGCAATGATATTTTCTAATCTGAAGATATTAGATCTTAATTGATAACTCATGAATGATTCTACTAATACTTCAGGGAGCCAAATCAATTTTTCGAAATTTTGATGATCTTTTATCTGGAAATTGGATAAATTCTTAGTCAATGTTGGTAAGAAACATCTTCTGCCATAGGATAATTCTATTATGGATTTACTAAAATTGAGTAAGTGAGAAGCGACGAATTCATCATGAGTTGAATGAGATAAGATGAATGGATCAATAAAGGTATCAATCATTAAAACATGTAAGTTTTTCTGACTCAATTGCAATCTGGATGAACATAAATTGGACCATATTTCTGATAAAGTTTCTACTAGACGTGGAACTAATTCACTGGAAAGATTTTCTTGTTTAACGATAGTATTTAACAAAAGTACCGTGTAAAAGTTAGTTTCATAATTAGTTGAGCTTACAATTAATAAGCTTAAAATATCATCAATTTCAGTACTTTCGCAACCAATTTTAGAGGTAAGAATGGATAAGAATCTGAAGAACTGGCCATATAAAGCATCTTTCACCCTATAGAAATTCTTAATTAGTCTAGCAGGTTCAGAAGAGTTATTCAATAAGATTTCACGGTTGAATTTAAGCAATGAATTGATGGTGAAGATTTCATGATTTTCAATATCGGACAATTGGTAAGCTTCGAAAAGATTATTGAACACTTTAAATTTGTCTGCAGCAGCCTTTAAGCGATGGTGATCATCAGATTGAACGTCTTGATTAATAGTGGCCCAAAGTTCAATTAACTTGATATTGGTAGGTAAAATTTGCTTATAGTTTAAGAAATCAACTTTGGAGAATTCTTCATAAGCCTCTTCTGATTTTTCACCAGTGGCCAACTCAGTAATGCAGCGAGGAATATTTTCATTACTATCCAAAGAGATATTAGTCTGAAGTAATTTGGCTAATAAAACATTGGATTGGTTTTCAAGGTTGATGGAGTTGGTCATTTTATTGGAAATGAGCATAAGAACAATCTTTACATCTGCAGAGACAGATTCGCCTTCAATTATCGAGGTTATCTTAGTCTGAGTGATTTGATTTTCCTGGAAGTACTCAACAACGAGATCCAAGTTTTCATTCAAAACAGCATAACCATTAAATTTAGTGAATTTGATAAGAAGATCAAGAAATACATTCAAATCAGAAAGTTGAAAATTCAAGAAGAGCCTTAAATTGAGAGTTTGAACGGTAGTTTCTAATACAGGACCCTCTGAACTTACTTCAATCAATTTAAGTAAAAGTTCATCATGTTTCCCAAATTGTAAAACTCTTCTTTTCTTCAAGCCTGAAAGTATACCGTAAGTGACATAAATTCTTGCCGGGTCGAAAGCATCTTTTAAACTGACTAATACTTTCAAAGTAGAGTAAACAACTGCTTGGAATTCTTCATCAGTTTTCAAATTAGAAATGATACTTTGAATGAAACTGGCCAATCTGTCTGCATGTTCACAATGATTTCCATTTGTATCATCAGACTGAAGAACAGCAAAGTGAGATGCCATCATAGCATATGGCAAATAGGTTTGTTCATAAAATGGCAAGCTATGTTTTAATAAATATAAATTTTGTGATGGAATAGATAATAAAATGTTGAGAGAAAATTTTCTTACTGAATCCATACCAGCTTTGAATCCGGTTGATAACAAACCAAACCCCCAAGAGGGATGTATTAAAGAGTCTGGAAGAATTAAACCAATGAGATCATTAATACCGCCTTGTGCTTGATGCAATGAAGTATCAATTCCCAAGATTTCAAATAATGTAGAGAATCTTGACCATTCCCTCAAATATTCATCTTTCTTTGAAGGATCCCACGAGAATATTTCATTCTTGACTGGAACTGCAATCAATTTTAGAGACAATTGTAATATAGACAAGCAAAATTTTCTATGTTCATGAGCATCACTGACTAAACCATGCTGTAAGACTTGCCAATAATGTTGTAGTTGAATGATTTCATGTTGATAAATTGAGTCCTCAACTAGCTTTTGATTATCATTTGTCAAATATCTTAACCATACTATAAAAGCATGATCCATGTGCAGTTTAACTTGAGATTTTTCTAAATTGAATATAACATCCCAGATAAACTTACTGCTTTGATTCTGTATGACAATACTATCGATTTCCCAACGTAAGCATTGCATAGCCAAGTTACTAACGTTTTCTTCGTTGTGTCCGATGAAAAAACTGATGATCCTATCGAGAGATGAGGTCTTTTGATCTTTCAACTTGGCATGGATGAAAAAGTAATTCAAAAACTCAAAAAGGGTTACAATGGATTCATCCGTAAGCTGAAAATTAGCTTTAGAACTCGAAATCAGGTCTGCTAAATACTCCGGTAAGATATCGTTTCTAAACGAAATAAGAAACTTAGGCAAGCTTTCATGAATATATGCAGACAAATGGCAATGACATCTGTCCAAAATGTCATCATATAATTGAGGTAACTCTTCAGCTAACGTAAGAATGTGACCATAATCACTCTCAGAACACTTGCCATCTATAATACTGAACACAAACTTTTGAATCACTGGATAAACTCCACGAATTGCATTTTGATCTAACTCTTTCAATAAGTCACATAAGGCTGTCACACTTTCAGTATTAGAACCAAGATCCTTCGACAAGTCCTCAACGGCTTGCACTCTTTGCTCCTGGCTCAAGTATTTGCTTATAAGCAACAAAGAACTCAGCATTGCTTCTGAAATACTCGTAGATAATCGTTTGCAACTAAAAGCTCTTCGGTGACTACAAATTTTTTTTTTTTTTTTTTTTTTTTTTTTTTTTTTTTTCCGAGAAAAAACCGGCTTTTAGAGATCCCGGAACAGGAGTTTTACGATTGTTATCTCATTTAATAGATTGAATTGAAAAGAGGATGAAAAAAAATGAATCATTTCACTTCCAACTAGACGAAACCAAAGATGGATGCTTTGACCGTGAATTGGAATGCTTTGAGAGAAGCATACGAGCCTTTGAGGGTTCCCATTCTAATTGGAACTCTTCTAGTCATAGTTGTCTCGTTATTTAAGGATGATAAAAGTAAGATTTTCACGAGTAATGGACTGACTCTGGGAGGGAATGAAAAGAAAGACAGAATAGTTAAGCCGGTGATTAAACCAGTTCCAGATAGCTTTGATTGGAAAACTGCTGATCCATTAAAATCGTATCCTTTTAAAGAAGGACTTTACAAATTGACTATGGGTATTAAGAATTTAGACCCACAAGATTATTTGTTAGTTGAACCAGTTCATGCCGAAAGACTTCAATTGAAACAGAAACTTATGTCTAATAGCCATCCTGATTATCCTCAAGGAAAGGACATTAGAAAAGAAACGGTTTTTTATAAGCCAGAAGCGGAAATGGCAGTTAAAGAATACTATGATTTTGTTCTTGACTATATGTGTACCAAATACCCAAAGCTTTATGTTAAGATTGGTAATAACCAGGTATTGAATAAAACCATAGATGAGGTTATTCCTGCTCACACCGATGATAAAACTCCGGGTGAAGATTATGTTGTACATTTATCCAAGGTGATCGATGAAGATTATATTATACTTCAAAAAGACCCAAGTCGTAGCGGAGAGAAAGATGGTGACGAATACTTTTTCAAAGCAGGTATATTTACTTTTGCTGCAGGGTTTGCTCCTTCCGAAAGATTTGATACTCCATTGTCTTATATTCATCACCCAATACCTGGGTATGAAGATAAATTGAAACCAACCATGAATCGTTTCTTTGATAAGCTTTTGCCTTTCAGATTTGTCACCCGTTCCAATTTCTCTGTCCAAACTCATAACAAGTTTTATGTTGATGATTCTAATAAGGGCCATAATCTTTCCGCTGATTATGAGCAAAAACCTTTGGATTATGATTCTTTAGATTTTGAAAAAGATGTTCACTATAGATCCGAAAGGCAAGTATTAACCAAATTGCCTAAATCAGGAGCAGTAGTTTTCACAATTAGAACATACTTAATCCCAATGGCTCAAATTAAAAAAGAACCAAAGGAAGTACGTGAACGTTTTATTGGTGCCATCAATGGTTTACAAGGTGACATTAGTGCTTACAAGAGGTCAAAAGAGTGGGGCCCTCCTGTTATAAAATACTTATCAGATGATTGATAAGCTTATCATAGAGCTCTTTCTATTTCTCGAAATCCTTTCAGCTCATTTTAATATCTTGCATATCTCTAATTTCTGTTAATAGTCATTGATTTCACATTAAAATCATTATACATTATATATATATATCCATAAAGGTAAGATCTTATAGTTTTTCCACCTCTTCCTTTATCTCCTCCCAAATGTCAATATTTTTTTTAGCCCAACTGATTAAAAATCCATTGTAGGTCAATAGTATTTCATAAATGACTTTTAATTCTTTCTGATGGAATTGTTTAAAGTTTTTATCAACCTCATCAGTAATATAAGAAACATCTTCAAGCATAATCTTTTGACATTTCTCCAACAGGGTAATTTTATTTTGTAAATGTGCAATGCGTTGTCGCCTTGTTTGTTCAGGATTTTGATCAATAATCTCGGTTACGTATTGAGTTATTTTCTTGAATTGATTCATTGATGGGAAGAATTTGAATTTGCTTTTATTGGCTTGCTGTGTTTCAGTTTGGTTCAGAGCAGGTTCATTGTTGGTGCTTGAAAAATCAAATTTATGATCTGAGTGAATAGCATGAGAATTTATGGCCCCATCGATACGTGCAGACTCTTGTTCTTGTTTCAATAATTCAAAAAGATCTTCTTTCCTGTGTTTGATCTCTGAGTCTAAAAGCTTCTGCTGACGAATTTTTCTTCTTGTATAACTATTTATGAATGTCAAAATATCCGAATATTTTACTGCCTCACCTAGAGGTTCTGAAAACTTAGTTTCCAAATCCCCAATTAATGAGTTAATCGTTATGTAGGACCGATCAAAAACTTGTCCGATTTTTTCGAAAACCATATTTAATTTGGTATTTTCTCTATCGTCAACTGAAGAATCATTAGAAAGTTTAATTTTGCTAGTTCTTGTAATTGGCAGGTCGGAAAGAATAAGTGAAAAAGAGTTGAATGCAGTACCCAATTCGGTATAGTCATTGGCTAAGCCGATGAAATTATCCATTATTTTTTTATTGATATCATCTAAGCGAGAAGTTGCAATTATATATTCATCACCGACCGAATAATTCGACTTGTTATTTGAATCTCCACCTCCATTTGCATCAACAGTGACTGTATTTGTTGGAGATGTCTGTCTAGAAAGTTCATTAGGCGATTCTTCTTGATCATTATTTTGTTGTGACTGTTTACCTAGTAACTTATTGGTCTTTTTCGTAATCTTCTTCTTATTATCCTTGAAAAACGGTATATTTATAGAATGGTTGCTGACCGGTAGAGGAAGGTTTTCATAGAGAGGATCAGTTTTAAGCCCATTTTCGGGGTTCAGTAAGTAGATGGATTTAGGCAATTGACTTGTGATAAGGGTGATTTCATCAGACCAGTTTGCATTTGGATCTAAGAATTTTGCAAAAAATTCTAAGTTACGAATTTGCGGAATACTTAGACAATTGTTAAGAAAATTGGATAATAAACGTTTGCGGTGTTCAATCAACTTATTCTTATTGAGATGAGTAGAGTTTATATAAGAGTAATTAGATGGTGAGCCACCCACTCCATTACTTGCAGCGTTACCATCTGCAGAACTTCCTCCTGTGCCATTAGCAACCCCTCCAGTAGATTGCAGAATATTTTGAGAGACTAGACCATTTAAAACACCAAAACCAAGAAAGTTTTTAGGAGGAATCGGAGGAACGATCACCAAGGGAAAAACTTTGGTAAGAACATCTCTCAAACTTTCGAAATCACTATAACGCCTCCTGGTTTGAATTTCATCACTTAGATCATCTCCATTGATTAGTTTGATGGTATACACGATATATTTCTTCAGAGAATTCAGCATTCCTTCATTAGAGTTGCCAGCTTCGGTTATTTGAATCTTAGGATTGCTCCCTGGCCTCAAGAGCTTGGTAACCCGACTTTCATAGTTGATATAGATCGTATTAAAGGTATCCTTATTTGGACTCGAATTAACTTCTGCTTGATTGTTAGAAGACGAATTGTAAAGCAAGAGCGATGCATCGTCTTCGAACTTATCTCCAGCCTGTGATTCACCACCAGCCCTCTTCGAATGCCCATTACTACCTGCCTGTCGACTCAGACTGTTTCGGTGATCACTCATCAAACTTGCAAGCCCCTGAGTATTGGAGAATGGATTGTTATCTTCTTCGTCATCAAATACCGATCCTGCTGGCTGCGTTGCTGCCGCATGCGAAGGATCTGGTGCCATTGTCTTTGAATCTGGTTTATTACTATACTAGCCCTCAATTGAAGCTGTTTAACTAGTCAATCTCTTCTTTATCTGGGGTTAGTCGATAAGAGTAACACCTTTTTTTGGTGAGGAAGCTTTGCCGCCAGGGGATTAGCATTAAGAATCGTGGGTGTACGGATGCATCAATGGCAATATTTGCAATGGCACGACCACCGAAAAGAAGACGAAAAAAAGCTCCAGAGGATGAAGAGATTGAAGTTTATAAACAACTGATTTGAAATATCGGTTTGTTATATCCAATCTAGAGAAACGAAGCAGATATGGAGGACGCGTTGATGAAAGTGGTTGACGCAGGTGACGGGCTTGGGACTTCAAGCGAGGCAACCGGCAGTACTGAGGTGCAATTCGCCCAAGTGCTTGAGAACTTCCAGGCTGGAAACAAGGATGATCCATTCGTTTTGATCCAAGAATTCAAATCCATTAGTGCTCAGAAAGCTTTGCAAGTCGCCAGCCAGATGGGCGAAGCCCCTGATCTTGAAACCCGGTTGGAGTTTGAAAATTGGGATCTTGAAACTAGATTGTGGAACTTGGTAGAAACCTTATACTCATATAGATTATCCAAGGAAAGCCAGGAAGAACCAATTCCTGAATACAAGTTTTCGTCATTCCATGTTAAGCGTGAAAACTGGCTTAGGCAAAACCCAAAGATCAAAGAACTCTCTTTAATTATCTATTGGCTCCAAGAGAACTCTAAAACTATAAGTATTTCCGATGAAAAAGTTGAAACTAATGGGAAATGGCAAAATACTAGAATCAAAATTAGTAACAATGACTTGTCTGCATTGACCGGTAAAAACGATCAAACCTTGATTGATAATTTAGATTCGGATGCCCCTTTAAGGTCAGATAAAGATATTGATCCTCAAGATGACTCGGTTGATTCCAAGAACTTTTCACTCATTTATAAATTGGTAATTGCGAATAGAATAGAAGAAGCCATTGATTTGGCAAACAGTACTGGGAATTTCACTCTCGCTTTAATCTTGCTTGGTGCCAAACAAGATTATATCGATCCAATAGTTGATAAAGAAACATTACTTAATAAAGAAAGTGATATGCTTGTTGATGTAAGTGGATTGGAAAATAGTGAGGAAGTAGCATCGGGATTGAAACATAAATTATTGTGGATTAAAACTGTTTATAAGCTTTCTCAACTGCCTAATCTTAACCCATATGAAAAATTGATTTATAAATTTTTAAGTGGTAATGATATTAGCAATAATTTAAAAGCTGCATCTTTGAATTGGGAAGAGCATCTTTTACTATATTTGAATCAATTGTTTATGCATAATTTACAAACTTTCATTACTTCTCGTTTATCACCGCAAGAACAAGAACAAGAAAATCTTGCATTCCCAGTAATTAACCCTCAATTCAATACTATCAACGGTATATTGAACTCATTACTGCTGGCTGATAATGAAATCTCCGAACAAAGTACTCATCCAATAAGAATAATACTAGGTAGTTTAATGATTGACCAAGTTCCTCAATTCTTATCTAATTCGGTCAAATCAATTACTAAATCTCCAGATGCTTTAATTAATCAATTTCTTTCAAGAATTATTATTCATTTAGCAATCTTTTTATTATATGTCGATAATACTGTTTTGTTGGCTGGGAAAACAATCACTAAATTGATTACTTTTTATATTTCCAAATTGCAAAGTGGCGGTTATAATTCTCAAATTCCAATATATTTATCCTTCATTCCAGATGAAAAAGATGCTAGAGAGTGTTATTCATTATTTCTTTCAACTATTGTTGATCCAGAAGAAAGAGCAAAACAAATACGCTTGGTTAAAAGATTCGGCCAATTTAATAATAATCATAATACAATCACGGATGAATCTTCAGCAACTACTACTAGCACAGAAGATTTTGTCGAAAATGAAGACAAGATGGTGAATGTTTTCAGAAGAACCGTTGAGCGTGTGATGAATGAAACAGAAAAATATTATACCCCAACCAATCAAATTTCAATTGATTCATATGGATCAGATGAATCCAAGATTAATTCAATCGATCTTAAGGTCTTCAATGCAGTTGAATGGTTCTACGGTAGTAACATGTATGAAGATGCTATATTGTCTTCCTTGGTTGTTATTCGTAGATTTTTATTGACAGGTAGATTATCAAGTTTGAAACACTTTGCCCGCGGTAAAGATTTCAAGGCATTAATTAAAAGTTATGATGCTGATTTCTACACTAAATCTTTAGGCAGTAATGATTTTGTATCATCTATTACCGATGAAAGTAAAGAAGAATTACTACAATACTCATCTTTGGTGGAAGGATTACAATTTTTGGATGATTGGACTTCATTTTTAACAAACAATAAAATTAATGGATCTTCTCAAAGATTATTCTGGCAATCGCCAGATATCGAAAAGTCAATTGAAAAAGTGACTAGTAAAATTAATGGTTTAATCATTCAATGGTTTAAAGATTTAATTCAATCAACAAACTTGGATGAAAAGGAAAAATCGATATTTGATGAAATCAGATCAATATACGTTCCTTATTTGATAATGGAATTGATCAAGATATACGAAGTTGCTAGATATAGAGATTGGAAATACATTAAGAAAGCATTTAAATTAATAAGTGACGTTGCCAATGAAGAAGAAAATGACTATTTGAAATGCTTCCTTCGTTGTGGTAGATTAAATGAATTCGTTAAGAGATCGGGAGAACTAGCAGTAGTGGCGAGTGAACGAGGTATTAATGGGATTTTCCCAAAATCAAATCAAAAGCTCGAAATCTAAATCATTGGGTGTGTACTGAAGATTGTACTAAAGATTGTAATATATAGATTCTACATTAATAGAATTCGATAAAAAAAAATTAACATTTCATTTTATTTTACTTATACAAGATTTGATTGTTTTAATTCAAAGTGGAAGCTTTTTCATACAATAAATCAACCACATTGGATAAATTTTTGACCAAATCCAATGAAGCTTCATAAGAAGCATCTTTTCTTGGTTCATCATATATGATTAACCATCCATTACCTTGATCTAAAACCCCGTAGAAAACTTTATCTAAAATCATTTGCGATAATTTACCTTCAACTTGTTGTAAATTCAAACCAATGCTTTTAGAGATATGAGATAATTCGACAACTGAGTAAGATTCAATAATTTTTAACAAGTTTTGTTCCAATAAATTATCGTATAATGCATTGAAATGAGTTTTAATGATAGGATCAGATTTTAATTCAGAAGAGAAAGTAATTAATGAGTTTTCAAAGTCTTTCAAAGATCTATTGGCATACGCGGTAGCTGTTGATTTCATGGCATCGATATCCTTAGATTGATATTTAAGAACATTTTTACTATTCAATATAGAATTAACATCATCAATTAAATTCAACATAATTTTGGTTAATAACATGTATTTCAAAACAACGATTGCACGAGAATCTTCTTGCATATTATAACCTTCGAAAGATTCAAAGAAATAAGAAAAGGCAGTTTTATAGTCTTTATCTTCGGCGTTCAAAATACCACTTTGACAATCTAATTCAGCTTGTAACAATGTAGGGCAGTAGATCGAGTTGGCAGATGTTCTTGCACTAGTTAATGCAGCTCTTGATTTTGGGATGTTTCTTAATGCATGATAAATTTTAGATTCTAATAATTGAACTTCAACTAATGAAGATTTATCATCTAATTTTTTATATTCTCTTAATAAATCAGTTATTAATTTTAATGCTTCTTGATATAATCCTTTCTCATATAATGAAGAAGATAATTTCAATTGCAAATATTGTCTCAAAAAGGATAATTTACTAGCAACTGCCCATTCGATACTTTCTTTAATAGCTTGGATTTGCAAATCAACAACATTAGGAATGGTATCGAAATCTTCAATGAGTGTTCTGACAATCTTAGCAGTTTTCAGTTTGGCAAAATTACCTAAAACACTTCTGGAATCAGTAATTAATTGAGCCAAGTCTTGTGGTTGGCCTTCTCCTTGATAAATCTTACCCAACTCTATAATGGCAGCCTCTTGTTCTTGTAAGAGTTTATTGTTTGATTTAGTATCATCTTGATCTTCCGAAGGCCTGGTGGCAATTATAGACTTATACTTGGTCTCAGCAACTTGGAAATTGCCTTTAGAGCTAGCTACTCTAGCTTCTTCCAAAATTTGTGATGGTTCGGACATTTTGGTCTTTTTCACTTACAAACTCTTCTTGTTCAGCAGAAATATAAAGGGAGAAACTTCAATTTATCAACCAGAACTACCAATTGACCTTCAAGGTTAAGTATTCACTTTAAATTGAATGATTTCTTCGAATAACTTGCAAACTAAGTGACATGGAGTTTGACTATCGTTGATTTTCCATTTGCCTTCAGAGGAAAAGAGCGAGAATTGAGGTTTCGGTTCAACCACGACATTTTTTCGTTTTGAAAAAAAAAAAATGAATGTTTCTTGAAGTTTAAAGTCTATCAGAACCAACGATATCAAAGCAAATATCAACTGTTCAATGTTAGCAAGAAGTCTTATAAGACTGGGTACCCATGCCTCGAGGCTGGGTGTATTCGGTGTAGGCTCGGTGGGACTTGGTATGGGAAAAACAAGGATTCCGATGGTGAAGAGCATCTCTAGGAACAGTCCAATAATATCTATGATTAGATTATATTCCCGAGACCCTTTTCCTATTAATCATAGAGAATCCCAGGAGAAGAAGGAGATGGAAAACATGCCGAAATGGCGTCAATGGGCCTTCTATGTTCAAACCAAGGAATTCAAAAAGGGAATGACTGTTTATTACATCGGTGGGATGATTGCATTATTTGTTACCTTTTATTTTTATATGAGAGACAGATATTATGAGGATAAACAGATTCGTTTCATTAAGAAGAAGTATAGAGAAGATCCAGATTCTTTATCAGAATATGAATATTTGAAATTGAAAGCTTTAAGTGGAGAGAGAATGAGACCAAGAGAAGAAAAGAAGTTTAAGTATTATCAAGCAATGAGAAAGGAGTTTAGAAGAAAGCATTTTTTTGATCAAGAAGCTGTCTTTGAGCCAACCCCAGAAGAATTAGAAGAGTGGTATGATAAACAGTATAAATTCAACAGCAAGGCCAAAGTACCTGATTTGGAAAACAAACGTGATGAGATTAAACAACCTTTGATCGAAGAACTTGATAAGGCAGAAGCCAATGCTGAACCAGAAGAATATACCAATGCCACTAATCCAAAGATTGTTTCTGCTGAAGATACTACTGATTTTTTTGATGATATTGCTGAAGAATATGATGATGAAATTAAATGGGAAGAAAGAGGTATTCTTATGGGGGGTCGTCGTAAATGGTTAATGAAACAACTTCGTGGTGATGTATTAGAAGTTGCATGTGGGACCGGTAGAAATTTACCATATTTAAAACCACAAGAAGTTGATTCAATTACCTTTTTAGATTCGTCTAAAAAAATGGTTGAAATAACCCAACAAAAATTTAGAAAAGAATATCCAAAATATGCTAAAGCAGCTTTTGTTGTTGGTAAAGCAGAAGAATTGGTTGATTTGGCTAGTAAAAGTGAATATCCTGTGAAGTATGATACCATTATCGAATCCTTTGGATTATGTGCTCACGAAGATCCGGTAAAGGCATTACAAAATATGGAAAAATTATTAAAACCAAATGGTAGAATTGTTTTATTAGAACATGGTAGAGGTACTTGGGATTTCATTAATAATCATTTAGATTTCCGTGCTGAAAAAAGAATGAAAACTTGGAAATGTAGACATAATTTAGATATCGGTGAAATCATTGATGATTCTGGTTTAGATATCACTTATGAAAAGAGAGCCATTTTCGGTTCTATTTGGATGTTGGTTTGTAAAAGACCTGAAGATCCAATGGCTTTGGAAGAAAAACCATTTGTTAATAAATTATTTGGTTCTGATATTACCACAGTTAAAAAGAACTAATATTCTTGTATATATACATATATATGTTAATAATCATGTAAATATCTTTAAATCACAAGTAGACTCCTTCATCTTCTTTCGATATGGGTTTCCCTTCGTTGATCAAACCTCTTTTAGTCAACTCAATGTTCAAAGTATTAATACGTTCACGTTGATTTGAAATGACTGGCATGTTTTCCTCAATTGATTCTTGAAACAATGTCAAGTCCCCCTTCAAGTCATCTAGCTTCCCCTGATTGGTTTCCTTTTTCAAATTTTCCTTAACAGTGCTGATTTCTTGTTCAAGTATCAAATTAGTCTCTTCAAGTTTTGAAATCGAATTTTCTAATTGCACCTTTAGCGAAAACAAATTGGAATCACCCAAATCCGCTATGGCTTCTTTGAAATCATTTATATCTATTGGTTTGGCTGAACTTGACATACTTGTTGGGGAATAAGTGGAATATTGAAGTAAGTCTAAAATTTTTTTTCTTCTCAAAAAAAAACCATTTCACATTGAAAATTTTCAATTAAATCGTCTTGATTGCAACATACGCCATGATGAACATTGTGAGGCGATGGTCGTTCAGAAGACCCGGGATCCATTTTATGAGGCGATACGTATCCAGTGGGCAAGAAGAACTATACCGGCCAATCCATCCATTACTACTCAAACGAGCAGAATTAATGGAAAAAGAGTATGACGAATTATCGCAAGAAATGAATGAAAAATCGGGCAGTTTTAGTCAAGAAAGTAACGTTAGACTCTCCAATCTTTCAGTGATCCTTGAGAATTACGAGCAGTATAAGCACGACATCAAGAATCTTGAAGGATTAAAGGAGATGATTGAAGATCCAGAAGGAGATTATGAATTAGCAGAAGAATCAATGAAGGAATTACAAGCAATGTTACCCAATTTTAATGAGTCTATTAATGTGTTGCAAACCCGGTTATTGCCTAGCTTGCCTCATAGCGATAAGCCAGCTTTAATAGAATTAAGACCAGGGGTAGGGGGACATGAGGCAGGGATTTTCACTAGTGATTTAAAATCAATGTATACTAATTTTGCTCAATATAACAAATGGAAATGGCAAATAATCAGTGAGAACTTCGCCAATAATGGATATTGCAATGAGTGTATTATAAGTATTGATTCACCGGAGGCATATAATATATTACGTCATGAAAGTGGAGTTCATCGAGTACAAAGAATTCCTCTTACCGAGTCCAAAGGAAGAATACATACCAGTACGGCAGCAGTGGTGGTCTTACCAAAGATATCTACCGGGACCGAGGCATCATTGAAAGAAGATGAAAGACAGTTTGCCCCGGGAGAAGTTCGAGTTGATACCATGAGAGCAGGAGGTAAGGGAGGACAACATGTCAATACCACCGATTCTGCCGTTAGATTGGTCCACATACCTACTGGAACCACCGTGCAACAACAAGACGAACGATCACAACCCCGAAACAAAGCCAAAGCTTTTCTGATCTTAAGATCAAGATTGGCAGCTTTAGAAAGAGAAAAAGAAATCCTGGAACAAAGAAAATTAAGAACTGATCAAGTCACCACTACAGATAGATCAGACAAAATCAGAACCTACAACTACCCCCAGAATCGTATCACCGACCATAGGTGTGGGTATTCCATGCACGATATCGAAGGCTGTATGCTGGGAGTAAGATTAATGGATATTATTGCAAAAGTTGAGCAGCACGAATTTGAAGAGAGACTTCAGCTCTTAATTGCCAGTGCCTCCAACTAGCTTGTACATAGTTTGTAAATAGTATAACATGCTGGATAGATTAGTAGCTTGTATAAGAGTAACTGAATTGATGCAAAAAACCACTATCCGAGGGCAGCCCGGCCACCCCCGGAAATCATGGGTCCAGCTGGGCCCACATGGCCAGGGTCGCCCAAAGTGTGGGGACAATTAAACAAGCGTAGGCCCGTTTGTTTATTTACGGGCCCGTAAAGAGACTTTGTTGGCCCGTTGCACCTGTGCTGTAAACCCAGTTGTCTTGTCTTGATGTCTTGATGCTTGACATCTTGTTCTACTTTGCAATCGTATGCTGGCCACTTCCGAGGGCACCAGGGGTGCATTCCGGGGGAACATCAACACATTTTTGAAATTGCCGCTGGTGCTCCTTCTTCTGCTCCTTCTTCTGCTCCTTCTTCTTCTTCTTCTTTCGTTTGGCTCTGTGTTCCCTTCGGTTGTTATTGTGCTGCTTCAATCGCTGCCTGCTCCAAGCGCATTCCACACTTCGGTGACCAGCAATTTTGTTCTTCTGGATACGGACCCCGGTAACTAGTTGATTCGATCTATCACCATCGCACCACCACCTTCGCTTTGAAACGCAATTGCTTTCGTTTCCCTCCATTCGCTTTGCCCCCAGGCTTCCCAGACCCATTCCCACCAGTGCTCTCGTTACTCGCCATTCTACTCTACAGCTTGATCCCGACAAAGATCAATATAGGCAACCCTGGTGACAAGCTGATTGATAGTTAAGCTATTCTAGGCGCGCCCGCATTATATTTTGAGCAAGGGGCTTTTTTTCTGGCTTTTTTGTTAGTTTGTTTGTCGCTTTGTTTTTAGTGGGATTTTCAACTTTCCAAATTCTTCCTGCTCAGTTCCTAAAATAGGCAAAACTTTAAAGATTTTGAACTATTAATTTTTGTTTCGAACAAAAATAACTTTCCTTTCCCATTTCATGGTGGCCATAAGATAGCTTTAGACCTGGCTCCTGATTTTATTGGAAACGTACAAGGGCTATTTGTTAGTTCACGACATATAATAAAGAAGAAAAGATTTCCTTTGTCTATATTTGTGCTTTCTTTCCTTTCATTTTTGTTTTTTACTTTAGAATTTAATTTTTCTTCTGTCTTTAATTTTTTTTTTTTTTTTTTTTTGGTTTTTGGTGGAAATTTTTTTCCTCTACGTTTTAACTTACGTCTACTACTTTAGGATTTGGGAATTTGTTAGTTTTTTACCAAACAAGTATCCGTTATCAAGATTCTAATAAGTTCATTTGATCGATCCCCATCCCTCTAGGTGTGGTCTATGCTTTTGTTCAATTTTTCAAAATCTAATCTAGCGTTTGTTTCGCCGCCATCTTATATTTTGTTGTTCCCCTTAGAGTGAGACCCTGACATATACCATTCAATCGAACTCTTCTTGTCTTAGTCAAGATATAGTCAAAATAGTGAAAGCAAACTGAAAGAATCAAAAGAAAGTCGAAAAAAAAGAAGAAGATGCTACGTCTGATGCTATATCTACTTCTATGTCTTTGCCATATGACTTTGATTCAAGGTTTAGGATTGAGTATACCCCCAGTTCAAAAAAGTGACGCTAAACATTACTCAAGTCTTGACCATCTATATAATTGTATTTCCTATCCAACAGTGAAGGATGATATTATTTTAGTGACTGTTGATGCGGGTGACAAATTACCATCTCAAACTTTAAATTTACACATTTTTGATTCAGATGCAAATGATTTACGTATCAAAAAGGGTTTATCTCAGTCTTTTGAATTACTTTTCACAAACTTGAATAGTCCGAATCAATTTGATGTTAATAATAATTTAGTTAAAAAATCAAAAATTTTAAATAAATTGAATCTTGGTCTCAATACTCATAAATCAAATCAAGCTAATAATCAAAGAACTCAAGAAGTTTTGAATAGTCATAAAGGTAAATCATTAATTTACATTTGTTTTGATAATTTATATAATGATAAATCTTGGTCTTTTAAACCTCAATTCCATGATGTTCAAGTTTCCGTTGATATTAAAAATATAACCACTATCAAACAAACAAATTATAAAAACTATGCAAAATATTTTCAAATGCACCAAAAATCAAAACTGAAAGAAGATAATTCACCTACAAGGGATGAAATTATAAATCATCTTCAAAATTTTAATGAAGATGATTTCGATAATAAAATTCAATTCATAGAATCTGAATTAAACATCATCATTGAAAATTTGAAAAATTCAGAAATTATGCTTTCAAATTTAATGGAACAAGAATTTAAATTACGTGATATTAACGAATCCATTTATTCTCGTTATACAATTCTGTCTGCAGTTTTGGTTTCAGCAATTTGTTTATTTGGTTTATTCCAAATTGTTTATTTCAAATGTTACTTGAAAAAAACAAAAGTTCTTTGATATTTCATTTATTGTTATTATTATTATTATTATTATTATTATTATTATTATTAGCATAACTTATCTTCTATCAACTATTTATTTCTCCCTTTCCTTTTCATTTTTTCTTTTCAATAATAGTTTCTTTCTTGGATTGATATCAAATAAAGAGATATAAAAGAATAATATTTATCTAGAATTTCATCAAACATTGAAAGTATTACTACTTCCTACATTAATAATTCCTACATTAATAATTCATACTATAACTAATGTACATTAATAACTATCATTATAAAAAAAAGCTTCTTGTATTCTATACATTTGAGTTGGATGTTCCTCTCATATTTTCATTACTTATAACATCTTGACAAATACTTTCCATTGCATCTTTATCAATTAAACTTCCAACATTTGAAAATGCTAAACTTGCATCATATCCTAATTTTATTCTTTGTTCAGTTATACCTAATTCTCCATAACTCAATGCTTTCAAAACATTATAATAACGGGCTATATTATTTCTAATGTTATTCCCAATATCCTTATCATTATTATCACTATAAATCTCCCATGAACTGGCTTCTTCTAATTTGGTAATTGATATCGATCCTTGACCTGGATTATATCCTTGGGCAGAATCTAAACCTGCTTGTGCTTTATTGGTAACTCCGCTAGTATTCACTTTATTGGCAGAATTATTTGGAGTCTTATATAACCATATGTAACCATTTATACCTAATATGACACTGACATTTCCTGGTAAATCATGAGTATGGTTTTTCAGTTTAATAATAAGACTCAGTGGTACTTTTAAGAAAATTCCATTTCTTAATTTACCATACTTTAATGAACGAGTATGTAATGACGCTGCCCCATTACTAAATATCGATTGAACTTCAGCATTTAATAAATCTCCTTCTTTTAAAAAATTTCTCATTTGTAATTCATCGCTTTCACTTTTTCTCCTTAATATCCCACCAGGTAAATTAACCGAACCCAACATTAGAATTGCATCTTGTTTACATCCAATATCAACTTTCCATCTCTTTGCTCCAACTTCAGTAATTCTACCAACAACATGATCCCCAGTCTCTGCTTCGTATCTTCCTCGTAATGGAATCACACTCAATAACCTATTAACCCTTGATATGTTCCCTGCAACACATGAATATGTCTTATCTTCAAGAAAATATGTACCGTGACCCTTCATCCAAATAGGATCATCAGTAACCAACTCCCCTGGTGTCACTATTGACTTATCCGATTTTTCATTGGTCTTACTCTGGGTGGCTCCTTCCTCATTTTGCATTTCAATATCGGAGTCAACGTCAGAGTCAATGTCTATGGCATTACTGCTGCTCGAAAGAGCAGGCTTGGTGATGCTGATAACCTCTGTCACGTCCATGCTTGTCGTATTCGAATCGTTATCGAAGATGCTGTAGAGGTTTATGTCTTCTCTGCTTTTTTTTCACTTTAAATTTTTAAGCAGTGATGACCTTTGTGCAGGTTTTCGATTTTGACAATTTTTTTTTTTTTGTTCATCTTTTCATTACAACTAAGTTCTCTAAAGTCATTTGGTGTTGATTTTCCCAGAGTAAAGACTTGGGAAGTAGATGTTGAATATTGCAAGACCGTATTTTATCAATAGTCTCCGGTTGAACTTGAAAAGAAACGTGAGTAAAGCATTTTATTCTGGTGTAAATAGAACTGATCGAAAATTAATAATGAGAGAAAACGATTTTAGTCCCCCAATTAACCGCTCTATGAGAGAGTTAGACCGTTCTTTTTTCCATAAGAAGGTTAATTTGTTGGTGGCATATTTCCCCAATCCAAAATACATTGGAGACTTTGTTCGTAATTGTCAACCTGATATACTAAATATTCCATCGGTGAAGCATATAGTGCCAGTGGAAGACTCTAAAGGTGTTTTATTAAGGAAGGAACTCAATGATCTCGATACTTATGAAGAAAAAGTATCATCCATGACCAAAGAAAAGATAAATGAATACAGCATCCAGATAAAGCCTTATGTCATGACTTTGAATTATGATTTTTGGAAAGCCGATGATATCCTTGGAGCCGTTCTACCAAAAAACCTACTTGACGAAGTACCAACAGGATATGCACAGGCAGGGCATGTCGCTCATCTTAACTTAAGAGAGGAGTTCAAACCGTACGGTTCATTGATTGGTCAAGTTATTCTCGATAAAAACACCCAAGTCCAAACGGTTGTTGATAAAGTGGGCAGTATTCATACTAAATTCAGAACTTTTGATATGAAAGTATTAGCCGGTAAGAATGACTTCATGGTTGAGCAAAATGAAAGTGGTTGTAAATTCAGATTTGATTTCAGTAAAGTTTATTGGAACTCCAGATTGAGTACTGAGCATGACCGTTTAGTCAACCAATTCAAAACCAAAGAGGCAGTGGCCGACGTCTTTGCTGGTGTTGGTCCTTTTGCAGTACCAGCAGGTAAGAAGGGTGTCTTGGTGTTGGCTAACGATTTAAATCCAGAATCCTATGCTTCTTTAAAAGAAAATATAACTTTGAATAAGACTGATGATTGTGTCAAGGCTTTTAACTTCGATGGACGTGAATTCATCCGTAAATCACCACAGTTATTATTAGACTGGCACAACTCTACAAAGTCAATTGAAAGAACTAAGGTTGTCAAACGTCGTAAAATTGATCCTGAAACTAATGAAAAAATAAGCGTAAGGGATACCCAACACACTCATATAGACATTCCTCAATTCTTTACTGACTATGTTATGAATTTACCCGACTCGGCTTTAACCTTCCTTGATGAATTTGTTGGCTTATATTCAGAGGTTGGTGAATCAATCAAGTCAGTTCCTGGTTTCAAATTACCTAAAATCAACGTTCATTGTTTCGAAAAATTCTCTATAGATGAAAAACCTACACCATCAGAAGAGGAACTACATAAGAGAATACATGCTAGAATAGTCAAGTTGATAGATTATGATCTTCCTTTTGATGATTGCAAATTCCATTTGGTAAGGAGTGTTGCTCCAACTAAACCTATGTTCTGCGTGACCTTCACTTTACCCGAAGAAGTCGCTTTCAAAGAGAGATCCCACTAATTGTATATAGCTAATAGAAACCGTTCATTGCGTATTAATTGATTTGGGAATTTGTGGTTGCAAATCTTTTTTTTTGCGGCCATGAAATTTTGTAGTCAAAATCAAGTCCCTGAGCTACTCGAATGTATCTCCAAAGACACTTGAAATACTATGCTGTCCTTACTATATGATGAAAGCGGCGACATTGACTATACTGAACTCACCCTGTCATATATGTCTTTTTTCACTCTGGAAAAATTCCAAAACCTTCTCAATACCACTCAAAATGGAGCTGCCCATTCTTCTTCAGGCATAGAATTATCTGTTCTTGTCAAAAATGTTATCACTTCTTTATGCTTTTGTATTATTCAATTAACTTTATTTTGCTTTTTCAGGACGATCTTCAAGTTCCTTTATCAGCCTAGGTGCTGTTGCGTACCGATCAGTCAAAGAATGGAACCACTTCCCAAAGGACTTCTAAGTTGGATTTTACCAACGTTGAAGAATGAGACCCATTTTTATTTAGCAATGGGACTAGACGCATATTTCTTTGTTCGTTTTATCAGTATTTTGCTCCTATTCTTCTTGAGTGTTGGATTTCTCAACATGTTTGTCTTGATTCCCCTTAATTTAACTGGTAAGGATTCTCAACATTCGGCAACTGGTCTAGATAGGTTGAGTCTCTCTAATATATCTGTCTCCAAAGTGGGCAGACTTAATGGTCATTTTGTCATGAGCTTATTAACTATTGTCTGTTTCCATTGGGTTTTGATTTATGAATTACAAAGTTTTGTCAGGATAAGACAGGCTTATCTTCAATCCAAAAAACACAAGTCACATCTCATCCATAAAACTCTTCTAATATCGAATTTACCATATTATGGAAAAGATGGAACTCTATTGAAAACAATTCTTCTGGTGATTCCAGGAGGCGTTCAAAGAATTTGGTATGTTAATGATTTTCAAGGTATCTGTACAGCAACAAAAAAAGCAAAAGAAGCTTTGCAGTATCTTGAGCAAGCAGAAATGAAGTACTTATGTGCATATATGAAAAAGTATACCGTGAATAATGACAGGAGGAGCATAGACTACAATGGAAGCAGAAAGACGTTGATTCATAATCCCACTCTCGCAGATGAGTCCTTATACCCTCTATTTTATCCACCGATATACTTACCAACCTTTAAACTACCTTATTCTAACACACTTCTTGACTTGAGGCTTCCTTCTTTTCTAAGACTTTTTCTATTTCAAAAGAGGGTCCACATGATAGACTGGTCTTTGCAACAACTCGAAGAGTGTCAAAAAACAATCGACCACTTCAAAATCTTACAAGCAGAAGATAAGTTGCCAAAATTAGATAAAGTCTTTGTCCAATTTGAATCACAAACAAGTGCTTACATCGCCCATCAATGTTTACTTTCCCAAATTCAGGGGAATTTAGATATCACTTCGATTGAGGTTCATCCTCACGACATTCTTTGGAGCAACCTACTTCATGAAAATTCGACGGTTTCCATTTTTGAAAAATATTTAGTGGTCATCTTATCAACTTTAATAATTATCCTTTATGTTGTACCGGTATCTTTTATAGGATTAATTTCTCAACTTCCCCTACTAACTCAATTGATTCCATCAATGAGATGGATCTATCGTCTTCCGGAAGAGATTAGAGATTCAATATCGAGTTTTCTTCCTGCAGTTCTTCTCTCCATTCTCACTGATATATTATTAATAACTTTCAGATGTCTTACTTACTACAAGCGGAAACTCACTGGGGCACAATTAGAGATTGATTTGCAAAAATGGTATTTTGCCTTCTTATTTGTACAACAGTTCTTAGTAGTGACTATTCTGACTAGTATTATAGTCGTATTCAAACAAATTGTGGAACAGCCAACTTCGATACCAATACTTTTGGCTGCAAATCTTCCCAAAGCTGCGACTTTTTTTTTTCAGTATATCTCTTTGAAAGCATTTGCATTTTGTGGAAATAAGTTTTTAAGACTAGATGAGCTCTTTCTACATTTTACTTGGTATAAAATCAAAGATATCACTCCCAGACAACGTTTTTATAGACTCATAACATTACCAAGGGTGAATTGGGGCTCAGTGTATCCAGTGTTTTCAGTTTACGGTTCTATTGGTTTAGCTTATTGTTTGATCTCTCCTTTAATATCGGTATTTATTACATTTATACTTTCGCTAGCATTGCTCTACTATAAGTACAGCTTGAAATATATCTACAACCATATAAATATTTCAGAAACCTATGGGAGACTTTATCCAATAGCTTTATTTAATCTTTATACTGGAATATATTGCTTAGAGTTTTGCTTAATTGGGATATTCTTTTCACTGAAGAATAATCAAGGTATTTGTCCAATGAAGATTCAAGGTACAATCATGCTGATAGTTTTACTCTTAACTATATTCGGTAATATTTCCATCTATCAACGATATGTGAATCATTTTTCATATTTACCTATTCTATCGGATAAAGATCCTTCAGAATTAGACCCAGGCTCTAGGTTCCGGTCGCCGAAAGAAAACGCAGACGAACTCTCATTGAATAGCAATAGTTTTTACCTGAATCAAGCTATGTTTTACTCACATCCATCTTTCAAGTATGAGAAACCAAAGATATGGTTACCTAAAGATCACTTATCCGAAAGCGACCGAGAAATCAAGAGATTAATCGAGAAAAGCTCTGTGCTTCAAGGAGGTTCAACTAAAGGAGCCAAGATAGAGGTACTTGAAAAGTTCAAAAAATTTCGTTTATCAGTCACAGAAGCTGCTCCTGATTATAAATAGATCATTTATAATCTTTATCTACTCGTTCTTTTATTCGTAAGCTTTTTAAGAAAAATTTCCAGGTTGTCAATAGCCGAAGTTCTTTAAATTGGACTTCCAGTTTATGTATCATGATCTTTCCATGAAGCCAGACCTTTTTTGCTTGAATCTCTTGCAGCTTCAATATAATAATTCCATCTTTTATAGGAACTGCATTACCTAGTTTTGACCTGAAATCAAATCCCACCACTACAGGAACGTAGTCCATTGCCTCTGCGAAAGGCGGGTTGCTTTTGTTCTTCTTGAAGTACCTGAATATCTTTTCTGAATCAGATAACTTTAACCAGTAACAGTCATCCGGTATCATCAGATCCTTGAATATCTCAATGTTTCCATATTTATTCCTAGGAAGCGATACTTCTCCTGTTTCAGAAACCGATACCTTTTCTTTAATATAAGGACATGTTTGATCAAAACTATACAACTTTGTTCTATTTAATTCGCTTTGATTGTTGAGCATGTTAGAATTGAATACCTTTCTTTTGAATATTGTTCTTGGTTGTAACGCGTCAGTCATCTTTATGGGAAATTCTATCTGATCGGGTTTGATTGATCTTCCCAAAAACTTCCATTGTTGCTCCGACTTTCCTATTATTATTGCATTTTTGAAATAAATTGGTTCTAACCTCTTTGTTTTAGTTATTGAAACCGAACCAATAGGTTTTGCGTTGTGATCAAGCACTTCATTATATCTCAATGTTGACTCTGTCACTATATTAGGATTTTTCTTCATACTTGAAAATGTCAGGGGAATGGAATAATTGAGAAAAGCAATTTCCCTTAACGTATCAAATTCTTTATAGTCTTCAAAGGTATAATTATGGTGCTTGTTGAAAGATCTTACCAAAGATTGAACCAATAATGCCACTCTACCACTTTCAGTTCTTAAGTCAAGTCTACCGAAATATCTATAACTGATATCAGATTTGTAACGAGGAGTGATATCTTTAACTGCATTATTGTTGGTAAAACTTATAACATAAGACATCGGGGGCATTATATTGAACCTATCGAGATTTGGTGCATATCTTTCAGTAAAGTGTTCGTTTAACGATAAAATTTTTCTTTGGTTTGAAGGAAATCTTTTCAATCTAATAAGTCGATCTTGTTCATTATGAAAGCAAATAGTTTCAACCACAAAAATTTCCAGTCGATCGAACGGATTTATCAATTCCGTCCAAAAATACGGGTAGAGGAGATCGTTATCCTTATTACGAGAAAGTTTCTCTTTGTCTAGCTTTGGTTGTAAATTAGCTGATCTTAATGTAGGTAATAGCATCAAAGACATGCATAGATTTGCTTCGAACCCTAGAGACCGTAAAATAGCAGTAAACACTTGAGCACCAGTATCCCTATTATGTTTGAATTTTTTAATCACGGAAATAAAATCATGAAGGGACCCTATTTTAGTATTGGCCGTGGGGAAGTAAGTTGTGGGATCACCTTGTGAAGGTAAAAATCCGAGTACTCTTAAGCCATTTTGGTCAATTTTGAAATTAAATCGAAACCACTTGATAAGATATTTTATAACATAGACCAACAATTTATCAGACTCGCCGTTTACTGTGTTATTTGTTGGATTTTTCATCAACTTTTTCAATGATTTATAGTTCGATTTCATGAACGATTCGGGAAGAAGACCTTTTAATTTCTTATGACATAACCTTGAACTAATCCAGCCATTTCTAATCCTTGCGTGGATTATATAGCATAATACAGAAAGATATTGGATACTTACCCGTTTCTGCTTTTCTTTTATAAGAGTCTGAAGTTTTTCACGCCTCTGGCGTTGCTTCTTTGCTTCATCAGAATCTTCATTGGATATTACAATATTGAAACTTTCTGGAGCTGCCGTCTCATCAATTAACCCGTTACTTACACTTGGTATAGGAATGTCTTCCCAGTCACTCTCATCACTCCCGTCACTTTCCTCTGTGCTTTCATCATCCAAGGAGGCAAAGAAGTCATTTACCTTTTGTCGTTTGGGACTCGGACATACTTCATCAAATTGACCGGTTTGCTCAAAGTCTGATTCGCTTTCAAACTCATCATTTTGAACGAATAGGTCGGTTGCTATATCATCTGAAAACATAAATGGAAGGAGATATCAACTTTCAATGCACTTTTTTTTTTTTCGATTTTTGTTTTGCAAAACTGATTTTTCACCCAATCATTATCTACAAACTGATCACTCTATAATGCTATTTATACTATTATACAGGTATTATTTAATCGTGGAAAACATTATACGGGTATTGTTTAATCGTGAATAACATTACTGATTTGGGTCCATTCGTCCATGAGCTTCCATTGGCAGTTTGGTGCAACCTTAGAATCGTGTCCGTAGACTATCAAGTCACCAAATTGAGCAACTGCGTTATAAGTGTTGACCGTAGCTAACTGCTCGTCACCCTGAGAGGTCTCTTCAGCTTGGTTCTGGTCAACACATTCAATTGATTCACTCTTATTAATTAAGAACCCTTTATAGCCAGGTGGGCCAAAAGAAACCGTTTCCCCGACCAACTTCAACCCTCTGAAGTGAGCAATATGCTCGTTTTCTCCACTAGAGTTCACCTCGATCGATTTCGAAGGAGTGAAGTACTCTCTGGTATTTGCTGGCCCGTTGTACTGAAGATGACATGGTACTAAGTTCGCTGTCAACACCGGTAAGGCCTCTTCCTTAGGGATGTTTATTGCATCGGGCATATCTCAGCTATCTCCTTGTTGTGTTGCTGATGTAGAATAGCTCTAATAATAAACGATAGTTTCATGAATTATGGGTACTAATTCAAAAGACGCGTTCGGTATGCCCGTTTTTTACACCCGTACATCTCTTTTTGACTGAAAATTTTCACTAAAGACAAGATCGATGACTACAGTCCCAGACGGGCACTCAGGGCTTTAGCGACTTCTTCCTGGTGTAGAAGCGTATCTAGAGGAAGTGGGCTGACCCTGTAGAGAGGTCAGTAAGGAAATTCTGGTCATATAAGTCGCAGGAAGAGGCCGTTGGGATCCCGAGTCACAATAAAGCTAATTTATAGGAAGAAGCACAATAAGGATGTACTTGAACCCATGTATCTTTGGATCGGGATTCTCATGTTGCATCAACGTTTATTAGTATAAGAGTCAGAACATCGGAATTCTGGGTGGGTTACCCAATTAGGCTGGTGCAAATTCCGTTGAGCTAAGCTTATAAATTCTCAAAGGAAAATGCCTCACTTAGTGCTATCATCTCATCGAAATTTTGTATATGTATATATATATCAGGTATAGGAGATTAGTAGTACTGCTTAGATCGAAGAAAGCAGGAGGATAGAATGAGTTCTGAACAAGAAAACCCACTTCAAGTGGTGGATATTAGCGAAATCAACCAAAGAACTGCCGATGAGTTATTAAATGCTGCAACATCCCAAGGATTTCTTTTCGTTGAAGGACATGAATTCACAGAAGAAGAAGTGGATTTATTATTCAAAGTATCCAAGGATTTTTTCGCTCTTCCAGCGGAATATAAAGAGAAATATCCAATCGATAATACCAATCATGGATACACCAATTATGGAGGAGAAAATTTAGATCCATCGCTGCAAAAACAAGGAGACCCAAAGGAAGCCCTTAATTTTTGTAACTTAGATTTCACTACTGGTGAGTCTAAAAGTAAAATTCCCGACTGGTTCTATGAAGAAGAAACTAGATCCAAGTTAGTTGAATCAGTTACTAATAAAATGTATAAATTATCAATCAAGATATTAGAAATCTTAGCACTTGCTTTGAAAATTGAAGACTCTGCCGTTTGTCCAGGTACTCAATGGTTTAACTCTCGTTACCAACCTGATAAACCTTCTGGATCAACATTTCGTTTCTTGCATTACCCTGGCCAAAAGTCCTTAAACCCAGAATCAGTAATTCGTGCTGGTGCTCATACCGATTACGGTTCGGTTACTCTTTTATTTCAACAAGAAAATCAAGAAGGTTTGGAAATTTATTCACCAGTGGCTAAGAAATGGCAACCAGTTCCTTACGTTTCTGCTAATTCGGCCAAATTCCCAGGTATGTCTGCTCCCATAGTAGTAAATATTGCCGATCAGCTTTCTTATTGGACCGGTGGGATACTTAAATCCACCATTCATAGAGTCAAATTTCCTCAGAAAGTTCAAGAAACTGGCCAAGATCGTTATTCGATCGTTTTCTTCTCTCATCCTAATGACGATGCTTTATTAGAACCAGTTCCTAGTGAAATTGTTCGCTCAGTTAAAAATAGGGGTGCAAATAGTGCTACAAATGTCATAACTGCCAAAGAACATTTGGATAAAAGATTAGCAGCCACTTATGGATGGTCCTATTGAAATAGTGTGTATTATATATTTGTAAAGTCTAAATTAATGTATTTATTGGTGTTCCATGTTAAGTAGTTCCGTGCGCATCAACAACTCTTATCAGGATTTTATTCCGTTCTTTGCAGTTCATCATAAAACCCTGCTTTTTTCCTTCTTTCCCCCTTAAAAAGACAGTATAGGGTTAATATGCGATCAAATACCCATGATTTCCGCTCCCCTAGAGTCAATCAGCAAACCTTGGAGCCTCGGATCACTCACAACATAGAAGATGTAATTGAAATAATCAATGATCAGGAGAAACATAACTTTAAATTGGGAGTATTTTATTTGGTAATTGCTATAAGTACTTGGATGATCGGTCTTCAATTGGTGAATAATGTTTTAAAAGGTAATGAATATGATAAACCAATTTTTCTATCTATGGTTACAGGATCGTGCTTCATGTTGAACTTTTTACCGGAATGTGGACAGTGGCTTAAATCGTTTTTCACTAATGGACGTGATGTTGATGAATGCAAAGTTGATCCACCGAACGAAACAACTCCATTGACTTTGGAGTCTTCAAACGAACCTCCGATTTTTCAAAATAAACCAGAAGAACTCACGTCTAAAGAAATTAGTATCCTCGCAATACAGATTTCTTTGATCTATATGCTTTATAATGTATGCGGTATGTCTAGCTTACAGTTTACTTCAGCTTCAAATCAAACTGTGCTTGGATCAACGACCACAATGTTCACTTTGTTTATGGGAGTGATGTTGAAAATTGATAACCTTACTCTGAAAAAAACCTTGTGTGTTGCAGTCAGTCTCTTAGGGGTAATATTTATCAATTTAAGTCAACATCAACCTGATTCGTCGGATGATGATCCTGATGACCATAACAAATTTGATCCAAAAAACCCTTTATTGGGAAACACATTGGCCTTATTTGCAGCATTTTTTTATGCGGTTTATTTGATTATAATGAAGGTTAAATGTGGAACTGGAGATAAAACAACTAATGAACGCAGACTTTTCGGGTTTGTTGGAGTTTTCACATTTCTATTTGGAATCCCCATTACAATGTTTGTCCATTTCGTCGGAATTGAAAAATTCGAATTCCCTCCTCCTTCAAATAAAATTTTAATCATGCTCTTAATAAATTCATTCTTCTCATATATAAGTGATTTCACTACAATTCTTGCTCTGTTATTAACGAGTCCTCTTGTTACATCATTGTCGTTGACCTCTTCAATCCCAATCACTATTTTCATGGACTACTTGATTATAAGAATAACTGGGGGTAATTCCTATTCCTCATCAAATCTTTATATCTATACTACTGGAATTCTTAGCATTTTGACCTCGGTGATATTAATCAATGTCAATATAGCAAATGAAAATGAATACATTGGTGAGGTTATAGAAGACGCTTTGCAATCAGCTATTCACAATGATGAAGTTTTATCACCATTACTAACACCTCTTTTAAGTTCTCCTTCTTATAATATTGCAAACTCTCCATCCCACTTGTCGGTGGGATTCAACCATCTTGCTTCCCCCAGATTTTATCAAAAGCAAAGTAAAAAAAGTACACCAGTTGCTGGATCGAATGAACCACAATTGTCTAGGAAGATATCTGGATTTAATCTTAATTCTTTGAATGATAATGCAAATCCCATCTCGTCTTATGATCCGAGCGATGAGTTATTGCATACAGACTTGCTTGTTTATGGAGGCGTTAATCATCAATATCATATTATCCAAGCAGATAAATCATCTAATAATACACCTGAAGTAGCACCTATGTCTCCATAGTATCCGGCTACAATAGTCATAGTTATTCTTCTAGAAATTTATTAAATATATACAATTAATAAAGCTAACTCCATAAAAAGATAATTAGTAAACATATGAAGAAATATTCTTCAATGTAAGAGTAATTAACAATAAGTAAATCTATTTCAATCTCTATTCATACTAGTGTGTAACTGATGCTCTTTCATGAACAAAGAACAAGCATAACCAAGAACAATAGTTGCCAAACTGAACCCAAATGCTCCCTTACAAGCCAAAGCATAAGACTCTTTAATTGCGCCTTGTACTAACTTTGGGGCATGATTGGTATAATTGGTATTTTCTAAAGCTTTGTTTATAATCTTTTCAGCATATGACCAGTCATCGGATATTAACAGATGAATCTTGGTGGTAAGTTGACTTTTCAAAACATTTTGAAAAATAGCACTCGCGATTGAAACACCCAACGTTGAACCGGTTGCCCTAAAAGTATATTGAATTGATGTGGTACATGCTTGATATTTCGAAGGAACTGCTGCAATTAAGGAAAGTAAAGTCACAGTTAATATACAAGAGTAACCCAAACCAGAAGGTAAAAGAATAGTGAACTGATCAAATATAGTAATATATGGAGTCATATTAAAGATACGCCAGACCCCAAATATAGAGATTATTCCAACCAATATGGTTAAGTTATAGTAACGACCGGTTCTTTTCATATATAAACCAGCACCAACCGAACCGATAGATACACCAAAGAAATTAGGAATTAATCTTTGACCATTTTGAGTTGCAGTAAACCCCATAACTGAAGTGTAATAAATTGGAACATAATATAAATACGTAAAAACGCCCATTGTATAGAACCAATTAGTTAAAGATGATGATAAAATGGTTCTTTCAGCCAATAATTCGATTGGGATAATTGGTTCATTAGAAACATATGCTTCAGTATACACGAACCCAGCCAATAATATAATTGAGAGAACCACTAATCCTATGAACGTCTTAGAATCATAAGCAATTTCACGACCACCTAACGAGGCAGCAGTAAGAATTACCATGAGAGCACTCACTAGAAAGAAAGAGCCTTGGAAATCAACCCGTTTCAACTTATCTTTGAATTCGGAACCATGAGCTCCCAAACCTGGTGATCCTTCAGGCAAGACTAAATTCCACCAGATCACAACACCCACAACGACTGCTAATGGGACTTGAAGGATGAAAACGTATTTCCAACCTAAATAATCAGCAACCAACCCACCTAAAATCCCACCAGAAGCAGCACCTAAACCGAAAAATATATTTGCCATTCCTTGATAAAGGCCTCTGTCGCGTAAAGGAATAAGATCAGACATGGTAATTGTTCCCAAAGTAGTTAAACCAGAACCACCCCATCCAGTGACAAAACGACCAATGACTAACCAAACCAAAGAGTCCGTTATGCAAATAGTACATCCAATTGCAAAAAAAGCACAACAAAGAATAAGCAAAATTTTACGGCCAAAAATATCAGAAAGTTTACCAAATAACGGTTGGAAAGCTGAACATGATAACAAGTAAGCAGTTGCAATCCAAGATATATTTGCCACAGCATTAAGATCAGAAGCAATCACTGTCAATAAGGTAGTCACAACAGTAGTATCTAGAGCAGCCAAATACGCAGCCATAAATAATGATGAAACCACAGTAAGGAGCTTTGCTCTTGGTAAAGCGTAATCAGAATCTGACGACTTATTGTTATCATCTTTTTTAGATCCTGGTAAGCCAACAGATCCATAGTTATCGTGCTCAGGAAGATGAAGGCTTTCTTCTTCGGCTGCCAATTCACCAGCTATAAAACCTGCCCCTCCGCTAGAAGCATCTCTAAGCACTGCCGGATGTAGCGAATGTGAATTATCCGTATTTCGCGAGGTTGACGTTTGTAGCAATGGCTGTTCTTCTTGATTTCCAGACATTGTGAGATCCCTAATTGTCAGATTATCCAAAAAAAAGACTTGATAGTTTTTTCATTATAACTGTGGTTGACATAATTTTTTTTTTATTTGATTTGGTGAATTTTTCCGCAGAATACTTATGAAGCGGAATTTTGATAAACACCGGCTTTTAAAGATAAATGAATATGAAATGAAGTCTATACTATCATTGAGGAGAAGCCCTTCCGAATTGAGTTGAAGGCTTAAGATGGGTTTGGCCAACAAAGTATCAACCATTTTGGTTGACTCATTGCAACCATCCGCATTGACGGATAAATTTCGAGAAGCGCATAGTTAGGATTCCTATGAGAGTGGTCCCAAACACATGTATGTTTGATAGGGTTAATGGCATAGTTAGGGGAGTAACCAGTTTAAAACTCGATTAGCTTTGAATGCTTGAGTACTGATGTAAAAACATTACAAAAAAAAATGATTTTGCCCAGGATCGAACTGGGGACGTTCTGCGTGTTAAGCAGATGCCATAACCAACTAGACCACAAAACCATTTCTTGAACGTTCATTCGTTTTTGGATTAGTTGTTCACTAGTATATTGATAGCAACAAAAACTAGAGATTTTTTCAAAAAATACAATCACGAGGCTTTTTTCATTAGGATACCTTTTTCCATATTCTCTCTTTACCATTTTTCCTATGTAGCTAGTATGAAGTGGGGTCTGCAAATATATACGGAGATTTTTGCCATTTAATAAATATTTATTTGCAGCTATTTTCCCTGCGCAGATCGAAGCACCAATTACTTCGGATATGGATTGAAGGGTTCGTTTGATCATTATTGGATAATATTTCGTCTTTGAATTTATAATCTGTGTCTATATCACTTTCGATAAACAAGAGGAGGCAATATAGTTAGATATGAGATCCATTCAACTTATTTTGAAGGCTTCAGCTAAATATCTCTGATAACAGAACATTCCGAAGAAACACATGAGTTGTTTGATAAGATTTGCTCACATGAAGTTAGTTTGTAGAGATGAAATTTTGTTATATTTTGTTAAATTCGGGTTAATTTTAGCTAAAATTATCTAAAATGAAGACATCTCTGTTATATTTTGTTAAATTCGGGTTAATTTTAGCTAAAATTATCTAAAATGAAGACATCTCTGTCATATCCCGGATTTTTCACATTTTTCATTTCTTCATTTCTGTATTTCTACATTTCTACATTTCTACATTTCTATCTCGAGTCAATCAAACGAGATCAAGCGACCCCCCATGTCTCCCTTAATTCAATTATGTACCTAATATCTGCTAGAAGGTATATAAAGATGAGTTCATGCCATGGCCGACAGACTAAATATCGGAAGGCTTCTTGACTCAAGAATTGCAAGAAACCAAAGCATTCGAAAAAGACTCATTCCATGTCATCACCGGCTGCCAGAACCAGCTGCCAGAACCAGCTGCCAGAATCAATGACAAGAAGCTGCCATGAGAACACCTGCACTTCTCAAAAAAGTATGCTCAAGAGTCGACCCCAGATAGACACCCGCTCCGTCCTTATTCCTCGAACAGGCAAATCTCCGGCTATTTCTCTTACGGTCGAACGTGAAATGGCTGTAAAAAATTCAGCTGCTTCAAGTAGTAATCATATGAAGTCGAAAGCGCGGAAGAAGCAACTTCCCCCACTCACCCATTCCATACAAACTACACTAGGTTCTTTTGATACGGCCATCTAGTTCATGGACAACAAGAGTCTACGACCACTAGATGCAGCTGACTCAACTAATCTTAGAGCAAGTTTCATTGAATTGGCAATATAAATCAAGCAAAGAAAAAAAAAAAACAAGCGAACACCAAAAAAAGATTGAGGTAAACTGAGCTTCTGATTTTTTTTTGGAGATTGTTTTTTTTATACCACGGGTTTTCACTGTTTTACTCTTCCAATCATCCATTGGACCTAGCGTATAGTCCAGCCCTCCAGCCACTGGTAACCTAACTATTCATTGAATTATCCATATAAGTTGATTGAAGCCCAAATCGATTTATTTGATTTAACCGCGCTCATATACGTGTTAGCTGAAACCCTGGTTAAATAAACATCAGTATGGAGACTTTGGAGATCCATTCGAAGGATTTCCTTGTTAAGTGGGTTCATGCTTCAGATAATTCCTTTATTGATTGGCAAGTCAAACCGTTGAAAAAATCCATCAACTTTGCTATATATAAGAAGAATCTTGAAGATGAAGGGTTTGATACTGCAAGTTCGGCAACTTTAAAGAATGACGATACTCAGACCATTAATGGGTCCTTCAAGCAGAGTCACAAGAATGTTGATAGTCCTGATAACCTTGGTCGAGTTTCTGCCGCTGCTGGAGCAGCTGCAGCCTTGAACTCTCACCCAAATGGTAAAGCAGTGAATAATAATTCCAATAATACAGCAGCAGCTGCAGCAGCCGCTGCTTTACAACCACCACATCCTCCTAGAAATAGATTGAGATCCAGCTCGGTTGCTTCTGTCAACAAGTTATCCGAACTGAACTCTTATAAGTCAAAATCAAGATCAAGCACTTTTTCTTCCAATTTAAACAGTTCTGACTTGACTCTAGTTCAAGATTACAACAAATTGGTTGCTGAAGAGTTAGTGCATGGTCAATTTGAAATTCAATCGGGTGGAATGTTTGCTTTCATCTTTGATAACTCTTTCTCTAAAACAACCGGTAAAAAAGTTTTATTCAGTTCCAAAATTATTCAAAATACTTCAGCTTCGTCTTCTCCAAATAATACCGCTTCTACGAATAATCCTGTTCCCCTTAGACGCAATTTGACTTCTCAAAATAGTCAATTCGAGCTTGGCGGGGGTCATAACGTAGCTTTCCAAACTTCCCAAACAAATGAAAAATTGGAACCCCATATTAAATTTCAACCTAAAAATGAAAAGAGTGTTAATTCTGTTAATTCAAGTCCTTCTGCAACTGTCCCAGGAAACAACAATGACATATTACCAGGATCTTACACTTCGGCATCTGATCAACCGGATAATGTAAATTTTGGATCCGGTAATATTCTTCGTCCTAAAAATGGTGAATTATTACAAAGTGTTTTGTTAAAGAAAAGACGTAAGAAGTTACAAGGTTTCACCAAAAGATTCTTTGTCCTCAACTTTAAGTATGGTACTTTATCTTACTTTAGAGTTAATGATAATAATTTAAGAGGTCAAATGCCAATTAAACATTCAATTATTAGTGCTGACGCTAAAAAATTAGAATTGATTCTTGATTCCGGTATGGAAATTTGGAATCTAAAAGCATTAAATCAATCCGACTTTGACGCTTGGGTTGATGCTTTTAATCAAGTTAAGCAGTTCACTTATACAGACGATTCGGACCAATTACAACCAAATGGTGTATCTGGAAATAAAACTAGTGATGATGCATATTATGATAACGATGTCGATTTGGACGATAAATCATCTTCTTTCGTTAAACAATTGGAGGCAATTAATCATAAATTAGAGCGTTTGAAATTAGAAACTGCCAGTAGCTCCCCAAACGCATTGGCTTCAGCAATTAACGGTATTTCAAACGATGTCAATTCATTAATCATTGACTTCAAAGCTAAAAAATCAAATAAAAGATTAACCAGCGTATCGAGAAACGATGCTGTTTCAGTTTTTTCAAGTAACGATTTCTATGATGCTCAAGATTATATCGATCAAATGAATAGAGGAGTGGTTCTTATTGGTGATCAGAATGATCAAGTTGATGATTCCAATAGAATCAATAATTTATATGTCGATGAAGAAGATGAAGAAGATGACTATGGAGAAGATGGAGATGCAGGTGATGATGCATCATCTTCATCTTCATCTGATGATGATGAGACACCAAGCATCATTACTGGTAATGATAGCAAAAAACAAATCGACGAAAAAGATGTGGTTAATAGTGATGATAACTTATATCCATTGCCTCATAGCCCTGTCAATCGTGATTCAGACATTCCAATTTGTAATCATGAACCTTTGAGTATTTTGGGTATTTTACGTAAAAATGTGGGTAAAGATTTGACATCTATTCCTATGCCAGTCGAAATGAATGAACCAGTTTCAATCCTTCAAAAATATGCTGAGCTTATCGAATATTGTGACTTAATTAATAATGCTATCAGTGCCAATTGCGTTGAAGCTACTGGAGAGAAAATATTACGTATTGCGTCATTTGCTGTTAGTTATTTATCATCAATGAGAGCAAAGGAACGTAATTCACGTAAACCATTTAACCCTCTTTTAGGTGAAACCTTTGAATTAGTTCGTGAAGATTTTGGTATACGTTTAGTAAGTGAAAAGGTTAGCCATCGCCCCCCAGTTTTTGCAATGTATGTTGAATCGAACGACTGGAATTTAAGTTTCAGCCCTGCCCCAGCACAAAAATTCTGGGGTAAAAATGCTGAAATAACCACAAAAGGTAATGTCACTTTATCAATTAATACAACAGGAGAAATTTTTACTTGGAATCAACCATCCAGCTTATTGAAAAATATTATCGCTGGTGAAAAATACTCCGAGCCTTCATCTTCAATTACTGTTAAGTCAAATAACGGTCAAAAAGCTGTTGTTGAATTTGCAAAAGGTGGTATGTTCAGTGGACGTTCGGAAGATTTAACAATTAAAGCTTTTGACGCCCATTCTAAAAAAGAATTACCTTACACAGTTGAGGGTAAATGGACCGAAACTCTTACTTTGAAGACAAAGAGCACCGAAAAATTAATTTGGACTTGCGGTAAGTTATTACCAAACTCACAGAAAAAGTTTGGTTTTACTGAATTTGCCGGTACCTTGAATAAGATAACCGAACTAGAAAAAGACCAATTAGCACCTACCGACTCCAGATTGAGACCGGATATGAAAGCATACGAAGGAGGTGACTTATCGACTGCAGAAAGAGTGAAGAATGAGTTGGAAGAAGATCAACGTCAACGTAGAAAAGTTATGGAAAATGAGGGTAAAGAGCATGAAGTTAAATTTTTCCATCATGTCGGTGATGGCGGTCCTGATTCTGGTGAATGGGTATATAATTTTGGTGAAAAGAGTTACTGGAATAGAAGAAAGAATCAAGATTGGGACGATCTACTTAAATTATGGTAAACGTAAATACTAAGCAATAACTAACTAAAAAAATATATATTATATACATATTACTATTATAGTTTAAGGTTTAATCTTTCCTCGGAGTTACTTCGAGAAGGAATATCGACTATTTCAGAGGGATCATCTAAAGCCCCCGTTGCTAACCCAATTTCAGTATTCATAGTGCCACTAGCAAACCCACCACCAGGTGAATTTATGAAGCCGAAACCATTCTTATTTTTGAATAATAGAAATTGAACTTGTTTTCTTAAACTATTAATTAAGACTCTTTGTAAATTTAATTCATCTTTCATCATAAAATTATCATTAACAAGACCATTCAATATATTTTGACGATCATTCAGGGAGGAATTCTCCCTATCTATGAAAGGAACTACTCTTTCATCTAATTCATTCTTCAATCGTTCCAACTCGTAATTGATATGTAGATATTTATCATTCAAAGAAGATGACCTTATATCATCATTCCAATCAGTAGTAAACCTATTGATTTCTTCTATAGGCTCACTGTAACCTAAATTTGTGATTTTCCCTTGAATAGTGGAGTCCAATATTTTATTAATCTGTTTCTGTAGAAAAGACGTTTCCGTCGTTAAGCTGTTGATTTTTTCATTCATTTCATTCCAGTGGGGTAAAATTTGATACAATTGACACTTATTACTTTGTAAATGTATTTCCAAAGCTGTATCGTTATTTCCAACCCATTGACATCCTATGCTTTCTGCTGGACAAGTTATCTTACCCGTTTTCAAGCAATTTTCTTTGTGTTTATCCATATTTTTTTGTAGAATCATATCATTCGAACATAAGTCACAAGTTTGGTAATTGAATAAGCACTGTTGGCTTAGATGATCTTTTTCACTGATTTTAGTTACTTTTGCACTGCAAAACTGACATTGGTATAGCTTATGGATACATTCATTATTCATCTTTTCTTCTATGCTCTTATCATCTTGTGAAGCCAAAAATCTTCTTTCAACGACCATGCTACAAGAATCTTCTTTTTCTTCAAGCCCGGTATCATCTGTTGTTTCGTTTGTAGTCACAGCATTATTTCGAATACCACCACAGCGAACCCCTGTGAATCCACATTCACTAACGACGTGACGTTCAATCTCCCAACGACAACCAGTCCATTCACAACCTCTTTCGTAATTCAAACATATCACTCGCAAGTCGTCAATTAGATTCGATATAATCAAAGGCGTAGGAAATAGATCGTTTATATTAGTCGAGTCCAAAGGTGTTCTATCCAAGGGACAGCATCCCTTCAAACTATGTGATTCACTTTCATGAGTTTGCCTTATGTTCTCTTTAGACATCTTGAAACATTCCAAAATACATTCTTTACAAAAAGTATGGCCACAGATGGTTGTAAATGGATTAATAAAAGGCTGTTGACATATAGGACAGTTGAGGTGTTCCGTAGGAGATTTGTAAGTCACATTTCTGTAATCTGGTTTATCATCTGAATCAATTAGGTTGAAACTTGTGGAGTAGTTCTTTATTGTAAGTTTATCGTCATACTCCACAACTAAGTTCTTCATTTCATCACTTCCCATTTCTAAACCAAAATCTTCCGCTATTTTGAGTCGAGACGTCTCAACTTCGACCCCATGGGTAGCGTTTTCTTCCATATTGGCCTTTGAACCTTTTAATTCAACTGTTCTTCACTGAACTCCAACTCTTTATCAATAGTTAGTCTCCATTATTTCTGGTTATGGCACTTACTCCCCGCTAAAAAATGGACAAAAAAGAAAGGTCTTACCCGGATTCGAACCGGGGTTGTTCGGATCAAAACCGAAAGTGATAACCACTACACTATAAAACCCTTTCTATAACAGAAATTCGTTTAGATAAAATATTCAGACGAATAATTCAGTTATGAAAAGGTTCAAATTTGCTTAAAAAATTTTCAAATCAACGAGTGTTCGTAACTAGTGGCATTCCAATGTTGCTGTATCTTAAAATATATAAGTATTAATTGTTAATTTGTTTTGAAGAACATTTTTTTATTTTTTTTTATTTATCTATTTGTAAAGATCAGAAGATATATAGAGTTGAATACGAGGAAAAGACTTAGATCAAGCTAAAAAACCGTATTGATTAAATATTTGAAACGTAATTCAGATAAAATACAAGAAATCCAGAACTCTCCGATGATATTAAAATCTGGGTCGACTAGCTCGACTAGTCCATAACCAAACTAGGTTATCCAGTATATTTAAGACAATGATTTAAAGCTTTCTGCTACTGGCTTTTATCTTTATCGAATAGCTTTCAAGCATCTTTATTTGAGCTTCTCCCCAACCCTTATATATTGGATAAGTGTATAAGTAAGTATTATGAAATACCGGCCAAAAAAGAATACTCGAAATATTGAGGTCTGGTTGCTTTTAGAAATATAGAACTTACATTTAGTTAACGATTCCCACCGCTTTGTATGTTGTAAAACTAGATAGAAAGATGAAAAGTTGAAGGGAAAGCGGGAAATCTTCGAATTAAAACACACTTCTGGGATTAGGCCAATATGTTGATTTCAACGGTAAAAGATTTTAAACCCTATTTCAGGAAAACACTTTTCGCAGCCAAAGACTCATAATTTAAGTTAGACATTATCAATTGAGGTACTTTCTCACTATTCATCTTTCTTACAAGGAGATGTTATTCTAAATTGTTAGGTAAATTAATATAACCCATCACTCTGAGCACATATATATCTATATAAATTATAAAAGTAGAGGTCACAAGAAGGGCACGGCAGCTCCATCACCCCTTAGGTCGGAACCACCAGAATGTAATAATTTACCAGATTTTGATTCATTTTTTATAATTTGGGCCCTGCCAAAAGTAGATCGTTCATATCCGCTAATGACCTCTGTCGAATGACCTAGTTTTTGCAAATCCTGAATTACATCTTCTGGTATACCATCTTCAAGTTGCACTACAGTGACTTCTGTGGATGCCGGACCACCACCACCACGGCCGGTGTCGATTCCCAGTTCTGAAGGACGAAGAGAGAAACGAGGACTATCAATTGACTGTTGAGGATTGAGTTGAAACAAAGTTAAATTCAAAAAATGAATAACATGACCAACCGGTTGAATAAATCCACCCATATTACCATAACTTGCAAAAAAGTCGTTTTCCAAATTGGTGATGAAGCCCGGAATAATCGTGTGATATGGTCTCTTACCCCCCTCAAGGCAGTTGTTCAATCCCGAAGTTAAGTTGAAGTTAGCTCCACGGTTGGTCAAGCAAAATCCGAAATCATCAACAAGGATACCAGATCCAAATCCGTAATAAACAGAATTGATGAAGGAACAAGCATTACCCTCAGAATCGGTGACTGATATATAAACCGTGTTAGAGCGATGATGATGGCCTGGCAAAGGACTTTCAACAGTAGCCAAATCCAAGGCTTTATCGGGATTGAATAGTTTTGCTCTTCTTTGAAGATTATCTGAAGACAAAATTTCTTTCACAGGTACATCATCAAATTTTGGATCACCAATGATTTCATCAGCGTCTTTGAAGGCGATTTTCAAAGTTTCGATTAAAAGATGTAAATATTCAGAAGAATTATGCTTTAAAGTTGATAAATTTATTTTCCCCAAGTTATTGAGTTCTCTTATTATTCCTAAAGCTATGAGTACAACTAAACCTTGACCGTTTGGAGGTATTTCCCAAACTTTATAATCACCAAACTCAATAGAAATAGGATCAACAAAAGTTGATTCGTGCTTAATTAAATCTTCTTTCGTGAGCTTATGATGTTTTGCATCAGTGGTTTTGATAATTGCGTCAGCTATTGGGCCTTCATAAAAAGCTTTTTTACCATTTTTTGCAATTAGCCTAAGTGCATCAGCCAAAGGTTTATTATCAATGAAATCTCCTTCCTTTGGTGCTTTACCATTCAACAAAAGAGGATTTTGCAAAGGATCAACCTTTGGATTTTGAGATATAAGCTTTTTCTCACACTTATTCCAAAGATCAGAAGCAATTTCATGAACTCCAAAGCCATCGTTAGCCAAATCAATGGCCGGTTGTAAGATTTGTTCGAAAGACACCTTGCCGGACCCCCATTTCTCAAAAGAATCTTGCCATGCTGCAATGGCACCAGGAACCGTAATGGAGAGAACCGATTGATTAGGAATTCTTTTCAAAGGATTACCATTATTCTCAAGATCGAAAACATCTTGTATAGTCAATTTTCCAGCAGCTCTTCCACAACCATTAATCCCTTCCACTTTTTTAGACTCTTTCAGCTGAAACAATACAAAACAATCTCCTCCAATCCCTGTGGAAGTAGGCTCAACCACACATAAAGCAGCACTAACGGCGATCGAAGCTTCAAGAGCATTTCCTCCAAGTGATAATATTTTAATCCCGGCAGCACTGGCCAATGGCTGACTCGACGCAACTATCCCCCTGGTGGAGTAAACTGTGGATCTCCTTGAGTTGAACTTCAAGAAATTATCACTCATGTTCTGAAGTAGGAGTAAGCAGTAGTTGGTTTTCGGAGACACGGAACTTATTGAAAGAGCAAATCACAACTATTTATATCATCGAAAAACTGCAAAGTCTCAATCCATTGACAAAGGGGAAAGAATAGCAGAGCTCGAGGTTTCGTATTTCAAAATTGATAAGATTGTCAAGACGGAATTCATCAACAATCTTTCCTAATGTGGATGCCAGAAACGCCATACTTTCAAATGAAATCCAATCACCCTTCAACAATAGTCGGACTACCAACAGACAAGAGGTATCTTAAACCGGTAAACCGTCTTCTGAGGACATAGAAGCAATCAACGTTGTTGATTTGGTCCTTTTTGGTCCCATTGACCATCAATAGGGAAAAACCCATACACCAACAGTATTTTGGGACGCGTCCGATTATCAAAAGGCTTCAAAAGTGAATCAAGAGAAGGATACTTGAAGAATCAACAGACCATGTCACGTCGGAGACCCAGAGGCTCTCGGATAGTTTACGGTGACGAAGACGAGGAGGAGTTTGGGACCCAGCAATCGCCAGGGGGCAATGAAGCGTACGGTAGCGAGCACGAAGAGGGAGCTGAAGAAGGCTCTAATGCCCAGTATAGAACAGATAGCGTTATCGGAGTAGTTAGGATGATTATATCACGTCATAGCAAGTACCAGATGGTGCGAAGGGAGCATATAAGCCAAGCCATCAACCAGGTTCTGGGAGAAAACGGACGAGAAGACGGGCATAGATCAAACAGAGGACCCGGATACAATAAGTTGGTATTGGATGAGGCTAAACAGGATATGAAGGAGATATTCGGTATGGATTTAGTTCACTTGCCTACGTTGAAGGGGGATAGTGGAGAGGAAGAACCAAATAAAAGAAGAAAAACGAATAATGATGGTAAGACTAAAATCAGTACTAAATCTAATGGGAGTATGGGATTAGTGAGTTGTTTAACCCCCAAGGAAAAACAAGTGTTACAAAGACTATACACTGGTAACTTGATTAGTGAAGTTGATAATGAAAGAAATACCAACGATGCACAATTCTATTTACCGAAATACTATAAGCTGAACACTCCTTCAAGCAATATGGAGTTGATAAAAATGGGGATAATTCTATTGATTATTGGAATACTTATCATACAAGAGAATCATATTAACGAACAAGATTTAGTAAAGATATTGAAAAAATTTGGAATCAGTGATAATCTAAATCATAAAATCCCCAATCTCAACATGAACTTGACCGAATTTATCAATGAGTTAATCAGAAAAGACTATATAATACGATCGACCCCCAAGAGCAAACAGACTGAAACGACTAATGGTAGTTTCAGTCTTGGGGTCAGAACGTTCATGGAATTAGACCCCAAGTCCATCTTTGAAATCATCAAAGACATTTACGGAGACAACTTTGATCTAGACACCAAGAGGAAAACAGTGGTGACCATCGAAAGAACCTACGGAGAGTCCATCCAGTTCCAAGACGAAGCAGAAGAAGAAGCAGAAGGTCAAGAAGAAGCAGAAGAAGAAGCAGAAGGCCCAGAAGCAGAAGGTCAAGAAGCAGAAGGCCCAGAAGCAGAAGGTCCAGAAACTCAAGAAGGCTCAAGATAGATCAACAAGGCAAGAACCGGCCAAATTAATGGCCGTGATGGCCGCACATGTTAACGATACACCAGCCTGTGAATCTGAACAGTGGGGGGTGGAGCCTATCTCAGCAGAGATCATATGAGATAAACATCTTTTCCTTGTGAAAAATTTGGCATGTCCGAAGGTGGAATACGCTCACCTTGTGATTTTCACTGCAAAACAGCAGCTTCGCTCACATAATTTAAATAGCAGTCTTCTAATACATCTTCTTACCATCGTAAATACAACCCCCAAGTCTGTAAGCCAGCAAGTAGTTGATTTAACCTGGAAAACTGGAAAACCACTGGGTAAAGACTGTCAAAACGGAACCAAAAGAAAAAAAAAGACACGGAAAAAAAAACACTCGTTCCGCTGAAGAAATTATACGCTCATAAAAATCTATACGATCTGAAAGTTTCTTCCAAGACTAGTACTACTTTCTTTTTACTGAATTGATATCAAGAGACTTGTTTTATAGCCTAGCTTATTTGGAGAGGACCGGGCATCAGGACAACATACTGCTCTAGATAATTAGTTGAACATTTTGTTGAGAGCACAAGGTACGAATCAATATGGCTTTGGATACTTTAGATTTTACAGTAATGATTGCCATTGCGGTGGCAATGATTGCATATTTTGCAAAGAATAAGATATTTGGTGGCGATGGAACTTCTGCCGGGTTTACTGCCAGTGTTGGAGGAGAGACATCTAGAAATTTGGTTGAAACTTTGCAAAAAAATGGAAAGAATACCATTGTATTCTTTGGATCTCAAACCGGTACCGCGGAGGATTATGCTTCTAAATTGGCGAAAGAACTCAGTTCTAAGTTTAATTTGAAAGTTTTGATTGCAGATTTAGCTGATTATGATTATGAAAATTTTGCTGATGTCGGTGATGATATTTTGGTGTTTTTTTTGGCTGCCACTTACGGTGAAGGTGAACCAACTGATAATGCAGTTGATTTCTTTGAATTTATAGATAATGAAGCAGATAACTTGTCTTCTTTAAGATACTCGGTTTTTGGTTTAGGTAATTCTACTTATGAATTCTATAACGCTATGGGTAAAAAAATTAATACTAGATTAGAAGAATTAGGTGCTGAAAGATTTGCTGAATATGGTGAAGGTGATGATGGTAATGGGACTATGGATGAAGATTTCTTAGCTTGGAAGGATTCTGTTTTTGAATCTTTGAAGAATAATTTAAATTTCGAAGAACATGAAGCAGTTTATCAACCAAATATTGAATTAACGGAAATTGAAGAAATGCCCCTTGATGATCCCCATGTTTCTAATGGTGAACCAAGTAAAGCTTATGTCACCAAAGCTAATACCGATTTAACCAGGGGTCCTTTTGATCATTCTCATCCTTATATTTCTAAAATCACTCACACTAAAGAATTATTCGAATCAAAAGATAGATCTTGTGTTCATGCTGAATTCGATTTATCAAATACTAATTTAAGATATTCTACCGGGGATCATATCGCTATTTGGCCAAGCAATGCAAATGAAAATGTTGATTATTTCATAAAAGCTTTTGGTTTGGAAAATAAAGTTGATGTTGTTTTTGAATTGAAAGCTTTGGATACTACCATTACCATTCCTTTCTATACTCCTATTACTTATAGTGCTGTCATTAGACATCATTTGGAGATCTCGGGTTCAATTTCAAGACAATTTTTATCTTCAATCGCCCAATTTGCTCCTGATGAAGAAACTAAAAAACGTACTTTGGAAATTAGTGGTGATAAAGCTTTATTCGCTGAAAAAATTCATGATAATTATTTTAATATTGCTAATGCTTTATTATATTTATCAAATGGTCAACCTTGGTCAAATGTTCCATTTGAGTTCCTTATTGAATCAGTTCCTCACTTACAATCTCGTTATTACTCAATTTCTTCGTCTTCTTTATCAGAAAAGACAAATGTTCATATCACTGCTGTTGTTGAAGCAGAAAAACATGGTGACCAATTGGTAACCGGTGTGGTCACCAACTTATTGAAAGATATCGAAATCAATCAAAATAAATCATCTGAAAAACCAATTGTTACTTATGATTTAAATGGTCCAAGAAAATTATTCTCAAATTATAAATTACCTGTTCATATTAGAAGATCAACTTTTAAATTACCAAGTAACCCAAATACTCCAGTTATCTTGATTGGTCCAGGTACTGGTATTGCTCCAATGAGAGGTTTTGTTAGGGAACGTGTTGCTTTAAAGAAGAATAATGATGCCAAAGTTGGTAAAACATTATTATTTTATGGTTGTAGAAATGAAAATGAAGATTTCCTTTACAAAAATGAATGGCCAGAATATGCTAAAGTTTTAGGTGAATCCTTTGAATTTGAAGTTGCATTCTCTAGAGCAAATCCAGCTAAAAAAGTTTATGTTCAACAGAAGCTTTTAGAAAGATCTCAACAAATTAATAAATTATTAGAAGATGGTGCATATATCTATGTTTGTGGTGATGCTTCCAAAATGGCCAGAGATGTTCAAAACACTTTATCTAATATCATTTCTGCTGAACGTAGTGTTAGTGAAGAAAGAGGTCATGAAATTATTAGGTCTTACAAGGTTCAAAATAGATATCAAGAAGATGTTTGGTAAGCTGTATAAATTCAAATAATTATTTCAAAAAAAATTGTTCTTCGTTAAGAGTTTGTTTAATAAATAAAATAATATATCTATATACAATTTAGTAAATAAGAAATATTTAACTAAACCTAATGTAAGTCGTGAAGAATTTTACAAAATAAAGATTGGAAAAAGTCAAATATATTATTAAATGCTAAAGAGATCAGATTCAAAAAGAATTAATCACATATTTAAAATAAATGAATACGAGAAGATCAAGGAAAAAAATCATATATATTATTAAAAATTTATGAAACGAATTAAAAAATTGATGATAAATGAAGGAGTATGGCAAGTCGAACGGAATGGGTAAAGGTAATGCTTGTTAGGATTATGTTTCCAAATTATCAACTGAGTTATCACGTTTGATACAGTATCTCCAATTTGGATTTGAAGAGTTATAAATACTTTGTAATTTTTCTTCAATATCTAACCAATGCTTATATTTTAATTTTGATTTTAAATCCAAATCATAAATATTGCAAGTTAATAAGAATTTACCATAGTTTTCAATGGTGATTAAATTATTAATATTATTTTGACTATTATGAATATTATTATATTTATCGTATTTTTCAAATTTTATGAATAAACCGACATCTCTTAAAGTCATAACCAAAGATAAATTTTGAGAAACATCATCAATTGAAGTTAAATTTTTAATTAAATCATTTTTATTATTAATTCTTTGATATTCTTTTAATCTTTGGAAAACACTATTTGGATTACTTAAAAATATTTTAAATAATTGTTTAAGTGGTATTCTATTAATTTCTTCAATGGTAGTTAATAATTCTTTTGGAATTACTGAAAAAATATCTTCTAAACCTTCATCTATTGTTTCTGGATAAAGTAAATCAAGTGGACAAAAATGTCTTGAATAACCTTTTAAAATATTCAACAGACAAGTTCGACAATAATTTGAAGAAGTATTATCATATAACCATTTTGGTTTTATTTCAAAAATTACCAGATCAATTTTATTATTTGTTGAGAAATCTTTTAATGAACTTACATGATTAATTATATTGTTACGATCATCATTAACAATATTTCGATGGGGGTGATTAGGAGAATCTGGCTGTTTTGTATTGGTAGGGTAATTGTTATTTGTTGTCAGACTATTATTCAAATCATTAGTAGGAATTGTATCGTTAGAATCATTTTGATCAAGTTTATGACCATTTATATTATTTTGAGAATATTCATTTTGAAATTGATCATCATAATTGAAAGGATTATTATTACCAATATAAAGATGACAATTTTTCGATAAAAATTGTTTTGTATAATTCCCATCTAAGATATTTGGAATTAATAAACCATATCTTTCCTTTAACATGAGTTGATTACCATGATTATCTAGTTGATTAACAAAATCGGTGGTCAATACAATTAATTGAATATCAATGATTTGTTGAGGAAATAAATGTTTACATCTTAACTCGATGAAATCATATAATTCACACGTCGAGATGTATTGATCGTCTTCTTTCAATAGACGAACTCTTAATAGTTTATGCCTTAAATAATCATTATTCCCAGTATATTTGAATAAAATATTCGCATTACCCTTGGCAAAGTAGATCCAGTCATTTGGTGAAGTAATTTTTGAAATTTCCATTTTAATGCTTGATTCATATATGACTTGGAATAAATAGAAAAGAGAACAATAATGAAATAAAAATTGTATCTTATTATTAATGATCAAGGCAAGGATCAAAATGTTCTTAAAAAAATATTAAGACAAGGGCAAAAAAAATAAATGCTTTGTAAAAAAGGCAACTCTTTGGAAGAAATGAAAATTAATAAATAAGGTCAAAGCTATTTTATTGATCTAACACTCCCCCAAACCAGATGATTAATGTCAACTTCAACTTTTCTAGTGACTTTGAAACAAAACAGCAATAACAACAAGTAAATGGTTATAACAAGTGATTCAATTGATCTTAAGCTGATAAAAATGGCAGTATATTACAGATTAAATCAAAGGAATACCCAAAAGGACCAAAAAAAAAAAATTTTATTTTTTTACTGAGTTTTTTTTGTTTGTTTGTCCGCTGCTTCTCTTTTTTTATTTTTTTTTTTTGTTTTCTGAGTTTTCTTTTTGTTTTCTGAGTGTTTTTTTTGTTTTCTGAGTGTTTTCTTCGTTTTCTGAGTGTTTTTTTGTTTTCTGGGAGTTTTTTTTGGTTTCTGGGAGTTTTTTTGTATTTACTCAGTAGGCAATTGAATTTTTGTATTAGTATTCACTCGGGCAATTGAGTATAGTAGAATGTACAAAGACCAGCTTTGGAGTGGGAACCACGAATAACCGAACAAACAAGCGAAAATGGTGGGCAAAGATGGAAAACAAAAGGATACAAGGGCGGATGTAAGTAAAATAGGAATTGCAGACCTCAGCACAAGAGCGTTAACTATATTTTCAATCAGAAATTTCCACAGCAGTAAAACTGGCAGCCAAATCAGTCACTAGCAGCAAATCAATCACTAGCAGCAAATCAATCACAAGAGTCAATCACTAGCAGAAAATCAATCAGGAACTGGGAACAAGCTCCAAGCGCCTAACAATCGAAATGGTCAAGACACCCTTGATCGTGAATGACAACCTAGCCCAGTTTCCAGGTTTTAACTCTCCAGGGGTCGGCGCCTAAACTAACAATAGAGCGAACACCAGTACACACCTATCTTCTGGAATTGGTAGCGGGACTGCAATCGCTGGCTCAATGACGATGACTGAGCTGATGATTACCTCGTTCAATGGGGTCTTTCTAGATTACCGCCGTTGATTGGGAAAAGAAAAGAAGTGGGAGTTTTTCAAAATGCAAAAAATGCTGCAACCGCCGACTCCAGAAAAGGGAAACGGGGGAGGGACACGACCGCTCTATGGACTTGTACCGACTTTATTGAAGTATTGAAGTATTGAAGTATTGAGTATTGAGCATTGAAGTATTGAGCATTGAAGTATTGAGTATTGAAGTATTGAGTATTGAAGTCGAAGTGTATTGAAGTCGAAGTGTATTGAAGTCGAAGTGTATTGAAGTCGAAGTGTATGGAAGTGTATTTGTATTGAATATTGTATTCTATTGAATGGCTGAATTTATCTGTGTAGAATGGCTGAATCGATTTGTATCTAATGGCTGAATCGATTTATATAGAATGGCTGAATCGATTGATATACAATGGCTGAATCGATTGATATACAATGGCTGCATCGATTGATATACAATGGCTGATTCTCTTTAGTGACGGCTATGTAGTGAATGCTACTTATTAATTGTTCATTGATTGTTTGACTAGGGTGCACCATTTGCACAACTACGATATACATGACTTGAGCTCGGTAGTTCGAAATCCGGACAACGATAGAATCTTCACAAGGAAAAGATGTATTGAAAACTGAATTCCAAGTATAGAAGCAGGTATCGGAAATTCCTATCCCAAAACCACCACTAAGCGAATCTACGTCAACCCAAAACGGTGAAGCTTTACAACGCTTAACAAACTTTACATTGTTTTGATGTCAAATTACGAGATACCATGCAACAATAGTGTTTATTAGTTATACAAGTTAATCTCTATTGGTACGATAAATATCTTCAATTTCCTGTTTGCTAAATATCCTTTCATTAGCAACTACTCGGTCGTTATTGACAAGAAGCTTACCTGGGCCCTTGAATTTGAAAAAAATTGGTTTACGAGCGAATAAAGCAAATAAACTCAATCTGATTGAATGCAAAAAACGATGCATATACTTCGCCCCGGTAGATAATGTCGACTTGAAACTCCAATCGTCAACCAATTTCTCAAATTTATCATCAAATGATACCCTGAGCTTATTAAAATTAGTCGAAATCAATTGCGGTAATCCCATTTTCGTGAAAGGTGTTTTTAAACCACTCCAGAATCCCATTAAAAGTTTTTGTAATGAAATCGGTAATATTTCAAGAAACTTAGTATTTCTACGTAATATTTCAGTTTCAAAACTTGACATGGTAGAGGCAATCAATGAATTTGGATTAAGTAATAACGTTTCATTTTCTGCCAATGTAATATCGTATAATTGATTTGATCCATTAACAACTATTATACCTTTACCTTCGGTCTTGAAAGAATTGAACTTATCCAACCATCTCGTTGGCGATAACTTCATATTGTACCCACTCCACGCAATTAAACTATCATCGTTCAATATAGTCCAACTTTCTTTATTATCTTCAATCTTTATTATTGAATAATTTTCAATATCATAGTTACGATGACTAGTAACCCCATTAACAATCAACGATACCGCTCCGTGGGTAGTGATCTCTTCATACCCGGTCTTGGCACTCAATAATTTATGTTCAGAGGTCATTTGATTCAATTCTCCATTGACTGCAATAATCGACCCATTTCTAATACTAAGATTCGATGATTGTGGCAACGTAATGTTCAACAAATTACTAGGTACCCCCAATGGCTTGAAATGTGGTAACTCTATAAACGGTCCTCTACCTGTTCCTTGTGGTAAGTTAGAGTTAGATAATTCTTCACTTATATCATGACTATTAGCTGAATCACTATTTAATACTCGACTATGAACTCCAACATTTCGAACCTGGTTCAGCACTATCCCCCTGAAATACCTATTCAATCCTCTTCTAATCATCTTAATTGAACCGGCAATTAGGTAAAATACTAAGGAAAAAGACTATTACTCGAATCTTGCTGTTGTATATATTCGGTTTTCCACTCTGGTTTAAATCGCATTTTAGAAACAAAAGCCCATACGGAGAAAAAAAAAAAACGTTATGGCGAATCGGACGACTGTGATGGGCTTACGGAATATTCATTACCAGATGCTTTTGGCCGGCGATAGATGCTTAGGAATTACGGAACACAGTTATGTGTATTGATGAATAAATTTGCTTTACAGGTATTACTAAAAAACATAAAACTCTTTAATGCTCTAAAAAGAAAAAAAAAAAAACAGTATATATAACCTTCTATTTAGGCAACATACTCTTTAAGCCATTCATCAGTTTCTTTGAACTCCTTCAAAGTTGAGTCGCTTACCAATGTAGAATCAATTTTATTGGCAGTTTGGACTAATTGGATGAATAAAGACCATAATTTCAAACCAGCATTGAAATCTTCATAGTATTGCGAAGATCTAATACTATTAATCCCATTAACATTTATATTAAAGGAACTGTTATTGATTTGGAAAACAGTGTTCAAAATATGATCGTGCCCACTTTTGACCAAGGTTTGTTTATCTAAACTAGTAAATTTTTGTTGTTTTAAAGTATATTCTAGGAAAATCTCTGCAACCACCCCCAATAAAGTATTATCGAGATCTTTGTAGAATGGTAATTGGTCAATTAATTCATACCATTGATTCTTATTTGTATAATTGACCTTGATGTTGTTGTTTTCTTGACGAACAATGAAATCAATTAAAACACATTCCAAATTATTAATTAAGTTTGATTTAATGAATTTCAAGTGACTTCTAAAGTTTAACAATGAACGAGAAATTGGCCCTTGATAATTAATTGGGTGGACATTAAATCTATGAAGTGAAAAGACCCTGGAAACTAAAGCAATTTTATTGAGTTCGTCATTACTCAAACTTACATCACTTCCGGAATCTTTGAATAATTTTGGAACACTAGTGAAATCTTTGGAAGACTGATTCAATTTGACAGTGTTGGATTTGATTAATAATAATAAAATAATCAATTCCTGAAGATAGTCATCGTTCAATTCATCTTTATTTTCTTTGATAAATTCAGATAATATGTGACCAATAGAACTTAATTTATTTGATTTGTTATCAATAATCCCAAAAGAAAATAAGGTTCGTAATAATGATGTTGAAATTATATCTTGATTGTTGATAATTTCTTTATAAAATGGTGTTTTAGAAGCTGGATATTCTTCTTTCAAGTTTCCGAAAAAATCAATTAAATCAAATGCTTTATTCGAGTCACCCCCAGAATATGATATTAGATGATTAAGAGTTTTATAAATTGGTTGAGGTAATCTGTTGTTCAATTCAATCACTTCATCTTTGAACCAATAACTGACTTTAATTTTTTTAACTTGATAATATCTTGTAAGTAATTGAGTAATTAAATTAAACTGTCCATCAACTAAATTACTATAAAATGGTGATGTGATTAATCTTTTATAACCATCACTCAATCCACTTTCTGGAGGTGGTCTAATATTCAAAAAGCCTTGGGTTATGGCACCTAATAATGAAAGTGGAACCAATCCAATAGACTGATATAAATATAATTCTGGTGGTAATCTTTGAGATATTATATCATGAATATCAGTTGGAACTTTGATAATTGGCTTTTCATCTTCAGAAGTCTTGTTTTCAGCATCTCTATTTTTAGCCTTAGCTAATTCATTTGCTTCGGATAATGTTGGAGTCTGTGATTGTGAGTTATCAGTTGATACTACATTACCATTCTCAAGTTTTTTACCATCAACCAAGTCAGATGGATTAACAAATCCTAATTTAGCCATTTCAATAACGTAGGGTTCAACATTACCTTCATCATTTAAAATTGGCAAATACTTAAGAGCGGAATGTCCTTTCATGTACAAATCAAGCAATTCTGGGTCATTCAAACTAGCAATATATCCGTGCAAGTCTGGGGACCCACCATTGAAATTAATGTATTGAAATACAATATCAAGACCCAACTTGAAGTAACTTAATTGGGGATAAGGTTGCACTGGGTTAGGTTTAGGTAATGGTGGGAAATTAGGGAAAGTGACTGGTTGAACACTACAACCAACCATGATACTCAAGTCCAAAAATTGGCGTTCAGTTAAACTCAATTCATTCAAAACTTTAGTTTTGTCAACAAACCTAAAATCTTTTGATTGAAATTCCATTCCTAAAATAAATTTATTAACATGAGTCAATAATAAATCAGTTGAACCATAAATAGAATCAATAACCTTATTCTGATATAAGTATGACAATTGGAAAGACGAGTCATATGGACTTATAAGGTAATCAATACCATTTGCAATAAATTGTTTAATCAAATCATTTATCATCGGGCTAATTGGCAATGGGTCAGTGAATAATCTAAAAGATTCATTACTCAGATTGTTATAACCGCCATAAGGATTGGAGTTTTTGGAATTCAATTTATTCCAAATAGTTTCTAAATGTTGTTCTTGTGGTGAATATTCTTTAGTTTTATAATCATTAGCCTGCAATTGAATTTTCAATCCTGGTATAACAAAAACCGGCTTTATATTGAATTCTTGGAAAACTTGTAAATCGGATTGAATATAATCATTCAATGAACTTGGAATTCCTCCTATACCGGCTAAAAACTGTTCTTTTTTGAAAGTATAGATTCTACTCAAATAATGTTCCACGTCAATACCAATCGTAGCATTCTGTAGGATTTCAATCGAACTTGTGTTAACAAGTTTTCTTTCAAACAAGTATGATTCAAGTGATTTGATAGGCATCTTCTTCCCTGGCTCTTTGAATCTCTAACTGGCTTGAACAGGATGTTGTGATTTTTAATCTCTACTTATGAATCCACTTGATCGAGTCCATTTATTGAAGCACACGCACGACCACATTTTTCACTACTCTCCGTATTAACGGACCTTCGTGAAACACAGCCATACATTAATATTATAAGACTTGAAGTTATATTACAGAGGTATATATATATATATATGACTTACAAGTTGAACAAGAACAGGGGGAGGTGTTGAGACCGATATGGCTGTAGGCAAATCAAAAGCAAAAGGACATGTTCAGGAGAGGGAAGCTTCAGCTTTCATCTCCGAACAAGTTATTCAAAGCACCATTTTCAGTGTATGGATCGTTCATTATATCAATGGCCGCATTCTTCTTCTTTCTAGCTATTGCAGCTGCTTCTAATTGTTTTTTTCTATCTTTCAATTCAGAATCAGCAGATGCGCCACCGCCATTCAAGTTTTCTTTTGAGATCTTGATAAGCTCGAGTAATGCTGATCTTTGATGTTTCAAAGACTTGGAACTTACCAATAAGGTCTCGAAATTACTGACATGTTGAGTGGTAATATTTGGTAAATATTGAATTAAAACCCTAGCAGGATAATCGTTTTTAGATCTTAAAGTACAATATAAAGTAGTTAAGGCAATGGCTGCTTCGGAATGAGTTTCAACAAAATAGTCATCTGTCAATACATGAAGCAATGACTTGATTAAATTATCACATAAGTATTTATCAACTTCATCATCTTTCAATAATATATCGGAAAGGATATTTCTCACGACTAAAATGGTATTGAATGAGCATTTAGTGTCTTTGAATGAAATGATATGACAACAAATTTGCAAGAAAGGCGCCATTACTTCCTTATTTTCAATGATTAACCTTTTACAGGCAAATTGAGTGTCAGTTACATTCTTAGCATTAATCTGACTAACGACATCCATTAACAATCTTACAACAGTAGCAGTTAATTGTCTTAACATATGTTCTTCCATCATTTCTTCTGATAATGTTTCATCATCTTCGTTACCTTGTAATTGTAAACCATTCACATAAACTTTTTCCCATCTACCAACAATTAATTGGTCAATATCAACGAAGGCTTTAGGTAATAACTCTGCCATGAAGATATCAACAAATTTGACTGGGCAGTTTCTTACAATGCTCCTTAAACAGCTATTGATCATATGCTTCCAGCTATGTAAAGTGACACCACTTGTATCACCTGCAACAGACTTCCAAAGCATCTGTGCAATTCCAGGAATCTCATATAAAGTATCTTCTAATTGTGATAATGAACCAATAGTTAAAAAGGCATATTCTCTGGTATAACGAATTAAATGTCCCACAGAGTCGGCAAAATCTCGTAATGTAAGAGCTGCTTTCACATTCTCTTCGATAAACGTCTCTTTACTTTGAATTGAAACACCTTGTTGCCAAAATCTTTCCATGCAACTATATCTAACAAATGATTGTACGGCATCCGGTAAATCTTTCCAATTTTCCGGATTATGATAAGCTTGAATTTGACTCAATAACTGTAAAATATGAGGTATAATGGGTTGAACTCTAGGTTTCCATAATTTTAATAAATTAAGATATTCTGAAGAATCATGACTTAATTTTTCTATACTATATTGAATAAATATTCTTGTTGCTCTTATTGGGAAAATAGAAGACCAATGATCCTTCAATCTATTTTTCAAAATTTTGCCTTCTTCGTCCATTTTTGCTTCTAGCAAATTAGTGCTTCCCGTTATATTACGACTTTGAAAATATGATGCAATTTCAACTATACCCATTCTTTCCATGAACCAATGCAAGTCCATAAGACCTTTTTCAGTTTCTGGTGCTGACCAAGCCAGTAATTCTGGATCAACAATTGATGCAAATAATTCATCCTTATCATCAATTGAAGATCTTGATGCGATCACCAATAAAAATGATTTAAAGGCAACATTTTCATGATCACTCACTTTATTAGACGATAAAATATTTGCAACAACATTTTCTAAATCTTTGAAAATTTTCTTCAAAGATTCTGGCATAATATAAGCAAGACGATTCAATTCAGTACCACAGCTTGTCCTCAAGTCACGAATTAATTCTTTTTCTTCATCTGAAATATTCGCAGGGTATTCGAAAGTAGCAGTTGTTAAGATTTTTTCAAGAACTTGAAACATGAGAGGACTGACATCTTTCAATAATGGAGCAAATTGAACCAATGTTTGAACTTGTTTTCTGATAAGTAAAGGACATGATAATCTCATTGCCAATAATCTTTCACCTAAGCTTTCAACCAATTTATTTAGACGATCGTTAATTAAATCAAAATCATCACCCGTATACCAGATTCTCCACCTCGAAATACCTCTTATGCTATTTTCAATGATATTAAATTGAGAGTTCCCATAATTCAATGCATCTGATTTTTCATCTAATTTATATGAATTAATACATTGTTCTCCTAAAGGAGATGAAAAGAAATTTTGAAGTCTATTTTCTAGCCACATTAATCCGTCTTCGGGTTTTTTGCAGATAGTGATCCTGACAATATCTTCATTAAATTTTCTATAGTTTGAAAGGAACGAGTTAGCATCTGGAGTTGAATCAAAATCAACTTCTAAAAATTTTTTGGATATATTTTCATCATCCACGTTACTATAATTTATTGTTCTATTTGCAGCGATTTCTAATAAATTAAGTAATATTTTTTGAATTATTGGTTTTGAGCTTAGCTCATCAAAACGTAATATGGTTACCCACATTTGTAGAGATAATCCTGATATTATTAAACTTGGATGGCCTGTTGTACTTAGGACTAAATTTAAATAACTTTCAACATCTGCAGTTTCCCATGAAATTTTATTTTTGGAAGGTAAAGAAACATTTAGATATTCACTTAGAGAAACAATCATTTCGACGGTTTTTTTCAATAATGAGTAAACTTGTTCATCAACATCTTCAGGATCTATTTCCAAAGATTGATAAAATTGAGATAACTTAGTAATTCCTTCAGTTGTATATATATTACCAATGAAGAATTCAAAATCATCTTCATTATTATAACTTCTTGTGAATAAGATATGTAAACAGTCAACTGCCAAAGTTTTCAATTTAACATCGGGAATAGTTAATATGTTTATTAAAGTTGATAATATATTTTCATCTTTTAATAAGGAAGGTTGAATCCAATGCAAACAAGTTTTAAAAGTTGATAAAATTTTAGGAACAAATATTTGACAAGTTGAAGATTTAAAATCATTATTTGATAAAATTTCAATTAAGAATTTACTCCAATTAACAAACCAACCATCAGTTGAAAATTTACATAAGGATAATTTTGGATTTGGTTCATATAATTGATTCAAGACATTATCAGGGGTAACAATCAAAACACTAAGTTGATTAAGGAGAGCTGTTCTTTTAGAAGCAATTGGGTCATCTAATAGATAAATATCTTCAAATAAAGTTCGAATGATTATTAAAGATAATTCACGACTGGTCATGGTTGAATTCCAAAAATTCCATAAATCGCAATCCAAAGAAGTCCAACCACTTAATGAATCATCATCATTTACTGTATCATCATTATTTTTAGAATCAGAAGTTAAAGATTTCACCAAATAATTACCCCAAATTCTTTTAGCTATTGACACAAATAATAGGGCAAGTTTTTCTTTTATATAATGGGGATCAGCCTCATCAACTTTAGAACATAAATCAACAACCCATTTTCTAATTGTTAGTGATTTTGTTTGATCAAAAGTATGAAATTTTTTATTTATTGAATTTTGTAATAATGATAATCCAAAATGTCTTACAATAAAATTCTTACCGTTATTTTCTGGTAATGATAACTGATAACCCCAAAATGGAGATTCTTCATTGGATTTAATCGTTTCAAGAAAAGATTGTGCTTCTCGTCTTTGAATATTAGTTGACGAAGGAGCATAAACAACCTCCAAGGCATTTATGATTTGACTGACTCCATTACTATCCATTGTCATCTGATTTAACTCTCAAGATTCAAACTCCTATGATCAGTGTTGGATCTTTTCTTTCAATGAAAACAAAACAAAAGTGATTAATTAAGTCAAATAAATTAATAAACTCACCAATACAACAAAACCCAAACAAAATTGATGATGAAAAAGTATCAGATTGATATAGATAACGGAAAAGAAAAGGATCGTTGGTCGATGAATACCGGTAGTTAGTTGGGCGGCTAGTGAAGGGTTTTAGCGATGCAGATGTGAAAAATTGTCAATACGGACTTCACTATACTCAAAAAAAAGGCGCTTGCAACTCCAATTCAATTGTCAAAGCTAATTGGCTGGCTGGGTCTAACAGTTTGTTGAACGGAACGATAAGTAAACCAACTTTGACTCAACTTTGATGGGTTTTCTATTAATTAAAAGTGAGCTCTTTTTTTGATGTGGAAGGAGAGCCCGCCTTTCTCTTTTTCTTCAAATCTAAACACGTTTAAATTATGTGCAGGTATACACGATACGAATGCCTGGGTGCACGGGTGGGAGCCTTGATTTGCAACTCCATCTCTGTCCTACCATGTTTAAACTATCTGTCTGACGTTATACGGGTAGGGCATACGTATGGTGGGAATAAGTGTGGGCATACGGTGGGCGTACGGTGGGAATACCGTAGGAAGATGAATCTATATAGTTGGCAAAGTTGGTAATCTACAGATTGAATAAAACTAAAATACATTGTAATGACCTATAAGTAAAACTTTCTCTTATCACGTTCCATGTCAGGTCTGTGTTCCCACTCGACTTCTTCTCTGACACCACGCTGTAATCTTCTTAATTTCAAAGTGAACTGAGGGCCCAATTCTTGAAGACCGACTTTTTCTTCGTTTCTAAAGACGTATCTGTGTCTTCTGAAAAAGATGAAATCTCTTTGATTGTGTAAAGTGATCACTTGTCTTCCGACAAGTTCGGGTTTGGGAGGAAAAATTGACTGGAATAATCTACCAACGGTCTTACCTAGTCTGGTATTGAAATTATTTAAAATCAATTCCGGAGTATGGTCGGTGGCACGGCCATGTCCAGCGATTTTTTTCAGTTCTGTTAATGAAGTTATTGAAAAATAGAAGGTGGGCCCTTCTGGCAAATGAATAAATGTAATACCGGTGACTTTTTTCTTGAATTCGTTTATAACAACCAAGTCAGTGTATCCACGATTTTTGCAAAATTTAGCCATATCCTTCATACTGTATTCTCTTTTCCTTTTAATAAAAGTGACATTTGGAAGAAAATCCATTAAAATATCGGCAAATTCATATGCTGGCTTCTTAGCATATTCACTGGTTGTTAATAATATCTTGGGTTCTTTATTATCGGCGAAAAATTGTACAAACTCATCTTCTCCTTCCAAGTCTTCACCAATGGTTTCGTCGTACACTCTTTTCGATTCAATAGTATCAGGAGCATTATTGGCTATTCTTTCTTCTTTTAATTCTGGGTTTTCTCGTTCTTCTTTAGCCCTTTGGGATCTTAATTTATGACGGGCTTGTTGTTTCTCATGCTTGATTTCGGCGAAAAGCTTTTGCCTTCTATGCTTGTTTCTTATGTTCTTCAAGGCTTCACTAGTCCTACTATCATGTTCTTGTTCGGACATGGTTAATAATTAGTTGATAAGGGTAGTAATCATCTCATCTCAAAAAATTATTAAAAAGGAAAAAAAAAAAATCAGTGAAGATCCGTGGTGTACGGAAGTCGGCTTTGAATAAATAAGTAAATAAAAAAAAATAAATAAAAATTACGTCCCTTATACGCTGATTCAACTACCCATGATAGCATTCCGTACGTTCAAACGGTACTCGAGCCAGTTCGCCCCTCAATTGAAAAGCCAGGTGAACGAATGGTCCAACCAAATCAAAAAACAGTCGTGGAGCTTCCCCGATAACTATTCAATTGGCCAATTAGTAAACTTGAATCAAGCACTTCGACTTATATTCCCCCAAGTGAAACGGGTTGATCTTAGTCAAGCAGGTATACCGATTGGATACCATTTTATTTATAACAACCAACCGAATACAGAATTGGGGAAAGACGGGTATGATAACTACCAGGCACCATTAAACCGCGATCGAGAATCGTTATTTGAAAGAAGAATGTGGGTTAATGGATATATACAATTCCATGAAGAGAACTTCAAGATACCTCTACTGACTCGAACTACCTGTAGGGAAACGATCAAGTCGGTTCGAGTAATAGAAAGCTCGGTGTTTGTCTCGGTCAATCGAGAATTCATCGATGATAAAGGAACACCAATCATAACTGAGTTAAGAAGTTTAGTTTATACGAACGACGAATACAAACTTCCTGAAAAGGAAAGAAGTTTGATTAGTATTGATCAAGAAGATACTACAGTGCCCTTTAAGCTTAGTTATGATGATATCAAAAGGTATTGCGCACTTCTGTATAACGTTCATAAGATTCACCATGATATCGAATACTGTCAAAAAATTGAAAATTTACCTGACGTAATAGTGCCAGGTCCATTTATGGCATCAATTATATTAACGGTTTTCAATTCTCTTTACACTGAAAAAATTAAATCAATCAAGTATAAGAATGTTGAACCGTGTTTAGTCAATACCAATTTGCACGTGGTGATTAAACCCATTGAACAGAATTCAAAGTATAGATTAATGATTGCTAACTTAGAAACCAATCAAATATTTATTGATTCAGTTGTCAATGTCGAGACAACTTAATTCGGTAATATCGTACTACCTCCATACCATGTAATTACACGGCACCAACAATTTCAGGACCACCTGGGTACCTTATATAAATAGTAGTTAGAAATCCTATAGATATACCGTATAGATAAGCAGCTTATAAAAAAATAACCGTTGAATGAATTTTTCTACCTTATTAACAATTGCAGCCAGTTTAACTGTAGTTATTGCAGAATCCTATCCAGTTAAATCATGCAATCTCGATGATTTGAGTTACTCGTGTTCTACTTCATCATCTGAAGATACTTGTTGTTATGAAAACTATGGGGTTATTTTACAAACTCAATTTTGGGATACCGATAACGGGAGCGATGAAAATGTCTTCACTATTCACGGATTATGGGATGATAAGTGTGATGGAAGTTATGATCAATACTGTGATTCGTCATTAGAACTTAGTAATCTGCAAGATATGGAGCAGCTAATCAGTGAAACTTTTAATAACCCAGATTTATATAATACCATGTCACAATATTGGTTAAATGATAACGGTGATAATTCGGAATTATGGATTCATGAATATAATAAACACGGAACTTGTTTCAATACTATTCAACCTTCTTGTTTCACCGGGGATTATAAGAAATACGAAAATACCGTTTATTTTTATGAAAAAGTGGTTGAAGTTTGGAAAACTTTACCAACCTATGATTTCTTAGAAGAAGCGCTGATTGTTCCATCAAATGATAAAACTTACAAATTGAGTGATATCAAACAAGCTTTAAAAGCAAAACACGGTGGGGAAGTTTACGTTGGATGTACTAATGGGGCAATCAATCAGATTTGGTATTACTTCAATGTCAAAGGAAATGTCTTAAATGGTGATTATAAACCAATTGACAGTCTTACCGATGATGGTTGTAGTGAAGATGTTAAATATTTACCAAAATAGACTACATATATATTTAATACATCAAATCATATATTACTTAAATACTTAATCAGAGATACCGATAACCCCACAAGCTGGTCTACCACCGGCGTTACCAGTTTTTTTGGATTCAGCATGGCCACCTTTACCTAAATCATCGGTACCAGCGTGAACAACAACAGTTCTACCCAAGATAGAGTTGGCACCGAGTAATTTAACCAATAAATCTTTCTTGGTACCTTGAGCAACACCAGAAGCGTCAGTGGTGATGTTACCTAAATCACCAACATGACGTTCGTCATCTTCTGGAGAACCGTGGGTTTTACCAAATGGATTGAAGTGAGGACCAGCAGAAGTACATCCGTTGGTGTTATCACCAAACTGATGAACGTGGAACCCACGTAAGGCATTGGCATCATTACCTTGGATATCCCAAGTAATGGTGGTTGGTTCGCCTTCAGAAACTTGTTCGAAATTAACAACACCAGAAACTTTGGCGTCTCCTCTTAAAACAGCAACTAGTAATTGTTAGTATCTATTCAACTGTTCAATTGATATAACCCGCTTACTATGAGCAAAATACATAACCAAACTATATGAGCAAAATATATAACCAAAATAAACATGAGCAATTTCAACTACCTAAAAAGTCTCATTGGGTCCTCTGGGGTCAATTGGCCCATCAATTGTCATAGCTGCAAAAAATATACATACCAGCTTTAACCATGATGTAAATATCTTCTTAATTAATTGAATAATCGAGTAGAATAAAGAAGGAGGAAATTCAATTGCTCGAAAATTAACTCCAAATTTATATTATACTGGGATTACTAAGGATAACCTGAAAAAATTCTGGCTAGAAAGGTGTGGGAATACCGTTCCCGCTTTAGAGCAAAAAGCAAATTAAGCCGCCACAGGCCGGAGATCGACAGAAACCCCCGTACCTCAAAATTAAAACCTCCGTACATTCATCTTCCTCCTATTCTAAGCTTCACAGATAAGCTTCACAGACAAGCTTCAGACAAGCTTCAGACAAGCTTCAGACAAGCTTCAGACAAGCTTCAGACAAGCACCAGACAAGCTTCATAGATAAGCATCGTTCAGTTCAAGCCGGCAGGTACGCGAGAATATACAGAAGAAAGGCAAAGTATTTATATGTCTGTTGTAAAGTTTAGTGGTTACAGGTTCAGTGGAGTAGGGCCACCTTAGCGGTTAAATCACAATATATTACTATACACCATCGAGAACTTGTTTTGCCTGTAGTCTGACTTGCTCAATGGGAGTGTCGACCAGTAGGTACACACGGTGCTGGTTCAATAGTCTGAAAAGCTGGGGTCTATCCAAAGTATCGACCAAATGGCCAGTTTCTGGTAACCGTCTTTTCGGTTTGGGATTTTTGGGGGGAATGTCCGGCAAACGGCTCATTCCGTACATCCCATAAGCAACCAGGCCAATGATAAGAGCAAGGTAGATGAAGAACCCTTTCCGCTTCAACTTATTCATCCATCTGTCGAGAAACGTAATCATCTTTTAACCTCTTGAATAAAGAAGATAAAGCTGATTCCGTTTTCCATGGACCCAAACACCAGAGGGCAAAAATGCGTCATTATCAGTGGAATCCACCCCCTTTCGCCATGGCTATATAAAAGTAGGATATTGCCATTAGTTTGAAACTCAGCTACTCTTCTTTTCCATAAACCAAAATGTCTGATTTTAAAAAATATATTGTTACTTTGAAAGAAAATGTTAGTGAAGCTGATGTTTCCACTGTTAAACTGAAAATTGGAGAGTTAGGTGGGTCCATCACCAGTGAATTTTCTCTTATTAAAGGTTTTGTTGCTAATCTTCCTTCAATTCACTCTTCCTCTATAAAAGAACATGAACATGTTGCTAGTATCGAAGAGGATAAAGAAGTTTCAATTCAATAAATAGTCTAGTGTAACTCGACAACTGGATTGTCTAAAGTCAATTATAATAGATACAGTATTTGCAGTAATTTGATTCTTGTAATTGTATAAAGTTTGTATTTGTAGATTACTAGATGATTTTTGGAGATCCAACATTGACCTACAACACTGAATTACCCATTGAATTGAAGTAAAGCAACCACTAACGACTCCCTTTACGGTAGCAGCTCTGAGGTTCCAGTCAAGGGTGCGTGCAGGAGCACTATCAATTTGTATGGTAATAGCCCCAAAGTACCCTAATACCCCGTGTTTTTCCTCCTTAGTGGAAATTTCTATATATAAAGTAATTCGAATTTCTATATACGCTTTCTATTAATTGTCATTGAATAGTCAATTGCAAAATGTCAACGTCTCAGAATGCTGCAACCAATTCATCTTATGCTGCTGGTCCAACATTAGATGAATATCCTCAAATTAGTTATCAACCAAATTTCAAACCGGTTGACCATCTTTTCCAAGAAAGATTACGTCAATTCACCGATACTGGTGGTCAGTATCCTGAATTGAACTTACCTCATTTCTATGATATCGATAGAGTCGATACTAACACTCCTCATTTAAATATTAAGGTTTGGAAAGTCCCCGATGGCCCCAATGGAGAAACCGAGCGTCCTTTATTCAAAGAAATTGATTTTGATAATATTGATTGGCAAGATGCAAATAAAGGTAATTCTTTTGGTCCTTCTTGGAAAACTTTTTGGTTTAAAATTGAATGGGAAATTCCTTCGAAATGGCTTGAAAATAAAAATTTAAAGGAAATTCATTTCCAATGGGATTGTAATAATGAAGGTTTAATCTATTCTAAACACGGTCTTCCTTTACAAGCTTTCACTGGTGGGGGAGAACGTACTGTTTACTCTATCCCCAAAGAACATTGGTCCTCGAAAAAACAATTATATTACTTGGAAATGGCCTGTAATGGTATGTTTGGGACTGGGGATAGTGGTCATCCTGATCCAAATAGATATTTTAGATTGGATAAATGTGATTTGGTCTTACCCAATGTTGATGCTCGTAGATTATACTGGGATTTTTGGATCATTGGTGATGCTTCTCGTGAATTAAGTGGTTGGCAAAAATTTCAATCAAATACGGTTGCAAATGAAATTATGAATGTTTTCGATCCAAATGATCCCGATTCGGTCTTAAAAGGTAGAGAGTTGGCTACTAAAATCTTGGGTGACAAAGTCGACCTGGAAGATGTGTTTGATGACGATAAAAGAATTGACGTTTATGCAGTTGGTAATTGTCATATTGATACTGCTTGGTTATGGCCTTGGGCTGAAACTAAACGTAAAATTGTAAGGTCCTGGACAACCCAATTGAAAATCGCTGATACTTACCCTGAATACGTTTTTGTTGCTTCTCAAATGCAACAATTTAAATGGCTAAAATTATACCATCCAGAAATTTTAGATAAAATTAAAGATAAATTCACCACTAATCAATTCTTACCAGTAGGTGGTTCGTGGGTAGAAAATGATACTAATTTACCAAATGGTGAATCCTTAATTAGACAATTCTTATTGGGTCAAAGATTTCAATTAAATGAGTTTGGCTTAAAGGCAACTACTTTCTGGTTACCTGATACTTTTGGTTATTCTTCTCAAATTCCTCAAATTTGTCAATCGGTTGGTATTGGTAGATTTTTAACTCAAAAATTAAGTTGGAATAATATTAATACTTTCCCATTATCTACTTTCAATTGGGTTAGTCTTGATGGTTCTCAAGTTTTGGTCCATATGCCTCCGGCTGATACTTATACCGCAAGTGCTCATTTTGGTGATGTGATTAGATCGCAAAATAATCATAAGAACTTACGTGATGTTCCAACCGGATTATTATTATATGGTCACGGTGACGGTGGTGGTGGTCCAACTGAAGAAATGGTTGAAAAATTAAGAAGATGCAAAGGTTTGGCTGATACCGTTGGGGGAATCCCTACAGTCCATGTCGGAAACACCGTTGATGATTTTTATGAAAACGTTTTGGAAAGATCTAATCAAGGTAGCGACTTACCTTCTTGGAGAGGTGAAATTTATTTAGAATTTCATAGAGGTACTTATACTTCTCAAGCTGATATTAAAAAATTCAATCGTTTGGGTGAAGTAAAACTCCATGATTTAGAACTTATTGCCTCTTATGCTTCAATTGTTAACCTGAATTATGATTATCCAGCAAAAGAATTGGTTTCCTTATGGCAAGATCTTTGTTTGGGTCAATTCCATGATATCATCCCTGGTAGTTGTATTGGTATGGTTTATTATGAAGAAGCTAAACCAATGTATCGTAAATTGTTAGCAAAAGCTGATAAACTTATCAAAGAAGCTTTAAAGTCTTTTGAAAAATCTGATGAAAAACAATTTGTTAATACCTTGCCTTGGTCCAGAGCTGAAGTTATTGAACTCGATAATGTTGAAGATGCCACTTTGATCAATTCAGTGAAGAAATATTCTGACTCTTACTCTTACAATGGTAAGACTTTGGTTTACGTTAAATCTGATTCAACCAATTGTCAAATTGTTAATACTAAAAACAAAGAATTCTTATACCCAGCTTCTGTTTCTCAATCTAAAGAAGGTAACTATATCTTGTCTAATAAGGCCTTAACTGCTACTATTTCTCCAAATGGTATTATAACTTCATTATATGATGAGGTTAATGATCGTGAGATCATTGACACTACAGCTACTAAACAAACTAACAGTGAAGTTATTGGTGGTAATCAACTTGTTGTTTTTGATGATCAGCCATTACAATTTCCAGCTTGGGATACCGAATTATATTCTTTGAACAAATTTAAATTTTTGAATAATGGTGAAGTCTCAATCTTGACTAATGATAAATTAGAATCCTCGCTTTTGGTTAAAAATAAAATTCTGGAAAAATCATATATTGAAACTGTCATCTCTATTCAAGGTTTAGACTATGAAATTGACTCTTTTGCTCAAAACAATTTCATCAAATTCAAGTCTCATGTTGAATGGCATGAAACTTATAAATTTTTGAAAGTCCAATTCCCAACTACCATTAATTCAGCTAGTCTGGCTCTGTATGAAACTCAATTTGGTATCACTGAAAGACCCACCCACTATAATACTTCTTGGGATGTGGCTAAGTTTGAGGTTTGTCATCATAAATTTTTAGATTTAAGTGGTTATAACTATGGTGTTTCTATTCTCAATAATTCTAAATATGGTGCTTCTGTCCATGGTAACTTGATTAGATTATCCTTATTAAGATCTCCTAAAGCTCCAGATGATAAAGCTGATATGGGATCTCACGACTTCGAATACGCTATCTATCCACACTCTGGTCCTTTAGGTAATGACACTGTTAAATTGGCCCATAACTTTAACTATAAATTAGATCAATACGTTGATTCTAAAGTTGACAAGTTATTACATGCCATTTCTTTGCTGAATAACACCAGTGCTATATTATCTCATGTCAAGAGAGCAGAAGATGACGAAGATGTAAACGTCGAATACCCTAACTTGGCCATTCAAAACAAGGGCCAAAAATCATTAGTAGTTAGAGTCTATGAGTCCTTAGGTGGATCGGTTAACGAATTCTTGAAAATTGATGATTCTATCTTGAAAGTAGATAAAGTTTACTTGACCAACTCTTTAGAAGAAGTCGAGTCAGAAGTCAAGAAGGAAGAAAACGGTTATCCTGTCAAATTGAGAGGTTTCGGTTTCGCTACTTATAAGATTGTTTTAAAATAAATGTTAAGCACTTCAAAAAATGAGAAGAAAAAAATAGAAGAAAGTTTGATTATATATGTGTATGTATGCACTTGTATCTGGTTTATGTTTGCAATATATGTTTTGGTATACTTTCATCAATTGTAGAATAGTGCTTGTAATAGTAAGATTGCAAAAATTTGATAAATGGCAAAATTTTGTGCGCAGGATTTTGTTTTGAGTTTTCTCGAAATCATTAAAATAAAACACGTAAATTCAGCACCGAGGGTTTATGGTTCCATATTGTTGATTGTCCCCAATTGGATAGAAGATGGATTCAGATAGGAAATCAACCGGATTTCTCAATGTTCTTCCGAGCTTTGGTTCGAAGGAAAACAACTCAAATTTATCATCCAAAGACAAGCGATACGTTCAACAAGTTGAAAAAGCAGTAGCTTCGTTTGATTCTTTGGAAGAATGGGCCGACTATATTGCCTTTTTATCCAGACTCCAAAAATCACTTCAATTGACTGGAGATGGCCAATCTTGGATTCCCTGCTTTAATCAAGTATCAAACAAGTTATCTTTGTGTCTTTCATCCAAATTACCAAATGGTGTTCATCAAAAGACCTTGAGTATTTACGAAGCCATATTCCACTCGATTTCTTCCAAAACATTGAACCAGGAACTAAATGTATGGCTTCCTGGCTTGTTGCCATTGTTTTCTTATTGCTCAATTCAAGTAAAGCCATACTTAATTAATATCTACAATTATCTTCTTGATAATCTCGAACCAAGAAGTTTGAAAATTATATCAAAACCTATTATATTGAGTGTGTTACCGGGATTGGACGACGAAAATTCAGAAGCTTTCCAAGAAACTTTTAAACTTGTAGAATCTTTGAAGACAAAGTTAAATGATGATTCCCATTTTTGGCAAACAATGTTCTTATGTATCATAAATAACCCAGAAAGAAGACTAGGGGCACTTTATTGGTGCAATAAGAGATTACCATATTTTCAAACTCTCAAAACCGATACTGAGTATCGCTTTTCCGAAGAAGCTAGTGCATGTTTGAGTCCAGAAGCAGGTCTTTTAATTAGAGCTTTTGCTACTTCCGTCAATTCTGTTACTTCTTTCAACCAAGCAGGTGATATTATAGTCATTCGAGGATTTTTTGATCTATTATTGAATAGAATTCCTTTGAATAGCGATGTCTTACAAAAAGCTGTCTCTTCGAAAGACAGGGAATTGCTCATAATGTCTTGTTGTAAAGTAACTTTGAAAAAAGACATGAGTTTGAACAGGAGACTATGGAATTGGTTTCTTGGGCCTGACTCTTCTGATGGAGAAGCTTCTAATAATATTTCCCGTTCGAACTATTTTGAGAATTATGGGCTAGATACTCTCATTGATGGTATTTTAAAATTAGCTGGCAATAATGACCTTCATAAAAAAACTGAAGCCTTCAAAATTTCTCTGGCCGTTATAATGGATAAATGGGAACTTAGTCATTTAGTGACGCCTAGAATTGCGTCACACTTGTTAGAAGAATGTTACAAAGTTTCAAAAAATAAAGAAGAAGAAGAATTTAAGGAACTCTTATCATCAGCAAGAGCATTCTTTGACAGTGTTGAAGCTGCTCATATCTGGAATCATATCACACTCAATATAATATTGGCCAAAGATCTCACAAAACTAAACTTTCTTGACTTCCTTTTGAAAAACTTTGATTTCCATGAAGATGAAATGGTTAAAGTCCATATACCTTTGGCAATATTAGCCCTCCTTGCTAACGAAACCTTATCCGAAAAATATGTTCAAATTGTCCTGACATTGGTTGATCTTACTGCTCATAATGCTTTTGATCCACTAGAAGAACTAAACGACCATGTAGCGTTATCAAAATCCAAAATTTTAGAATCCATCAAATCATATTATACAGCTCTTGTGAAAGACGAATCAGCCAAGCCGCCCTTCCCAGGACATGTTTTATCCTTTTTATGTCTTGACTTACTGAGAAGCTTATATATAAAAAATATTCAAAATCCTGATCTTTCGCTCCAGGTCTGTAACTTGTTCTGCACCTTACTATATAACGTTCCAAATGTCAACAAAGTTAATCCATGGAAAGATAAGGCCCTTGTGAAAGCAATCTTAAAACAGCCTATAGTAAGCCAATCACAATCGGAAGAAGAGAAACAGACTTACTTACTAAATGCTTTCAACTTTACTAAACTTTTGGATTATGTCTCTAAATCCCTAACTTCCTTTGAAAAGGCTAAATTACTCAAGATAATTCTATCTAATATTTGGTTTGCACTTCAGTCTGCTTCCCCAGCTAATTATCAAGTTGAAGCTGTGAAACATATTTTCGATCTTGAACTAATTTTCCAAAAAGCTCACATTGAAGCCGGTATTCTCAATCTTCTTTTGAATTCCAATCCCACCGAACGAGTTAGGGCCTTCACAATTCTATGGACTCATTCTAATTCCTTTAATGATGCGGATAGGCTATTAGTGAGACCAATGCAATTGCTCATGGATGGATTATACGAAAATGATCATCAACAATCGCTTCCGGTAGTTGGCTTTATAAAAAGTGTTCTTAAAAGTGGATCGGCTAATAGATTTCTTAAACTACTTACTACTCCTTTGTTGAACTTCCCCTTCATAAAAAATAATAAGACATTCGTCACTCTGAAAGATGACTTGAATCAATTCTCATATTATTTGAAGACAGTGCACAATGTTATCAAGACGAATGAAAAACCATTGAAAGAAGCAATCAATAACGAACTTGCTGTAATGGATAGCGCAGAGAAAATACAACTAATAAGAAATAATGAATGGGATATATCTACATATAAAACTTTGATTTTGTCTATTACTGAAACTTATATCAAAGTTCGAGTAAGTGACGATGTTTCTAGCGATGAAGCTACTTTGAATCAATTTTATGAATCTATTACTACTGCACTTGAGTTAATTTTGATTTTAACCTCAGGTAATGAACCTCATTTCTCGGATGGATTTCATGTTTTACTTGAGTCTTGCTCTTATTACATACATCTTTTCGAAAACAACCCATATCAAATTGAGTTAATTCAAAAATCATTCTTAAATACTATCATGCGGTTTTTGGATATTTCCGAGGAGTCAAAGATCAACTTAAATTTATTACATATCGAAGATGAAGGTAAAGAACCTTTGTTAGTGAGGTTTTTAATTCACGGTATTACTGCCACAGAATCACCTGTCTTATTAGAAACTTGGTTTAAGCTTTTGACAAGATCATTATATCTATTTAATGAATCGGTTTTCAGCGTTCTCCTCACGTTGAATGATTCAATCATCCATAAAATCGATGCTTATTTTAACAAGATAATCACATTTAAATCATTCAATTATTTGACGGACGTCGAGGCTTCACTTAATATTTTAACATCTGGTTTGGAAGACTTATTATCAATAAGTCACAGTTATTTACTAACTTCAAGATTAAAGTCTGCTAATACAGATAAAGCTAACAATAACCCTAATGACTCCGGATTTTTCAGTAATGTAATCCAGGGTGTTCTCCAGATCGAATCACCAGCCATACGTACCACCGAACAAAATAAACTTTACTCGATTTTATTAGCCTTTCAAGATGCAGTGAAGATAGCCTTCAAGATTTGGAAATGGTCAGATGCTAAACCACAAGTTCCCAAAGGAATACACAATGCTTCAGATAGATCATTGTCATTTTTAGGCAATAAATTAAAATTTAGGTCTAAGAAACTTCTTGAAACCTTGATGGACTTGGAAAGACTAGAAGTAATTGAAACTTTAGTTGAAATGAATGAGCCTGAAACTGTGAAGCTCCTTCATGTATTAGATGGGGGACGCTCACAAATCACCTTACCTCATTTACTTAATTCCATTACAACAAGAGCAGATCCCCAATTGTTAGAAGAAAAATATAGGTCATCTTTGAATGTCAACATCTCTACGAGAGATTTATGTGCCTTCTTGCTGATTTATTTAGAAAGTGTCGACACTGATAGTGTTATCGATATATGGGATTCTATCTCTAAGTTTCTTAGAGATGCAGTAACACATTCCACTGGTTTTAAGACCACTTATCCGGCTTTATTAAGAGTCATTAAGTCACTTACAATAAAATTAAACAGCTCAAGGGCTGCTGAACAAAGAAAATACAAGAGAGAATTATCTGATTTCTTTATCAAAACTTTGAACGGTGCAGTTAGTGTAAAGTCTCTGTTTTACACTGAGGATAATGGTGAGCAAGATGGAGAATCTTCAACGGATCAATCTGTGAGATCACCTAATGAGGGCCTTTTAGATGCTCTCTATGAGTTGGCTGAGTTTTTTGATGAAATTATCCAAGACCAAGATAAAGTTAACACAGCAATTACATCCATAGTTGTCAATCTTTTGGCCCCACAGATCAAATCAAAAAGTATCAAAAAGCTTCCACGAAAGACCATTGATTTGATGACGTTGATTGGAGATCAATACCCGAATAAAGCTTGGAAGACACTTGTTTTTGATATATTCTTGGATAACAACTTTTTCTCTGGTGATGTTGATGAGTGGAAACCCGTGATTAGGGCTTGGATATTTAATGACAAAGAGAAATTCAGTGAACTTGTTTTCAGAGTTACTCCGTCAGTTCAATCAACAGCTTCGAATATTTTTATATGGAATGAAAAATCGGAAGTAGAGAATAAGGTTTTAACACTAAAAAGAATTTCTTATTTGATGATGGTGCAACCCCAGGATTTCTTCTTGGTGTATCTTGAATCTCTTTTTGAAAAAATAGAATACTCTTTGAGTATTTCATGCCCTATTGTTTTCAGAACCGAACTTTTAACTTTATTCAGAGTAATCACCTTGAAATTTAGTGAATTGCACTTATTACCTTATTGGATAACTTTGGAACAAGATCTTATTAATGTGTTCGGATCCTTACTCAGTAAATCGCGTAAGGAATTGCAATCCTTGACGTTTGAAGAGTTAAACCTTGTTTTGGGTAGTTGTAAACTCTTAGACCAGTTATTGTTACTCAGGTTTGATGAATTTAATTTGAATGAATGGCTTTTTGTCACCAGCCAGCCTGATGTAATCAAAGGAACAGATAAAAACACAATCAATGCCTTGATTGATAAAATTGCTGAAGAAGTTGATCCAATTTTAAATAAAGAACCACCAATTAGGGTCAAACAACCTGAAGACCCTTTGCAGCCTTTACTTTTGGGTGTGAAAAGTCTTAATAATATCGCGAACTTACGGACTTTCTTCGAGTCTCTTAGTTTTATTTCTTACGAGAGAACTTTTGGCTTATACCCAGTAGACGTAAAGTCTTGCGAAGAAGGTATTTTGGAAGATTTGTTAGTTTGAATAGCTATATATTCCTCTAAATGTACACCATATAAACATAATGCCCTACATAATAACCGTTTTTTTATTTTCGCGTCTGACATCAAATTTTTTTTTTTTTTTTTTTTTTTTTTGCGTTTTTGGTGCGTTTCACAATTAAAGATCAATTTGTTGATGATTACAGCTTGAAAAACGGATAGTACTAGCACAATTGACTTAAGAACTTCTATCGAGGAAGTATATAATGCCAGCATCTTTGAAGTCATTTGATTTGGATGATGAGATGTCACTGTCGGCTAATGAACCTCACTCAACTTCTCGTAGACAATTCAGATCAGGGGATATAGAAAATAGGAAAGATGTTCTACAAGGCGATGATGATGAATTTGATGATATTGAGTTTGATGACACGAGGATGGAAACTCCTAGAAATTTAAGAAAGGACGGTACCATACATTCGTTTGACACACGAACAAACCAGACAACAGATAATAGTCCTACAAGATACCGACAAGAAGTTAGGACTCTGAAAGTTTCGTTGAAGGATGATGGCATAGGAAGCAGACGGCCGGCTACTCCTCGAGCAAGCCAGCCAAATAGCGTGTTAGATTACCGTAGCCGTAACGGTACACCGTTACGAAATGTGAAGAATGCTGCAAGCGATGAGTTCTCTTTTACTAAAGGAAAACCTGATGAAGACACGGAAATAATTAGAAAGACTCGATTGATAACTGATAATAATGAATACGATCCCCAGGAAGTTCCACGAATTGAAAATGGATGGGATAGCTCCCCTAAAGTAAAAAAGGGAGGTGCTTATATTAATAATTCACCACCTTCCAATATGAAAATACGACCATACAACTTCAATACTTTTTCTTCTGGTAAAAATCATAATGATGCTATAACAGCGGATTCCATAGAATTGAATAACGGTGATATTGAATTTGATCCTTCTGAAGAAGAAAATGATAAAAAGATTGATAACTTGACCGGAATATACGATCCAAAAATACTAGCTAATGGAGAAAGGAAAGAAGAAGAAGTAGATGACCAGCATAGGGATATTGTCGAAAGGATACGGTCGGATATTTACGAGGGTGACCTAACTAAAGAAGAGATTGCTGAACAAATAGAAGCAAGTATTAACCACTTGAGACAAAAAGATACCTCTGATCATGAACAATCAAGGCCTAAATTGGTACAACAGGAAAATGACGAGGATGATGAATCAGATATACAGGAGAAGAATTCTTCGACGGACGAAGATGATGAGCCGGAAATTCTCGAAGAGTTGTCTTCGTGTATACAGAAGAGTGAAAGCAACAGGAGTGATCAAGGCAGAAATGATTTTACAAGAGCAAGCCGTCTTAGAAGTGATGGGTATAGAAGTGGATTACCCAGAAGTAATAGCTATAGGAGCGGTATTCCTCGAAGTGACAACTATAGAAGTAACTTACTTCGTAGCGATGGATTCAGAAATGAAGGGTATAGAAATTACCGATCTGAAGATCGAGCAAGTCAATATTCAAAGATCAGTCAACTCAGGAGTGATCCAATTGACATTAATATTCTGCGTGATACCAAACGTCGCCAACCTATTTCAAAAGTATCTAGTCCTGTTAAAGTTGTGGAAGATGATAATGCTGAAGGGACTAAAAAACCTCGCTTCAATCAACTATCTGGACAATACGCCCGACAAGTACTTAGACAAAGAAGAGAAAGAATTGACCCTGTTTCTATAAGGTCATATAATGGTTCACCCATTCGTGAAATTGGGACTTTGCGAAGTCAAAGTTCTGCAATGGACCCCCCTAGACCAGAACATAAACCTGAGGTGGTCAATCGTATTGCAGTACCCAAAGAGACACCTGAAGAGGACATTCTTCGTAAAAAGTATAATCAGGCCAAGTCTAACATTACAAAAGCATCAAAAAGAAAGTTTGAAGATTGGCCTACCTATAAGTGGAGGAAATTGGAAAAATTATTAGCACTAAAAGAGCTTTCGCCAGAAATGATCATTAATAGTGATATGGTTATGAAAGGACTTGATTGTTCAAAACACGAATTACTGCTCAGAGTGAAATATTTGATGCAAAAAAACAAAACCACCAAACCCAAGCAGGACTACATAGCTACTAGAAGCAAGCCTGGTAAGGTTGTTAAAAAGACCAAGACTAGTCGAAACAAAATTTGAATATAAAAAAAAAAGAAAAAAGTTGTATAACACCTTGTATTATTAAAGTCTCTAATGTATTATATATAATGATATGGAAAATGAATTCATGCAAATAAAAAGTAGACAAGTTTAAAAAACTCTTGATAAGACATCGTTTAATTTGTCATTTGGTTTAGCCTTTTCTTTCAAGTCATCATTGGCATCAGCTCTCGTACTAGTAATTTTACGTTGTTTGAAAGTTCTTCTGATTTGTTCATCATTCGATTTATCATTTGATTTATCGCCTTTAGCTTCCTGTTTGGCTTTTCTTTTCTTTTGAATATTCGAAATCATTTTAGATTTTTCAACGTTATTAATGAAAGTCTTGTTAAGTTTAGATTGTTGAGATAATTCTAAGGTTAATTTAGATTGTCTAATTTCATTTTCTTTAGCAATTTGTTGGGTTAAATCAAACCATTTGAATCCTGATAAATATTTAATATTTATTATATCATCATAATAATATGAAGTTTTTTTCCCACCTAATTTATTACCATTTAAAGTACTAGAGCATAATTTTGCATCTTTTTTATTAACAAACTCTACCCAACCTTCGGTAAAGTTTTTCTTTTTATTACCACCGTATTTAACTCTTTTATGATAAACAATACTATCTTCAGGTTTCAAAAATAATCGATCTATTTTACCAAAACGTGAAAGCACTGAACGTAGCTTAGAAGGTTTCATATATGGTGGAATACTAGATAAATAACAAACCCCGGTTTTTTTGATTTTCTTTTGTTCTTTTTCAAGTTGTTCAGGAGTTAACTTTTTCAATCTACGGTTTCTTTTGGCTTCTTTAGCAACCATCCCGCTAGCAGATGTTGGGTCTTTCATTTCTTCATTGGGGACTTCATCATCATCTTCTTCTTCTTCATCGTCTTCTTCTTCTTCTTCTTCTTCGTCCTGAAACCTATCGAGTCCACTTGGTTTCTTTTTAGTCTTATAGAAGTCTCCGTCATCAGATTCTTCGTCGTCTTGGAAATCATCTTCGTCATCCGAGATTGGTTCAGCCTTTTGGTTGGATTTAGCTTGCGGTATCACTCTCTCCGTTTCGCTATCGCTGAAATCGCCAGCAGAGTCCGACGACTCGTCTCTTGCACTGAAAGCATCCCTGAATGCCTTTTTAGTATGTTTAGCTGCCATTATACAAAGCTGAAGTAAATGGATCAGTTAATCCCAAACTCGAGATGAGCTTGAAAAAACATTCACCAAAAGGAAAAGCAGCTTATGTGCACACCTTTGATTTTTTTTTTTTTTTTTTTACGCCAAAAACTACATTTTTACACCCATTACAATTGTATTAAAAAATCAAACTAATATATTGTATAGTTCATCGACTCGTATAAATTGAAAATATAAATGAATCATCTATTTTTTGTTTGAACCAGCAGCTTCAGAAGCACCTTCTTTAGCACCGGTAACAACACCGGAAACGTATTGAGCAGCGTTACCAATTTGTTCTTTAGCGGCATCCACGTATTGGGAAGCAGTGTCAGCTAAGGTAGATTCATCATCACCAATCTTTTTTTTGGCGTCATCATGGCCAGTTTGGATGTTATCACTGATGGTTTGGGCAAATGATTTTTGGTCTTCTGGGGTACCTTTAGCAGCGACTTTATCAAGTTTATCAGTAACTTGTTCCTTAGTTTTATCTAAAGCAGATTTTTCGGAATCTGGTTGAACAGCTTCGTTAACTTTATCAGAAACGTTTTTTCTACCTAAGTCAGACATTTTAAATATTTGTATTTATTGTTGAATTGATATAAGAAAGACAGTTCTACCTGGAGACTTCCCCTGATATTTATACACCATCCAGTAGGGTACCGCCAGCCACGGTAGAGCTGTTGATTGGACAATTGATTTTTTCCAAAATTAGATATTAGTGAATGACTAGCTACTTTCATTGCTGTGATGGAACATTCCATCTTTCTTTCAGTCCACCCGCTAAATGCATTCCTAGCCACCTTTTTCACTGTTTGGGGAAATGACTTTTTAAGACATGTCTTACAACTTGTTGCTAATTCGCCTGACCTGTGTCCCATCCGCCTCGATCCATCCTAAACTACTTCGTAATTTTTGGCCGTATCACCTGGAATTCGTTTGCTCTTGGTGTTCTACATGATCATAGTTCCCAGCAAAAACCGTCTTTTTCAGGTTAACAACCTACTAACCTGTTAGCTTATCAGTTTGAGTGTTAGCAATTGTATTAGAGTCAGTGACCTTACCTTCTATTAGCTTTTGCAACAAACAAGCCGTTGAATTTGGTTGCTCTCACATAAAAAATTAAGCAACATTCTATCAAAAGCAGTTACATCACACCGGGGTTGGGGGAGGGATTTTTGTATGCAGGCCGTCTGGTTTTGGTCGTGTATTGTCCCTCGGAGTTTGGGGTGTATGGGGGTTTTGGGTGTGTACGGGTTGGTTTGGGGGTTTTGGTTACCTGCAGGAATCCGATTTTTTTTCTTTATAGAAAATTTTTGTTAGTATATGATAAGATGAGATGGAGAAGTGAAAAATATAGAGCATTAGTGACGTTTAGCGGGCTGAAATGGTGAAAAAGAAGTCAGGTAGTCAAAGCTTGGACCAAAGGATATACGATCTCATTCACGACTTGTTGGAGCAACAAAGCTCGGAGAATAAGAAGGTCCTCGAAGATGCAAATAACGATGAAGGTGATGACGGTGAAAATGATCCCTTTGCCCATATAGCTCTTGCTAAAGACTTACAACTGTCTAACATATTGGTATATGTTCAGTCAAAGGACCTTCAGATGAGAAGAATGAAGCGTGCTATATTGGAGAAATCAATCGATGCTGTTTTGAAATTGATCAGGGAAGAAGAAGCAGAAGAACTTGAAGAGGTTATATTGCAAAGAGAACAAGCTAAAGTCGAGGAAAGTCTCAAGAATGATAGTGAGTTTGAAGGGGTGGACGAAAATAACCTAATGGAAGTTAAAGACTCAAATGCATTGAACAAATCAGTAGTATCTATGTGGAGTAATAATTCTGAAAATTCCAAAGAACAAGAGAAGTCGGAGGAAAGTGATGATAAGAAACTGAAGAAAAGAACCAAAGACTCTTCCAAGCAATTAACCAAGAAACCAAAAAATAAAATCGATCATACTCCTCCAACTTCGACTTTATCTTCGCTTGGTGGATTGACTACAATCACCACACAATTAATGGAATTGATTGGTTTACCAATATTACATCCAGAAATATATGCTTCAACTGGGGTAGAGCCACCTCGTGGGGTCTTGCTCTATGGACCTCCTGGTTGTGGTAAAACAACAATTGCAAATGCATTGGCTGGAGAATTACAAGTTCCCTTCATAAATATATCGGCTCCTTCAGTAGTTAGTGGGATGTCGGGTGAATCAGAGAAAAAATTAAGAGAAATTTTCGAAGAAGCAAAGCAAGTTGCTCCTTGTCTTATATTCATGGATGAAATTGATGCTATTACACCAAAGAGAGATGGTGGTGCTCAACGTGAAATGGAAAGAAGAATTGTGGCTCAGTTACTTACTCTTATGGATGAATTGACTTTAGAAAAAACTAACGGTCAACCAGTCATTGTCATAGGTGCTACCAATAGACCAGATTCTTTGGATTCAGCATTGAGAAGAGCCGGCAGATTCGATCGTGAAATTTGTCTTAATGTACCTAATGAAGATCAACGTTGTTCTATAATACAGACAATGACTTCAAATTTAAAATTAAAAGATGGCGAACAATTCAATTTTAGAGAATTAGCAAAATTAACTCCTGGTTATGTTGGTGCTGATTTAAAAAGTTTGGTTACCGCTGCTGGTATTGCTGCAATTAAGAGAATTTTTGAAAGCTTAAGTGAACTAGAAGAAGAATTATTAATGAAAGATATAAATTCAATGGAAATTGATCAAAATTTAAATGACAGTCAAATAACTTCAAATGATCAAGCATTAATACCCAATAATACTTCAGTGACAAATTTTGAAAATAAGTCGGACTTGGAAAAACTTTCAACCATTCAAAAATTCCTCATAAAACATCCTAATCCTTTAACCGATGATCAGCTTGCTCCATTGTCAATTACTTATGAAGACTTTTTAACTGCATTACCAACTATTCAACCTACTGCCAAAAGAGAAGGCTTCGCAACCGTTCCTGATGTCACTTGGAATAACGTTGGTGCATTAAACCATATTCGTATGGAATTACATATGTGTATTGTTCAACCAATTAAAAAACCAGAACTTTATGAAAAAGTTGGTATTACTGCTCCTGCAGGTGTTTTAATGTGGGGGCCTCCAGGTTGTGGTAAAACCTTATTGGCAAAAGCTGTTGCTAATGAGTCCCGTGCAAACTTTATCTCAATCAAAGGACCTGAATTACTTAATAAATATGTTGGTGAATCTGAACGTGCTGTTAGACAAGTTTTCCAAAGAGCTAGAGCTTCTGTTCCTTGTATCATATTTTTTGATGAATTGGATGCTCTTGTCCCAAGAAGAGATGCTTCATTATCTGAATCTAGTTCTCGTGTGGTTAATACTTTATTGACTGAATTAGATGGTTTAAATGATAGAAAAGGGGTTTTCGTCATTGGTGCTACCAATAGACCTGATATGATTGATCCAGCAATGCTTAGACCAGGTAGATTGGATAAAACATTATATATTGAATTGCCAACTAGCGATGAACGTCTTGATATCTTAAAAACTTTGGTTAAAGCAAATAATACCCCATTAGATGGTGATGTTGATTTAAGATCAGTTGCAAATGATGAACGTTGCAGAAATTTCTCTGGTGCTGATTTATCCTCTTTGGTCAGAGAAGCTGGTGTTTTGGCTTTGAAAAAGAAATTCTTCAAAGGCCAACAGATTCTGGAATTAGATAAATCCGGTTATTATGACGCTGATGAAATTAAAGAAGTTGATAACGATTTCATCGTGGTCACTAATGAAGACTTTCACCGTGCTTTATCTTCGATTAATCCAAGTGTTAGTGATAAAGATAGAGCTAAATACGAACGTTTAAACAAACGTATGGGTTGGAGTGTCATCAATGAAGTCAAAGAAGAAGAAGATAAGAAAACTGAAACTCCTTCTGACGCAAAATAATTTCTTCCCTGAGCATAGAATTAATAGACTAATAACGATACACAACGAGATTCTTGACAACTTTGTAGACTACATACAATCTTTAAACGAGAGAATACCGAAGCGTGGATTAAAATGTAATGGTTATCAGGTCGCACAATTCTCTTCCCGATTTGGGGTGCGTTTTTTTCTTTATTTTTGTTTTTTGCGGCAATACAAAACACCAATAGTAGAAGACATGGGAGGAGTCGTATCTTCAAAGCAAGTGCCAACCACGCCTGTGTTGTCAAATAACATAGTTTTCTTGAAAGGTGAAAGGTACTGGACGTTTTTTCGTATTTAGCTCATGTGTAAAAAATCTTCTACAAACGATTTTTGTGGAAATTTTGTTTCTTTCTTGAAAATTTACTTGATATTCGAATTTTCATTTTTTTAGGAACTTTTTCAAAATCCGACCTTTGATTGATACTCAGGTCTGGATCTAATTGACTTGAGCAGCAGAGCTTCCATGTTGAAATATAGCCGAGTATTATAGAGAGTCTTAATGACTTGGCTAACCAGCAGATGTCAGAAGTTTGAAGTTAGGGTCAATCCTTCTATATTAAGTAGAAGTACTTTTGAAATACGTGATTACTTGAATTTAACGTCAAGTAGTCAATTTACCATCAAATCATATTAAATGAGCCACAAACATCCATATAGACAGTATAACTGATCTTTTCATCATAAAGGAAAACAAAACTACACACTCTGCTCAGATATCTCACAAAACATTATATAGCTTCTTCCTTTATGTCATTAATTTGGTTCAACATAAAATATCCAAATTTTCTCAGAGACTGAATCCGCTTCAGCTGAAGAAATATTTGCTGTCAACGGTTTTAGCGAAAGTGCCAGAAAGTTATAATGATAAAAATGTGATTTCATCTCCCGAGATTTGAGAGTTGGAATTCAAAACTTCCAGGATCTAACTTGAAGGCCTCTAGCATTCAATAGGGTAAAACTAAGCTATGAAAAGGGTAAGAAAAAAAGTTTGAAAAATTGCAAAAATATTAGTATAGCTAAAACAAGTAAGAACTTAATAAACCACCCCCAAAAATCAATATCGAAATGGAGGGTTGGCCGAGTGGTCTAAGGCGGCAGACTTAAGATCTGCTGGACAGTTGTCCGCGCGAGTTCGAACCTCGCATCCTTCATTATTTTTTTTTATTTTCGAAATCTTTTAAATTCTTCCATTTTTCGCAACACATTAGTTCTTTGTAGTTGAAACACCACATACCACTATATCCAGCTACAAATGTCCCTAAACCAAGACAAATATCATGCTAATGGTAGTTTACCTTTGCCAGACACATCAAGAAGTGTTTTTGAATCTCCCGAGTTCAAAAATCATGAGAAGAGGGTAGTTGATGGGGAAAAGCTACATAAGATTTTAGGCGGCTTTAACGATATCAACGGATTCGATCCCAAAATATTCGGGTTTGAAGCAGGAAACAACATGATGAATATGCTCAACCTTGATTTTGAAGCAAAGACTTTTGAAATATTGAAGGCCCATATCTTGAGGGTTATGCTTTTATTGACTATACATATTCAAATGCAAATCTTGAGCATTTTCAATGTGGTCAATGATATTATGGAGTTGGTAGCTATTATTTTGCTCTCACTTTCAATGGAAGTCCAAGATAAAGCAAGTTATTCCATGGAAAACAACTTTCACGGGTTGAGAGGGAAGGTTGCAAGGATTTATTACTCATTTATTCTTTTACCACTGATTTGTGTTCGTGTTGCATACCATATTGGTGTTTGCTACTCTCCAACTGCAATAAGTGGTATCCAAGACGGTTTGCCTTCGAAAGAATACATTCCAGAAAGTGTAACCTTACTTTTAAAGATGAATCAGTATACTGTTGTTCCACCACCAAAGCTCCCCCAACCCTGGTTGGATGCAAATAAAAAAATACAAGTTCCTTCGAAGAAAGAAGTTCAAACTGTTCTTTCGATCAGAAATGAATTTTTCACTCAAAGAGGTACTTTTATGGCTCTGGAAAAGCTACGAATCTCAAGTGAGATAAGTAGATTTGTGTGTTGGAATTTGTTGATTCCAGGAGTTGAACGGATAAACGTGTATGAGGAGTTTGGCTATTTATGGTCCGATTCATGCAGCGCTCCAGTATTAGAACAGTTAAGGGTTTTGGAAACCTTGATTATTAATGAGTTACATTCTATGAAAAAGGATAGAGCGGTTTCCATACGTAAGATCAAGTTAGTTTGTATCTCCGGGGAAGTCACCCTTGACATGTCATTTGATAATTTAGACCCTGTTGCAACTGTGTTAAGCTCTTATGACGAAGATTATACTCCAGGTAACGATCAAACGTTATATGTTTATCTTTGTGATAAACTGAACCGTGATCTATTGGGAAACCAGTCAAATGAGACAATTCCTCAAATGACAGATTTAATAGTTGCAGCCGATAAAAAAAACTCATTATCTTTACAGACGCGAGGTTATTTCGCAGTTGACAGCTACAATAATTTGAAAGAGTCGGTGGTTTATTCTACGGCATCCAGATTTGGATATAATGTTTACTTAAAAGCTTTATTCTATTACTCCAAAAGCTTGGTGAAGGAAACAGATACCGACAGATCTTCAGTAACTGTTTCTTCACAGAGTGTAACCAGTCAGGGTCTGGCACCTGGCCACTATTTAGTTAAGTTTTTCCAAAGAATTCTTCAGTTAAGACCCTTTGATGTCAACTCTAGCGTGGTACCAATGGAAGATGAAGGCCATTCTGAATCTAATCAATAGGTAATTTCTATATACCTGTAGAAATTATTGTAGAGGTTTGGGTCTATGCGAGCGAAAAACAATAGAAAAAGGGTAATGAGGATTGTCAACAGACTAAAACTAATCTGACAGATAAAAGAAGAAACTGTTTACCACAGAACACAACCTTTTATATTCACATTTTAGTTGATTACAAATACTGAGTTTAAATATCTAGCTAGATAAGACCCACTTAGGCCTTAACAGTCACGCAGAATCCCAAACAAATACAGCATAGTCAAGACCGACAAGTGAACAAGTCAATATATAATGATAAAGAATGTCAGATTTATGAGACTTGATAGAAGGATATTGGGTAATCCGGTAAAAAACATTCATTACGGTATATCGAACAGCAAGTATCGACTGAGCTTTAGGATTCAAACTCGATATTTTACAACTGGGAACAATAGACTTATGTATGCTAAAGACCGATCCAAAACTCAAACATTGAATGCTAATGCCCAGAAAGACGATAGCCGCTTAAATCTTTCAGATGATAGAATCAAACAGCAAATCGGTGATAGTTTATCGATTGAGGAGCCAGAAAAGACCATCTTGTTGGATGAAAACGAAACAGAAATCGTCGAGAGCGAAGAAATGAAACAGGACGATTTTTTAACTACGATTTTCGAGAATATGGAACCATATATGGATACATATCACGTATTTACAGAATTAACTGAAAGTGGATTTACTGATAGTCAAGCAGATGAAATTATAAATTTACTTATTGTTCAATTAAACTCTAAATTATCCAAGTTATCAACCAAATATTCACAACTTTATGAATTAGAGAACGAAGAATATCTTTATGAAAGTGCCCAGCAAGAATTAAGAGTTGATTTTACAAGATCAAGAGAACTGCATATCAATGAATTAATTAATTCAATCAATATAATTGAAAGAGAATTTCATATATTATCTGATGAATTAAATAATCAGTTAATTCAAATGAAAAATGATACTCAAGTTGCAATAAGTGATCAAAAATCCGAAAATACCTTACTTTCTAAAAGAATTATATTAAGAATTCAGGAAACTAATCATAAAATTACTACTGAATTAAATAGTGCCATGAGATCCGAAGTCGAAAGTTTAAGATGGCATTTCTCAAGATGGGGGTTGTTAACTATATTGATTGCAGTTTTCGATGCTGCAATGGTTTACTATATTCATAAATCAGCAACCACTAGAAGAGAAAATGAAAAGAATGAGTTCATTCCATTAATAATCTATGAACCAAGTGAATACGACGAAGATGACTATCATACCGACTTAGATAAGAGTTTAATCAACTAACCTTTTCTATACGATTTACGAGAGCATATACATATTTATTATCATTATTAAGACCTTGTAGATTAGTATTGTCATGCTTTTTGTAGACTGGGTGTACGGATCTAGAAAAAAATCAGCAAGCAATTTGCACATCTGCAAAACTATAAATTTACAACTCTTTCCACTTCTTTCCCACATTCATTAACGAGTAAATCATTACAATGCCAACTTCAGAAACGTGCAAACCCAAAGCCTGTGCTATCCAAGATTGCTTATCAGCAAATGGATACAACGAATCCAAATGTTCTGATCTCATTGACAAGTTATACTTATGTTGCAAGAACATGTATGAAAAAGAAGGACCCGATGCTCATAGTGTATGTTGTCCAAAGTTGAGTTTATTGAACTTAAAGCTCAAACAACGTGAATTAGGTAAAATAGATGCAGAATTACTTGATCATACAAGAAAATAATATATATAAATTGTTAGTTTAGAACCGCGTAGTATATCCACAAGATATACACGACAGATCGAGGCTGGTAAAAACTCTTGATCTAAGGCTTACCCGAGCACGAAAAAACTACATAGTAGTTATCGATTATATGTGGAAGTGATCATATAAACCGTGACTCTAATGGGCGCCTACTATTAAAGACATTGTATAAAGAAGAAAAAACTATTAAATTTCAATCTTGGGGGAAACTTTTGTCCTTTTATACTCCAACTCATCGGAAAAAAATGCGATGCGCCGGGTAACTGCACTATACCTCCATACACCTTATATATTAATAAATATATCATATACATTGATAATGTACATCTATTTACAGTCTAATCTTTCAATCCCGGGTCGATTTGTTTCTTATCATAATCACGGGGGTTAGGGAAATAGGATTTCAAATCACTTTCATCCTTCAACCACATTGCTTGACCGGTGATATTTTTACTCGAATAATCAGCTTTTACGTTTGATTCAAATTGTTTAATGACCTGATCGATATCAATTGGGTTTAAGCCGGCTTCCTTCAATTGTTTTCTTAGTAAGGCGATGTGTAATGACATTTTGAAATCTCTTTTTGAATGTTCTCTTCTTTCTTGTAAAATTTGAACGTCTTTTTGTTTATTATAGTTTAAGAATTTAGCTTGTTCGACTTGGAATCTCTTTAAATTGATACTATTTAATTCTTTGTTAACTTTTTCTAATTTGACTCTAGTTGAATAGTTATCAATTGCTAAATAGGAAAGGACACCAATTGTTAATAATGAAACGAATTCCCGAACAAATCCGGATCCTCCATTACCAGTACCATGGCCCATTGAAGAAGGGGGAGTCGGAGGTGATGCTGCAGTTGGAATTGTACTTGGTGGCGATGAAGAAATTGACTCGACTTGAGTCATTTCTTCACCAAAAGGACGAGGAGTTGAATTTGGATTATTAAAATGGGTTGGGGGTGAAGACAAAAGCCTTTTAGGTAGTCTTTGCAATGATCGACATCTATGAGACATTTCCAGGGAGTTTGTTTGAGCTTTGAAAGTAGTATTGGTACAAGTAGTAATGGTATAACAAATATATGGGGTTTGATGGCGGATTCAACTGAAAAAAGAGTACTGAGACGTACGGGTTTTTTTTTCTTGAAAAATTTCAACGTACTAATATTACATCTACAATAAAGATTACCAATAAGTTTATTAAATTCCAAAAGGAAGATTTAAGAAGATATTAACAATGTACATAAAGAAATTTGTTTTTGAAACATTAAATAATTTAATGTCTTCTTGATTCAGCAATAACTTTTTGCATTTCTTCAACTTTTCTTAAAGCTCTCTTGTGAGTACCTAATCTCTTTTTAGCTAATTTCTTAGCTCTCTTTTCACCGGCATTTCTGATTAATTCAATTAATCTTCTTTCATATGGAGCTAAACCAGAAACTTCTTTAACAATGTTTCTAACGAAGTCGGTTCTTTTAGATAAAGCACCTTTTCTGTAAGAAATTTTTGGGGCAACTTCTTTAGAGACGGTCTTGTGACCTTTGTTTAAACCAACAGCAATACCTATAAGATTGTTAGTAATTATTCATAAATGAGTGAATGGACTGACGACTAGACTGAAAGACTAAGAACCGAACAACTAACCGGTAACTGAAAACTGTCTGAAAGCCACCTGAAAACTGACTGAGCTATTTCGTCTAGCTTATCAAATAGCTGAGCAAATAGTCAACAAATAGTTAATATTAATGGTTATACTATAAATTGATCAATCACATAGATTATAGATATTCGTCTATAAGATGAAAAGGAAATGAAACGATAATACCACGTTCTTCATTTGAACATCAATAAAGATTCTTGAACTTAGGATCTCTGAATAACTTCAGGTCATCCCAACAGTTCTACGTTTGAGTTCACAGTTCAAATTCACAGTTCAAAGTTCAAATTCACAGTTCAAAGTTCAACAGTTCACGGACGTTTGATCTTCCACCAGTCAATCACACTCTCTTTCATTAGACACAGGGGTCTCATGGATATCACATACCAGAACGAGCCATTTTTGATTATTTAATGATATAACGGTAATAACAGAACAAGAAAGAAGAGCTCTATAATAAGTATCTTTTTTCACTTTTTTTTTTCCCACTCACTCACACCGCCATAGTTAGGATGTTAGGGTGTAGATGAGGATGCGGTAAAAAATTTTCGGAGAGCGAAGAGTGCACATTGCAATTTGCCAAAAAGGTGAAACTGCGTGCACGTGACGCCTGTGACTGCTTTTTCTCTTCATATCCATACACCAGGATACTTAGCACACTTATACTTAGCACATATAGTTAGTATAGTTATTTATTAGCTATTTACATATATACAGATTATATTGAGATTTGGGAAAAGTCATAATTATAGTGGAGTAACTTATCGACCAATTCTTTTGTGGTCAACACAGTGTGGGATTTTAAGAATTGGTTAAAGTCAATTGGATAGTAATTATCTTTGTAAACCAAAGGGAACAATTCTTTTAATAATTGCTTTCTACCAACGGTAATTTTTTTACCATCGTCATGGATGTAGTAGACTTGTTTCCCGTCAACTTGTCCTAATTCTTCCAACTCTTTTAATTTTAAGATTTCAAAACGTAATTGCCAGCCTTTTAAACCTAAAGTTTTAACTCTAGCTGGTTTATCTTTAGTCAAATAATTATCCAAACCGCCTTCTTTGTCAATAGTTTTCAAGACCCTGGTGGCCACTCTCATCTTCAATGATTTTTGTAATGTTTCTGACCATAACGTAGTATTAACAATATGAGGTAAGTGAGTTCTTAAATTTTTATTCTTACCGTTTTTAGAACAGCTTTTAGAACTACTTCTTTGTAATCCTCCGTACAATCCTCTGTTTTGACGCTTGAAGTATAATGGCTCGTACTCGTATTCTGGAATGGTTGGTTTATAGTAAGGTATTGGTACGTTTGGTCTCTGATCTCCTTCTTTATAGATCGTCTTATCAATTGGTTTGGCGTATCTGGTGATTTTCCAGTATTTTTCAGCCGCCTTTTGAGGGGTGCTATTACTGAACGCCCTTATCCCAAAGGGTACCGATACCCTGGCTTGTACGATGCTCGAACGTATGAAATTCATGCTTGTCGTTGTTGATCCACTTGTTCTTGTAATTGGAAAGCTTTTATTTTTCATCATCGAGAGACTGGCGTGTTGAGGGTACACAAAACACCCGTACATTTATCCTTTGTTTCCACCAGTACCTCACCCTTCGGCAGGCCCGTAAGCCATTTACAGCTAATTGATAAGAATGAAGTCTGCTGACCACTAAGCGAGCCCGTGAATTATCAAATGCAGCCTAAATACAGTTTTTTTTCCACCTACAGAAACGATCAGAGCTAGTTGGTGTAAAGGTGTAGATGGTATCAAAAATACGGCAGTAGAAGCAGGATAATACGTCAAAATTGTGACATGATGTTTTGCTGAGGGAAACAAGGTCCCAAAATGGTACTATGGGATCGCGTGCATGGTGTCAAGAGATAAGCCTATATCCAAGGTTGGTTTTCAAAATACCCCTTAGTCAGTGCTTTTAAAGCCATTTAATTAACGGTAAAGGGAATAGACTATATATATATACACCTTTGTGCGTGAGCTTTACAGAGCATACAAGTTTCTGAGTATGTTTTTTTTGATTGTTTTACTTGTTACTTCGGTAATGCTCTTTCGCTGAACATTGTGTATCGATTCGCCGGGGTGGGTGATAAGTACAGCGAGGGGCTCGCCAACGTTAATATTTCGAGTTTATGTGCTTTAGAGTATTTGGGAATGGTTTGGCAAACCAATGCGTTTGGCTATCGATTGGGAATTATTCTGTAGTGAAATATAGACATCCAGGCATAATGGAATTCCCCCCCTGGTTCCAAACTAGCCCACTACCCAAGATTGGAGATCCAGAAACGTTAGACTCGTTGCTTTTGCCCTTAGACGAATACGATCCGGACACTGATTACTGCGCTATTGTCCAGCAGCTGAGATCTGATTACATACAAGCCATTCAAGAGTTCGGACCGGTCGAGTACTTGACGGTTCATAGTTCGTTTGCGAAGGAAGATGCTGCTGAATAACTACATATTCTTACACTGGTCAATTTCTGTTTCGTTAGATCTGGTCCTCTTATCGATACTTAATAAACCTGATTCATTAAACCAGTCGAAGCTTCTGCTGAGTCTGGTGATTATAAATTTATAGCTGTAGGGGTTTTATTGTTTGGATAGTGAACCATATTGTTTTTTAAGTTAATTTCAAACAACCAGACTAAGTCCTCCATTACTTCATTCTCTTTGTGAACTTACGCTTGTATAATTCCGAGCTTGAGTACCACGCAAGCTCCTGGGTATGAAATGTTTGTATAGAAGTGCCTCCCCCTATAGGTATGGGTTGCGAAAAGAATTCTTCTTTTTGCTGCAAAAAAACAATTTTCAATAAAAACACCATCGAAAGACTGCTCTACTCCCAGCGTTTATCCTGTTGATTATTCAATATTAGCTTTAGCCCTCGTGATCAATTACACAAACCAGGAATTTGGATTCTTCACAATTATACATAAACAATATACTAAAAAGCTTAAGCACAATAATTTTCTCACAGCATGGTTATTCTCAACCCGTCATCTCTTCTGATGTTATTTGTACATCGCAGAAAAGTATACATACAGCGACAAGCCGACAAGCCGACGTAGAGTATTTGGCACTAGAATGTCATCCGCCCCAACTTTATCCATCGCTTATCCACTTCCCCATCGCTCATACGTTAATCAGTACTATTCCTATCAGATGTGCTATTACCAGAAATCGTCTTTACAATACTTAAACTCCCGTTCAGCTTATCCAGCCCATCGCACCAATTAGCCAATCCCACCAACCCAATTAGCCATGCGGTACCCACGCCACCAATGTAAGAATAAATGAGATCCCATAACCCTTAAATGAAAAACAATGATAATTCAGTTATCTCATCGTTAATCGTTGAAAAAAGCTTATTGCGCACACACAAAACACTAATAGAAAAAGAAAGAAGAAGAAAAACAGTGAGAAATAGCTGGGAAAAGGGCAAAAAAAAAAAAAATTAGAAACGCCCTCCCTACTTCATTATCAATAACAGGAGAAGAGTAACCGTCTTTCTTAAAAGATACAGTAACATTCCTTTCTAACAATGGCTGAGTTTGCAAAATCCATCTTTGGATTTGGCGGGTTTAAGAAGGATTCAAATTCTCCATCTCAACAATCATCATCATCATCTCATTTAGCCAATGATCAAATTTACTCTGATGACCAATATTATAGTCAAGAGACAAACCCCAGTCAAGAGAATCAATTTGGTATTGATTCCTTTGATGCAAACGATAATCGAAAGAAGTTTTTACCTAAAGGATTGGGTAAAATCACCCCTACCACTGCAGTTTCAACCAACGGGATGGTTTATGGTACTACCTCATCAAATATGAATGATGAATCAAATAATCAAATGGAAAATTATGATTCTGAAAACTACTTGAACCAAACATTTCAAAAAAATCAACAACAAAGTCAACAATATCAAAAATCCCAACCTTGTGTATCACAATTATCTAAAAATAATCATCATTTACAACAACCTCAATCAACAACTACTAGAACCACTATAACTAATGATAAATCTGGTCAGCCAATTATCATCACCACCGATGAAACCGGTCAGAATTTGAACCACGACCTGAAAAACAGTGCTCAACCAAAGGGGAAATTAAAAGTTTTAATCATCGAGGCCCGTGATTTATTGGTCAATGAAACTTCTCAACCCTACGTTGTGTGTACTTTTGAAAGTTCCGAATTTGTTACTAACGCTCCTAATTCTTATGGTAAATCTCCAAATATTCATAATCATAATCATAATCATCAAAATAATAATCATCATATAAACCTGCATAATAAAACTCATAATAACCATGCATTACCAGTTTTAAATCATGATCAAAAAAGACCCACTATGTTTCAAAGACAATCTTCAACTCAACATCTTAATTTTAATCATCGCAATAACAATCAACTGATGGATACTTCAAGTGATAGCTCTTCTATTAATAGTTCTCATCCTTTATGGAATCATGAAGCTACTTTTGACGTTGTGGGTTCAAAATCAGAATTAGATATTTCTGTTTATGATGCTGCTCATGATGATGCCTTTTTAGGTCACGTAAGAATTTTCCCTTCCACTAACCGTTCAACTTCCAATAAACTAATAAACGCTGAATGGTATCCTTTAAAAGCCAGAGTGATTGGTGAACGTGTTTGTGGTTCTTTGAAAATCGAATGGCAATATGATTCAACTGACAGTAAAAAACTGTATGGCCCTGATGATTTTGAAATTTTAAGATTATTAGGTAAAGGTACTTTTGGTCAAGTTTATCAAGTTACTAAACGTGATACTGATCGTATTTATGCAATGAAAATTTTACTGAAAAAATTAATTGTTAAAAAGAAAGAAATTGCTCATACCATTGGTGAACGTAATATTTTAGTTCGTACTTCTGCTGCTGCTTCTCCTTTTATTGTTGGTTTAAAATTTTCTTTCCAAACTCCAACTGATTTATATTTAGTTACTGATTATATGTCTGGTGGTGAACTTTTTTGGCATTTACAAAAAGAAGGCAGATTTCCTGAAGACCGTGCTAAGTTTTATATTGCTGAATTGGTTTTAGCTTTAGAACATTTACACGATAATGATATTGTTTATCGTGATTTAAAACCAGAAAATATCTTATTAGATGCAAATGGTCACATTGCCTTATGTGATTTTGGGTTATCAAAGGCTAATTTAAATAATGATGGTACTACTAATACTTTTTGTGGTACTACCGAATATTTAGCCCCAGAAGTTTTATTAGATGAATCCGGCTATACTAAAATGGTTGATTTTTGGTCTTTAGGTGTTTTAATTTTTGAAATGTGCTGTGGTTGGTCTCCATTTTATGCAGAAAATACTCAACAAATGTATAAAAATATCGCTTTTGGTAAAGTTAGATTTCCAAAAGAAGTTTTAAGTGCTGAAGGTAGATCTTTTGTTAAAGGGTTATTAAATCGTAATCCAAAGCATAGATTAGGTTCTATTAACGATGCTAGAGAATTAAGAGCTCATCCTTTCTTTCAAGATATCGATTGGAATTTATTAAAATCAAAAAGTATTCCTCCTCCTTTCAAACCTCATTTAGCTTCGGAAACTGATACTTCAAATTTCGATCCTGAATTCACTAATGAATCAACTTCTTTAATGAAAAAACAAATGGAATTAGCCACTACTCCTTTATCTCCAGGTATTCAAGCAAACTTCAAAGGTTTTACCTACGTTGATGATTCTGCAATGGATGATCATTTCGGTAAATCTTTACGTTACAATACTTTTAAAAACCCCGGCTCCTTCATTCCTGGTAATCCTAATTTACCTCCTGATGAAGATGTTATAGAAGATGGTCAAATTGACGAAGAAGATGAAATGGAAATTGACCAAGATCAACACTTGGCGGATGAAGAATTCGTCAATGGAAGGTTTGACTTATAGATATTTGCAATTTCAGTCTGTCTTTCTTTTTCTTTTTTTTTTTTTTTTCAAAAAATAAACTTTATTTCTTGTATTATTATCCTTTTTCAATTCTAACTCAAATCATTTTGTCAATCCTTTGGAAAGGAAATTGTTATTACTAGTTTGGTTTCCCATGTCCTCGTGCTACCCTTTAGACTGTTTTTTTGTTTCCCACTTTTTCTTTAATTTTTTTTTGTTTTTGTCTACGTTGTTCTTGCTGCCCAACATCGATATTCTGACTTATTGGTATCAGACGACATTTGATACTAGTCATTCTGGAGCTCGATGCTGTTCGATTATCATTCCTTTCCTTTTATTAAATGAAAACCGAAAAATAATTAAAAAAAAAAACATTATTTAAATCCGATATTTATTATTTATGTCATAAATCATGGTGTCATATCCTCTATTTCTTTTCGTACTATGTTTCTCTGAATTCCTTCTCTCGTCTTGTGCTTCTTCACGCTCGTTAAATATTATATACTTATATATGTTTTAATAGATTCGTAATAATTATAATTTTGCAATCATTGGTGTGGAGGAGAATTCGTGCGACGCTCAAAGAAACCTACCAGTTTTTTTTTTTTTTTTTTTTTTGAGTTTTGGTAAAACAAAACAAAATGAAATATAATCAATTTATCTAATCAAGATTGAATAATCTATATTTCTCTGGAAAGAATTATTCGTAAGAATGCCTAGACGAAGTCACCAGCCCCACAGGAGGCCAATGCCCCATCATGCGGTAGGACAACAAATGGCGCAACCACAAGTGGCTAATCGTCGTTCATCGATGAAAGAAGATGCATCAGTTCAGCTACACGATGAAGCAGATTTAATAAGTTTTAGATCGGATGCATTGAATAGATTTATAAACAATCACGAGTACCTTGAGAATGTTGCTTCCAAGCCAATTCATATTCTGAAAATCATACCACCGGCTTCATTTCCATTGGAAGCGCCACTAAGCTCCAAAAAAAATCGTATAAGTAAACCAACCAAAGAACAATTGTCATCACTTTTAAAGAACATTAAACCTGATGAATTGTATTTTGGTGACGTGGATTTGATGAAAGCCAAAAATGAATCATTATTGGAGGAAATTGAAGAACTTAAACAAGAAAAGAGTCAAGTATTTGATAATGATGGTGAATACGTTTATAGAAAGGAAAAAATTGATAAATTAGCCGGGTTACATTCTAAATTATACAGTTCTGAATCAATCGATGACATCGAAAAAGAATTGCAGCAATCCATCGAAGGTTATCAAAAGAAATTTGGCAAACAATATAAATCTATATTAGATACCAAGCGTTATTCAATACCAATTACAGAAATATCCTCAAATTATGAAATCACCAAGGCCCCTGCCAATTACAATCCAAGATCAATTAACTCATTGATAAATATCGGAGGAAATAATGGTGGTCCTGTCAATTTAAATAATCATGATCCAAACGTTGATATGTCCCATTTCACTGGCGGGATGTCGTTCATGAATCTGATGAACAATGTTGGCGATCACCATGACCCTAACAATCCTAATAACAATCAAGATTTCCAAACTTCTACCAATAACAACAATGTAACCCCAAGAAATAATGATATTCATAAAAATTCACCAGGATTGACCTCCTCAAATATTCAAGCTTCTCAAACCTCACCAGACAAGGACAATTTACCATCGGATCAGCAAACCAAAATCGAACTGTCAAACTCTACTAACAATTTCCATCCAAATGATATTCATATTTCAAATGACGATCTAGGCCTTTCAGTCACAGATAATGACAAAGCCAACGAGAAACACGACGGCAGTCTTGCCCTCAACCAAGATTCACATCATCAAGATCATGCTGGTATGGTAGATGATGATATCAATCATTTGTTAAGTAATGGTAACGATGTAATAGATTCAAACCATCTGGGTATAGTGAATGATGACATGGGAGATCTAATAAACTTCCAGGATGAAGATGAAGATGGCATGATGTCCAGCCATGCTTTTGACAATGACTTCTTGAGTCAAATCGATCATTCAATGGAATAATTTGTATATTAGTAAATACTTCTTCCACTGTATAATTAATGAATGACTGACTTCCGTACACCACACGAGTACTACTCTGTTTTTTTTTTTTTTTTTTTTTTTTTTTTGATTTGTTTGTTTGATTTCTTTGTTTCCGTACGCTTCCCTCTGTCATTTTTGTTTAAAAAGTTTGAATTGTTTTGATTCTGGAGCGGGTACCGTTACGTGGACAAACGTTTTACTACAAAGATCTCGAAGCTTTAGCAAAAGTTTAACCTGACAACACCTCCATACAGCTCCTGATATTCTGCGAGGCCAAACCAAAGCTTGAGGTGACTGGCGTGGTGGTAACGGAACCTTTGTATTGACAGACAAGACTAAACAATTGGAATTAATTAGTAAGGGATTAGCTATTTTCTCTTGGTTTTATAGGTTCCTGTTTAGAATTCTTCGATCTGAAAGGACACAAGATTGTGGTTGGTGAACTTGACATATCGAAGTTCACTTTTAATACTTTAGAATCTTAATTTTAAACCATCTTTGATTATGGATCCAACACAGATGTTGCAAAGCTCTCCGGAGCTATTACAGAAACAGAGGATGATGAGACAAAACCAGCAACAAGCTAGAACAAGAATAAGACAACAGAAGCTTAAAATCACCTTTCTTGGTTATGTGGTTGTTTTAATCTTTTTCAGCATTTTACAATTTTTAGGTATTGGATTCTTCACACAGGGTTTCTTATTGTCAAGACAGGTCTTGCCCAACATTGCTGAATGTGAAGAAGGCTCCAATGGCTTCGGGGCTTGTATGAAGCCGGCAAAATTCGATAAAGCGGTATTTCTAATCATCGATGCTTTAAGGTTTGATTTTGTTATACCGGTTAATGAAAATGAAAATCCAAATCCCTATTATCATAATAATTTCCCAATACTATATGATTTAGTTCAGAAACACCCGGATAACGGTGTTTTATTAAAGTTTATGTCTGATCCTCCAACTACCACTTTACAAAGATTGAAAGGTTTGACCACTGGTACTTTACCCACTTTCATCGATGCAGGCTCAAATTTCAATGGGGATGCACTAGAAGAAGACAATTGGTTACTTCAATTACATAGACATAATAAAAGTGTGGCATTTATGGGAGATGATACTTGGAAAGCCATGTTTAGTGATTTCATAAACCCTGAATTAAATTTTCCCTATGACTCTTTGAATGTTTGGGATTTACATACAGTTGATAATGGGGTACTTGATCATTTATACCCCCTTCTACATAAGGATAATTCAAGCAATTGGGACGTCTTGATAGGTCATTTCTTAGGAGTCGATCATGCAGGTCATAGGTATGGACCTAATCATCATGCAATGAAAGATAAATTACAACAAATGAATCAAGTGATAGCTGATGTTATCAATAAGATCGATGATAAAACATTATTGGTCGTTATGGGAGATCACGGTATGGACTCTACTGGGAACCATGGTGGTGATTCATTAGACGAGTTGGAAAGTACCTTATTCATGTACTCCAAGAATAAAAAATTTCATATCAATAAGAAATCTTCCGATTTTTATAATACCAGTGACCTTGGCAAACATCATAGATCTGTAAATCAAATTGATTTAGTCCCTACCATATCTTTACTATTAGGATTACCAATCCCCCATAATAACTTGGGATTTCCCATCGATGAAGTCTTTGGCAATGACAAAGATTTATCACTTGCAAGTCATAAGACTGTACAACAAATTCAAAATTATAGAAACTTGTATCCAGAATTAGCTAAAACTGAACTATCAGAGAAATTCCAGTATTTTATCACAAACTATTCTCAATTCAGTAATAACAAAAAATACTTTCCAGAGATTATAAGACAAGCTAAGGATTACCAGTCGGAATCTTTAGAACATTGCAAAAGCTTGTGGGCTCGTTTTGATATGGTTTCAATTGGAATAGGTATCACTACTCTTCTCCTTTCATTATCTTTTATCATAACTTATTCGAGATCTATTCCTTCAGTTAGGGTCCTGACCATGTCTTTCGAGTTTATTGGATCCGTGATTGCTATGACTTTATTAGGATTAGTATCAAGTTTCTCTGTCTTTATTGTTTTAAAACCAATTGGATTCACTATAAAAACTTGTTTGGGTATTGGAACTGCATTGGGAATAACAATTGGTTTTTGGGCTCCAATTATGGATAGATTTAGCGTTAATTGGTTAGGCCACCAATTGTTCGATTTTTTAATTTATAATTTCAATAGTTGGTCATTTATGGGTTTAATATTTGTTGTTTTACACTGTTTGGTTTTTGCATCCAACTCGTATGTTGTTTGGGAGGATAAAATGGTTCTGTTTTTCATAACTACTTTTGGTTTTTGCTGTTTATACGGCTGTCTCATTAACACTACCAAATCCAAGCCTGAAAAAGTTTTAGGTATTACTCATGCTATTACCTTCATAATCCTATCAAGATTAACATCAATGATAAATTTATGCCGTGAAGAGCAAAGACCTTATTGTACTCCTACATTTACCACATCCTGGTGGTCAATCATCTTGTTGCATATGATGGCCTATATCTTGCCTGTTGTTATAAGATCATTTTATCATCTTTCAAATTCCTATCATTCCGCCGCACCTTTATGGATAGGGACCGGACTTAAGTTTCTTATGTTTATGAATGCTGTCTATTGGACTTTCGAATATGTTGAGAATAGTGACTATTTCCTGACTTTGAATTTGGGCTTGAGCTTTTCAGTAATGAAGTCCTTGAAGTTGGCAATTGCTAGGATTGTTCTATTTGTTGCATTAGTTTTGGCTAATTATAGTTGGTCAAGAGGGCCAATGTGTGTTAAACTAGAGCTTGCTGAAGGTGCTTCACCGGTGGCTAGCGAATCTTCAGAATCTTCGGAAGAGCAAGAAATCTCTGATCAATCAAATCAATCTAAATCACAAGGGACTGCCTCCATTTTGGGTTACCAAAATGTTTATGGCTCGTCTTACTTTTTGTTAGTTATTAATTTCACAAGTGCAATCATGCTTGTTACAAAGCCTTTAGGTGCCATTTCCCTCAATATGTTGATTATACAAATCTTGTCATTATTAGAATTATATGACCTTCTTGATATAAGAAAGAACTTAGTTGCTCCTATAATGTTTGGTTTATTAGGGTACCAACACTTTTTCAGTACTGGCCATCAGGCCACCATTCCCTCTGTTCAGTGGGAGATCGGATTCATGACCACAGAAAATATAACATTACCATTCACTCATCTTAACATTGCCTTGAACACATTTGGATCATTTATCATTGTGTGTTTGGCAATCCCTTTAATAACGTTATGGAAAATCTCACCTTCAAATAAACCAATAACTGCTTTATCCCAAATAATTACCAATATCACCACATTACTTAGTTATCAGACATTCACATCTACATCTAGTTTTATTTTTGCAGCCCATTTCAGGAGACATTTAATGGTCTGGAAAATTTTTGCTCCAAGATTTATGCTCAGTGGCTTGCTTTTGATACTATTCAATGTCACCTTGGTTTTTGTCACTTTGTGGTTTGGTACCACTAGAGTGCTATCCCAAGTTAATAGAATATTTGGCAAATAGGGTCAAGGGACTTTTCTCCATCTATCCTTTTAATTCTTTTATATTATTTCACACCATTTTCTAATTGCATGGTTTCACTCTATAGACACTATAATTATTTATTTAATCATACTTCAATTAACCTTTAAATTAATATACATCTAATCATAGTAATCAAGTACTTGTTTTGCTGCAACGGAAAGTATTTATGGAGTATTTACTCGCACTATCTGTTTTTTTTTTATTTTACATCTGTTTTTTCATACGTACTCATCAAAAACAGAACGGATATTTCAATTCTTAAAAGTTTAACCACCGTTAGCAATTTGAAAGATAGGTTGAATTGAAACTGATTGATCAGCCCAGTGAAGTACAAGAGACAGTTAATGAATGATCAAATTGAATAATATACTTGTGGTGCTACTTGTCACCTTCTGTCATCTTGTTGGGGGGACAGATCCAGAATATCCATATGATTCATCTTTCACCCCAAAGCATCTTAGATACCTTCAAAATGAAACAAGAGAACTATTCAACCATGCGTGGTCATCGTATATGAGTTATGGATTTCCAAACGATGAAGTGAGGCCAATTACTTGCCAGCCTTATGGACCTGATTTCAAGAATATCGATAATATAGTCAGAAACGATGCAATGGGTAATGTATCTCTGTCACTTTTGGATAACATAGATACTCTTATAATCATGGGGAAATGGGATGACTTGGAGATAGCTTTGAATTATCTTAAAAATGAACAATATACATTATTTGAAAAAGACACAATTGTTCAAGTATTTGAATTTACTATCAGATCATTAGGTGGGCTCTTGTCGTCACACTTACTCTTGACAGATATCACGAATAATAATATGTTACCTAAAAAATATGCTAGATTTAAAAAAATATGTGACGACTATGATGGATTTTTATTAGAAATGGCATATAACTTGGGCTTAAAATTAATCCCGGCTTTCAAAACATCAACAAATATACCATCACCAAGAATCCACTTGACAAAAGGTTTAGAGAAAGTCCCGCCAAGGCTACAAAAAGAGAATTGTTTATCTGGAGCGACGACTCCAGTATTAGAATTCACGTTGCTATCAAAGTTGACAGGAGACCCCCAGTTTGAATATTACACCCAATTGACTTTCTGGAAATTATGGTCACTGAGACTGCCACTAAACTTACTTCCAATGACGATTGATCCTGCTTCAAATACTTGGATGGACTCAATAACGGGTGTGGGTGCATCTGTTGATTCATTTTATGAATATGCTGTAAAATCATCTATTTTATTTGATGATGAGTACATGTGGACAGTTTTTAAAGCCTCATATGAAGCATTATTAATACATCTGGCACAAGGTGGGGGTCCACTGGATGGGTCAATGATTTTTGCAAATATAGACACTTATTCTGGTACGGTATCGTCCACTTGGATAGATGCATTAGGAGGATTTTTCCCAGGGTTACAAGTTTTAGCTGGTCAATTGAATGATTCAATAAAAACGCATTTAATTTACTTAAGGCTTTGGGATCATTTTGATCTGATCCCAGAAAGATGGAATCATATCTCGAATTGGAGAAAATTATCTAGGAATCCTCCAACCAATAAGAAAAAAGTATACAATTCCATACCGTTAGAGTGGTATCCATTGAGACCAGAATTTATTGAGTCAACATATTATTTATATAGGGCTACTAAGGATCCTATGTATCTACAAATAGGAACCCGAGTGTTAGAATTATTGAAAACCAGATATAAATCAAAGTGTGGACTCAATGGATTTCAAGATATTAGAACAGGACAATTACAAGACCGTATGGAGACTTTTGTTATGAGCGAAACTTTAAAATACCTTTATTTATTATTTGATCATAGTAATGAGGTTTTTTTACACAATGAAAAATTAATGAAGGGTAAGAGCTGGATATTTTCGACTGAAGCACATCCGTTATGGTTTGATAAAAGCGTTCAATCCAGGAACGTCAAATTATTAAAAGACAGAAACGTTACGAGTTCAAATTCACTTAACGAGTCTGATCAAGCAGTAAAACTGATTTTGAACTCATTCTTGTCCAAATTTCGCCATTCAACATCTAGCAAGTTAATTGAAAGTACAGATAGTCACTTGTTTTATAGGAACGTCACGTTGGCACCAGTGCAGCGGGAAGCACTACCAGGAATCGAAAAAATGGAGTATCTTGATGTCAAACCAGGATTTGATGATAGATTCTATGTATGTCAACGTAACACCCCCTTCAACAAACCCACCAGGGAATTCATGAGTTCAGGTTACTATACGTGGGGAAGGCTCTTCGAAGCTGATAAAGTTTTCGAAGACTCGTTTGTTAGACCTTATCATTTGAATAAAGATGGATTGACAAATAGTTATATTGAATTACTGCCGTCATTCTTATCCAAATATACCATGTTTGAAAATGGGCAAGATGACCTTCACTTGAAATGTGCTAGAGTATCCACTACCAGCGAACACGATTTATTTATTGGCGACCGAAACGAAATTACCACCGTTGAAGTATCCAAAATCAAGTATAATGCTAACATTTCAAATATCCCGGACGACAAGGATTTACCAATACTAGAAAATGACTTATGGGTACCGTTCTTGGACTCATTAAGACTAAGAATCGAAACATTGAAACCAGGGCTAATCGATTCCTTCAATGAAGAAATCACCGAAGACTACATTCAATCATTAAGACCAGACGATTTCGACGCTGCAAATGGTATCTGCAATAAAAAAGAAGCTAAGAACACTCTCAGCAACTTGTCGCTGGCATTCAGAATCAAAAAACTTAATGGAATCTTTGTAGATTCAGGACTGGTCATTTGGACTAGTCCCTTTGAAGTGCTGGATTTCATAAAAGACTCCGAACAAAGCGGCCAGCCACCGGTTCTTAACATCGGAAGCGACTCCAGAGTCCATTTACAAGGCACAGTCATCGAAAACCTCATGGTCTGGCCCGGCCCAAACTTGTAGATAGATATTTATTCTTTTAATGTACAATACTGAAAAATTTCGCCAAACCCAGTTCGATTCCTCAGACCGGAATCGCAAAATTGTGGGGGAGAATCAACCTATTCCTTCTACTACCGAAAATTAGTCACCTACCCTCAATTAGTCACCTACCCTCACCAGAGGTACGGTACTAAAAATATATAAATATACCCTATTTTCCCACGGGTTCAGATCAAAAGTCGATCTATTTTTCTGTTTCTTCATCATTAATCTTAATAGGTATGTTGCTTTGATCTTCTTGTACAATTGAATGGTACTTTGTTCTGGAAATGCATGCTTTTCTGCAGCTGTCGAGACCCACTTCCCGGCAATCAGTTGATGATCCCGTTCTAATTGCCGGCTATCAGTTGACAGGTTTATTGGTTTTGCAGAATTGTGTCGGTTGGGTCTTTCGTTTTTCGCCGGTTTTGGTGAGTGGTTTTCGTTTTTGGTGCGATGTCCAATGAAAAATGATAGTTATTCCGCCCGGAACAGGAGTGAAAATTTTAGGGAAAAAAGCTGAGGAATGAGTCAAAGAAATAACGAAAAAAAATTGGAGTACTCTTGGTGAATGATAATCCAAGTTTAGTGGTGATATTGAGAAGCATTGACACTTGACGTTCGCTCTTGTTTTCCCGATCAAAAAAGTTTATCAGTTGATTTTTTTTTTTGGCTGTTTTTCTTTCCCCTATATAAGGTTGTTTGTTCCTTGTTTAATAGCTATCACACGATATATAGCACGATGAGATCATTTTCCAGAATAATACCACGATTGTCTAGCGCAGGTTTGAGGAATACTAACAGTTTCTTTAGATATAAATCAACCATGGTCCAAGCTCCACTTGAAGCATCCAAAATTCAAATTAGCAAGACTAGTACTCCAAAGGAAAAACTTCCAAATGACAAATTAGTCTTTGGTCAAACATTCACTGACCATATGTTGGAGATCGAATGGACTAAAGAAGCCGGTTGGGGTACTCCCAAAATCAGTCCATACCATAACTTATCATTGGATCCATCCACTATTGTTTTCCATTATGCCTTTGAATTATTCGAAGGTATGAAGGCATACCGTGATTCAAATGATAAGATCAGAACTTTCAGACCTACCAAAAACATGATCAGAATGAACCAATCAGCTGAAAGAATTGCTTTACCTACCTTTGATAATGAAGAGTTATTGAAATTGATTGATCAATTTTTACTTATTGATGAAAGTTTTGTTCCAAAAGGTAACGGTTACTCTTTATATTTGAGACCAACTTTAATTGGTACCACTCCTTCTTTGGGAGTTGGTTCGCCAGATCGTGCATTATTATACGTTATTGCATCTCCTGTTGGTCCTTACTATTCTTCTGGTTTCAAACCAGTTGCTTTAGAAGCTACCGATTATGCGGTTAGAGCTTGGCCAGGTGGGGTTGGTAACCGTAAATTAGGTGCTAATTATGCTCCTTGTGTTTTACCCCAACAAAAGGCCGCTTCCAAAGGTTACGCACAGAACTTATGGTTATTCGGTGAAGAAGGTTATATCACTGAAGTTGGTACCATGAATGTTTTCTTTGTTTTCAAAGATGAATCAGGTAAAAAAGAATTAGTTACTGCTCCTTTGGATGGTACTATTTTAGAAGGGGTTACTAGAGATTCTGTTTTAACTTTAGCAAAAGAAAAATTACCAAGTGACGAATGGACCATTTCTGAACGTAAATTCACTATTCATGAAGTTTTCGATAAAGCTGCTAAGGGCCAATTGGTTGAAGCCTTCGGTTCTGGTACTGCTGCCGTTGTTTCTCCTATCAATAGAATTGGTTGGAACGGTAAAGATATCGATGTTCCTGTTGCAGATGGTGCTAGTGGTGAATTAACAAAAGACGTTGCTGAATGGATTAGAAGAATTCAATACGGTGAAGAAGAATTTAAAGACTGGTCAAGAGTTGCTCAATAATTTAAATGATTACTTTCTAGTTCTTTTCTATGTATTATAGTGTTGTGGGTTAGCCTCATAGAATATACCGTTTATTAATGATATTTGTAGTCAATGCGTAACAATATTTTGCAAAATTCGCAACAATTACTCACCTCATGAATCCATTAATAAGGACTGTAAGATACATCCTCTGAGAGCCTCTCGGTGGTAACAGGTGAAAGGTTAGGTGTGAACGGTAACATATGAATTGAGGTTAATATAGCAACTACGATAATAAATCGTTGAATCACCGAATATCTAGCCTAGAACAATACCCTTGGCTACACCGGAGCGGAAACGGAGCTCTACAGGGGGAAATTTCACGGTTTAGACAAACGGTTGGATAATCTCGTAATGACAAGCACCTAGAAATTCCATGTATTCGACCCAAAATGAGTCAGTATACGTAAATAATTTTCAGCCTTATCGAGACAAAAAGCGGCTATCGGCGCTAGTGCTCGGCCGAGGCCAAAAAGGATGCGAAAAACCAATATAAACAGTTTGCAGCTTTAAGAACTCTCCATTAAAATCTATGACTCACTACATGTATAAATAGGAAGCAAAACGGGTTCTGCTAGAGAGGCTAGCAATTAAATCAAGAAGTATTGAAAATGGCTGCTCCACTTGATGCTTCCAAAGTTGAAATCATCAACTCAACTACTTCAAAAGAAAACAAGCCTAAGGAAAATTATGAATTCGGGAATGACTTCACTGATCATATGTTAGAGGTGGAATGGACAGAAAAAGATGGCTGGGGTACTCCCAAAATCAGTCCGTACCATAACTTGTCCTTACCGCCTTCTTGCTGTGCTTTACAATACGCGTTTGAATTATTTGAAGGGATGAAAGCTTACCGTGGACAAGATGGTAAGATTAGGACTTTTAGAAATTATATGAATATGGCTAGAATGAATAAGTCTGCCCAAAGACTTGCTTTACCTACTTTTGACGGAGAAGAATTATTAAAGTTGATCGACCAGCTTATCAGTATCGATAAAGACTTTACTCCACAAGGATTCAATTCTTCTTTGTATATTAGACCTACCTTGATTGGAACCACTCCTTCCGTTCGCGTTAGAGCTCCTGATAGAGCTTTACTATATGTTATCCTCAGTCCAGTAAATTCCACTTATTTTGGTGGGAAAACGTCTTTGGAAGCTACAGATTATGCGGTTAGAGCTTGGCCAGGTGGAGTGGGTAATAGAAAATTAGGCGCTAATTACGGTCCAAGTGTATTACCTCAAAAGAAGGCTGCTGCAAGAGGTTATTCTCAAAACTTATGGTTGTTTGGCGAAGAAGGTTATATCACTGAAGCTGGGATGATGAACGTATTCTTTGTATTCAAAGATGAATCAGGTAAAAAAGAATTAGTTACTGCTCCTTTGGATGGTACTATTTTAGAAGGGATTACCAGAGATTCCATTTTAGAATTAGCTAGGGGTAAGCTACCAAGTGATGAGTGGTCTATTTCCGAGCGTCAGTTCACTATTCATGAAGTTTTCGATAAAGCTGCCAAGGGCCAATTGGTTGAAGCCTTTGGCTGTGGTACTGCCGCCGTTGTTTCTTCAATCAATAGAATTGGCTGGCAGGGTAAAGATATCGAAGTTGGTACCAGTAGCGAATTGTGCGAGGCTATTCTCGGATGGATTAAAAATATCCAATACGGTGAAGAAGAATTTAAGGATTGGTCAAGAGTGGTATGTTAAAATATTTACATTATATGATATATATATGGAATTAAATAAAATCTAATTCATGCAAAAGAGTGAATGTAAACTAAACTTTTCTCTCGATATCAGGTAATTTTTGAATTTCGCCTAAAATGTAATCTCTTTCATCGATCAAATTTGAATCATTGAAATCAGCAATATCAAATTTTTGGAAAAAAGCCATAAAGTTACCTTTATTTTTAATCAATATATCCAAAATCTTTTGTGATTTTTTTGGTTTAGCAACAAAAAATTTAAATATATGAAATCCTTCTAATTGTAAAATACTCAGTTTATCACTTAATAATAACATAATTAACTTCAAATTATTAGTATCATCGAAATATTTATTTAAAAACACTTGGTTTTGTTTTAGTAAAACCAACTCAGCTAAAAGTCTTACACTTTGCCTTTTGGTAACGTAATTATCTGATTGAATCAATTGGTTCATACTTGCATTAAAGATTTCATAATTTTTAGCTAAAAATTCTGAAACTAATTTTTTATGAATAGTTAATAAATCATGTAATGTATTGAATGCATCATTTGCAATTTCAAAAGTTGGAATTTTAACGTATTTGAAAAAATTCCAAAATAATGGACTTGATAGAATAAATTTATTTATTGATTCAAATTTGATACAATCTCTCAAAATTTGTCCGCAAATTAAGCTTACTTCTTGGTTTTCTGGTCCTTTTAATAACATTATAATAATTTCCGGTTTGGTATTTATAAGATATTCAACCGTGGGAGATTTACTCCCAATTTGACGTCGTAGTAAAGCCAGAAATACATTATAAACATCTTTTCTAGAGTCAAAATCCAATTTTTTCAAATTATAAATCATATTATAAAGACAATCTGTTTGATATATTTCTTGAGCTAACTGACTTATTTGATCTGGCTGGGGTACATTTTCGTCATCCCCATCAACTATAACTTTCATTTGTTTCAAAAATCGAGAACACTCATCTTGATATTTCTTATTACTATCATTGCTAGAATCAAGCTTGGAAATTTGTTCATTCAATGCCCGAACAAGATCAGGAGGTGTCTTTGGGTTTCTTTTGAATAAGAACGCCATGGTTAATACTTGATCTGTTTAAACTATCTTAACAAATACTGATTAATTTCAGTGGAAGGCCTTAAATATAATTCAAGATGATGGCTGATTAGATGAGATGCCAAAACTAAACAGACTTGGGGGAAACAGGGACAATTGCTATTGATCACTCTCCAAATTTCGTTCTTAGTCTAGAAATACTCTTGATTCTGTCAGCTAAGGCTGGATCGTTCCAATTGACTGTATAATTCACTGGTCGGCGGTGATTTTAAAAGGTTTGATCCGTTTGATTTCGTGAAGCGTAGGCTGATTTTTCTGATTTTTTTCCTTTCATTTGTGGATTTTGCATATTGAGTGCGCCGGTTTACAGGTTATCAGCGAGATCAAAATATATGGAAAGCCGATTTGAACTAGAATTGAATTACCATTTGGAAATGCCATGAGATGACTTCACAGGAGAATTCAAGGATAGACGTATGGCAGAAGGTGTCTATTAACAGGAGTGACCGGCCCATATTGCTTGAAAACGAGCACAACTTGTGCGTTCGAGATAACGTAGGGTTATATCAAGGTAAACTGAAGATTATCAATCGACAGAATGGGAGAATATATTTATCGAATAAAAGAATCATTTACTTGGACAACAAGGATAAAGGGTTATCTGTGAGTGTGAACCTTAATGATGTATCACTGGCCATATTGGTTGAGAAATTTTTGAGATCATCGCCTAAAGTAAAGGTATTTTTGAAATCAGATAAGCCAGTGCAAACTCAAAATCCCGGCATCGATGAAATACCAGAAAAGCTTTGTGATTGGGTATGCATGATATGCTCTTTTAATAACCAGGTATCGAATAAGGTTGATCTTGAGGAGGATATACCCAGCTGTGGATCGTGTGGAGTGAAAGCATCAAAGGCATTAATCAAAAGAGCAATTAGCAAAGTAGAGAAAGGATCCAAGGCCCCAACACCCATACCGGCAGTGGTGAAGCAGCAGGAGTTTTCATCGCCGTCACCTCCGCCTACAGAGACTAAAGACTCCCAATGTGGGAAATGTACTTTTATCAATCATCCGCTGATGAAGTACTGTGAGATGTGTGGGAGTGAATTGAGATCTGGCTTGCCAATTGAGCTACTGAAAAGATTACAAATAAGCCAGGACGTGTTACAAGTGGAACCAAGGTATAATAATCCGCTAAACATTAAGTTGGAAAATGATACTGAAGTCTATACTAATATAAGCCCCTATATTAAGTTGAGTTTCAGGAAAGGAGGAGAGGTTGAGTTTTGCCAATTGTTGAATGAGGCTCTTGATACGATCAAGTGGGATAGGTTGGTTAGTAAAGGAATGGTGAATGAAGATGCGGTTAAGCTTGAACCAGCCAGACGACAAGAAGAAAAAATTAGGGGTACTGGGATTCATAGTTTAGAAAGATTGGGAGAACAACAACGGAAGCAAAACGAGTTCATATTAACCAGTTCATTAGAGGATTTAGAACAATTAATGTATAAGGCACAAGACCTTATTAAATTATCGAGTTCATTTAGCCGCTTAATCAAACCTACAAGTAATAAGTTCAATAATACCAAAGTATTACCACAGCTTATGATTAACAAGACGTCTAATTTATACCATCGAGAACTAGCAAGACACATTAGTGAATACTTAATGAATTTCGAGCTCGTCAAGTCAACATCCATGATAACCCTGCAAGAACTATTTGCCAATTATAACCGATATTTAACGATGACCCAGGGCTTTGGCACTGAGCTTATTGGTCCCCAGGATTTCAATAAGAGTATTGAATTATTTGAAGAATTGAATTTACCAATCAAATCCAACACCTACTCCAAATCGGGCTTGGTAGTGATGAGTCAAAAATACCAAAATCAAGAGTTCTCTAATATAATCATTCAGTTCTTAGCCAAAGAAGAAGAAAATTTCAAGTACGAAAAGTACAAGAGCGAGCTATTCAAACATGGCGAGTTGGTGGAAGAGGATTTCGATTACTACTTGCACGAAACTTATAATTACTTCAAGGGAAACACCATTGCTGATATAAGTGATCATTTCCATTGGTCCTACGGGATTTGTATCGAAGAAATCGACAAGTGCCTTGATCTGGGTCTCATCGTGATCGATCAGGACATTAGTGGGACGTTTTATTTCATCAATAAGTTCCTGGACACCTACACCGAAGACGACGACTCGATCCTATCCCGCGTCAAACAAGATATTCTCTCCGAGCAAAAACAAATCAGCGAACAGTTGAAAATGAACCACGATTCCGCCAATAACTTGATCAACATCAACCCGCAGTTCCAATTTGGAATCGAAAACCAAGCAGAACTACGCATCAAGGAACTAAACCAAAAACACCCGCCCATCGGGCCCAGTGACTCGTTGAACGAATTGGCAGGACTCCAATTCTAGCCCCAGGGTTTTTTTGCAACTAAATAACTTAGTAAATAGAATACAAATACACTTTTTGCATTATCAACCTGCAGCACGTGACCGGGGCATCACGTGACACGATAGGCTTTCGCCAAATTCCGTCAACGCGCAAAGGCCCGATGGCTCGCTCCGGTGGCATCGATTGCAACAAAGCGACCAGGTATCTTTGGCCAATCAGATCCGAGTATGTGGGGATGGTGTTGGAGAGCATTTGGAGCCATAGATCGAGGAGATTGATGTTAGATCGACTTGAACAGGCAGCTGGGCAGCTAGTTTGTACGGATTTCAGTTTGAGTGCCAGCTCGAATGTTTGGGTGCCAGTTTGAATGATTTGGATGCCAGTTCAAATGGTTTGGATGGTCATTGGCCAGTGATCATTTGGTTTTGCAATAAGGCAGAAGTAGCAGGCCCAGCGAGGGCCCGACTGAGGAGTATTGACATCACCAAACATACGTAGGACAAATGAAGTGTTTGAAATCAACTGGCTAAAGGCAGTCGAGTAGCAGTTCGGGCCTGCCCGGGGAGGGTATGCCAAAGGTATCAGTTGTAATTTACGGATTTTTTCTTTTATGGTGGTTTATCGGTGATGGGTATATGCAGGCTTATCAGCGATGAATAAAGTATTAACAGCATCGAAGATCTTATAAAACTGAATTGAATTCCTTTTGATTTGTTATTCCAGTCTCTTTCATTAGATCATTCGAAATGTACGGTTGGACTGTGAAGCAATGGATTGACTTCCATTATCAATCAACACCAGACGATTCATTGAAACTTCTTGTACAACTTGTCAAAGATCAATCTACCAAAGATGCTGCTTGGATTAGTTTGGCTTCCATTGATCAATTGAAACATCAGTGGGATTTCTTACAGTCCAAATCAAATAAACTTGATTTGCCGCTTTATGGGGTGCCTGTTGCTATTAAGGATAATATCGATGTTAAAGGGTTTAAAACCACCGCTGCTTGTCCCTCTTATGCTTATGATCCATTGCAAGACGCGACCACTGTTCGTCTTTTAAGAGACGCCGGGGCTATAATCATAGGTAAAACCAATTTGGATCAATTTGCTACCGGTCTTGTTGGTACTAGATCCCCCTACGGGATCACCCCAAACACTTTCAATTCTAAATACGTGTCTGGAGGTTCTTCCGCTGGTTCTGCTTCAGTTGTGGCAAGGGGGGTGGTTCCTTTATCCTTGGGTACTGATACGGCTGGTTCTGGTAGAGTCCCTGCTGCTTTGAATAACTTGATTGGTTTAAAACCAACAAAAGGAATCTTCTCTTGTTCAGGAGTGGTTCCCGCTTGTAAATCTTTAGATTGTGTTTCAATCTTTGCTTTAAATTTAAAGGATGCTCAATTGGCTTTTAACTTAATGGCCCACCCAGATGGCTCTAATGATGAATTCTCAAGACCTTTACCTTCAAATCTTTTATTAAAATTTAAATCAAATCCAAATATCTTGATTCCACTGGACTTATTATGGCATGGCGAATCAGAAAATCCAAAATTATACGAAACCGCTGTTGATCACTTCGATAAATTAGGCGCTAATCTTGTTTCAAAAAGTATTGCTCCTTTACTTGATTTAGCTAAATGTTTATACGAAGGTCCTTGGGTTGCCGAACGGTACGCGGCTATGAAAGATTTCTATAAATCAAATCCTCCTGCTAAAGATTTGGATCCAACCGTTACAAAAATTATCAAGGGTGGTGAATCAATCTCGGCAGCCACTGCGTTTGATTTCGAATATAAAAGACAAGGAATCTTACAAAAAGTCAACGTTTTATTAAAAGACATCGATGTCATCATTGTTCCAACAGCTCCTTTAACTCCAACCATTGATCAGGTATCAAATGAACCAATACTCATTAATTCCCATCAAGGTACCTATACTAACTTCGTTAACTTGGCTGATATGTCTGCTTTAGCCATCCCAGCTGGTTTCCGTAACAGCGATGGCTTACCCTTTGGTATCACCTTATTATCTCATAAATATAACGATTATGCTTTGTTGGACTTAGCTAGCCGCTATTTGAAAGTTTACCACGATAAATTATCGGTTCCCCAATTTTATGGTTGTCTCAAAGATAAAAAAGTTACCGCTGATGACAATAACGATTTAATCCCTCTGACTCAATTACCAAATTCAGTTCTTAAAAATTCAGTTAATTTGGCCGTTGTTGGTGCTCATTTAAAAGGTTTCCAATTACATTGGCAACTAGAAGCAGTTAATGCAACCTTCTTAAAGTCAACTACTACTTCTTCAAATTATAAATTATATGCTTTACCTAAAACCGGCCCTGTTGCTAAACCTGGTTTAAGACGCGTGGATGCTGACGGTTCTAAAATTACCATTGAAATTTATTCTGTACCTAGTGAAAATTTCGGGAAATTTATAAGCTTTGTCCCTGAACCTTTAGGTATTGGGTCAGTAGAGTTAGCTGATGGTACTTGGTGCAAATCTTTTATCTGTGAAGAAGTAGGCTATAACTTGAAAGGAACTGTCGATATTACTTCTTTCGGTGGTTGGAAAAATTATCAAAACCATTTAAGTGAAAAAGATTCAAAAAAATTAAAACCTTTTGATTCAGTTCTTGTTGCTAATAGAGGTGAAATCGCAGTCAGAATTATCAAAACTTTGAAAAAATTAGGCATCACTTCAATTGCCATCTATTCAAATCCTGATAAATATGCTCAACACGTTTTAGATGCCGATCTTGCTGTTCCTTTAGACGGGGTCTCTGCTGCTGAAACATACATCAATATTGATAAAGTTATAAATGCCGCTAGAGAAACAAATGCTCAAGCCATTATTCCTGGTTATGGTTTCCTCTCTGAGAACGCAGATTTTTCTGATCGTTGTACTCAAGAAGGTATTGTTTTCGTCGGTCCTTCCGGTGATGCTATTAGAAAATTGGGGTTGAAACATTCTGCTCGTGAAATAGCTTTGAAAGCTAATGTTCCTTTGGTCCCTGGTTCTGATTTGGTTCCTGATGCCAAAGCAGCTCGTCAAATTGCTGCTAAGTTAGAATATCCAGTTATGGTCAAATCTACCGCTGGTGGTGGTGGAATTGGTTTACAAAAAGTTGACTCCGAAAATGATATTGAAAGAGTTTTCCAAACTGTTCAACATCAAGGTAAATCATACTTTGGTGATCCTGGTGTCTTCTTAGAAAGATTTGTTGAAAATGCTAGACATGTCGAAATCCAAATGTTCGGTGATGGTTATGGTAAGGCAATTGCTTTAGGTGAAAGAGATTGTTCTTTACAAAGACGTAATCAAAAAATCATTGAAGAAACTCCTGCTCCAAACTTACCTGAATCAACTCGTGCTGCCATGAGAAAAGCTGCTGAATCATTGGCATCTTCTATGAATTATAAATGTGCTGGTACTGTCGAATTTATCTATGATGAACGCAGAGATGAATTTTACTTTTTGGAAGTTAATGCTAGATTACAAGTCGAACATCCAATTACCGAAATGGTTACTGGTCTTGATTTGGTTGAATGGATGTTATATATTGCAGCTGATAGAGCTCCTGATTTTAATCAAAAAATCAATGTTACTGGTGCTTCAATGGAAGCAAGACTTTATGCTGAAAATCCTGTCAAGGATTTCATGCCTTCTCCTGGTCAATTAGCTGAGGTTAAATTTCCAGAATGGGCAAGAATTGATGGTTGGATATCTAAAGGTACCGTTGTTAGTGCTGAGTATGATCCAACTTTGGCTAAGATTATTGTTCACGGTAAAGATAGAGCTGAAGCTTTGAAGAAATTACGTCAAGCATTAAATGAAACATTAGTTTCTGGTTGCATTACAAACATTGATTACTTAAGATCAATTGCTAACTCAAGTATGTTTGAAGAAGCTAAGGTTGCTACCAAAGTTTTAGACTCTTATGATTATAGACCAACTGCTTTTGAAATTGTCAGTCCTGGTGCTTATACTACTGTTCAAGATTACCCAGGTAGAAAAGGATATTGGCATATTGGTGTTCCACCTTCTGGTTGTATGGATGAATATTCCTTCAGATTAGCTAACAGAATTGTTGGTAATGATAAGAGTGCCCCAGGTATTGAAATAACTTTAAATGGTCCTAAATTATTATTCCATCATGATGCGATAATTTCAGTTACCGGTGGTGAAGCTCCAATTGATATCAATGGCAAACCAGTTAAACAATGGAGCCCAATTCATATTAAGAGAGGTGAAAAGTTATCTATTGGTAAACTTAGCTCAGGTTGTAGAGCCTATTTAGCTATCAGAGGTGGTATTGACGTCAATGAATACTTAGGTTCAAGATCAACTTTTGCTTTAGGTAACTTGGGTGGTTACAATGGTAGAGTTTTAAAATTAGGTGACGTTTTGTTCCTAGGCCAGCCAGAATTACCAAGTTGTACTTTACCAGTTCCTGTTTCTGAACCTGTTGAGATTCCAAGAACTTTAATTCCTTCTTACGATTTCAATTCTACTAAAAATTGGGTTGTTGGTGTCACTTGCGGTCCTCATGGATCTCCAGACTTCTTTACTGACGAAGCTGTTAAGGATTTCTTTACTGAAAAATGGAAGGTTCATTACAATTCTAATAGATTTGGTGTTAGATTAATTGGTCCAAAACCCAAATGGGCCAGAGCTGATGGGGGAGAGGCCGGTTTACATCCTTCTAATGCTCATGATTATGTTTACTCATTGGGTGCTATTAATTTCACTGGTGATGAACCAGTTATCTTAACTTGTGATGGTCCTTCATTGGGTGGTTTTGTTTGTGAAGCTGTTGTTGCTGAGGCCGAAATGTGGAAAATTGGGCAAGTTAAACCAGGTGATTTAATTCAGTTCAAACCAATTTCATACAAGGAAGCCAAACAATTAAAATCCAACCAAGATAAAGCTATTGAATCATTAGAAGGCTCAATTCCAGAATTTGGAACCATTTTATCTAACCCAGAAAACCCGGTATTAGCTGAAATTGATGATTTATCTCATGGTGCACCAAAGATTGTTTACCGTCAAGCTGGTGATAGATACATTTTAGTTGAATATGGTAATAATGTATTAGACTTGAATTTGTCTTATCGTATTCATAAGTTAATTGAAATGGTCAATGTCAATAAAACAGCTGGTATTGTTGAAATGTCACAAGGGGTTAGATCTGTTTTAATCGAATACGATTCTAACATTAGTCAAGAGGAATTAGTGAAGACTTTGATTTCTTTTGAAAAAGAAATTGTTTTCGTAAATAAGTGGGAAGTTCCTTCAAGAATCATTAAATTACCAATGGCTTTTGAAGATAAGAGAACCTTAGATGCTGTCAAAAGATATCAAGAAACAATTCGTTCTGATGCTCCATGGTTACCTAACAATGTTGATTTCATTGCCAATATCAATGGTATTGGCAGAAATGATGTGAAGGATATGTTGTATTCTGCTAGGTTTTTGGTATTAGGTTTAGGTGATGTGTTTTTGGGAGCACCATGTGCTGTTCCATTAGATCCAAGACATAGACTTTTAGGTACCAAATATAACCCATCAAGAACCTTCACTCCTAATGGTACTGTTGGTATTGGTGGTAACTACATGTGTATTTATACCATGGAATCACCAGGTGGTTATCAATTAGTTGGTCGTACTGTTCCAATCTGGGACAAATTGACGTTAGGAGAACATTCTAATAATGGCCAACCATGGTTATTATCACCATTTGATCAAGTTGAATTTTACCCAGTTTCTGAAGAAGAAATTGATAAATTTACTGATGAAATGAATGCTGGTCACTTCAAAGTTGAAATTATTGAATCAGTTTTTGATCATGGTAAATATTTACAATGGATTCAAGCCAACAGCCAAGCTATTGAAGAGTTCAGAGAAAATCAAGGTGGTGATAAATTAGAAGAATTCAACCGATTAATTCAAGTTTCCAATGCAGATTTGGAAACCAGCGGTGGTCCAAAATTAAGTGAAGATGATAAATTCAGTGAAGATGCAGAAATGGTTTATTCTGAATATTCAGGAAGATTTTGGAAACCTTTGGCTGCCGTCGGTGATGAAGTCAAAGAAGGTGATAGTTTAATTGTTGTCGAAGCTATGAAGACTGAAATGGTTGTTGTTGCTCCAAAAGCTGGTAAAGTTGTTAAGATCTTCCATAAAAATGGTGATATGGTTGATGCTGGGGATTTAGTTGCTGTTATTGAATAGTTTTATTTCTTGTTATCTTTGTAATTATTTATATTTTGTTGTTTGTATTTCGTTTGTATTTATCCATATTTATTCATATTCAATTGTATCTGTTAATGTAAATTATGCTCTATATACCGTTAAAGCAGTAGTAAATTTTGATATTGGCGTCGTGCAAACGCGTTGAATTAATCAGAATCTTTATTTTGATTTTTTTTTTTCAGTTTTCCTTTTCTAATAGTTAACGAACAACTATTAACCTCGTCTTTCCATTATACAAGCAAGATGTCCGATCAAGCCAATATAACAGCTGCATCTCTATCTCCTGAGAGATGGACTGCGTCATCCAACGAGGCGTTACAGATGTTTGTCACTGATACTAGGGGAGCAGCCAAACCATTTCAACCAGTCTTCACATATCCAATCTTTGGGGATTCTGAAAGTATATTTGGATTTCAGGATTTAGTGATTTTCTTATGTTTTGACTCGGTGACCTTCCTTCCATTTTTGAATGTTAAGTTTAGTGCCAAATTGAAGGATGAAGATATTGAAGTTGACCCAAAAACTAAATTATTGGAATACTTACCAGAACTGACAATTTACAAAGACGAAGCCAAATGGCGTGACTTGATCGAAGAGGAACAAGTTGGCTATAAAATACCAGGGGACAAGGTAGAGGGAAGTGATTTCGAAAAGAATGGGGAGAAATACGAGATATATAGAATTGATTTAAATTCCGTTAAAGGGTTAGAATTACATAAACGGTTACAAATTTTAGTTTTGTTATTCATTGAAGCTGGTTCGTATATCGACAGCGAAGATCCATTATGGGATTTATACGTGTTATACCGAGTTAGCAATACGGAATTACCAGAGATTGTTGGGTTTACCACTGCATATAATTATTGGAAGTATCCAGGTTTTGAAAAATTTGATCAAGGAATAGTTCAGTTACGTAAAAAAATATCTCAATTTATTGTGTTACCGACTGATCAAGGTAATGGATTAGGGGCAGAATTTTATTTGAGATTATATAAATATTGGTTGAAAGATGAACGTTTAATTGAAATAGTTATTGAAGACCCCAATGAAAGCTTTGATGATTTAAGAGATCGGGTTGATTTCACTAGGTTGGTTGAAGAAGAAGTAATTGATTTGAAAGAATTGAATGTTGAATTGGCCAGCGATTCTAAATGGTATTCACAAGTTAAAAATCATGAAAAATTAGAAAAGAGACAATTTCTGAGACTATTAGAGATGATGTTACTTTACAAATTAACCAAAATCCCTAACCATGGTCTTGATAAGAAACTGATTCGTTTATTTATCAAGAAAAGATTATATGAAAAGAATAAAGAAGCATTGGCTACTTTAGACGAACCTACCAGATTGGATAAGCTACAAACCGCTTACCATTCGTTAGAGCAGGACTACTATCGTATTTTAGAGCCAGTGAAACTTTTGTCGGGTCCTCCTTTGAAGAAGGTCAAGGTTTAATATATTATTAATATATACTTACAGTTCTTTTTTGTATTGTAGCAAAGCATAACTAGTTAACCGAGCAAGTTCGATTGATGCATGGAAGTGTTTCAGCCAAAGCAGTGATTACTCACATGAATCGAAAATAAAGAACCTTAATAATTCTCGTAATATAAACGATATGCAGCATATAGTTGATGCAACTTTAATTTGACGTCAAAGAATTCGCAGCTTAACAAGAGGATGGACTTGACGAAGAGAATACTAGTATACAGAGCAAGCATGGGTAAGGCTTGTGATTTTATAAAGCAATTTTATCCTTGTTCCGGATATAAAAGCTCTCACTATTTCAGCTAGCGATGTAGATGCGAAGTAGTAGAGTCTAATCATGTCAATTTCCAAAATCCATGCCCGTTACGTTTACGATTCTCGTGGAAACCCAACAGTTGAGGTTGAGTTGACCACCGAGAATGGTTTATTCAGAAGTATTGTTCCATCCGGTGCCTCCACTGGTGCATCAGAGGCCATTGAGTTGCGAGATGGAGACAAGTCCAAATGGTTAGGTAAGGGGGTCACTAGGGCCGTATCCAATGTAAATGATATTATTGCACCAGCTTTGATCAAGGCTGGATTTGAAGTTAGTGAACAAAGAAAAATTGACCAGTTTTTATTAAAGTTGGACGGAACTCCCAATAAACGAAACTTGGGTGCCAATGCGTTGTTAGGGGTATCATTGGCCACCGCTAAGGCTGGTGCCGCAGCCGGCAAGATTCCCTTGTACCAGTATATTGCCCAATTATCTGGGTCTAAACAGGAACCGTATGTTTTACCGGTTCCTTTCCAGAATGTTTTGAATGGAGGCACCCACGCCGGGGGGTCTTTGGCGTTCCAAGAGTTTATGATTGCACCAACGGGGTTTGACTCGTTTTCGGAGGCGTTGAGGGTAGGAACCGAAGTCTATCATACCTTGAAGTCGTTGGCCAAAGAAAAGTATGGACAATCTGCCGGTAACGTTGGTGACGAGGGAGGAGTTGCGCCGGACCTTGAAACTGCAGAAGAAGCCCTTGATTTGATTGTTGCAGCCATTGAAAAAGCCGGGTATAAAGGATTGGTTAACATTGCGCTTGATCCTGCTGCATCCGAATTCTACAAAGAAGGTAAATACGATTTGGATTTCAAGAATCCGAATTCTGATAAGTCCAAATGGTTAACTGGGGAACAGTTGGCTGCGAAATATCAACTGTTGATTGAAAAGTATCCGATCATATCTCTTGAAGATCCCTTTGCCGAGGACGACTGGCAGTCTTGGGCGGTTTCGTATCCCAGCTTGGCCAGCCGAGTTCAGATTGTAGCTGATGATCTAACCGTCACCAATCCCATATTTATCAAGAAGGCCATTGAACAAAAAGCTGCCAATGCTTTATTATTGAAGGTGAATCAGATCGGAACCCTCACCGAGTCCCTTGACTCTGCAAAACTCGCGTACGCCAACGGCTGGGCCGTCAAGGTGTCCCACCGTTCCGGCGAAACTGAAGATACCTTCATTGCCGACTTGGTTGTTGGTTTAAGAACTGGCCAAATCAAGACGGGGGCACCTGCCAGATCCGAAAGATTGGCCAAGTTGAACCAAATCTTGAGAATCGAAGAGGAAGTCGGCGGCCCGGGCAAGTACCTCTACGCCGGACTCAAGTTCCATTCTGCCCACCTGTTGTAGCCCAGCTACTCGTTTGCAAAGTTGTGCACTGTGTGCCTGGTGTTAACACACCTAGTCTCTTTCTATTCGGTTAATATACTACACTAGAATTAGTAGTGGTAGTATTATGTATCCTGTTTTATTGGAACCTTTTATATCTTTCATATATATACATATCGAAACTTATAGTCAATCTAATTATTATCTTATTAAGATACATTTTACTTATATTTAAGTATTTACTACATCCTTTACTTCTCGTTGTCAAGATCGAAAGTAAACTATTCATCTTACCTACTAGATTATTAAGTAGTGAAAGTATCATACAAAAAAGGTCACTAGTGATAAGTTACGCGTACTTACCAATAATAACTGATGTGTACGGGCGTTTACTAAATGAATGCACGGATGTTTACTAAATGAATGTACGGGTGTGTGTGTTTCTGCCCCTCCTCAATTAAACAATTACGTCATTGGCCCGTCACAGTTTTTCACTTTTGACTGACTCGAGACACCACAAACCCTGGATTTAACTCCAGGTTTGACATGGGATGAGCATCAATTTCAAGTGGCCATCAGCCCGCACGGAGTAGGCCCAGAGCGAAGCACGAATTGGACCGGGTCCAGTGGGTAGGAATGTATGACCAGCACGTAGCAAGCACTGGCCAGGTTTAGTCTAATTTCCGCCTTTGGCAGCTTCTCTTACATTTTGTGTCTTGCACCATGCTATTTTCTCAACATTGTCCCGTGGACAATTTGTAGACAATGTTCAGTTAACGGTGCACCCTTCGGTCAATGGAAGGAGGTTTTCGGTCATTGGCCTGGTTGGGATGGTCAATTGGGAGTAGGAGGAAGCAGTTGTAGGGGCCCGCCTTTCCATTGCTCAATTTCGCTTTTATTTGTTTAGTTTTTTCTTTTGTCTTCGTTCCACGCAAAAAAGAGTAAAGAAAAACAAAGGGCCAGGAAGGGAAAAGATATATAAAGGGGTGAAATGGCCCGAAATTAGAAGCAAATATTTGTAGTAACGACCATATCAACTGGACGAAAACTTCAAAATGCACAGAACTTATTCATTGAGATCATCTAAAGCACCAACTGCTTCTCAATTGCAATCCCCACCACCACCAACTTCCTCAACCAAGAATCGTTTTTTCGGTTCCAAAGGAATTGCTTCTTCATTTAGAAAAGGGTTTGCCGGGGCCACTGGACCAGAGTTACTGAGAAAGTTGGCTCAGTACATCAAAATTGAAAAAAATGTTATGAGAGCCATCGAGTTAACTGCCAGGGAACGTCGTGATGTTGCTAAACAATTGTCATTATGGGGGGAAGAAAATGACGATGATGTTTCTGATGTTACCGATAAATTGGGGGTTTTAATTTATGAAATTGCTGAATTGGAAGATCAATATATCGACAAATATGACCAATACAGAATCACTTTGAAAACAATTAGAAACATTGAAGCTTCTGTTCAACCTTCAAGAGACCGTAAGCAAAAAATTACCGACGAAATTGCTCATTTGAAATATAAAGACCCTCAATCTCCAAAAATTTCTGTCTTGGAACAAGAATTGGTAAGAGCCGAAGCTGAATCCTTAGTTGCCGAAGCTCAATTATCTAATATCACTAGAGAACAATTGAAGGCTGCCTTTAATTATCAATTTGATGCTACTAGAGAATTGGCTGAAAAATACGCTTTAATTGCTGGTTACGGTAAAGCTCTTTTGGAATTATTAGATGACACCGCTGTCACTCCTGGTGAAACTAGACCTGCTTATGATGGTTACGATGCCTCTAAACAAATTATCATTGATGCCGAAAACGCTTTGGCCGGTTGGACCTTGGATGGTGCCGCCGTTAAACCAACTTTATCTTTACATCAATCAGAATACGATGAAGAAGAACCAAACCCAGAAGAATTGGAAGGTGCTCAAGAAGAATTTGCTAAACACGATGAAGCAAATGGCGTTCTCGAAGCAAAATAAGTCGTCTGCTTCTAAATATTATACTAGTACCCGGACTTTCGATAAGTCCTGGCGATCTTTTGATTATACATTCTCTCCTATCTGTATTATGTACTTCTTTTCTCAATTAATTTGCCCATTAATAATTTTTTCCTGTTTTCATTTTTAACCTTTTTTAATTGAAGTTCGTTTGACATTAGGCTTATTGTAGACTGAAATTCCATTTGCTCTTCTCAATGGATGAATTTGCTGGCTGACCCGTTTTTTTATTTTTTTCTTTCTTTTCTTGTTTTCGTTTTTGACTTGTTTGTCTTTCGGCATTCTCTGCTACCCTCACTCCCGGCATTCATCCTCGTATTAAGCCCAGTCCTCAATTCATGTTGAGGCCCCGGTAGGCGTCGTAAATTTCACTTCCTTGGTTCATAACACAAAGGGTACGGCAAAAACCAATATTGCAACCTCTAATAACGGTAACACAAACTAATATGGTCACCTTTTAATAAATTCACTGGGTCATCCTGATCCGTTTCAATTACCATAAAATCCCTAGTAGCCAATTCCAACACCGATACAAATGCTAAACTTGCTTTACCCCGATTGACATGAACTGATTTCGCAGGTATGAGATCACTCATTCTGATTTTATGGTAGTTACCCTCATCATTCTCCAAAAAATTATCTTGAATGACTCTGGGTATCTTGAGCCTTTTGTTCAGAATTTCTTCTTCGCTGATCGTAGTTGCAAATTCCTCACTCCGTTTGATCATGTACTGCACGAAATTAGTCAATCCTTTGTTCAATTCACCAACCTCAACCTTTTGGGTTAGGTGATGATTTGCGCCCGGGGTATAATCAATGCTTTCTTCCTCAAATCGATACAGATTATCTCCTTCATGAACGAAATCATTTGCTTGCACTGGATCTAAATCAACAGCTATATCCGCACCACGTATTTCGTCTTCTAGTAATTCTTCAATCGGTGAGCTTTGCCTAATTCTCTCTTCAATATAATTCTCTCTAGCTGCTTGGTTTCTACCAAATTCAACCGGTTCGTCATTATCAATCAACTTATTTTTTTCCCCTTTCTCATGAAAACCAAATCTCCTATAGGGTAATCTATTTTCCGGAATTCCCTTAGTAGCCTGATATCCAAATACATTCCGGTAAATGAGATTTAGGAATGGCGGATTAAATGCACTCTGCTCAGTGATTAGTTCTTTCAAATTGCTGACTTCCTTCTTCATTTGCTTTAACTGTGTCATTTGCTCTTCATAATGCTGAGAAAAACCCTTCATTTCCCCAGAACTGAATCGAATCACTTCGTCGTATTCAATTCTCCTTCTTTTGAAGGATTGCTGGACGGAGTTTTTACCTTTGGGTTCAACGTTGTTTATACTAAAATTATCTAAGTCAGTGGTGGTGAAATGAGGGTCTTCAAGAAGGGGACCTTCGGCAAAATCTAAAATATCAGGATCAACATCTTCGAGATCTGCCAAGGTGAAGTCTAATTCGATATTATCATCATCATCATCAGCAGCGTTTTTCGCTTCAGCCCTACGATTGTCGTCACTGATACCAAAATCCAATTCTTGAGCATTCTCTGGATAACCGATCGAATCAAAACTGTTTTCACTACCAATACCAAAGAAGTTATCCAAGTCTGCAGTTGGATCGTAATTTTGGGTCATTTGCCGGGTTTCAGAATCCATGAATGTCGAAACATAATCTAGTGTTTGATTGTTCCTCTTATCAATAATTTGCAACTCTACCATTCTTTGATATTTGACATCATTTCGCTTATGCAAAAGTTCCAAATCATCAAATCCAAGTGCAAATTCTTCTTCGATAAGAAACCCCTTGTCATCAGACAATATTTGCTGCAAACCGTCTCCAGCATCAACCAGTGAGAATATTGAACTTCCACCCTTTCCAATAAACGCCTTCAATTGTCTGTTGTAGGTCATATCGCTGGTACGTATGCTTCTTTGTAGGCGGCTATTGATCGTGGTAACATCACCAAACAAGCAGTCAATTTGCTGTTTATAAAGCAAGGAGATACCATACATCAAGTTAGATGTGGTTCTGAGAGTCAAACAACTCTTTGAATCAAAGACAACATTACAAGTTTTAGGAATTGAAATGAAAGTTAAATCACGTCTGAGTAGTTTCTTATGCGATTTAGAGCCTAAAGTTGCCAATAACCACACTGTGCTGAGACCATGATTCTCAGGGTTATTGATCATGGAAAGTTGTCCTGGAACGTATGGAGATAAAGCAGACATATTACGCAAATATGTTGGAACCTTTGGGTTAGCCTTGAAGTAGAAGTGGCATTCTTCTGAAAATGGGTGTAAAAAATGATCCTTCATTTTTGAATTATTGCGAAAACATACACCCAATTCTAGATAGGATCTTACTACACTAGTTGAATAAAACAAATCAAACCTATGGTCAGGGTATATAAATATAAAGGGTATAAAATTTCAGTTAAATAGAGGAAGGTAAACATTATCATGCAATCTTACGGTGAAGATTCTTCAATTTATCATAAGTAACAACCAACCATTTGACAGTCTGTTCATAGTCAGGCTTCAAAATAGCTTGTTGTAGATACGGGAAAACGCTGAGCTGACCACGGCTGGCAAGATATGCCAGGTCCTTGTCAGGAGTAAATTCTGGTAATCCATAGAAAATATGATTAAACCAAAGTTCTTCAGGTTTATCAAATAAAGGAAGTGTCTTGGATTTGATTGGATCTACTTGATCACCACTGCCTTTGGCAGTGTCACCAAACAAGTAAGTATAATCTTTCGACTTAAGTAAGAATTCCTTTTCAAAATGGAGAATTTTATAGTTTGCTACTTTGAATTTGGCGTAAATATGAACTTTCTTCAAATATTTATACCAAGCGTAATCCTCAATCAAGGAGTCTTGTACAGAGGATAAGTAATCATCAAAAACCTTTGATTGATCAAATAAGTTATTCAAAAGTATTTGAAAAGCATGAATGACATCATTGAATTTAATCGGATTATTTTCATCGAATTCATCCTGATCTCTAATATCGTTATAAATACTATACTTATTTATTAAATAAGTAGAGACGTTCTTTTCACTCCATTTTGAAAATGTTTCGTTGTGGTCCAATAGAAGGCTCTTGAAGTATTGATTTATGGTATCAAAATAGCTATGTGACTTGATATCGACAATTTCATGTTCACTTAAAGAAATTATCATTAATCCAATGTATCTCACCAACAGTCCATGCAACAACATATCATCATCAATTTCCTGCTTTGTTAGCCAGTCATAAGAATAATAATTCGAGTTGGGAAGATAGGCTGATGAATCACGTTTAGGATCATTTTCGAACTTGATATTGATTATGGGTGCACTCATATGGTTCTGAAACACTATGGCATCAGATTCTCTAAGTTGATATCCAAGTTTATTATTAATAAATAGTTTATCTTGTTTCCACCAGTAGTTATGTAATGTGGAATATTTTTCTTCGTCATCATCATCGTCGTCATTACCATCTGAATCATCTTTGGGTAAAGTTTTATAATGAGTGGAAAATTTAGGAAATGGTATGTACTTAGCTGTTTTTACTAATAACTCATTGAACAAAGGATTCGAATCAACTTTAAGTTTACTTCCAGTGACAGCAGCATCATCTATATTGACATAACAAAGTATTGGCTTCCTCGTACTAAAGACATCAGTGTCGTTGGAACTCAATTGTGAACCCAAGAGTCCACTATGAGATCCATCCCAAGAAATGAAACGTATATTTCTAAGAGGTTTCCAACCCAACTGCACTAATTTTTGAAAGCCTCTCATTATTTCAAATAAAATTGCATGATTACTCAAAGGGTCAGAGGAAGTCATACTATCTCTGGAAGCACCTATTACAACATCACCATCATTTAAAACTCCTTTTATGGAACCAACAATATTGGTGATTTTTCTAGGCTTTTCTTTAGAAAATATAGTATTCAAGTAAAGCTCAAGAGTAGAGTCTTCAGTCACTGGGTAATGATCCCAATTTTCAAAGTCTTTGCTCGAAGATGGACTAAGCGAATCCAATACTGGTTTAATGGCTTTATAAGAAATAGGGATAGATGGAATTTTGGGAAGGGTAAGATTATTAGCATGACTTATGGGTTGAAAAGCCACTGAATATCTCGATAAAGCTGATTGCAAAGATTTTAATTCTTGTTTATTGTAAGAGGAGACATCTTGGTAAACAATAAAGCCTGAAGCGCCATACTCTTGAGAAATTTGAACTTGTTCCGCCACGGACAAGATCTTGGAAGTCTTTGCAATGACAAGTTTCGAAGCGGGATTGATTCTATTTTTCAAAAGTAATTGAAAATCTTTTGTAGTTGCTTCGTTCACGAAGATATAAATTCCAGTGACACTTCCATTGAAACCAAACACATTATAGGCCGGAGTTGAAGATTTATGTTCGAAGAGTTTAGCATTATATAAAATCGACTGATCAGCGCTATTCAAAAGACTCAAAGATGAGCCCAAAGGTTTTTGAAGATGAGGCATATCGTAACTAAATGCTTGTGTTTCCACACCAAACTTATTAAAGTTATCCTCGACGAAGGAAATTAGGTCGATGTTATCATTTGTTAGCAAATTTGTTGGGCTTTGATTGTTAATAGCAGTGAAATTAGTTAGCCAGTCAGATATTTGTTCTTCATTAACCCGGTCTTTACCATTAGTTATACTATGTAAACCACTAAACACGAGATAACTCCGTTTAATATCGGCTTTAGTCAAACGAAGACCATGCCATCTTCTAAAATCCCTACTCATAGAAGTTCTTGGTAAAAAGGATAGGTGTAGAGTAAGGATAGCTAAAAAGCCTAGAGATACAAACCACCAGAATCGGCTTCTTGAAAAGTTGGGACTTATTGAAAAGTAAGATACTAAATCATACTTTGATTGTGTTTCTTCTTCATTTTCACCGTTATCGAAAAGTTCGTTATGATTTCTATCTAGCCTTATATCATTCAAATGATGTGGCTGGGCAATTGACCCATGATGGGACCTTAAAAACCGATCACTTAACAAAGGGGAAACCTCATCACTATCGCTCTGGCGACTCAAATTGGCGCTTGTTCCAGCAAAATTCTGACTAGAAAATCGATTTAAGCTAGCCTGCACTGGAGAGGAAGCACTCCGTCTTCTGTTTTTAAAGCTATCCAGCTTTCTAGATTGGGTTTGGCGTGACATGTCGATAATAATTGCAAGCGGGCAGCTTCGGATTGTTTTAGGGCAGCAATTGAAGGGGATATGCTATTTTGCAATTAAACAGCAACAAATTCACTGTCAAACGTAAAACTTATCTGGTTCAAGTCTAGTTCATGTAATGTTGCAAAATTGGTTATCGAGTAGTTTAACCTAAGATGGAAGATACCCCAATAAACTAATAAATTTATCCTTAGGTGCTGCTAGGCGTGAGAATTCTGTTTTTTTTTTTTATTTTATTTTATTTTTTTTTTTGATAGCAGAAAAAAAGGTAAAACCCACGGTGATAAACTCGAGTTTATAAACTGAAAAATTAGTCAAGGCTCAAGAAACACCCACCCAACAACAGTCTATTGACAACGCTTTGTAGTCGAGCGACGGAGTCGATGCCTGGGGCTGAGTAGTTGGTGTCTACTCTACAATTGTTGGAAAAAAAAGAGCATTTACAGAAGAAATGAAAGCAAAGCATTTGATGCAAAAAACTATAATACATTAAAGAAGTAAATTCATGATCGGGGAGGTTGGAATTGGATAGAAGGAATCATTTCATAAGGCTTGTAACAATTGAGATAGTTTTAACAATCGTAATGAATCGTTTTCGGCTTGGTTTACTTCTTTGACCAATTGCAGGCATGAGTCAGAATCATTCGTCACTTTTACAACACTTAGTTCAGGTGAGACAACTACTTTGTTGTTGGAAGCCAAAGTCATTTGGTAGTTATCACCAGCTTTGATTATATCGACTTGGTCACCTTGGTCAATGAAGAACCTCAATAGATGGTTAAGTTGTTTAATGAATTGTCCCTTTAGTTGCAATTCATTGGTTTCATCGGCGGGATTAGTGCCATTTTGCAACTGATCCGATTTCTTATTTTCCAAACTGACTAGAGACCTCTGTAGAGATTGAATTGATTCGAGTTTCTCTTGGTGCAAGCTGAATTTTTGTTGAAGTTCATTTTGTAGAACTTCCCAATTCTTCACGGTTTCTGATAACTGTTCACGGCCCAAGTCGATGATTTCGTTCATGTCTGTTATTTGGAAGTCGATGGCTTTGGGAACATTCAATAAAACCGCGTGATCTTCGTTACTTTCGATTTCTTTCACGAGATTATCAACTTGTTCATTCATCGACTCGGTTTCCTTGATGAAGCGGTTAACTTCATCTAGTCTACTTTGATATTGACTGTTTATTTCCACCACTTCCAGTGATAGAGCGTATAATTTGTCGACGTCGGTATACACGTTATTTTTCAAAGATTTCAATTGTGCTTTTGATGATTCATTTTGTTCGAGTAAGTTCTTAGTCTGGTCTATTGGATTAGCGAAATCATTTTCATCAAGTAATAACTGGCGTAAGAATTTATCTCTGGTTTCTTGTTCAAGATAGATAAACTTGAGTTTATTCAAATATTGTTTATAGTATCGAGTTTCCTCATCAATATTCTTTGGGTTGGTAGAGCTCACTCGGCCGCTTTTATCAGCAGACACATCAAGCGTGGCAACTGGACTGCTTTCAAATGCGGACCGCGCCAGAAGGATCAGCAAGTCATAATTGAGCTTTTCTAGTTTACTCTGGTATGCCATGGTGAGCTTGCTGTGTAAATACTTTGTTGTTTATGTTTCATTTTTTTTTTTGTTGATGTTTTATCTGATGATCTGGTGTTTGGGTTTTCTTACAAGGAAAATGTTCCACACTAGAAAGTTTTATATATATTTATATCTCTATTAAGTTACTAAATGTTTAATTTTTTTTATCAACCTCCACATTCTTGATTTTATCAATTTGCTCATTCAACAAGACTGGAACTTCCACTGCTTCGTGATCTTCGACGTTCTTAGTTTCCTTCTTTTCTTGTTGCTTTTCACTTGGAGTCATAACAAAGTCGGCAAAGTTAACTTTAGAGCCTTTATCATCATCTTCAGCGGTTTCATTCCATTCTTGCAATTCTTTTTCGTGTTCACGTTCAATGGCAAATTCAACAGCTTGCAAGACGTTGTCACACAAGTGTTTTGGTTTATATTTTGGTTCGGTACCAGCTTGGTAAACCCCAGTTTTGACCAAGATGGAAAACCAAGAATCGTCATGAGAATTGGCAAAACGAATATCCGACTCTGGAGTATCACCAACGAAGTAAACGGTAGAAGCAGGAGGTAACTGTAAAGTGATTTGTTCCTTTTTGGTTAATTCCCCAACTTTACCAACAGCATCACCAGCATCTTCTTCTTCTTCGGATTCATAGTCACCCGATTCTAATTTAGCTTGATTAATAATTTCTTCACCTTCGTCATTAATTAAGATATCAGCTTGAGAAGCGTTTGGATCATTAATTGATAATTTTTTCAAATGTTCATCAAGAACCCCTTGTCTCCATTTGGTTAAAACTTTATTAGCAAATTTAAAAGTACCTTGTTGAGGTTTACCAAAACGGTTAACCTTTAATTCTTTACCAGTGTGCTCTCTATATAAAGCGGCAATAGAAACTTGTAAAGCACCCATACCGTATCTTGATAATTTATAATTAGTTGCCCAAATAAAATCAGAATGGGCAAAATAGATTTGAGGACCTTCATCAAAAGATTCAGAAACAGTACCCATAACCCCATTTTTAGATAATAACAATTCCAAGATGATTTGTTGATCAGCAGCCCAATTTCTCAGATCGGCAAAGACTAAAACGGCATCAATAGAAATCTTGGAGAAATCAACGTCTTTAGTACAGGTTTCTTCTTCTTCAGTTAAATCATGATATGGAGAAACAGCAGGGTTCCACTTCATGACGTCCAAGGGAGTATAAACATTTTGGAAACCATAAGATTCAGCAACATTACGGCAAACATTACCAACCCCACCAACAACCAAAACATTCTTATAAACCCCCACAAGATCCTTCATGGGAGTATGACCTTGAATGATTTGTTCTGGAGTAATGGTGGTATTCAATTGTTCAGACAATAACTTGGAACGAGCCGATTCGGGTTTCCCTCCACCGTTAGTAACAAAAATCGAAGGAACAGTGATATTATACTTATTTTCACCATTCAATAGCTTCATGGCTTCGATTGCTTCCGGAATAACGTTTGGACCACGTAATATCACCCCATCGATATCAAAACAAAAAGCATAAGAAGCAACTCTCTTATGATCAATAACCGTCTTCTTCTTTCTTCTAATAATAGAAGAATTTCTAGATAATTTTGCTAAGGAATCAACTTTTTTCAAATTCAAGTTAGATCCCAGTTTTTGTTTATTCAATGAAGTAGATGATGATAACTTGGTCAACCCATTTTGCCACTGATTCAAATCAGAAAGCGATAACGAAGAAACACGATGTTTTCTGGTCATTGGCGTTAATTCATCAATCCCATCATTATTCAAATATGATTGAAATTGAGGACTCTTATCTTCAACAGCTGATTCGTTACTCATGGTGTATTGCTAAGTATGTAAGTAGATAACTATTATAAGCAAAAACTTTCCAATCTACAGATTCTCCCTGGAATTGGCCTAATTTATATATTTTAGGGGATGCTGTGTGGGTAGGTTAAGTAGTAGCAAGAAATAAATGATCCCCACACACACAAAAACTGATGCTGGGCGTGGCCGCACCATGTCTTACAACTTTAATCAAACCACCTTCCTACAATGGCTATAGTTACTAGCATTACTGCAATAACTAGCTTGTCTGCGTTGACTACAGCCCACCAAGGAAGCCATGGCCAGTGATGGAGTGGGCACTGTGGTGACCGGGAGGTGGAAACGTGTGGGTATGATATAACCAGTCATTAGGAATAGTCTCACAATAGTAGTTAACTTGCTATAATAAGTTATATTTGCTAGTTGTGCCCAAATCTATTGCTGTAAGGTTAGTTCACCTTGCATTTGTAGAAGATGAGACAGAATTCTCTGGAACGAACACTGGGAGAACGTTAGACGAAATTTCAATGAACCAACGGAATATTCCATCGGATTCTTTCTGCTTTGTCCAGGGCAGAGGATGTTCCGATGTTTACCAGTGTCTCAGACACTGGTACACGACGGGTTTAGTTACAAGCCACCCAATTGGCAGGGTCACGAGATGAGATAACGGCAATTATATAGGTAAGAATATACATTAAAAAGTAAGAAAAAGAAAAAAAGCAGTCACTTTGTCAGGTTGGAAAAAAGTAACTTAAAAGTAATTAAAGTAAATAAAACATCTCGAGAAACAAAAAATAAAGTAGGAGTGGAAAATAGTAGCATCGAAGAATTATTCATCTTCATTTTTTTTCATTCTGGCAATTTTAACTAGAGGACTTAAACTGGCAACATCATCACTTTCCATAATGAATTTGTCACTTAGTAACTGATCAGCATTACCTCTTTTATTAAAATCAACTTGTAAACACCAGGATAAAAATTTACGGATATCATAACTTAAAGCTTCTGGTTCTTTTAATTTAGGAGTACCATTAGTAGCAATTAAATAAAGAGCCCTCAATGGAGTTTCGTTAAGATAAGGAGGTTCCCCTTCAATCATTTCAATAATCATAATACCTAAAGACCAAATATCAACTTTTGGACCATACTCTTTACGAGAAACAACTTCAGGAGCCATCCAGTAGGGAGTACCAACCATGGTAGTTCTTTTCAAGTTGATTTCATTAATTTGGGCACAAAATCCAAAATCAGTCATCTTGATATTACCATCGATATTTAATAAAATATTATCACTTTTGATATCTCGATGAATAACCCCTTTGGAATGTAAGAATTTTAATCCTTTCAAAGTTTCTCTACAAACTGCACCAATTTGTCCTTCAGTCATCACACTATGAGTGACAATTTCAGTTAAGGATCCTCCTTCCATGTATTCCATAATCACCCATAAGTCTCCCTTTAATAGATAAGAATCAATAAAATTAACAATGTTTGGATGTTTACTTCCTTTCATAACTAAAATCTCATTAATAATTAATTCCTTTTTAGGTTGTTGATCCAAATTCATTTGCTTAACGGCAACAGTATTAATCAATTTATCTTGTGCAACTTCATGTGCTATATAAACACCTCCACTAGCACCTTGTCCAATTTTAACTAAATCTTTATATTTGTCCTTAGGGTTTCCTTCCGAACATATCGATTGTAATTTATTCAATATTTGTTGGTTCTTACGATTCTTATCTTCTCTCTTCTTTTGGGATAACATTGCAGCCTTCTTAGCATCTCTGACCGGTTGTTGTTGTTGATTATGTGCTTGATTGTTTTGATACTGTTTCAGTGAATTGGTTCTGCTAACTTTCTCCGTTGGTGCTTGAGCATGCTTACCACTACCTCCAGTGATTTGATCCAACGCCTGTTGTGGTGTTGGTTTACTCAGTTGTGGTGGTGGTGGCGGTGGACGGTGTGATTGCAATTGCTGATCTTCTCTTAATGGTTCCATTGGTGAATTGGTATTACTACTAGAAAATCGCGATGTCGCTTGGGTTGGTGCTGTACTTGATCCTTTTGGTTCTAATTGAACTTGTTTAGATAATTGTTGATTATGTGATTTGGATTTTGGTATCTTATTAGAAGTGAGTGAAGATCTTTGTTTTTGTTGTTGTAACTGTTGTTGTTGTTGTTGTAATTGGTGTTGTTGTTGTAATTGTTGTTGTTGTTGAGTAATTGGTGGTACTGGTGATGATGATGAGCTATGGAAATGACTATCAGATAACTTTCTTGATGCATTTCTTAAAGATTTGATTGATTTAGAAGAAAAGGATCTTCCCATAAAACTCTTCTTACTCAGCAGTGGAGAAGTTGGGGTATTATTACTAGATGATTCACCACTTGTCTTGGTAGATAATTGTTGTGCGGGAGGTTGATTAGCTTGAGCTGGTTGAGTTTGAGGCTGAACTGGTTTTGGTGCTGGAGTGGAAGGTGGTTTTGGTGCTGGCCTACTTGGTATAAATTGATTACCTTGATTGGCATTAGCACTAATACTAGAAGTAGCAGTAGGAGTCCTTGGTTGAGATTGAAATGATTGTTGGGGAGTTTTTTCAAGATTAGATGTTTGAGGAGTTGAATCAATATTACCGTCCAAGTAATTATAATTTTCACTAATTGGAGTAGCTGGAGGACTAGATTGGTTTAAAGATCCACTACTAGCATTGGAACTATCGGTGGTTGAACTAATATTATTGGAACTGTTACGGATTGTGGTTGGACCACCAGTAAATTTCTTAAAAGCAACGTCATCAGGATTTTCATGAGTATCTTGATAAAATGCAACGATGTCCATAACAGCTTGAGGGTGTTGTTGTTGTTCCTTTCTTGAAATACCACTGGCACTCAATAATCTTTCCCATTCTATTGGTAAACCGGTATAAGAACCATTATCATCTACACCAACATGAGCAACATGAGTAGCATTAAACGGCGTACTAATTTTCATATTTAATTCTGGTGAACTACCACCATTAGCTGAGTTAGTACCCCCATTGATATTGGAAGATGAATTTTTTTTGTTAAACATTGATGAAAAAACACCTCTTACACGATTACTACCACCACTTTTCCTCTTTTTAGTAGACAATCCATTCAATTTGGGTGAAGGAGTATGTGGAGTAGTTGGGTCTCTTGGGGATTGTGGTGGAATGAAACCTTGAGAGCCATTTCTTGAAGACGATCCTCCACTTGTACTTGGAGTTCTAAAACTTTGAGGTTGTTGTAAGACAGGAGTGGTATTAGCTTGATTACCTGACGCATTTTTAGAGGGTGGTAAAGGAGGACTTCTTAAAACAGATTGGGAAGATGTATTACGAATTGAAGGAGATGTAGTGGAATTTCTAAAACTTGGTTGATTCTTTCGTTTAATTGATGATGAGCTATTTGAAGAAATTGATATTCTTTTATCATTTGGGTCATTAATACCTAAACCAGTTAATTTTGTTTTTGAGCTAGATTTGGTTTCATGATCAATATTATCATCGGTAGTTGGGATTTTATCTAATGATTTCGAATGATTGATTGAAGCGTCATCCTCTTCTACTATACTAGTTTTACTTTCATTTGAATTAAGCAAAGATTCTAATTTTAAGTCTTGAGGAGGTTTAGGTATTGACATCGAAGGTTTACCAGGATCAAGTAAAGATTTATAATTTTGATATTGATCAGAATCCAAATCATCAATTGGACCTTTTAAATCGGGGGTTTCAATTCTTGGAGCGTCATCATCGTCATCATCATCATCTTTAGTATTATCAGTTAAATCGGTTGATTCAACCGTGGAATTGGCAATAGATTCGATTTCTTCCTGTTTATCTTTAGGAGGTTTAATATCGATGAGATCATTGGTGGATTGTTTTTGTAAAGCAAATACATCATAAGTACCTGGCATTCGAGGTAAAGAGCCGGCAGATTTTTCCTTTTCAGTGTCTGATTCAGTCTCTTCGCCTTCGGTTTCAGTGGCTTCAGCCTTATCTTCATTAGGGAGTGTATTATGCTCAGGGATGATTTTATCAGTATGATCTTCAGTAGCCAGTTCATTTGGAATTGTTTCGTGAGTTGGCTGAGTTGGCTGAATTGTCTCAGTGGGCTCAGCTTCAGCTGGTTCAGCTGGTTCTTGGACTGGTCCATCACTAGGCTTTGCAGAAGGGACTGCCGATTCGGCATGGCCATCCCCGGGTTGGACCGTCGTGGTGGAATCTTCAGTGGTATCCTCAGAAGGGACATTTTCGCCCGCCTTAGACTCGGACTCTTCTAAATCATCATTATTATCCAATTGTATAGGAAGCTCCACGCTCGACGAAGCATCGATGCTATCAAATTTAAGCTCTGGTTCATGGATAGGCGACCCCAAATGAGGAGTCTTTCTCGACTCATCGTCTTCGGAGTCTTCAAGATATTGGTTGACCAAGTCGTCGTTATCATTGAGAGTGGTATTTGCCGCGGTTGAACGTTGCATTGATGATGTAGTGGATGTTTGAGGCGAGTTAATCACAGAATCAACCATCGATTTAACCTGCTGAGGCACTGGACTGGCACTCTTCTTCACGTCGTTCAATGGCACCTGAACTGTAGTATCGTTCTTCTCCATGTTCACCGAAGGTGAACTTCTTTCAGTCATTCTATCTTGATTATTGATTAGAGAGCGGTTATTCTAATTAGATCGATATATATATGTATATGTATACATATACGTATGGAAATAGGAAGTCTCTTGCCAAACAACTTAGCTGCTATCACCTGGTGCGAATGGATTGAAGGAATGAAGGCTAGTTTACTGATAATCGATATCAGCAAGAAGTAGTTGATAAGTTTATAAATTACTAGTGGACGTGGAACGTGAATTTTTTTTCTGTCTTTTTTTTTCCTCCTACTGTTTTTGTATTAAAAACCTTAACTTAAGCGCTCAGAGTAACAAAAAAGAACAAAAAAAAAGTTTCACTAACAAAAAATGGTAAAAACAACAAAAAAAAGACGAAACCTTTTTACCAATTGTATACTACAGCCATACTTGGGTAAACATATACCCTTGTCTACATGTAGTCATACATTCACACTGGCCGACAGATGACTTAAAAGACCTATTCGGTATCAGTCAAGTATGAACGCTTAACAATAGGCTTGTTTTGATGTTGTTTTTTTTGTATTTTTCATGAATTTTTTTTATTTTTTTTATTTTTTTTTTTTTTGGTTTGTTTCACGAGTCCCGATTACGTAATCGGCTTTTTGGTTCTTTTCCATCGAGTCCAGCCACCGAGCAAACACCCGCACCGCTCGATTGCACTGGGGCTACCCAGTCCAGCTGGTGACGGCGGTGTTCCCTGGTGGAGTTCTAGACAGGGTTTGATGGTTATCTAGACTGGCTGCAGAGGTTGTTGGTAATTTCAGCAGGATGCTCGTATCCGTTTTAGTCAGATCCTGTACAGTTTAAAGCGGTTTGCAGGTTAGAGCCATCCAGACAAAGATGGAATTACGGGTTGAGCCATTTGCAGGTTGTGTATTTAGAATTACTGCTAAAATATCTATCTACGACCAAGGACACTGACATTACCGACATTTTCATCGTAGATGTAGTTACCCTTTTTCAAGTAGGCGAGAACGCTGATTTTGATTTTGCTTACCCCTTTGGAGGAATGGTTCCCGCGGCCGGTGATGATGACCAAGGGCTCGACGAATTCGGCGATGGGGCCGAATTTTTCGAATTTACCGTCGGATTCACGATCGTTCATTTCTTGAGTCCACCAGTCTTTCAAGCATTCGACCACGGCGTCCATGGCGCTTCTGACTGATAAACGGTGTAAGTCCAAGTCGGAGCCCATTCTCCAGCTTTCGATTCTGTCACGCTTGACGGATTCATCTTCCTCGATGAGTAATTGACGGTACTTGGTTTTCATTTCTCTGCTAACGTCTTTATAGTAGCTGGTTACACCGCTTGAGTTATTGGATAGCCTTGAGAATAATAGTTGATTCATATTCTTATATTTTGCTCTTAGTTCATCTTGGTTGGTATACGAAGTACCAACAAGGCTGGGTAAGATCACCTTCTTCTTTTGCTTGGGTGATTTGGCAATCACCTCTGCTGAACTGGGGGTGGGGGGTTCTCCATGAGTCAATTGATATCCATCATTTTCGATGATAATCGTGGCAACTTCAATAACTTTTATATAATCTCCTTTGAAAAAAACAATTCCCTTTTTGAAGAATAAATCACTCATTTTAGAAAATTCTTCATTACTTTGGTAAATGGCCTTTAATTCTTGCACTTCGCTGCTATTTTCATTATATTCATATCCCTTTTTACTGGATATACTTCTAGTGTTTTTATTCATTCTTCCTCCTCTTTGCACTCGACCATTAACCCGAGGACTTTCTTGGTAATTATATATGATATCAATTAATGCTTTAACAAAATCATTAGAATGTTTACTCAAATAGGATGAGATCTTATTACTCTTAACCCCGGTTACCAACGATAATCGAGTCAAATTCCGTTGGAATTGTTCATGATATTCTTGAGTCTCCTCTTCCTGTTTCAGCTTGAAAATACTCTTTGATTTCTCAATAATTTTAAAGTCATTACTCACTTTCCCATTCAAAATTGATTCAATTGTCATAGTTGAATCTTCATTATGCTCATTATACACTTGGTTTAATATAGCAAGGTCAAAATCAGGGAACATCTCCTTGATTCCTAATACCGCTTCGCTATACCGCTTATCTTCGACTCTTTTCATGCCAAATTTTCTCTCTTGTAATTCTCGTTGTTCTTCCCAATCAATATCAAAATCAATTTCAACATCTTCTATATCTAAGATTTCGTCCTTTTCATAGAATAATTCGGCTATAAGTGAGTCAATGTCTTCAGTGGTTCGTACTCTCAACTTGATTTCACTCAATGCTACTTCGGGGAAAATATCTTGTAAAATACTAACAATCGAGAGAAAGTCGGCATCTTCTTCAGATTCACTTTCTAATTTAATCGACAATAATTCTTCTTCGCTGAATTCAGGAACTCGTGGTTCATCCTCATTAGTTTCATCTTCAAAACGAACATCTTCCTTCAACTTGGTTTTCTCCTTAGGTTTGGTCAGCTCAGAAGCTTTTTGGTCAACTTTTGACTCATTGGTATTCTTCCTTTCCGTTGATTTAGCCAATTTCGAATCAGAGTTAATAGCTTGGTTTGATGCAGCTTTATTTGGTAAAGCTTTATTTGATGCAGTTTCATTTGATGCAGCTTTATTTGATGCAGCTTTATTTGATGCAACTTTATTTGATGAAATTTTATTTGATGCAGCTTTATTTGATGCAGCTTTATCCGATGCAACTTTATTTGATGCAGCTTTATTTATATCAGAGGGGGGTGTATTATCTTCTTTAGTCAAATGCATTTCATTTTTAATGTTATCCTTGGATTTTGATTTCGACTCTTGTTCCCTATCAACCAAATCTGCTTTCCCATTTGGTGACTGTTTACTGGTCTTAGGCTCTTCGGTATACATCTGCTTCGAGTCAGAACTATTTGGTGTCCTCACATTCGACTTCTTCTCCGAATATGCAAATCCATTCAGTTCTTCGAACATGACTTTATTCTCGGAGTACAACTCGTCTAATTTCTTCTGAAATTCAATTTTCTGTGATGACACGTCAAAGTTTTCGCCCTTCTTCAATCTATGATTAGTGTAGTTGGAGAACCCTTCATTCAAAACTGACTGAACTGTATTTATTTCTGGATCTAAAAGCCAATCGTTATCTTTCAATTCCTTTCTGGCTTGGGATAAGTCAGCCTTGAGTTGCTTGGACATACTTTCAAACAAAAATGATTCCTTGGAGCAATCTTCCTTGATAGGTTTACCTTTACTCACATTTTCGATATCAGAATTCAATGAACTCATCAAATCTTTAAACTCCTTTGTTGGTGACGGTTTCAGAATTGGTTTGGGTTTCTCTATTCCATCATATAAACTGAATGACTCATTGGATATACCACTATAGGTCGAAGAGTTCTTACTGAATCCTTGGGTATCTTTTGTCTTATCTTTTACTGACTCTTCTTTTGCACGGTTCTGAAGTTCATCCAGTTTTATCTTTTGCTCCAGTTGTGGCTTTTGAACAGCATTCTTTTCTATTTCCTTTTTCTTACGCTTTTCTTCCTCGATAATTTGTCTTTGTTCTTCTACTTTTTTTCTTTGAGCTTCAATAACTTCTTCAGATACTGGGGGTGGTAATCTTGGCTCCGCCTTAGTCGGCAAATCTACTGTAACGTGATCCTTAGGGATAATAATTCCCTTTAATTTATCCTTCTTATTTTGTTCTTGTTTCACTTTTAATCTCTCTTTTTCACGTTCCCTTTGTCTTTCTTTCTCTTTTTCACGCTCTTGCTTGAGACTTGTAGTCTTCTTCGCTGAAGCTACATTTTGCACTTCCGATGAACCGTCACACAATTCTATCAAATGTGATGGCGGCTGAACCTGTTCCAGGAAAATAGATTGAAAATTTTCGGTGATGCTAGATTTGATTTCCTTATATTTGTCTGATTCAAGGGTATATTGGGGGAAAATCAAACCGTCCACTAATATTTCTTTAGACCTCAAAACTTTAGGGGAAGAATCAAGCTCCAAAACCTCTTCGCCCTTGAGTGGAAAGTTGTTAGGTGGAACTGAACTCTCCCTTAGGCGATGAGTGGATCTTGTTACAATATTCTTTTGAAGCTTGATTGGGTTCTCGTAACACTCCTTAGATGTTGACATGCCAGTATTATTCTCCTTTGAGTCAGTGGCTCTATTCTTAGTTCCACTATTTGATTTAACTTGAAGAATCGGAGGTTTTCGCAGGTCGCCTTCTTTGCCTTCGGAAATCTGGTTAGGAGAGCCAGGAGCTGCATGTGTCTTATCTTTAGATGATTCGGTTGATTGTCTTACGGAAGATCCTTCGATATCGATATCATTCCTGCCAAAGGATGAAGATGAGCTATCATGAAAGTCAACCTGAGGAATTGTTGGAGCTTCATTATTCTCTTTCTTCATTTTGTTTTCGGGGCTAGATTTCGCATCGTAGAACTCTTCATCAGAATCAATACCACAAGCTGTACCTTTTACTGAGTCAGGCGCATTTTCACTATTAGAATGGATTGGCTTGTTCGAGGAATCGATTGTTTCCGTTTGACTAGAAAATGACAAATCTCCACTGTGTAGAATAGTGTTATCTTCTTCACTATGTAAGAATTTTAAATCTAAGTTATTCTCTAGTGGTTTCATCAAATCATTCTTGTTAGATGGCTGTTCCCATAAGCGAGACGGATTAGAATTTCCCCAAATATTAGAATTCAAAAACTTTGTTGGAGCTGGGTTTTGTGAGCTATGCTGATTTTGTTTCAATAGAGGAGAATTAGACCAGAAATTTGAACTTGAGTTTGCATCAACAAGTGAAGGCTGCGGTGATTGGGTACGTCTATGACCCGCGGAACCTAGCAAAGAGTTTTGAAGACTAGGCGAGGCAATACGACTAATTGAGTCATTTCTCAACGAAGTGAATGGGCTATCATCTAGCTCCCTGTTAAAAAAACTTTGCTGTGTCGTATTCGAATTGGATGATTCGTTGGAAGAACGTGAGGCAGGTGGCGTGAAACTAGTTGATACTTCAGGCTGCTGTGTTATACTGTTAGCATTTATTAAGTTGGCATTAACATTGCTTTTTATCGGGGTACTTAAATGCGTGTTCAATGGTTGACCTTCAATCAATACATTCCCCTGGTCGTTACTATAATTGGGTGAAAGAGCCGAAACATGTCCATTTGTTATAGCTTGAGATTCGGTATCGCCATTACGAATTTTAGGTGAAATCTCCAGTAATGTATCTTCAGGTAGGATTGCCAGTACCGAGTTTTTAATTGGAGCACTGTCCAGTTGCACTGATGTATTCACTGCACTGTATGTATGATGTTTATTATAATTGAACTGATCAGTTGAGAATCCTTTGTATAGCGAGTAGTTCATATTCATACAAACCACAACTAAAAAATGAAATTCATTACCATCAACCATATCATACAAGGCTGACAAAAACGGAAAAGCATTAAACCGAGTTAGCAATTCAAATCTTTCCAAAAATTTAGTTTTTTTTTCTGATACACGTTGAATCATATTAAATGGTCTTATTCCATCAAGGATTAATTCCACGGCCGACTTTTGTTTAAGTTGGGCTATTGTTCTAGATATGGTAAAGGACAAAAGACCAGATACGTAATAGACGAGTGGGTGGTACTGGTTAGGTGAAATTTGAGGAATTTCCAAATGACTTATTAAATATGGAATAGTATCTTCGTCGCTGATTGTAGAATGAAGGGTTTTCATAAACCGTTGCACACGAAGTCCAACATCCTTATTGCTAACCGCAATTCTAAACCCAAGAATCTTTATATGAGCAGGTTTATCATCTGCAGTGGTTGCTTCATCATCGCTCGATTGGAAATCTAAACTTGGCGATTTACTACCTTTTTTCAAACCTGGAGACTGATGTTTTAGAATCTTGCTAGGTGTTTTTGTTTCGACATTTTTCAGCTTCTTCGATCTTATAGATCGGTTTTCTTTGAGCTTTTTCTCTATACGAAGGTCTATAGTATTGGGATTGAAACAAACGGGAATGTCTATGAAATCGGGGTATTGGATAATATTCGATCCATGTGAGTTCCTCCTTGGGACTTTCGACATGGTTGTTCCGAATAGTGAAAAATTTAGATCGCCAAACAATGAAAATTTGTGAATCTGCTCTTTATTTGAGCTACTATGAACTTAGTGTTTCAATTGGCCGTAGTATAGATCACCTTATAATCATTCACCAATGCTTCAAAGGTGTATTCGAAGAGAAAAGAACGAAAACGAAAAAGAAAAAAAATCTGAAAAAAAAAAAAAAAAAAAAAATAAAAAATAAACTTAAAAAACAAAAAGAAAAACGCCTATTGAAGGACTAAAACACTGAAATGAACAAGCAATTGTAGATTGTCAGTAAATGAACGTCTATTCAGAGAAAGATAGACCAGATGGGTTGGAAGAATAACCAAACCGTGTCAGCTGAATTAAAAGGGTTAACGAATTCGAAAATGTTGAGAGAAAAACAAAAGATTTCGAACACCCGATACATGGTTTTACATTAAACGTAAATTGAATTATTTAGAACTATAATAGATAGAAGGAAAAACGTAAAACTCATAAACACTCGTGAAAGATCTATAGAATAGTATTAACAAACACTAGTTCGGGAACCCCGTCTTTTTAGAACAAGAGTTTTCAAAGCTGAAAGCCATTTAATCATTTCCTCTTCAGAATCAGCACAAAACCGTAAACGTTTCTCTGGGGTTATAATGAGTAGACACCAATTTTTAGTTTTTGATAAAGGATCTAACTCGATAACATCCACAATATCCTGTATTGGGATTACCTTATAAGGTTTTGATAAATCCAAATTATTTTTGTGAAATGATATGTTTTCATTGGTTAAGATGATATAAAATTTACGCCATTGGTTATATCTTTTACGGAGTCTTAGAAGATAACCTTGTTCAATGATGTATTCATCAGATCCACCAATATTTGTCTTTGGTGTTGGTACAGGGGACGATTTGGGTAAACTTGCTGGGGATTCCAACATTGGTCTGGGCAAACTTGGAGGAGTCGAAGGTTTATCGAGAGAGTCTTTATCAGTGAGTGGGGATGGACATGTTTCTTCTTCCTCTGGGTGTTCCAATAATATGGGAGAAGGAGCAAAAGTTGGTTCTTGATGGTCTCTCAAGGACATTGGTGAATCAAATCCAGAAGAGAAATACTGATCTTCACTTGATGATAAATCCAATTCTGTTAATGCATTTGGCTTAGTGAAATGATAGTCTTTAGCAGGAATTATGCGAGATTCCGTTGTTGGATTTTCATTACCGTCATCATGTTGTTGAATGAATAATTCTAAAGCATTTATCCATTGATTATAAGTATTTTGATCGTCTGTTTTCCAATGGATTCCTCTGTTACTGGTGTAGATGGCAAAATGGTGTTTGTTATTATTATCCCGTATGGCAGAATACGATAATAAATTGGCTCTATTGATAACGCAACTTGGTTTATGTTCAGAACTGTCTTTATAGTAACTAAGTTGACAATTGCGTAACACCACCCATCTTTTCTGCCACTGATGGGTCTTATGAGAACGTTTTTGTAGCCATGATGACATGAGAATCCGGTTATCATCCAACTGTTCTCGGAATGAGTCCCGGTTCCCATTTTCTACCTCGACTCGATCATCATTACAAAACTCTCGATGTTGATGAGAAACCGAACTTTTAGTCCCTTGGGGTGAAGAACTAACAATTTGTCGATTAGCCGCTATAGTCATGATCAAATAATATGAATAATCCTGGAAATTGGGGAATTAGTAACTGGGAATTGGGGAACGTTTTGATTTAAAAAGAAAAACTGGGGTTTTATATATACCCAGGAACAAAACTATAAATATATTTTCAGTAAGCTAAAACCCATCAATAGAACTTCAATATAATATAACTTGACAAATGACTTTGCAAACCGGTTGTGATGGTGAACGGCAAGTGGGCACAGATGACTTATAACTATACCAACTCTATTGAACCAAAAGCACTTTGTTCATATTAGTAGCCTTGTCAATTTTGTTCAGTTACGCTGGTAAGCCTGATATTATAAAAGAACATCCGTACATATCATACTTATTCCCTTATAGTTTCCCCAAATTACAAGCTACTGTTACGCTATCCCTTTTACAATTACGCTATTCTTTTAAAGTCGATACAGGAAATTAAGGATTTGATATGCATGTTAGCATAGGTTAATTCAACTTAGAGGTGAAATTTGACTAAAAACAGTATCGTTGCAGTAGTGCAGATGAGAAGGTCATTATCTTTCTCCATCCAGTAGCTCAATGACAAGTGAATATCCCCTTTCATGAGATTAGATTCACCAGGTGCATTTAAATTGTTCCAGCATCGATATGATTTTATGATTGTTGGCAAATCAACAACAATCATGAAAAGGGCTGGTTGATTCAACAAACAATCACAAAGATTAGGGGAAAAATCTCTTCGTTGAGGAAAAAAAAAAGTTCACTGAAAAATTTTTCTCTTTCTACTCTTTATTCCTTCTATTGTGAAGGTATTGATTCAAGTATGTATATTTGGTTGATTCTAGGAACATATCAAGCCATTTGAATTGGCAAAGATGATTATAACGAGCCCTGGAGGCTCTATTTTTATAAACCCAGCTCTTCGATACTTTTTGTTTCATGAGAAGAATAGTTAAGATAGATGATTTTTGGAAAAATGGTTGTTTGATATGTTGCTTCAAGTTGGAAGAATAATTTACTAACAAGACTTTTTAAGGTATATGGGTTAAACTATTGTAGGGTAAAATTATAAACTATATATTATACAAAAAGTTGGGTGATTAGGCTTCATTTTCCATTGCTTGCTTAATGACACCAATTATGGCACTGCTTTGAATCTTGTCATTACCACCTTTGGAAATTCCATATTCTATATCACTTAGGCCCTTTAAGATTTCAATACGACTTCTACTTTTCAATTCAAACTTGTTCAAAATCTCTATAAAGCCACTTATTAAATCAATGAGGGCTAATCCTTTAATAACTTTGAAAGTATTCAAAGTCTTATAGGCCGTAGTCCAATCGTCTTTCAAGATAGAGTCAAGCACCGTTTCAACGTCTTTTGGATCGGGGGCCCCAACACACTCATATATCATTTTAGTATCGATTTCATCGTCTTCAGTTTCCAATGCTGCCTTACAGGCTTGTAATACATTAAGGGCTCTTCTCATATCTCCACCCGATAATTTCAATAACGATGCTTCAGCTTCCTCATTCAATTTTAGGTTTTCCTTAATGATAACGTTCTTAACTCTTTCTTGGATCGCTTGTTCAGGTATAGGATGAAATCTGAATCGGGTGCATCTTGATAATAATGCCGGTTTTATCTTATGAGCATAGTTTGCTAATATACAAAATCTGGTGTTTTTAGTATATTTTTCAATGGTTCTTCTTAAACTATCTTGAGCTGGACCTGTCATTGCATCGGCTTCATCCAATATAATCAATTTAAACCCTTTGCTGAAAATTTGCATTGTTGATGCAAAATCTTTGATTTGATTTCTAACAACATCAATCCCTCTATCGTCGGATGCGTTCAATTCCAATACCATATTACGATAGTTTGGCCCGTATATTTCTCGGGCCAATGCTATGATTGTCGATGTTTTACCAGTACCTGGCGGCCCGTAGAATAGTAAATGGGGTAACTTCCCTTCATGAACAAATTTTTTAACCGTATCAACTACGTCTTGTTGACCATAAACTTCTTCAAGTGTTGTTGGACGGTATTTTTCAACCCTATGTTATCGTTAGTACTCCTCTCGCAGTAAACCCTCTCCTTCCAGACATACCATGGCAAGTTCTTCTCAGAGTGTTTGCTTGACATCTTATGCTGCTGAAGTATAATGATCTCTCCAGTGCTTGATGAGCGTCTTGAAATATTTCAGACGCGTTCGGCTTTTCCCATTTCCTCTAGTTTACACCCGTACATCCTACTGGCCTACGATAACAGCAGCATACTTAATAATATATTTCATTCAAATCCTACTTGGTAGCTTAGCTAATTCATAAAAAACACATTAAACCAGAAATCACTGGCTGATCAGCACATCGACGTCCTTTGAGATATCCAAACGAACGTTGAGCATACGTAACTCTCTTTGTTTGAATTCTGTAAAAGCATTATATAACCCACTTAGCAAGGCCTCTGATGAAGCCCCAACTTGGTTTTCATTCAATGCCCATTGTTCGATGATTTCGGCGTTGGTGAATTCAATAGCTAGCCCGTAGAACAAAGTGTCATAAACATGCTTGACTCGCTGGTGTAAGGCTTCTTCCGTATACGTTGATAATTCAGACACTAATCTCGTTAGTGATTCGTCCAGCACAGGGAAATCTTCATTAACTGGAGTCAAAATAACTATAGCACCAAAGTTTGCCTTTTCTATCGAGAGTTGCTGATCGTCATGGTAATCCTGGTCAAAGTCATTTGCTCTGGCCCAAACGGACGTCAAGAACGTAAAGAAAGCGATGAGATATGTGATTTGCATTGTCCTTCTTTGATATCACTTAAGTTTGTAGGAAGAACAAGTAGATCATGTAATTTTTTTTTTTTAGGCACAGCTTATCTTAGGGTATGGGTGCAATTTTTAGGGGTTCACCAGAAAAAATGGTAGGAAAAGCTTTAAAAATCCAGTCAAACAAGCACTTTCAGCACTAGTTATTACAAGTAAGCCTGTATATATTACCGTATATAATAAAGAATAACCGTACAAATGAAAACTTCACCTATGAATGACTATATGTAGAGTTGGAGAATATGGAAAGTGAATACCACCACTAATAAAGGCCAATTCACTAGTATGGATCTAACTGCGAAACTGGTACTTGACTCAACGATCCCAACAAAGTTACAGGAAACATACCCTTCACCAGCATCCCAATAGTAAGATTGTTTTATGGTATCGTTTGTGAGAGGACACTGGAAGCCGAAATCAGCAGGACAGTCTCGCACAATGGCCTGACAGACATTCACACAGGGCAAAACTTCATAATAGTTGAATTCTGGTTTTAAGTCTTCGTCTATGAAAGTACTCCTTGATTCTCCCACGGTACGGTATTTATAGCCAGTACGATTTCTAGTGGTACATCTTGGAATTGTCACCGAGCATAACCAATCCTTATACAGTTGGGCACAATCGGTACAAGTTTTGATGGGGGAAAAGACTGCGTCTTGGTCGGTGTCACAGGCGATTTGTTGTAAAGCTTTTGAAAAATTGGTGTACAAGGTGTGGGCATTTTCATCATACATTGTCTTCAACTCCCTTTTATCTATTCCCTTCACCGCTGGAACGGAATAGGCAACTCTCGAGCAAAAATCAAGATCGTAAATTAATTGGCAAGCTGAATTATCTAGGGTTTCAAATTCAAATGGTTGATAAACCGCACCACCAAAACTGGTTCCTTTAAAGTCAGAAACCAAATAGGCAATATATTTGGTTGACTCATTCAAACCTGATACATAAAACTGTTGTTGCAATCCACCATTTCTATCTGTATAACTACTTTGAAAATTCGAAGTTGAAAATAGCGCTGGCCCATTTCTAACTGCACACCAACTACTATTCAAAGTGTTAAAGTAGTCCTTATAATCATAAGAGTATATAAATAACGCATATTGAGATTCAGTAGCATTCAAACTAGTATAATCATTGGAAGAAGTCAAATTACCAGTGACAATTAATGCAGAATCGTTATCAGTATCAACTAATGAAGCCCATGTTCTATCATCCCACTGGAATACCAAATCATTTTGAGATACACCAATCTCGTACGACCATGTTGCGGTTCTATTGGTTAGCTCAGGAGCTTGAACCGCAATATATAAAATCGAATCTTCGTTTTCATCACTATTTGAAATTGGGACATCGGCTAAACCTTGGAAGTACCCATTTTTGAAAGTTCCTAGTTGACCAAGTTCAAAGTTTTGAAACATGGATGAGTTAAATGAAAAATATACATATAAACTAGTCTCATTAGCTTCAATACTCTCTGGCTGTTCGCAAATATTACCGGTTAGGAAAATCAAAAATTGATAGTATTCACCTAATCCACTTGACGTGTTGACACTGAAAGAATAATATTGATACTCACTTTGTCCTATAGTATTTCTGATGGGTGTGAATTCCAGTAAACCTTTCAGTTTATCATTTCTCAGACCTAGAAGCTGAACAGCTGCAGCTGGTTCTTCGATATCTAGATCAAATCCAACATCATATACGTAGTTCGGTTGATCGATTACTTCTATTCCGACACTTAGATGAATGAAAAATACGACTGCTGTGATTATCGTTAGGATGGAGCGTCGCATGATATCAGTGAATCATGTAATATAGCAGCAACTTGACTCCTTTTATCCACTTGAATATACATCTTAAAATATTGTAATCTAGATAAAAAAAAAATCGCTTGAATATGTATGGGTGTTTTTGGTTGTTGCACGATGCTTCAACGGTTCTATATACATTTAGCAACCACTACAAGATTTATTGATTGTAACATGAAAAGGAGATAAATATGTACATTAATTGAAATGACTTTCATTAATAAATATAAAAGGAAAAGTAAAGGAAGCTATACGAATTGAATAAATAAGGTTTAGACTTTAAATAAACTCCAGAATTTATTTCTACCCTTCTTCTTATGTTTTTTCTTATCTGATGAAGAGTCTTCATTATCTGAAGATTGTTTGGTCAACATGGTGATGTCAGGATGAGACTTTAATGGTTCTAACACTGGTCTGGATTGTTTCGAATCGATATCATGGGATAAGGATTTCTTTAAAGATTTATTCTTTTTCAAGAGTTTTTTCTCTTCCTTTGCTTGTTTCTTTAAATCTTTTGAAGATAGACTACTGGAGGAATCAGTCTTAGACAAATTTTCTACTTTTGAATTGTTGTTATTACCAATGTTTATACTGTCCTTGCTTGGAGACTGTAGATCAACAAATTTCAAAGCACTCTTACGAGGAGGTTCGATAGGCGAATGCTGTTCTATATTGATGGTGGGAGGCTGCTGTTGTTGTTGCGGTTGCTGTTGCTGTTGCTGTTGTTTTAATTTCAAATTTCTTTTCAAGTCTTTATAAGATAAACCAGGAGTTGAAAGAGCAGCACTCAGAGTAGATTTAGCATGTTCTAAAGGTTGAAGTAAAGACTTTGTTTTATAAGGAACAGTACCAAAAGAATTTGAACCAGTTATCGCTCTGGCCAATTTTGAACCTTTACCTCTAAAGTCAGGATCAACTGAACGAACTTCATCACAAAAAGTTGATGATTTATCTGAAATGACTTTAACAAAATTACTAAAGTAATTTTCATCAATTACTTCTTTTTTGCAAGCTGTTAATTGTTCATGAAGATTATTTTGATAGTTTTTATAGAGTTTTGAGATTTCATCGTAAGAAGAATAAGAATTAGCAGACGAATCACTTCCTACTGATTCATCCGAATTAATAGATGAACTATCATCGATTTGATCTTTTTCATGATTGGCATCAGAAGATGAAAATTCCGAATTTGTAGAAACAATTGAAGACTCATTTGATAAACCAACTCCAGTTTTCCCAACATAACGACTATTAATTTCATTTTGTAAATTCACTTCGAAATTAGACATATTCATTGCTGGTACCACTATAACTGGCAAGGGAAAATTTTTCACTAAGCGATCAGTTAATTTTGAAGATAACCAAGATTTTAGAGGAGCACTAATTCTCATGTTTGGTTTAGTACCAGTAGAAACAAGACTTGGTTCATATAACTTATACATTTCTTTTAAAACACTTTTCAGATTTCCTTCGGCGATTTCAACCGAAACTTTAGCAATGATATCTTTATTAATAACCTCCATAATATAAGTCATGATATTTTTAGCAATGAATTTAATATATTCAGGACGATTTCTTTGACGAGATCTCATTTTAGGAGTTTTAGCAACAATTTTTTGAGGACTTTGATAATTAGAATATCTTCTACGAGACGATAAATCATGATTGATGGCCAGCACGACAATAATAGAATCACCGTGTTCGATGAAGTTTCTCAAGATCCAATCCAAAGCAACCCAAGTATGTTTACGACCACTGATATAAACAAGAATAACTCTCAGGGGTAAAATGGGTTTTAACCAATTATTTTCTTCGTTATATAATTTATGAAGGTATAAATCTTCGAATTTTTTATGAAATTTAGTGAAAGTACAACCACGATGGGTAATAATTGGTCTTGTTGGATAATCTGTTCTATAAGGATTTAAAAATCTTGAAACATCCGTTGAATTATATCTCATTGGACTTAGCATTCGACGATTTGGAGAAGTACTGGGGGATTCTAAAGGATTACGGCCAAATTGATTTGGTGAAGGAGATCTAGTAATACTTCGATCCAAACGACGACCTCTAGATGCATTATTAAAATTAAACTCATTAATATTTGAATTATAACCTTTATAATTACCAGAATAAGGATCTAAATCAGAATCTTCATAATCATCAAAATCATTATCAAAATCATCACTATATTGAATATTTATAGTATCAAAACTAACTCGTTTTTCATAATTTTTCTTAGTAAATGGTTCATGTAGTTCAGCTCTAGGTATCAGAAATTTAATATTTCTATATTGATCTGATTGACGAGCTTCTAATTGAACGAGTAAATCATCCGAAGATTCAGATCCACTGGATGAAAAATACCCTGATCGGGGTCGAGTCCCCTTGGGATTTTCTATTTTATCACCATCATCATTAGAAGAATCGTGTGCAACTGCAAATAAGTCTGGTGTTGTATTATGATGGGTTAGTGGAGGACGGGATGCCTTTTGGGTGCGGGCTTCAGCGGGCGAGACGTCCTCGTGCACTCGCGGAGGCGAATTGGCAGCTGATAATGAGGTCATCAATTGAACTGCTTCAATTTGTAAATCTATATCTTCCTGAGTTTACTAGTGGAGCAGCTTCTATTTTTTGGGCTTTTGTTTTGGTTTTTCGATCTCTTCTTCAGAAAAAAAAATTCTCTTTTATGCTCCTAAGGTATCTTCACTACTTCCGTAGAATCGAGAAGAATCCAAACTTGTTTGTTAATGATCTGTGGATGCAACTAGAGATTTAAACTGGAATTACGGAATTTTTTAGCTTCTCGTAAGTTTTGGGCTGATTACTTTGGATACACAACAATAATAATATGTAAATATACGTGATTTCAATACGCTATTTCTCCTTATAACATTATCAACCTTATCCGACTCCAGCTTTCTAACGTAAAGGTTCTTGCCGTTGTCATTCTATTTTTTTTTTTTTTTTCTATATATTGAAACTTTAGATAAATCCATTGTGAGCCGGCCGTGTACTGCACAAGAGCAGAAGCTGGGCTTTAGTGGCTTTCTTTTGTGTTTGTGCACTACTTGCCTTTAATTGACACAAAACGGGTGGGGGTTGGGCTACGGCTTTAACATTTAGCAGTCGTACTATCTTTATAGATGTCTATATATATGTCTATATAGATGTATATATTGGGTAGCGATGGTGTAGTATGGGTGTAGTGGGAGAGGGAGTGTTAGTGTAAGAGTAGTATGGCAGGTGGTTTTCAGTGACATAAAGCCTAATTCCAAACGCTAAGTTGGCAATTCAACCGGGAGAAGATCTGAAGGAATTGACATGATTAAGAATGGGATTGGTTTAGTTTCCTTGATCTATAAAGCTTGGCTTGGTGCTGGGTGTATCCCACGGTTGAAAGACCAATGATGACAGTAGCAATGACCAACATGATGTTTATGGGGGTTGGATTCATGTTGAAGTTATTGTGAGTTGCTTGATCCAAAAGACTTTGACCAAAGTTGATAATACCAGAGATACAGATGATGGAACCGTAAACGGTTCCAAACGTATCGAACCCAAAGACCTTAGCACAAAAATCAGATACTGCAGTGTAAAAAAACGGTCTATAACCAACAAACATTAAGACGTTGACAACTGCAGCGATATAATTGGACAGTAATCCCAAGACACCAATGATTAAGGAGACTGCCAACAACACGGCCAAAACCAAAACGGTTGAGCAGTTGTCTAAAAACATTCCCACAAATGGGATCGAAATCACTCCTCCCAAGGGTAATGCAATGTCAAATAATCTGGTTAATTTGTCGGCTTTGGCAAACGATTGAAATAAGTATCCGTATTGGGTGTTGATCGTGGCAACGAAATAGTTCAATCTTAACATTTGAATCGTGGCAAATAAACACATCAAATAGAACCAAGGAGTCTTCAATTGATACTGGGCGGAATATCCATGTAAGATTCCAAAAACTCCTCCACTGTGTTCGACCAAAGTGACTTCTCCCTCGGTGGCATACGGTTGTTTCAAAGCGTCCCCAATTGAATCGCGTCTACCACTGGTATTATAATCGGAATGCTGGGAATGCTGGGTGTTTAATAACGAATCGGTTTCTTCAACTGCATTTTCTTCATCCTGCTCTTGACGATTGGCACCATCATCAACACATAAGGTGGTGTCACCCGAAGTTTTATAGGAATCCCCGGGCATTATCAAAATTTGGGCTAAGGTTATGAAAACTGGAACCGCCAAATAAATCCCGAAAAACTTATCCAATTTGAAGCTTCCTCCACTCTTATTATAAAAAATCCTATAAAATAAGAATACCGCACTTGAAGAGTCAAAAGCTCCGGTCAATATAGCTAATATACTACCACTGTATTGAGGGAAACTATTACTCAATTGGAAACTGGATATATATGCAAATGGTCCTCCTAATGCCATACTTGCATATCCAATCAAATATGGATCAAACATTGGTACTTTACTCAATGCTTTATTGAAAACGAAAATAAAACATGCTAAGTAAAGAAATACTGCTCCAATCATTCCACAAACTCTTGGTCCATAAATATCCAATACTCTACCAATAACCAATGCACTAACATTGGTCATGACCGCACCCACGGTGAACATCATATTCAATTTCAAATCTTGGGCAGTACATTTAGCAATGGGGGACTCTTCATTAGTGCTCATCATGTTGAACAACTGGGATGTAATTGGAGTGAAATGATCAGGATTTAATCCATAGCTCAAAACACTATCCGTAGAATTGATCGAGATATCACAGGCCTTCTCATAAATGTGTTCTTTGATTAAAACCGGCTTTAAAGCTGCAAACCCAAAAATTGGTCCTCCTGATAAAAGACACCAAAATATGGCACATAAACATTGGATAATCCGACGATCCTTTGAAACTTCACTAGCTAGCATCCTGCACTATTATAAATAAGTAGCTAATAAAGACTAAACTGAAAAATGAATGAAACTTCTCTGAAATTTCTGCCTTTCCTAAACCTTCCCATCTTTTCCATTGACTGCCAATCAATTCTTCTGATAAGACCATCGCATTTATTCAAAATTTCCACCCGTACACGCATAGTCGTAAGGTTTATCTCTTCGGACTACACCGGTTGTTTCTGAATAAGATCTAATTAATAATAAGCTTATGTATTCATCCCATCACGAGACGGGGTCAGTATACTTGTAAATTAGCTAAGTCTGTACCTACTGCAAGAGGCGTTCAATCTATAAGACCCTCTGCGCAAAAATTGAAAAATTTGGAATTTGCATCCTTTAATAAGATCAAAGGCAGGTCAAATTCAACAACTTCTCCGTTCTCCAATAGTAAAACCTTGTCACTGTCCATGATTGTATCTAGTCTGTGCGCTATGGTAATGATTGTTGAATTTTGAAATTCATTCTTGATGACATCTCTTATGATTCGAACCGTGTTTAAATCAAGCGATGATGTAGCTTCGTCGAGTACTAATATCTTCGAAGGTACCAATAGAGATCTTGCTAAAGAAAGTAAGTTTTTTTGACCTAAGGAAAAATTATTGCCAGACTCATCAAATTGGACATCTAATGACCCAAGTCTCTGAACATGATTTTTCAATTTAACTAGTTCTAATACTTTCCAAAGTTGGTCATCGTTGAACTGTTTACAAGGATCAAGTTTATCTCGAACGCTTCCAATAATAGTTTGACTTCCTTGGGGAACTATACTGAGTTTATGCCTTAATTCATAAAGTCCAATTTTAGCAATATTGATCCCATCTATTTCAATCTTTCCTCCCATGGGATTTAAAAGTCTAAAGATTGCTAAAGTAAATGTGGATTTCCCTGCTCCAGTTTTGCCAACTAAACTTACTTTAGTCCCAGGAGTGATTTCACAGTTGATGTTTTTCAAAACTGGCTTTATGCTATTTGCATATTTCAATGTAAAATTAACAAACTTTATACTTCCTTCACGCGGCCAATCTTTATATGGAACTAATTCATGCTTCAATGGATCTTCTGTTTCTAAATTGATATATTCCATGATTCTTTCGAGTGAAATCATTTCTGCTTGTAAGTCGGTACTTATCTTGATCGTACTATCTAAAGTCGTTGATAGTGTCAAAGAATATGTTACTAATAAACCTAAAATTTCTGGATTTATTTGTTTACTGGAACCCAATGAATGTATCAGAAATACAACAATCAAAAAAGTAATTAAATTTGAAATCAGTTCCAATCTAACGGCTAACCATCTATTAGTTGAAGATAAGGCTTGCTCAACACCTAATAAGTTATTTAAAGTGTTGGTGTTCTTGGTGTCGTATCTGTTTATCTGATTATAAGCTCTCAAAGTTTCCAATCCTTGAATGGTTTCTTGTATATGTGAAAGTACTGGGCTAATCATAGCACTTTGCAATCTTTGTAATTCTCTTATAGTTGGTGACAAATATAACCTGATCAATAAATAAACAAATAGCATTATAAGAACAAATATTAACATCATTGGAATGTTTATAATCAAAACAACAAAGATTGCTAAAATATTCAAACTCGAAACCACAAAATCACTCAAGTTTATGGGGAAATACATATCAAGAGTTCTTAAATCATTTGTGAACCTGTTCATTATACGACCGTTTGAATTATTTTGGAAAAATTCCAAAGGTGAATAAATTATCGATCTGATAAGCTTGTCATGAAATGTGAATAGTCCTCCAGTTATACAAAACGTCCAAAGAAAGTACGAAGCAACCATTTCAATCAAGTATTTCAAGATACCCAATTCAAAGTAGATAAATATATATCTATCGTATTTCTTTTCATCTGGAAAAAATGTAAGTGAATAGTTCTTCAATGTATTTATACTTACCATTAAAAAAATCAACGATAAATATATGACAATATTTCCTAAATGGCATGCTCTGAGAAACTCAATGAGAAAAGTTGATTTAAACTTACCTTTGATTGTTTCTTCTAAAGTCGGAATTTTCTTGAGTGTTCTGCTTTGAATACTAGTTCCACTATGGGTATAATCTCTTGATATGAAACTTAACCGACCAGAGGTCTCTCGAGTGAGCTGATGTTCCAAATAAAGTAAATCTTCCTCTTCTTCTTCGGTATCATCATCTTCTTGATGGATATGATTTACATCATAATCTTCAAGCTCACTACTATAGATGGAACCCAAAGATGATTCTGATATTGATGCCTGTGACGACCTTATCAGTTCATTTGATACGGTGTTGGAAGAAGCATTGGACTCAGAAACAGAAGAAATAGGTTGAACTAATGTAGCTTGATCATTCAATTCTTTTATCATTTTGGTCACCGCTGCATCCTTAGCGTTTCCGAAGTCTTGATATTTTTCTTCACCAATGATCTTACCTTTTCTTAGAAATACAACTTTTGTCGATTTCTCAATGACTGATATCGAATTTGTAACGAATAAAACAGTCTTATTTCTTAAAATCCCATTTTCTCCTAAAATATTTTCCAAGATAAGTTTTCCAATACGTAAATCGATAGATGCTAATATGTCATCAAAAAGATAAATGTCTGATCTGGAGTATATAGCCCTGGCTAAAGAGATCCTTGATTTTTGTCCACCTGATAATGATTCCCCTTCAGACACAACGGTCTTATCATTGTAAGGGAAGCTATTCAAATCATCATGTAATTGACATAATTCTATCACTTCCCAAAAAACTTTTGCATCATATTCAAGGCCAAATAGAATATTTTCTCTGATTGTATTATGTATAATGCATGGGTTTTGGGGGCAATAAGCGATTGAGCCTCTTACTTCTATAACTGATTTGGTATTGTTTACAAGATACATTTCGCCTAACAAGCTTCGTAGTAATGTAGTTTTACCACTTCCAAACTTACCAACTAGACAAACCGTCTCTCCATGGTTGACATTAAATTCGTCAACTGATAATGCAACATTGCTATTATCAATTACATCAGAATATTCGGGTTTCGTCCATGAGAATTGAGAATTAGTTATGTTGATGCAGACATGCGCTTCACTCGATGGTTTATTCCTTATAACAGTATCATTGAATTCATCCATGAGAAAAAAGCTTGCAAGTCTGTCAAATGATTTACGAGCTTGAATACCGTATGATATCAAACGAGGTAAATCACAAATAGTGTTCGAAATGGATGCAAGAACTGACAAAGTTGGAAAAATAACATGTGCTGATAATTCTTGATCGTACATGTGAACTGAAATAACTAATCCAGATACCATCATGAAGAAAGGAATTAAACCCCAAACGAATGTCACGAACGAATTAATCAAACCTATTTTCTTTGTTTCTTTCAATTCTTTATTCAATCTTATTTCATTCAATTTATTTAGCATGGGTTCTTCTCTAGCATAAAGTTTGATACCTTTGATTGACAGTAAGATATCGTTCATGATTGATGTTCTTTGATCCCGGTATTTCAGTAGCTGGTTGAAAGCTGGCAGCAAAGACATTTCAGTAAATATAGCCAATGGAATTGTTATTAAAGCTGCTAATAAGACACCCCATATTGCTGGTCCTAAAAATTTATATAAAGGAAGAACACAAAGTATTAGTTTTATCATGGCTTCGATAAACTTTTGAATACTCTCGATACAACTTCTGGCTAAAGCAACATCCATTGAAGCATGATTGAGTATATCACCTGTTTTTTTAGTTTTCTTTGCATAGTTTAAATTTATGATTTTTTTATAAATCATTCCCATAAGCGAAGATTGGATGATAAAATCAGATCTTCTCTGAAAACTGATTGACTGATTTGACACAATTGTTCTAGTAAATGCAACTATTAGCATCAAAACAGCTAAAAAATATGCAATAATTATTGGCTTTTGTTCTTTTTTATATTGACTAAAATAAAGAATTAGCCTTTGTAAGATTAAAGGCTGTAACAAAGAAAGTAAAGTATCAATAAGGTCATAGGATGTTGCAGAAACGATTAAATAGTTGAAACTACTTAGTAATGCGATTAGTAGCAGAGGTCTTCTTCTCGGTAACTGCAAGCTCCAATGATTTTCAAGTCTCTTCAGTGTAACTTCACATTTGGTGTCACCGGGAGCCCTAGGTAGCTCTTCTATAGAAGCTGAGTCCTTTAAATATATCTCGGTAATAAAAGACTGAACCCAGGTAAAAGTCCAGTGACTCAAGATGTTTCTTATAGATCGGAGGTCGGCGTCATTTAGTAAATAGTATTCCACCAATTCCTTACTTGGTTTCCAGAACCGAGTTTGTAATAAAAAAATCAAATATGTGTTCAAACATAAAACTATTTCTGAAGTGAAAAACCAAACTGACTTTGATTTGTTTAAAATGGGATGATTGGAAAAAATATCCTGGATCAAGGGGATCATGACTATTATGCAATTTCCTAACCAATAAAATAAAAGAGATGCTAATTGATGAATAGAGCGGGTAGGCTCAATGATATGCAAGGGAAGAATAATTAAAAGGACAACTAGATTTGAAGCTGAATATCTACTACCGTTATCACTTAGTAGTTGTATAAAATGGATAAAGATCTGTAGCGTTATACATTCAATTTTCAAAAAATGTTTCACTCCACAACTTCTTGATTCGAATGGATTTCCTAAGCTAAGCTGACTATTATATGATTTGAACAATTGGTAGCTGGCAAATACCCCAATGGCAATATTAAACAGCATTGTTATGTTATCAAAAAATCTTGGATTTATACAATTACTTGTGTAATCATAAAGAGGATAATACCATGGGATGAGAGGATTATCCTCTAGATTCACAATCAAGTTCGGTGTGTCTGGATTCACCATACTATAGAATGACCCGGTGGCAGCACTCATGTTTCATTGGATAAATAAGGCTAGAGATACACCAATATAAAGAATCATATAAATTGTTGTTAAATTTTCGGATTCATCCTTTCACGGAGACAAAATCGTAAGAAAGTAGCATGATGGATTTTTACCATTTAAGCGAGAAAGACCAAAACAAAAAAAAAACGTCTTTTACTATCTTTATTGGTAGCATTTTTTGCATCCATAAAACCCATAATAAAACGAAACCACCTGATAAGGTTTCCTTCGAGTAGAGTTCACCTTTGAGTCGTCTTCACACTGAGCTTCGGAAAAGTTGGTAGTAGCAACTTCCGTCAGACTGTCAAACTTGATTCAATTTTGTGATAATTATCCCTTTAAATTGCAAAATATTGAAAAAATGTTGCGTTTTACCTGCTGATATCAATCCCAATATTGAGTTAAAAAGGGACCGGAATGCCTAAAAACTAAAGTAGGGGTTTCTACATTTGACGTATGGCTATTATAACTTTATTTCAAATATATAGTAATATATAGTTCGATTAATTTACAAAATTTATACAACAAGTTGAGTTCTTTTGAACTCTATTACGAGACCAAGTCTAATCTTCATCATTTGGCTTTGATTCTTCATTGTTATCTTCACCACCGAACAAGTCGTCGTCCAACTCGTCGTCACTGTCTTCTATTATATCGCTAGACTTGAATTTCTTCTTTTTATTTGTGTTCTTAGCACTTATGTTATCATCGTCCTCATCTTCATCACCACTAACAGCACTCTTTCTCTTTCTAGGTGAAGCTTGCTCTTCGGACTCATTATCAGAAGGTTCCGGTGATTCTTCTTCACTGTCTTCAACAACTGCCTTATTCTTTCTACCTTTCTTCTTACCCTTTGCTCCTTTATTGGTAGAACCGGCTTTTCTTCCTCCCTTCTTTTTCTTGCTTTCTTTTTCAGCAGTTTCTTCATTGAATATCTTATCGTCGTCTTCATCGTCAACAACAACGTTCATTCTAGCTTCTTCAGCCCATAGTTGTGCTTGTTCCTGTAATTTGGCTCTTTCTTTAGCCAATTCAGCCTCCTTGGCTTGAAGGGCAGCTTTAGCTTCTTCTGCCTCTTTAACCTTTGATGCTTCTTCTTCTTCTCTCAATTTTTTAGCAAGTTCTAATTTTTCTTCGACCTTATTAATATTCTCTTTAACTTCTTCAAGACAGACATTCAATCTATTTAACAAGGTAGTTCCTCCTAATGAAGCTCTTGCCTTAAGCTCTTGTTTTGGATATGGGGAATGTTTTTCAGCATCTGATGACAACTCAGTGAATGTTTTAACTGCTTCATTTAAGTTAAGAATGGTTTCATTGATATCATCAACATTTCTTTGTTCAACAGGAAATTTACTAATAAATTCTGCAGTTTGAAATTGAACATAAGCTAAGTTGAATTTCAACGATGACTTAGATACTTGTGAAGAATCTAAAGCCTCTTGACAGTATTCCAAAGATTTCTTAAGGTAAGGGAAACTTTTTTCTGATATACCTCTCAAGTACCAAGCACGAGCTAAGAATGATAATATTCTAGAATCGTTAGGATTCAGGTACCTTGCCAATGCGATACCATAATTTTCAATAGCTTTACTGTATTGTTTTAAGTCAACCAAAACATGACCCAAGTTTAAGTAGATTGAAATATCATTCAAGGAGTCTCTAATTTTTCTCAAAATATCCAAACCTTTGTTTTGCTCTTTATTTTCAATATAGACAATAGCTAATCCTTGAGCAGCATAAACATTTTTAGGATCAACTGATAAAACCTTGGTGAATAATTCTATAGCTCTGATGTAATATCTTTTCTTCTTTTCGTCATTTGATGATCCTTTGATATCTCTTGCCATTGTACAGTAGATATTAGCTAAGGAAATCAAAGCATAACAGTCATGTGAATCATACTTGACTAAGGTATCTCTGTGATGGGTTGTATCAGAATCAGGGTTTAAGTTTAATTTTTTACCAAAGTTTCTCACAAACCAACCATAGAATGATCTTATTTCTAAGTCTGAAGCATTTAAAGATAATAATTCATCAATTTCAGATTTGATATCTTCTTTAGCAGATTTGTTTGATATACAATCTAAAAATAATAACCTGAGTTTGGCAGAGAAGTAGTGAGGGCATTCTTTTAATAAAGATTCGTAAATATCAATGGCATCATCCGAGGAATCACTAAATTCGGTGGATCTAGCTAAATTGAACTTTATAGAAACCTTCAAGTCATTTGGTAAATCAATTAACAAATCACCGTCTTCACTTTTGAAACCTTCAGGATCATCCAACTTACCTAAAGCTGTCTTAAAACTTTCAATAGAATCTTCATAGTTATTTTTAATGAAATTAAAGACACCAATATTATTATAAACTTCCAATGGTGCATCTTGGCCAATTCTTTTTCTTTCTTCGATGGCCTTATTTAAGTAAGTCAAAGCTTGTCCCATGTCCCTAGTCTCATACAATTGACTCAATATGAGGAAGGCGTTCAATGCAACTGGCTCTTTGTTTAAGAGCGTAGTATCATCACCTTCACTATTCAATCCACGATTGCTTGATAATCTCAAATATCTTTCCAAGAATTGAATTGCTTGTTCTTGTTTTCTTTTACTCTTTTGTTGAGAATATAAGCAACCCAAAGCATAATTAACTTCTAAACATTTGGAGTTGGTTTTCAAAATCGATTCAAAAGTTAATATAGCTTCTTCAGTAGAGCCTCTCCCAATTTGGGATTGACCTAAACCTAATTTCGAAAGTAGGTTTTGCTCATTAAGTTTGATTGATTCATGAAAATATCTTTGTGATTGAGCAAAATCGTTCTTAATAAAAGAAATCCTACCTAACCAAAAAGAAGCATGGGATAAAATGTTTGCTTGGAATGAACTTAATTTATTTCCATGAGATTTTACAGAATTTGTGTTACCACCGGAAATTGTTTTGATGACATGGGTTACAATTTTTTCAACCAATTCATAACTACCTTTGGAAAAATAATAGGATGCCAATGTTAATAAAATAACCGGATCATTTTGGTTATCCTTATAAATTTCAGATAAGTCGGTTAAACAGAGTTTATAATTTTTTATAAATTCTTCATCAGTTAATGAGTTGTTGAATAGAGCGTTGAACTTAGACAAATTTAATAAAATTTTAGCTTTTGTATTATTTGGATTTATCTCTAAAGCTCTTTCCCATGAATTTAAAGCCATTTTTTCATCTTTAAGAAGCCAGAAACATAAACCAATACCAATTCTTGGGTCTGGAGTCATAACTGGATTTAAAAGCAAAACCTGTTGGTACAATTTCAATGCATTAGTGTAATTTTTACTCTTATTCAATATGAGGTTAGCTTTACTTAAAATAGCAAAACAGTTATTACTATCAATCTTCAATAATCTATCAAAGGTTTGCAAAGCATAGTCAGCTTCATCTCTGTAAAGATATAAAGTACCTCTTGCTAAGATATTAGAAACATTAGCATTATCCATGCTATTGATTTTATTGATCAAGTCAGAGGCATTTGTCAAGTTTTCCTGCTTGTTTATTCCTTTCGAAGCATATTTCAAATACACCCAACTTAAAAAGGAGTTCAAAGAAACCTTGTCTTTTTCATTGAATTGTTTTAATGATAATGCCTTAGTAATAAGCTTCACAGCATCGTCAAGTTTGTTTGATTGTGCATAGGCTTGACCAACAGCAATCCAATACTTCTTCGGACAGTTCTCGGTTTCCAAAAAGCTGATTAATTCATTTGGGTCATCAGGTAATTCATTCACAAGATTGATACTGACGATTTGTCCATTACTTAATGGAATATCCAAGTTTCCAATTGACTCAACTGCTTGTTTACCCAAGTAGAACGAAATATCAGTTGCGTCTTCCATCTTTGTTTGAAGAACTAACTAAATAAATTATCCTTACCTCGAACGGATTATAGCAACCAAGTGGATGATGTATCGTAGTTGGTATAAGGTTTATAGTCAACTAAGTTAGTCTGCAATCTGTTTTGATGCTGATAAAACTAAAGTGAGTGAAAAAAACAAAAAAAAAAAAATGAAAAATTGTTGACAAGCATATATGCAGGAAGACGTTAAAATCATATAAGCTCCAGTCAATAGCTACACTGTTGACTTTCTATTAATTACTATTGAGTAGTATACAAATACATATAGTACAAGAATTGAATAAGAATTACGGGGAAAGACTGATGTATGTTTCTTCCGTGAGCAAACCATTTTTAACAGTGTCTTTGATGAGATTATCAAGGATAAATTTGCTCTCCAACTCAGATGTAGATCTGACAATTTCGCCAGATATCGATACCTTTTTCGGGTATTCTATCAAATCAGGTAAATTGACTGCTACGTTTAGCAATATCTTGAAGCCATGTTTAGAGGAGTAATACCTAATGGAGAAACGGATCACATCATCATCGTTGTCATCAAGGATTTTAACGGGTAATTTCAAGGAGATTTTGTAGATGTCATAATCCAAGTTCGAGAAGCCCTGCCAGTATTTCTTGAAATTGCTGAAGTTCTCCAACACAGTGGTAGAAGGAACGGTATAAGGTAGTTTCAAAACAAAGTTGTTCAATAAAAACCAATTGTAGAAGGGTGGAAATGACAGTTCTCGATCAACAAGACTATAGGTAATATTATTCGAGTCATTCAAGTTACTAAAATCGATCTTTATATGGATTAGCTTTTTAAATTCAAAAATGATGGAGTTCCCGCTGGTTTGGACATACTTTAAGTTTGACAATGCTTGAAGTAATTTAAATTTCATATGTAAAGCTTCAATTTCTTGAATATCAAAATATCTCAGATCTTTAATTTCCATTTCAAGTTGGTTAGCTTTATTTTTTAACAACAAAATTTCATTTTCATATTCTGCAATTACAGAAGTGATCTGCTTCAATTCAAATTCTCCAGTCTTGATCTTTTGTTGATGATTGACCAATTCCTTGTTAATATCGGTTAATTGGTTCTTATAAGTTTTAATTTGCTCGATGTCAATCTTTTCGAAATGTTGTTTCATTTCTAAAGTTTTTGTAAGTTCACGCTTCACATTCGAAAAATTGAGTTTAACTTCATCATAAACTGGATCTAAGATGCTCAAGTTCTCAGTCAAGATGTATTTATCTTTTTGTAAAGTTTCAAATTTTAGTTCTAAATCCGAAGATAAATTTTCCATCAACTTTATTCTCCAGTCATACCAAACTTCCCTTGCTTTCTCACGAGCGAAATCCTTAAGTAATTTGAATTGTGATTTCAACTTGAACTGCTCGCCTGGAGTACTTCTATAAAATTTCTTGAAAACAGCTTGATTTTCGGGAAATGTACTATCTTTTATTAATTCAAAATTATTCCGATCTTCTTCTATTTTATTAATCAACTCATCGCAATTGAGTTTAAAAACTTCTAACAACGGAACCTTGGTATTGGCTTTGTAGTAATCTTCTATTTTTGGTTCGTCTTCAAATATTGACAACCTTACTCTGCTTGGTGGTTGAGTTCCTAAATCGAGGTTATCGAAAAAGCCAATTTCAGCATCTCTCAAAAATTGATTAATGGCAACAGGCTCAAAGTCATCATCAGATTCTTCTTGAAGAGAGACGTCAGCTAATGGTATAGTCGTAGTGACTGTATTTACTTCAATTTCTTTAGATAGCTTTTGCATTTTATGTGAATGGTCCGCCTCTGGGTCATCATTCTTACGCTTATTCTGATTATAAGTGATATCATCATTTTGTTGGGTTAAATGCATTGGTTGAGAGTTAATGACGGAACCATTATCAATAATCAGTTCTATCTTATCTATTTGTTGAGTGCTTTGCATTGGTTGTGATGAATCTTCCTTCTCGATGCCGCTTTGAGGAGGCTGAGGAGCAGTGGTTTCGGTAACCGTTCCAATATCTTGCGTTAGTTGCATTGGTTGAGAATCTTTTCCAACATTATTATCTAGAGTCTTAGATGTCGACATAGGTAAAGTGAGTTCCATTCCTGATTCTTGATCATTTTCGTCATTCTGTGACTGTATCATCGATTCTTCTTGGATTGTATCTAAATGATCGTCATCGCCGGTACTAGCTTTGGAAGATTGGAATAGATTTTGCTCATTCATGTGGAGATAACTATTGGTATCACCATCGAGAGAACCATAAGGTTGGTCAGATTCTTGAGTAACCGGGTTGTGTTCTTGCTCCTGAAGTAAGGATTTGCTTAGCCCAAGTTCGGATACTGTGACGCCAGGCTGACTCATATCAGAGGCAATTTCCTGATGTAAATTTGTTTGTGAGTTCGAATAATCTATATTTTGAAGATTCTGGGTATCGAGCTGAATATCAGAAGGCAATGAGTCGTTATTTGATTGCTCAAAAGCATTTTTTGGAGTATTTTCAACTAGATCGTTTTCGGGTTGAGAGACTCCAGAAGCTTCATGTATAATATTACTGTTACCACCACTTCCACTTTCAGCTAGTTTGGATTCTATAATATCTTTGACAGGTTGGCTAGGCTGTTTATCAACTAATGATATATTATGGATTTTCTCTGTAAGTTCACGTTGTTGCTGGAGGTGAGGAGAAGATGGTTTAACGGGTGGATTATATATTGTAGTGAAATCCATAGTTAACTCATCATTATTTTGGCCATCAAATTTTTGATCAGAATTTTTCGATTGATTCGATGGCCCATCTTTCAGTTCGAAGTTTGGAACGTTATTGAAGTTAGATTGGAAAACATTTGTAACTTCCATTGTAACTTCCTCGGGATTTTTCAAATTATCATTGATTTGGATTTGTTTCCCAATACTGCTGGTCATATCCATCTGCTCATTTTCATCTTCACTTTCAGAAGAGGTCAATTGTGGTGCGGCGTCATTTGGTATATCATGGTCTGGGACACCATCGTCCGAATCGGGCACAGGACTAAGTTTCGGTATTGGAATTTGACCGGTGAAGTCCATGGTTTCATCTTCATGGTCCTGATCTTGATCCTGATCCTGATCCTGACTCAATGGATTGTTTACTTCTACTTGCTCAACTTGAGTCAAAGCAGGTGCTGCAGGGTCCTTACTCTGCGGAGTGTTATTGATGGAATCCCCAATTTTTTGAGCTGTTGCTTGTACTAGGCCTGTAAATTCCATTGTCTGGTCGTCATTATTATTATCTTGTCCACTATCATTCTGCTCTGTCTGCTTGATTTGACCGGTGAGTTCCATAGTCTGTTCCTCATCATCATCATCTTGAATATTCTGCAAAAATTGATTAGACTCTCGAACCCGATGCATACCACTAACAATTTTATCCGCGTCTGCTTCTAAATTTTGAAAGCTGCCATCACTGATCTCTTCGTCTTCATCAGAGCTGTCCGATAACATCTCTCTACCAGCATCGTCCTGAGCGTAGTCATTGGCTCTGTTGGGAAAGGAAGCTATGGTCTCTCTTCTCTTATCGCTATGTTGGGGAATAAGATCAATTTTATGCAAAGTTACTTCGGGAGCAAACGAAACCCTTCTTCTATTCTGTGTCTGAGTATCATCAACACCCTTCAAGGGTATAGGCACCGTCTTACTATACAAGGTGTGATTGGTATTTTCATTATTTGGCTTCAAAATCCCTTTGGAGGGTCGATTGTTTTCGTTACCCGCCGACTCATGGTATACCAGTGGAGACTCTTTCTCAGCACCCGTAGCAGTATACGATGTCGCCCGCACCAGGCCGTCCACGTCCTGCTGATTGAACATGCCATTCAAGTCTATGGTCACCATACCGCTGTATTGGAGGCTATTCACTTGAAGTAAGTTCTTTTGTAGTGAGTTTTTGTTTTGATTTTGATTTTGATTTTGATTTTGATTTTGATTTTGATCGCGTTGATCCGATATCCGAGGGCACGAACGAAAACATCACGACTTCCGGGAATAACCTGCAAAAATCAAAAAGATCCATACACCAGATGATTTTCGTTCAATTGTTTTTTTTTTTTTTCGTTTTTTTACCTCGGTCAAGAGGAGTACCCCAATAATCCCCTTAACCGGTAAAATAATCCACCAAAATTCTCATGACAGTATCGGTATTTAAAACTACTTGATTCCCATGAAAATTGAAAATACAAAGATAAATCTTTTCCTTTTAACAACATTGATAGTTATCAATTGAGAGTAGTGAGCTAAATTGAAATAGATAAGAAGTCCAATATGGTTGCAGATACCCTTGTTTATCATCCAACATTAACCAAGTTAATTACATTTTTAGATTCTACTCCAAAGAGAGAGAAATGTTTTAGATTAGTTGCTTATTTATCAAGATTCTTATCATATTATTTACAAAGACAAGGATTTTCAAAACAGTTGATTACTTTATTTAAAGATTTGAAAAACCATGTTACCTTTATTAGAAAAGGAATGAGATTTTTAAAACCATTGAATCATCTTCAAGCTGCTTCTCAAGCATACGACAACAAATTGATGGATCCAGTGTTACTGTACACTACTGTTATTAGAAATCTTGGATACTTCGGGTACTTATCACTTGATTCGATTACCTGGTTTAAAATGATGGGTATCGTGGATTCCAAGAAATTTACCACTGTTCCAACCTGGGCTTCAAGATTCTGGTTACTTGGTTTAATTGCTGGTGTTATTAATTCAGTCAGAACTTATAAGATCAATAATGCTAAATTAGAACAAGCTGATGAAAAAACTGATGTTGATGCTATAAATTCAAAGATTTACTCTGCTAAAAGAAAATTCATTTGGGACTTGTTAGATATGTTCATTGCTTTGAATTCTTTGAATTACTTGCATTTCACCGAAGGTGATGTTGGTTTAGCTGGTACTATTACCTCTATCATGGGTTTGAAAGATTTATGGAAAGCCACCAAAGTTTAACCTGTTCTATCTTGTTTTTCTTGTTAGTTATATATATTATATACAGTTTATTTATTTGCTTTTATTCATATTTCGTAGTTTGGTTATTATTCCCAGCATAATAACCCTCCCAGAATGATTTCATAATCACTTGTTTTAACTCTTGTTGGAGTTGTTGATTGTCTTTGGTTACTTTCTCGAGCATCTCTGGAATTTCAATTTCTAGAACGGGCCCTGGCCCATCACTTGCAGACGCCTTGTGTCCACCTCCATGAGACTCATACAACCTCCTCCAAGTAGATTCAATCGATCTATTAATGTCTGTCATGCCAGCGGTGCTTTGGTTGGTTTGGTTTATGTCCTGCGACAGCGATTTTTTTTTTTTCTTCACTTTTTTTACCTGAGTGCAAAATAAGCTCATCTCGAAAACTTCAGGTAAATAAACTTTCAAGTTCAAGCACCTTGCAAGCAACACATGATGTCGGAGGAGCAAGAAGCTACGGTTAAGAGAATTCATATTGGGAATATCTCCCCAAAGCTAGCAGAGAATGTGGAGCTGTTCACTAAAAGACTCGAGAAGTTTGGTAGTTTAGAGTCAACTTTAGAGCTTCATACAAAACCAGTAAATGATTTTTACTTTGGTTTCATAAACATAAAGCAAACAGATAAAGATTTCGAAAAATTGAAGGCCTCTTTGAATGGGATATTATTCATGGGGAAAAAGTTAACGATATCATTATCCAAACCAAATTTCAAAGAAAATTGGTTGGCTGATTCAAAAAGACCAGATTCTAAAAAAATGGAAAGAGTCAATAGAGATAGAATTGCAAGGGCCAGGGAAGAAAGAATCTTAGAATCGAGAACTTTGTTATCTCAAAATAAACTCACTGGTGGTTTGGTTCATTCTACTTACATCGGTCCAAATAATTCAGGTTATGGGTTCGCCAAGTCTTGCCATGTTTACAATAATAACGAAGCTAATACTAAGAATAAAGCACCATCATCGAGCTTGAAAGGCTTGGACTCTTACGGTTCATTAACATCATCTTCGAAAATAAGTACCAATCAATATTCCAACTCCTCTGGTGGAAGTGAAGTGATTAAAGGTCGCTATAGAATTACACCCAGACCTAATATTTATTTTTTGAAAAAACAACAGACTCTTCGTATAAATATTAATGGAGAATTGAAAACACTTAAATGTTATAAAACCAAACTATGGGGGTTGGAGAAGAATAAAACTTCTAAAGATTTGACTTATAAATTTCAAAATGGAGTTTGGAAAAGTGGTGATGATCATGTTATTGAGAGAGTCAACAAGAATAAACTTTCATCTTTTGACTCAGAAGTCAAATCCAGTGATCCAAAAGACCCCGATGAAGAAGATGAAACTTTGAAACAGGAGAGAATGAAAAATAACTCTATCTTGGCATCTCTTTTCAATAAATACGATTTTGATAAACCTTTGGACATAGAGGAAGATAATGGTATCGACTCAAAAGACATCTCCTATGATAGTAAAGGTAGAAGAACAGTGAAAACATACGATTACGAAATGGAAGGGGATTTGTTGAACGAAGAGAGTGATTCAGATGCATCATTCGATTATAACCAAATCCAGGCATATAAAGAACGTCACGAAAGACCTAAAGATGAGGTTTATTTTGATGAAGAAGATGAAGGAAATGACTTAGATTTAGATAATTTAGGACAGCAATACACCACAGAAGCTATCAACAATAAATATAATGAAGACCATGGATTTGAAGTTGTCCTGAAACCAGAACAAGACAATTCAAAAGATGAATTTATTCCGCCTTTTGGTAATCAACCGGAAAATGTCAATAATACCGAAACTTTAAGATCTTTATTCAATCCTGGCCAACAAGAGAAGCCCGAGGCAACTGGTTTCAAGTTATCGCTTGATGACGATGATATCGATGAGTCCAACAATATTTTAAATGAAGAAGAACAGTCAAAGTTATTAGAACAGATTAAGGAAAAACAAAAAGAACAACAGACCAATGAGTTAATGTCCATGAAAAATGCAAAGAAAAACGGCTTATTTTGGCCTCACTTTGATTCTCCTTTCTTACAAACCCAATCCCAGTTGAATAGAATTGGTAATGTCAATGAAATGGTTAAATTACCTGGTGAAGATGAAAATTTGGCACAAGATGACGAAGAATCTGCTTATGAAAAGTGGTTCTGGAGCAAAAGAGGTGAGTTGATGAGAGAATGCAGAAGACGTAAAAGAGACGTCAATAGAATTTTCAAAAAGAAGCACACCAAAGCAATTTTATAATTCTCTTAATAGCATATTTTGTATAGTAATTAATTTTTAGCAGTCATTTTTACAATGGAAATACGCGAGGTGTAACGATTTTTCAATTTTTTTTTCACTCGATGATTTATTATCACCGTGTAGCTATCAGTTGATAAAGAAGCAAAAATGTCCCAGGAGGTCAAACACGATGATCGCCAGCCTTCAAGTGAGCCTGAGTTGCCTCCCTTCACCTTGAAAAACCTTTCTTTGGATGTTTATCATGGTATTATCGCCTTAGTTGAAAGCCCGGAAACAAATCGAGTTATTGTACCAATAGTTATTACTTTGGCCTCAATTGCAACTAAATTTATCATTTCAAAAGTTCCTTATACGGAAATTGATTTCAGTACTTATATGCAGCAAATAGAGGTTGCAAATGATGGAGAATTAGATTATAGTTTGATTAAAGGTGATACGGGGCCAGCAGTATACCCAGCAGGTTTCATTCAGGTATATCAATGGCTTCATTGGATTACTGAGGAAGGCAGCAATATAAAAACAGGTCAAACTATATTTGGCTATTTATTTACTTTCAGTGTTTTATTATGTTGTGTCGCTTATACTATGGTGCCCAATTGTAAACCCTGGCCAATCTATTTGTTACTTTTGAGTAAAAGGCTATATTCAATTTATGTTTTGAGGTTATTCAATGATGTTTTCACCACCATCAGTATGATTGGTGTTGTTGTGTTATTGCAGCAAGCTTCCTATTGGTATAAGACTGGTGGTTCTAAAGTAAGTTTTCTTTTCACTTTAGTTGCAGCCGATTTATACAGTCTCGGATTGAGTGTTAAGATGAATGCTTTGTTATACTTACCTGGTTTCATTATAATAGCTTATTTTTTGGTTGGTGAGAATATGTTAAAATTATTAGGTGTTCTTTTGGTCATACCATTTGTTCAAGTAATGATAGGATGGAAATACTTACTTCCTTTATTCAACGACGAAGAAGCCAAATATTTAAGATGGACTTATATTAACCAGGCATTCAACTTTAAAAGAAAATTCTTATATAAATGGACTGTTAACTGGAGATTTGTTTCGGAAGATATATTTTTGAATGATAATTTTGCCAGAATCTTGTTGTTCTTACACTTTTCCGTTTTGTTAATATTTGTATTCACGAGGTATTTATCGCCAAAGATTACTGGGAAATCGATTACAAACCTAGTCAAAGATGCTCTTTGCAAACCATTTAGTGATACCATTAGTACTTCTAATAAGTTGATAGATTATAACCAGGGTCCAAAACTCGTTTTATTAATATTTGCAACCTCAAACTTAATAGGTGTATTATTTTCGAGGTCTTTACATTACCAATTCCTCTCTTGGTATTGTTGGAACTTACCCTTTTTAATTTTTGCAACAGGAGTCAATGCTTTTGGCGGAATTTTCATTTTCGTAGCGCATGAATGGTGCTGGAATGTTTTTCCTTCAACAGAATCCAGTTCTGCATGCTTGATTTCTATCTTAAGTTTAGTACTTTTGGGTGTTTGGTATAATTTGAAATATTGGACAGGGGAATCTAATACTTTACAAGAAAAGAAAGAACAATAGTCTTATAAAGTTTCTTTGCTATATACTTATATACGATTTAGTTTAATATATGACAAATAATTAAAAAAAAATCTGAACCTTTTGCATATTAATGAAAGCACTATAAGACAGAAATGGAATATATAATTGAAAAAAAAAAGTTAAACGAAAGAAAGCATTAACTAAAAACAAACTTAGAAATAAAAAAAAAAATATTAAATTATGAATATAATACATTTGTTAAAAATTAAGATAAAAATCAAATCATATGAATGCAATAGAATTTTGTTTTGAATGAGGAAAAAAAGTTGATCTTAAAGAGTTTATTCACCACCTTCGATAGCATCAACGCTACCCCAATTGAAAGCACCAATTCCATCCTTTTTGGATTCGCCTGTACTTTCTAAGAATGAATTAAAATCAAAGTCCATATCGTCTAAACTACCATTTGAATTACCTCCTGCTCCGAAAAATACCTGAGTGTCACTTGGAGCACCAGAACCTAAAATATCGGGGAACATTTGATCATTTTGACTAACAGTAGTTTGAAAATTGAGAGCAGAAGAAGGTGGTGGCATATTACTATTTTCCGAAGAGCTAGGTAAATTAATTCCATGATCTGTTGAGCCAGCACTTAAAGTAGGGTCTTCTTCATTTTTCAATTTTGGAGTTTCTTTACCAGTCTTCTTTTTCTTAGATTTATTATTGTCGATAGGAGTATTATTAGTTGGAGGTGGGGCTACGAAATTGGAAGGAGTTTTAGCAATTGCTTGTTTTTTAGGAGAATCTTTACCAGTATTATTTTTTCTTTTTCTTTTAGCAGCCAAATTACCATTATTATCATTTTCCAGTGCAGGAGTTAAAGGAGTATTATTTTCTTTCTTTAGCATTGAATTACCAGAAATGCTTGACTGACTTGGATTTGAAATGGGAGTTTGATTATTAGTGGTACTTGCGTTACTTGGCTTACGACCTCTTTTAGAAGCAGTTTCCTTCTTTTTCCTACCTCCTGGAGATGATTTATTACTTATGATAGGAGATGGAGCAGGAGATGGTTTAGATGGCATTGCTGGGGTTGTTTGAGCACTACCTGAAGGTTGTTGTTGTTGTTGTTGAACTTGAGGAGGAAGAGGAGGTTGAGGAGGTTGAGGTTGTTGAATATTAACATCACTCCCACTATCGCGTCTTGCAATATCCAAACGTTTTTTATTTTGTTTTTCGAGTAACATTAATTGCATTTGATAATCTTGCAAAGCATTCAAATTTCTTCCTGGTGGAGCGTTACCATTTGTAGTTGACACTGGTGGACCTGGTATACTAGCATTTGTTATACTTGGAGATGGTTGAGTTTTACTTGGTTTTCTACTACCACTTACACTTCCCATTTTACCCCTTTGTTGTTGCTGAGTTGCCATTGGTTGAGGTTGAGGTTGAGAGAAAGGAGTTTGGCTACCATTTGGCGTTGGTGCATTACGGTATAATGGGGTACCATTGGGCACGTTTGGTCTTGGTTGTTGTTGTTGTTGAAGAGGGGTTTGTAATCCTTGCTGACGATTTTGCTGTTGGGGTTGTTGTTGTAAAGGAGGTTGATTCATTCTGTCATTACCATCAAATTGTTGTTGAGCATATTGTGCGGCGGCTTGTTGACGTAAATTATGCATTTGAGTTTGAGCGTGTTGTTGAATTCTGTTATGGGGTTGTTGACCTTGTTGATTTTGTTGTTGACCTTGTTGATTTTGTTGACCTTGTTGACCCTGCTGAGCTCTTTGTTGTTGTTGTAAGAAAAATTGTTGTTGTAAATTTAAGTTCAAGTTTGGATTCATTTGGCCCTGAGGAATTGATTGGGGGTTATTTGGATCCATTGGTAATTGTTGTTGTTTCATGAGCATTTGCATCATGAACTGCTGTTGTTGTTGTTGAGAAGCGAATGTTTGCTGATTAAATTGCGGGAAAGGACCATTTGCATTAGGTCCGGCATTGGCACCATTGGCGTTAGGCCCCACCGGACCAGCAGGACCAACAGGGCCCGTGGAGCCAGTAGGACCAGCATTGGGGCCAGTATTAGGACCAGAATTAGGACCAGTAGGACCGGCAGGCCCAGCAGGCCCAGCAGGTCCAGTATTTGATTGTTGTTGGTGAGGAGGTTGTTGGTGAGGAGGTTGTTGTTGATTTGGGATACTTGGAGTGTGGATGGCACCATTTTCCGGATTATTAGGAAAGCTAGGGTTGGGAGTTCTTTGAGCAGAGGGAGGATTTGAGTTGGGAGCAGTGGCGTTTGGATTTTGGATTATATTTTGTTGAAAGGATTGTTGTGGTTGAAGTAATGGTTGTTGTTGAGGGGGTTGAGGATGAGGAGGTTGGCCGGCGGGAAAAGAAGGAGGCACTTGTTGAAGTTTCTGTTGATTTTGTAAAGGGAAATTAGGAAGATTTAATTGATTACGTTGGAAACTGGGGGGTATACCCAAGATATTTGGTTGGACATTCATACCGGATAAATCTTGATGTTGTCTTTGTTTCATTAATTGTAATTGGTAATACTCCAAAGCATTGGAGCTTGCGCTAGTTGACAGAGGTAATTTATTGGAATGATTATTTTTGGCTTGGAAAACATCCCAAAAAATTTCCCACCATTCAAATAAGAACCCTTGAGGAGCATCGATTGCAACCGATAAATTGGGTAAATTATGGTCTTTGGGAAGATTGGGATTGGGAGTAGAAGGATTTGAGATGTTATTAACTTGAGGAGAGTTTCTAGTGGAATGAGGGCTATTTGAATTCGAACCACCACCCCCACTATTATTTGGAGAAAGATGAGAAGGTATTGAAGGAATTTCTGCTTCATTAACAAATATCTTTGCCGTTTGCGGCAATTTACTCTTGATTAAAAAATCATAAACGTAAGCATTAAGCAACTGTTTGGAATTGATTGCCTGACTATCAGAAATACTACTGGATGAATCAAGCGGTTGTTTACCGATAAGTTTAGCAGCTTGTTTGTTGGAATGAGTCCCATTGGCGGCTGACCCCGAAGTATTATTCATTGAGTCTGGAGTTCGTTTATTGTGCAATAGATGACTCATCTAATGATATATCTTGAAATGGTTGACGCTTTCTTGTCCCCAATAGACTAAGGTGAAGAGAAGAATCAAAAAAGAACAAAAAAAAAAAAAAAAAAAAGAGAAAAAGGAAGAGAAAAGATAAAATAAGCCTTCAACCCAGGGTTAATCAGAATTTGTCAAAACAAGTAACAATGTCGTGGACTCCAATCGGTTGGTATAGTGTAAAAGTGACAATGCTTCTGATTGATATCTTCAATCCTAATGATAAAGACTTGTTTTTACCGCTTAATTTGATTTTGTAAAATTTGTGTCTAAGTTTTTTTGTCAGTGAGTATTTCCTTCCCTCTTTCTTTTGCCGGTCTTTTTCTTTTTTTTGTTTTGTTAGTTAATTTTGATACTTAAAGGTAAGTGCTTTGTAGTATACCAGATAACGTTAAATAGAAGGCTTAATCCCAGATCTAGCTGTCACTCATGTATCGCTGGACAAGTTGGGGCCGCCTTATGGTTTGGCAGGTTATTAATTTCCATGGGATGAAAAAGTGTGTGCAGTACACGAGACCTCCCCCGTGATTACATCATCCATTATGTAAGCAAACGATTGCAAAATGGAGCTATACGTTGAATATATTAACAAGTAAACTAGTAACGATACACTATTACACACAAGAGAGAGCCCGACACCACCCAAAGTAAGTAGAATGAAGAAAAAGTAATCCGAGATTACGAGACGAAATAAAGATATTAACCCCAAACGGTGGCATCACTGAATCTAGATTGAGTGTTAGTGCCCCAGATGTTCTGATTGATTCCGTTTGACCAGCCGGGGGTTGAGAGGTTGGGCCGGGTGGGGTTGGGGTTGGTGATGGTGAGGTCTTGATCGAGGTCATTTAGGATTCCCCCGGTTAAATCAAGTTGGTTGAGGGACAGGAAGGGATCGAAGGACGACTGGGCCACTTGGGGGTTTTGTATGGGGACGTATTTGGAGGTTCTGTTTTTTGAAACTTGACTTTGGCGTCTTGGGATGTGATTTTTAGTATAATTTTTCAATGGTTGGGTTTGTAGTTCGATTAGATGTTTTTCAATCATGTCCAACTGCTGTGAAAAGGGTTCTGGTTTGATACGACGAGTGGGAACGGCCATGTTGACAACAACACAAGTAGTGCTCGGTGTGGACTCGGTGTGGACTCGGTGTGGACTCGATGTAGACTCGATGTGGACTCGACGAGACTCGATGTAGACTCGATGTAGACTCGACATTATACCCCTGGTAGTTAATTTTTCATTTTTCGACGAGATCAAATTTCGCGCAACTACTAAACTCACTACTCATTACATCAACTACTAAACTCACTACTCATTACATCAACTACTTTATTACTATACAATTATTTTTTTTTCTGTTTAATTTCTTCGTCTTTAGTGGCGTGTAGCTTGATTTGGTTTGGATAGTCTGGGCGGTTACTTTGGTGTCCTTGAGACCAATCGTAACTCATGGCATATGCAAATATACTACCATTATTATTGAATCCGGTAACGGGGATAGTACAATTAACCGAAGGAAAGTTTTTAAGACGTTGTCTTGCATCTTTATCCCAGAAACAGAAAGTCCCGTCACTACCAGCAGTACTGAAGGTACCGTATACTGGATGAAACGAAATATGATTAACCGAATAAATGTTGTATTCTCCGTTGGTTGAACTTCTCAAGCCTGTAGTACCATTGATTTGTTTCCGGTGACATTTGAAGGAAAATCCCAGCTTGCTTTGCTCGGCTTCGTCGATATACTGGATGGCACATCTACTTTCGATCGAGCCAATGGCAAACCCGTTCCCTTGGGGATAACATGCAATTGTTCTGGTTTGCCATTTTAACGGTGACATGGAGGTTTTAAATATTTGCTGCGGGTTATTCAAATCAATTATGGCTATATGTCTTTCAGCACACCCAACAACTAACAATTTCTGCGATGCATCCATACAATAAACTCGTTCTGGTAATGCTACTGTACTTATTGGTTGCGGACTTCTCATATCCCAATATCTCAATGTTTTATCCCACGATCCACTAACAACAACCTGGGTGTTGGTTGGTCCGCATTCAACGTATCTCACCGACTTAACTGGCGCATCGTGAATCCCAATTTGTTGTTGTTGTTGCAGGGCCAAATCAAATATCTTGACTTGTTTATCAGCCCCTCCACTAATCACTTTGGTCCCATCAATTGACCATCTCGATGATAACACCGGCCCCTCGTGCTCGTATAATGCCAATCCCTGGTTATTCCCGGTATTCGAATCAATCTCGTAAATTCGAACTTTTTTATCCCAACTAGCCACCGCCAATAAATCCTTGACTGGCGAAAACGATAAATCGGATATAGAGTCTTCCGGTGGGTTGTTGATGGTTATGTCGTTCACCAATTCCTGGCCCGTGCTAGGTCCTGGCCCCGGCGTATTGGTTCGATTGCCTAAAAATGACATGGTGTTCGTATGGGTTTCTTCCTTTCTTTATATCCTTTCTTTATAATTCTTTCTTTATGTTTTTTTTTTTTTCTTCCCTTTCTTTCTTTCTGCGATGTTTTTTTTGACTCAAATCTACTAACCTGCACATGGTGACACTTTTTATCTCTATAAATACTTTTGTTAACTGCTACTAGTGTGCTTTGGTTCCTACAATTCATGAAATGGCTGCTTATAATCCCCAAGGACAGGTGGACGTTTCTCTACTAGACGGGGACATCCCGGTGTTGTCCTATAATACGTCCAATTTGTTGTCGAGGGCAAGCACGGTTGCTTCCACGGTCACCACCAGAACCTTACCTCCCATTCAAAATAAGAAAAACTACGAAAATGGGACTTATATCGATTGGGCCAAAGAGTCCCAGCCAAAGTATTGGCCCTCGCTTACGTCGTTGAAATGGTTTACCCTTGTGGCGTCTTCTTTATTGGTGGGGTACATTACCACTCTTATTGATTTGGTTTCGGTTTGGTTAAATGATTTGAGAAAAGGTTTGTGCTTTAGTAAAAGAGATAAATGGTCTTTACTTAATCCTTATTCTACTTGTCCTAAGGATGAATGGAGTGATTGGTCGGAGATTTTCTTCAATTTTGATAATAAATGGACTTCTGCACTCGTTGATTTCCCAATTTATGCATTTTTAAGTATTATTTGGTGTCTTATTGCTGTTTATATAACAGTTAGTAAAGAACCAAGAATCAGACAATCGGGGATTCCAGAAGTTAAGGCCATCATCTCGGGGTTGAATTATGACTTGCCAAACTACTTGGGTAAAAAAACCTTATTCTATAAAGTTATTGGTTTATGCTTTGTGGTGAGCTCTGGTTTATGGTTAGGTAAAGAGGGTCCTTTGGTTCATGTTTCTTGCTGTTTATTGAATATCGTTTATAGCTTGGTCTATAGATTAGATGATCCTAGAAGAAAACACGAAGGTTTAAGACGAGAACTATTAAGTGCTGCAGTGGCCACGGGGATATCAGTAGCATTTAATTCTCCCATTGGTGGTGTCCTTTTCGTCTTGGAAGCTTTACCCAGCTATTTCTTCCCAACAAAAATAATGTGGAACTCTTTCGTTAGTGCCACTATTGCATCAGTCATCTTAACCGGTTTCAAAATCTTTACCGAAGGTGAAAACTTCAACGAAGGGGATTTATTTCAGGTCAATTTCGGAAATTTTAGTTGGTTATTCATGGAGATCATCCCGTTCCTACTTTTGGGGATCTTGGGTGGTTATTTTGGCTTTTTCTATACTATGTTCTACAAGAAGGTCTCTTCGGTCAAATTCAAATCAGCTCTTCATAAAAAATTATGTTCAATATTTCACTTAGCTGAAGGTTATGGTCCTTTTATTGAAATTGTATTATTAGTTTTAATTAATACCCTTCTGAGTTTCCCTGTTTCAATGAAAAAACTACCCTTGGCTGCTTATCTCAAAATGCTATTCACCGATTGTCCTCCAGAGGATTCAAATCTTGATTCAAACTCGGCCACTTTTATGTGTAAATCATCAACCCCCATCACCCTCTTGAAATTATTATATATTATGGTACAAGGCTTTTTGGTATCAGCTTATTCTTTTGGTCTTCCAATCCCTGGTGGGGTCTTAATGCCTTCGTTAGTAATTGGTGCTACCGTTGGTCGATTGCTTGGTATCTTATCTCAGATATTTCAAAACTTATTCGACTTTGATTATTTATCTACCTGCACTGAAAAATCATGTCTTGTTTCTCCGTCTTCCTATGCAGTAGTTGGTGCTGCTGCGTTTATGTCTGGTTTAACGAAATTAACCATGTGTGTTGTCGTGATTATTTTCGAAATAACCGGTGCAGTTACTTATGTCCTTCCTATTATGTGTTCCGTCATGGTACTGAAATTCGTAAATGATTGGTTGTGTAATGAAAATATTTATGATTCTTGGTTAATTTCTAATCTTAATACAAAAGATTCAAACGATCATATCAACCCAAGAAACGTTGGTTTGAATGATGGTAAAGGTAATGGTTTATGTGATTTCACTAATTTGATTCCAAGTGTTAAATTGAAATTACCTGATATCCCAGTGAAAGAAGCTATGGTTCCAGCATCTAGTATCCAATGTATTGAATTATTCCCTGATGATGGCCCCAAAACGATTGAAAACTATCAAAAATTCATCAGTAGCAATAATCACGAAGGTTACCCCTTGATTGTAAGTTATTCCAACCCTATCAGTTTGGGTTATGTATCTAGACTGGAATTACTTGACAAAATTACAAAAGTAAAAGATTCCAGTAAAATTGTTAGTTTTCAACTAGCTGATTTATCAAACAATCTTTGCTCACAACAAGCTCAATTTGAATTAGAAATTCCCGATGAGTCTTTAGTAAGAGTTGATCTTCAAACAGAAGTCTCTTATTTACTTGTAAACGATGACATGCCATTACTTTTGGTACTTGAAATGTTTGAAAAATTAAGTTTAAATTATCTTATAATTATGAATGGTGATGCATCTTACAAGGATTACATGTGTGGATTCGTTGATAGATTTATCTTATCAAGATTAATCGATTCGAAATTCGAATCTTTAACTGATTACAATTTATACGAGCAAGAAGTTAGAGAATTCGATTTGGAAAGTGCTTTGGAAGATGACCGGTTGGTCCATAGGCGAAGAGACCGTGTTAGCATAGAATTATTAACGTAAATGTAATATACTGAATGACTTTTGATTTAAAATTTGCACCTTTTTGTAGAATGCGAGTAGTTTCGTTTCATTTTTTTTTTTTGCAAAGTTTGAATATATCCAGCTCTTCTAATAGTTCAATCGTCAAGTATGAGTCGTCCACCAAATACTACAATTCTATTATCTAATTTGCCTAAGGATGTGAGCCACTGGCTTATGGGTATAGATACGCAGTTTTTTAATTTGAATCAAGTTTTGAAAGGAATTAAAACGATCCCATCAGGGATTCATTTTTTGCATTATTCGATACCTAGTGGTTCACCAAGCCCTGAAGGAGATTCAAACGATATAATATCACTGAGTTTGAGGTATGGATTCTGGTTTGAGTGCAGAAATGAAGATGTATTTGTCATGAAGTGGGATGATTCTCAAGAATCAATGGCTTTACTTAAACTACTAAGTGACGAAGAGGAGGAACAATTGAATAATACCAAGTATATTAATGAAATCGGGGACAAGTATAAAATGATGATTGAATATCCAGAAAGTTCTAATTGGAAGAACAACTTGATAAGCAATGTTGATTACGAAATAATTGAAGAGTTTTTACCAAATAACAATCAAATGGGAATACTGGGGATCATAAACACAATGATGCCATCACGAGAAGAAAACATGATCTTGCTAGATGTATTAAAAGAGAAAAAGAATCAAGCTTTTGAAGATCAAACAAATAAAGAATTCAAATATACTATAATACAGTTCAAAAAAAAGAGTAATACCCATGACGTTGAGCAAACTACCAAGGATTATCTAGATAAGACGTGGTACTTTGAGGAGTTATACGGTAATGATACCGAAATGTTTTTGGGTGAATTACAATTGAGTTTTCTAAATTTCATATTATTGGGTAATTTTAGTTCTGGTTTACAATGGTGTAATTTACTCAAATTAGTCCTGATGTGTCGAAATTTCATGGTACTTCATCATAATTTTACTAATAACTTTATAACAGTTTTATTGAAGCAGTGCCAAATTCTTCCTCCAACTTACCTCATTGGTGAAAACGGAATCCCAGATACTAGTATAATTGATTTCAAATCATACATAGCGATAATGGAAAATTTATCAAGTAATATATTCACCAATGAGCTATGGAATAATAAAGGCTGCTGTGGTAAGATGAAATTATCAGGTATGATTTTGCAAAAGTGGACCGATATAAAGATTACCCATAAAACTCAATTTGGAATAGATTTGAATCAGTTAACGTCTCCGCCAATGAAAGACGGTTACGAAGTTTACGACATAGAAAACCATGACGACAATGATGAAGATGCCCCGGCAATTGTGTATTGATTTGTACCAACCAAACAAAAAAAAAATAAGTTTTTTAAACTAGCATTCATTAATCATTATATATGTATATACAAAATTATTTTTTATCGGCTTGAGCTTTCATCTTTTTAGCATACCTCAAGTCCTTTTGAGCTTTCATTAGGACCAGGTATTCTAATTTTTTCTCTCTGGAAATAATTTTACCTCGGTGAATGTCAAATCCGCTCTCTATAAGAGCAATGTAGTCATCTAGCCATTGACGTCTACTCGATTGGGGTAATTCACTCCAATCGGCACCAACCTTCCGTCTGACTTCTTTAGGAGGCAAATGTGGGTATTTTGAGTTATTCAAAGTGTAGTAGTAGTTCCAAGCATGCGTATACGTAGGGTTTCCATTGGTATTACGGCGACGAATCGTTCTAACCTTGGTTATATCCTCTATATCAAGTTCTTGCTCACCTTCATCTTTCAATTGTTTGACGTAAAGAGAGTCACTTTCTATGGCCTCTTTTTCTTGTTTGGTTTGCTTGACACGTTTTGGAACATCCTTCTTACTAATAGCCCCAATCAACTCATCTACTTTATTCTGTAACTCGTAGGTATTTGCATTTGGTTCGTATTTCTCATCAAGACGTTTTTCAATCTTATCAATTATCCATCGAGGGTTATAATGGGAACGTGGAACAAGAAACCACCCATGCTTGGTAAAAACGCCTCTGAAACTGTTAGGATCCACCTCAGATTCTTTTATCGATAATGGTACTGCTTGATTTGAATAGTTGCAAATCTGCAATGGTCTAAGGTTTTTCAACGTCAGTAAAGACATACGATGCGATTGAGCAGTGAACCGACACACCACCCGGCAACCAGCTAGCCTATTCATGTCTCCTTGCCTTGGTAAACTCACTCACCTTCAAAAACCCTGGTTTTACTGCAAAATTCAGTTTAGTTTAAAGACCCTCTAAATGAAAATTTTTCTTCCTAGATCTATACCGGTGTGTGTATACCAAAACGGCCTGGTGATTGGGTGTTTTCCACGATGCCTTATCTTCATCGTGAATTCCTCGATCTGCCCAGTGCTTTGTATCCCATGCTAATAAGGAAGTATGTTCTTATCACCAAAGCAGGGTATCTCGATTCTCAATCAATGATGTCAAGTTGAATCCTTTATATGGGGTACATTTAGAATTCTAGTGAGCAAACGGCTCTTATCTCGTTGCCGTAATTCACTCCACCAAAGAATGCGCTTTTGTGGGTGTGGGTCTTTTTTTTCCATTTCATTTCTTTTTAAACCTTTTTTTTTGAATAATTTAACCGCCTATTCCTTTAATTCATTCATCATTTACTATCCTAGTATAGGTATCTAGAGTTTCTTTTGATCATAGATTCAAACAGTCAACTTTGTCATGCTGCAGGGACCCAACTCACCCTTGTTTCCGGTGCTGCAGTTGACTTTATCGCCTGCTATATCCAATTCTGTTGCAGCCGCCAATGGGGTCAGTGAAGAGCATCCGCTGCTTCTTCCTCAACTTCCTGATAAACCTCTGGCTCAAACGTCGTCTATCCAGGTGTATATCATCCCGACGGAAAAGAATTTGTTTGTTCAAGGATTTGAAGCATATGAGTATGCCGAAAGACCCCCAGTTTTGCTAAGAGGATGTCTTTATTTGAAAGTTTTGAAACCAAGTAAAATCAAATCGATTACGTTAAATTTTAAAGGCCAACAAAGAACTGATTGGCCCGAAGGGATACCCCCAAAGAAAAACACGTACGCAGAGATTAATGATATCTTGAGTCATACTTGGCCCTTTTATCAGGTTGAAAGCCCTTTACCAAATTGCGGAGCAGATTTTTTCAAACCTTTGAATTCTCATACCAATGATCAAGATGTTAGCCATTTGAGTTTGTCTGACACTATAACAAGATCGCACTCTCCAGCTCCCCTTTCAACTTCCCAATCCCACACTAGTATATCAACGGCCATGAATAATGACAATATAAGTCTAAATAATTCCAATGGAGGTATGGGTGTCGGCAATTTTTTCACAAGGAATTTATCTCCAGCTACCAACTTTATGAAAAGGGCAGCTTCACCATCCGTTCACTCAAATGATGTGCCAAATGATCTAACTAGTTCAATAACGAATCCAGACAATGACTCCCTGAAACCTGGCCATTTCCCTGCTGGAGATTATATATATAATTTCGAACATGCAATTCATCCTTCCATTGCTGAAACTACTGACGTTACCTTTGGTTCTGTCTCTTATCACTTGGAAGCAAACATAAGTAGAATTGGAACTTTTAAACTGAATTTAACTGCTAGATTACCAATTGATATTATAAGAACACCCTCCGAGTCTAATACTGAAGAACACGAACCAATTGTTATAACAAGAGATTGGGAAGATCAACTACGTTATGATATTGTAGTTGGTGGTAAGTCTGTCATATTAGACTCTTATCTTCCTTTAGCCTTTAGGTTCGTACCGTTATGGGGTAAAGTTGCATTACATAGAATTCGAGTTTACCTAACTGAAAACTTGGAATATTACTGTCAAAATAAAAAAGTTCACAGGATGGAACCTCCCAAAAAATATTTACTTTTAGAACATAAGGCTAAAAAGGGTAGATCTCTTTTATCAGAATCAGGTGGGTTAAATGAAGAAGCTCCTCCAGATGAAGAAGACGATATCTTACCAAGAGAATTGGAATTTCAATTATTTGTCCCAAAAACACTTAGTGATAAACATTGCCATAACATCCATCCAGATACTTCATTTGAAAATATTCAAGCTCATCATTGGATAAAAATTTGTCTTAGAATATCAAAACTTGATCCAGAAAATGAAGGCAAACGTAAGCATTATGAAATCCTGATCGATTCACCAATTCATGTCCTTTCAGAATATGCTGCCCATGGTAACACTCTTTTACCTGCCTATGATACTCATCAACGAGATGAAGAACAATTCTTACCAAAATATACACCAAGTTCTCCTCCTTTGTCACCGGGAGTTGTTCCAATCAACACAAATAATATATTGGCTTCTGCTTTAAATAACAATAGTGGAACACAGGAGAATTCATTAGATCATATAATGGAATCACCAATTAGACCTTCAACACCATTAGAATTCCATCATATCAACAGCGTTCGAAATAACGATGAGCCAATTGAAAGAGATCCCGATATGCATCTAGGTGCTAATTTATACAAGCCAAGTGAGGATAGTGCTTTGAACAGTCAAATGCATTCGCCCCAAGCGTTCCCACATCCAAGTACTTTCAGCTCCCCAATCAATTCTCCAATTCAAAGACCTATACATATTTTAAGGCAACCTTCATACAACCCTCCCCCATTCAATGCCGACAATGCACCTCCTACGATCGACGATGTAATCCCACCTCCGGCATATGAAGAAGAAGATCACTCATTAAGTATGTCACCATTAAGAATAAATGATGATGCTATAACAACACCGCCAAGGGCCGAGTTAAATGTTATTCCGCCTACTCCCGTCAATGTTATACCTCCAACTCCTCAAGAAACTCCAATTAAGGAGAGACTAGAGCAACAGTTGGAAGAAGCTACAAAAAATAATATTGCCAATCAAACTTCAGCTTCAGGATCGAGTAAGAGTTCACATAAGACTCTGAAAAGACCGCTGGTGGATGATGAGGACGGTGAGGATCTCGTTGATTTTGGTGATGCTCCAATCCAAGCTCCCCTGTCTCCGCAACCATTGCATTTATTGATCAATCGATCCAGACGTAACTCATCCAATAAAGGATCAAATCACGCATCCCGCAGGTCATCTATATCATCATTAGGTTCATCTGAGAACCTAGAAAATATGCCAGTTGAACAGACGATGCCATTATTGAGTCTGTCGGCATCAAGTATTAATGTATCCTTTTCTGCACCATCATTGAATGAAAGAGGAAGGAATGATTCGATTCACTCTTTATTACAAGATTCTACCAGGCGACCCAGTAACATTAACGATTGGTCCACAAGGAAAATGGACTTGATGAGTAATGATTTGACTGATGATGTTCATGGGGTTAATGGGAAACTAAGTAAATTAAGAAATCCAAGGATTAAGAGACATTACAACGATTCGGTTGAGGAAGATACCATAAGTTCTGATTCAATGAAACCAAAAATTATTGAAGAAGATATGGCACATGAAAATAGTGAAATGAACGAGCTGGCCTCAAATGGAGAAACAAACAGTGGTACGCAGCCATCAAGTCGAAGTAGTACATCTTTTGAAAGTGAAATAACAATCGATGAATCCACAGGCTTGAGAAGGAAAAATGATTCTAAAGATCATCATCAAAATAACAGTAATAACCAGGTCCCAGGACTTAATTATGGGTACACTATAGAATAAAACTTTTTTTTTTCAATTCTTACTTAAATATACGATAAATATATATATTATTAGACTTTTACATTTTTATGAGTTTTTTTATCGACTAAACTTTTGTTTTGTTGTTCCAAATCACCTAACCATTCATACAAAACTGATAAATCACGATTGGCAATATCTTCTCTCTCACAAGCACTTTCGTACCATTTTCTACTAATATCACCTAAAAACAAATATCTATCATTTAATTTAGCACTTTCGGTAGCTAAAACCAAATCTTTTTTAGTTAATTTAGTGACAAATCCACCCTTGTATCCAATATCACAAGGCAAATTATTTTGTGGATACAGCGAAGGTATTGGACAATTATCAACGGAGGCCCAAGATTTACCAGTAGATACGCTAACCAATTTGGCATAATTAGCTAAATTAAGATTAAAAGATTTAGCCAATTGGAATGAATCGGCAACCGCTAAATTAGTGACTGCCAAAAGATAATTATTTGAGAGTTTAGCTGCTAACCCAGTTCCATGATCCAGGCCACAAGGGAAGATATTAGTACCCATTTTTTGTAATAATGATAATAAGGAAGAATCAATATCATCATGAGATTGTCTCGATAACATAAATGACAAAGTACCTTTACGGGCACCAGCAACCCCACCAGAAACGGGAGTATCGATGAAATCAAAATGATTAATCTGTTCCTTCACATACTTATGAACTTCAACAGAAGTTGGAATATCAATGGTGGAACTATCCAAAAAAGTAGTGTTGGTACTAGTCAAATCAGAATGATTTTTATAATTACTGACTAACTCTTCAATAACTGATTTAACATGCTTACCTTCAGGTACCATCGTAACAATATATTCTAATTGCGAATCAACATTAGTAACAAATTCCCCAATTGAATGAAGTGGAACCAACAAGTCCTTATTGGCAGGAGTGATTTTGGTGACTTCGTCAACAAAATTAGAAGTTGATTCTGCAACCGTATCATAAACATAAAGCTTATCATCCGGTTGTAACTTATTATATATATGTCTTGCCATATGCTGACCCATTTGGCCTAACCCAATAAACCCATAATTAGTATTACTTACTGAACTTGTTGAGAAATACTTACAACCGGTCTTGGATATGCCTCTAATATTGCTGAATAACATTTTGGCTGTCTATCCATCTCGATCCCTTTCTCGAGAAACTATCGTCCTCTTATAAAGAATAGATTCCAGTCTCCACTTTTCACAAGCTACTCCATATTCCATATTCCCAGCTCCGGTATAGGCCCTGGAGAATCCGACTCCGAATCCCACCAGCCGTAAAACTGCCAAAAAAACTGCTGCTTTCTCGGTCAATAGGACTTACTAGTCAAACTCCTAACCTTAGCCATTAGAGTTAGTCCCTATACGCCTACAAGTGCCTCCAATGGTAGCACCAGTGCTTATACTCGCGTTCCTCGTTTCTGAAATGGATCCGGTCGGATAACTGAATACCCCAGTTTTTTTATACTGTGATTTTTTGCTCCCGCTCCAGAACAAGGTTTTCCATGGGTATTTCGATACTTCACCCGATTTCCTTTCATAAGTTGTTTAAATAGCGGTGTTTCTCGTTATTTTTCCCCTGAGACTATCTGTTGCTTCAATTGCAGCTTTTCGTACTCCATGCAACTTTGCAGCCTTGCCAATGGCAGACGGAAGTGTGCGGCGAATACATAGCACGCTCGACCAAGGTTAAGAGCAGCTTTCGACCTCTTGGGGTCCAGTAGTCTTCGTTTTCACGTCAAATGTTTAAAATATGTCAATGTTTCATGGAGTTTGAGACAACGGAATTTGGGAAAAAAAAAAAGACGGAATTTTCGCTAATGACTTCAGTCGGAGAAAACCCCCAAAGATGCCGAAAATTGATCTGATGAACCACAATCGATTTGTTGAAAAGGAACAGGCTTCCCAGAAAGAAATTTGACTCTCAGTAGTGACAAGCAAGAAGATACCCAATGACTGAGTTAGAAGCGATTTCGTCGCAAAGACCCACCAAAACAACTTACAATTTGCCAAAGCCCAAATCAGCGTACTTCCCAAGTCCAGGATCACCGTTGTACGCAGATAAGGAATTGTATACGAAGATTTCCAAAGCATCCAAGACCAAAGTCGAAACACATATATGTAATCCCAGATCAGGATTGGCAGTTAAGATTGCTGCAAAGTCAGTTTTCAGAATAACTACCCCAAAAGGAGCCCAAGTATGTGATTTAAATATTTGGAATGCTAATAATCCAAGAGAAAGGTTTTGGGCAGCCAGAACCCGTCAGTTGCATCTGGCCCATGTATCTACTTTTGACCGTTTGTGGTCCAACTTACCTTATTTGCGTCCTTTGGTCACTATAACCAATGATACGTTGTCAGCAAGACATGATGAATGGGGTGGAAGAGTTCATGATACTTTGGGGACTAGATGTGATCCTTACGTGGATAAGTTATTGACCGGCGAAGATAACGATTTCCATTGTCATTCTAACTTGACCAGGGCGGTTTTACCATTTGGCTTAACCGAATTTGACGTTCACGATGTTTTGAATGTTTTCCAAGTGACCGGTTTAAATGAGTATGATCAATACTTCATGGAAACCTGTCCTGCTACTGAAAACGATTTTTTTGAATTATTTGCCGAGCAAGACTTGTTGGTTGCCATAAGTGCTTGTCCTGGTGGTGATTTAAGTAAATGGGGTTGGGGTGAAGAAGAAGGTAAAGAATCTGAAATGGTTGATTGTTGTAGACCTTTAGGTATTGAAGTTTATAAAATTGATAATGAAGACGAAGTTTTACTGCAATGGAATCCTCCAAAACCAGTCAACTACACTGGAAATCATGGGTTAAAAGGTCCTTATAATTAATTATCTTATATATACAATATATTTATCATCTATAACATCTATACACTAACTTGTACCATCAATTGATTCACCCAACCAATCACTGATCATATCATTCGTAATAAAGCCCGCCAACTCTGACCCTTTGTATTTCATCTCGCCTTTGCTAATCATGTTTTGTAAAAATTCAAAGCTCTGCTTGATTTTGTCTTCGGATAAAATACGAAGGTCATTGGGTAAGAAAGTAAGTTCCATTTCTCTCACAATTGCCCTTTTGTCAACTTTGAATAAGATCTCAAACCCAAATTTTTCATTCATTAATTTATGGCTGAATCTCGGGGTGCCTCCAAATTTCCAATCCCATTCTTTTAGTTGGGATTCGGTTTCATAAACATACTCGGGTAATGTTGTATCGTCATCAATTATAATAACTTTGGTTGTCTTGTTCAAAGCATTGGCTTCAACAAAATCAGTTAACCCAAATAACTCATTCTGATCGTACTCATCAGGATCAGACTGCTCTCCGTAATCTATTGGTTTACCATATATGCTTTGGAATTCATTCGTCACGAGTTCAATAAACTTATCATTTTCCATTTCGAAATTGGTCACTTTGGATTTAACTGATCCAACAGACGCCATGGCATCAACGATGCCCAATTTCGCCTCGTCCCTATGCAATAGTTGTTTCAAAATATCCAATCTCAGATTTAATAACATTGTCCCATGATGATATGATTTGCCTTTGGCTAATTTATATGCTGATCCACTTATCTTATAGCAAATATCGTCTTGTTGCTTCTCCGTAGTTATGTCACCCCTTTCATTAACTTCCAATCTGTACTTACTACCTTCATATTTATTGACTCCATCTCTGATTATCTTAGCAAAAGTATATCTATCAAAATTATTCTTGGTAGTCATGAATGAATAGTTGACGTTACCACCATCGTGAACAACAGTACCTCCACCAGACTTACGTCTTACTAGCGGTATATGTAGTGAATTCAAAAGTGGCACATTCACTTCCTTCCATGGATTTTGATTCTTCCCAATGACAACACATGGCGAGTTTGTATAAAATATGAGCCTGTTATAGTTTGATCCTTGATCCTTTGGAACCGGCATTTGATTGAATATGTGATCTTCAATTGCTAAATTTCGATATGGGTTCGAAATCTTCGATACAAATGCAATTGGCTCTTTCAACCCAACATAATCTTCTAGTATATTGGATAAAATCTTATTGGGATTTTCTTTCGGTGGATTAATGACGCCCTCCTCCAGAATGTTTTCGTTCTCTACTTCTTCTATAAGCTCTAGTCTCTTCTTTTTCACATCGGGTGACTCCTGATAATGTTGAAAGTCCAGCAAGTTGAAATCATCATTATCCGCAGCACTTAAATCGTCTTGAAATGGGACTTGAATATTATGGAATTTTCTTCGCAAAAAGCATGGCTCTACCTTCAAAGGTGATTTCAAGAACCGCCTAAGCGCTATCATATTTTGCAAAGGTTATTGACGTTTTCGAAGTAATTGGTATAGTTCAAAAGAGAAAAAGTACTGAAAAAAAAAAAAAAAAAAAAGATCAAAAAAAAAGAACACACGCACTTATACAATATTTTTTAATCCATCTCTCTTAAAGATGGAAGTAAATCGTAATAACCAGTCTTGAAAGATAAGATAAGATTAAAAGAGTATCGAAAAACAAAGAATACCCCAAGGGTTTACCTCCATCAGCATAATACCCAGGGTTTTGTTTTTTTTTTTTTTGTATTGCNAAAAAAAAAGAAAAAAAAAAAAAAAAAAAAAAAAAAAGATCAAAAGTTGAATTTCTCGGAGCGATGATGTCTTGATACTTCCTTTTAATCATCTTTAAGGTTGGTATTTTCGGAGAACAATGAATAGGAATAACGTACTTGAAAAACACTTACTCTCCAGAAGTTATGATTCGGAATCGAGAATTGAAGAGTTGTTGAATGAAAGATACTCGCTTAGGGGAACTCAGAGGCATTTTATGCACATCGTACCAACCATATCAGCAGAGGAGAAGAAAGGGCCTATTAAGATTCTTAACCACGGTGAGGTTAGTGAACCTAATGCCAAGGTCACTAAAGAACGTCGAGTGAATACTAGAAGAGAGTTGAGGCTTTATATACAATCAACCTTGGCCAACCAAACCAAATTGATCAAAAAGATTCAAGCTTATAATCGAATGAATAAAGAGAGAAATGATTCAAATAAGAAAAAGCCATTCCCCGTCGTTAAATTGATAGACCACTATAAAATTCCGAAGTTTGAAGATTTCAAACCTATAAATAATTTATGGCAAAACTATATTCAAGATTTATTGTTTCCTCAACAAGTTAATAGTTTACCAGGATCGCAGGCGTTATTACAAAAGCTTTCATTAGCAGATTTCAATGGTTGCTTACTTCATGTTATTGACTCAAAAAACAAAAATTGCATTGGAATAAGGGGTATTGTTGCATGGGATACCCAGTATTCATTTATTTTATGTACTCCAAGAAATGAAGACTCAAAAGAATGGAATGGATCCAGATCAGAGTTCACTCCTGCAGAGCAAGTTGGCGGATTAAGAATCATATCCAAAAAGGGGACCCTATTTGGGTTTGATATCCAATTACCTTCTAAACTACAAAGTGAAGGTGGAAATGAAGAAACTTTAGGATTCACGATTATAGGGTCAAGATTTGAATTTAGATCAGTCGATAGATCTGGTAAGAAATTTAAGAATCATAACGTTGATGATTTAGTATAATGAAATTACGATATGCATGTGTATTTAATTATTTAAAGGAATTTTTTCTTCAAATCATTTAATTGTAGGATCAACAATTCATCTTTTTCATTATCAAGAGTTTTCAATACCTTTTGAATTGATTCTTTATAAGTTTTTTTGACTGAATCATCTTGAACCAATCTTGCGTTCCCCATTAGTGCAGTTAATTCTTTTATTAGTTCTTCCTTGTTGATATTCTTCAGGTACTTGGGTACTGGTTCTTTCTCTATGATTCCTGTTATGCTTGAATTGGAGACTGAGTCATCCATATCTTGCTGTAAGTTCTCTATAACTTTTTCAAATGGATGATCAAATTGATCTGATTGCTGTTTAATAAAGGAAGATAAGTCATTAAATACATCATCGAGATAAGTTTCACTTATTTGGTAGGCCGATGGCTTATTTGCTTTTTCGTTGACTTGAAGTGATAAGTTCTTGAATCCTTTATTGATATCCTCATTTGACTGCACCGGTTCTGAAGGCACTTTCGATTTGGATAAATCACCTAAAACTTGATTTAATTTAATTAATTCGTAGTAGTTGTCATATATTATTGATTTCTTAGCAGAGTCATGTGAATTCAAGTCATTCGTTATGGAATTTCTGACTTTTAATATTTCTTCAATTGAGCTTTCCTTAACAAACTGTCGTAAAGTGTCAGGATTTGTAAAATCAATCTTCTGTTTATTGTCGTTATCTTGTTTTGCTTCTTTATTCTGCTTTGTATTGTCGTCTTCCAGCTTTTCTGACTTCTGTAAGCCCTGGATATGATAGAATTCTTGCAAAGCTTTTCTTCTGGACAGAATTTTCCTTCCTGTGTTAACACCAGTAGAAGTATTGGAGCTAGAACTAAGTCTTGGAGTTCCAGGTTTACTTGCAACTGGAGTCGGGCTATGCGAGGAAGAATTAGACTCACTGTTTGATTTATTCACAGTGGATGGTTTCTTATATGATAACACTGGAGTCGAAGACATTCTGGACAGTGAAGTAGACCTCTTAAATGGCTCGTAAACAGTCCGCTGTCGATTTTATTTGCAATTTAGTTCGCATTTGGTTTTTTTATTTTTTTTTTGGCTAATCGATTTTTCAGTCCTTCTACATCAATAAGAGTTTATAAGTGAATGATAATTATTATCTATATATCCTATAGTACAGATGAATGGTTAGTTTACAAGGTTGAGTGAATAAAATTTAGTCATAAGCCCAAGCGTCGAAATAACTAAGATCGGATTCTTCTTTTTCATCGTTAATGATTGAGTAATGGTCAAATATGCTGTAAGATTTATTTTCTTTTAAATCTTTTAAAAACTTTGGGTTAACTAGAGATTGGTTATCGCCTTCTTCGTAAGCTCTACCGTAACCAGCCTCTAAAACACTCTGCCAAGTGGCTTTATAGAGATCAGCAGTATCCACAACCAATTCCAATTTATCTTCATAAATAAGTACATCACAAAGAGCTCTGATATCATGAACTGCCAATTCGATATTTGTAATACGATTAGAAGTAATAAACTCCATGATTGACTCCAAGTTGATATAACCAGTGTGAGTAGCTGGGAAACTACTTTGAAAGACATTAGTGTTTGAGGAAGGTGGTTGGAAAACAGTAGGGTAAGATTTAGATGCAACAAATCTCCAAATCACGGTGGTCAAGGAGTCGATGAATTCGGTATCTAATTCAGAATCAGTAAACCATGGACCACCAGTCACTTCTATTGAAGGTTGTAAATTATACAACATATAAATTTTTCTAGTTGGATGCTTTACCGATTTAATCGATTTGATATATCTTTGACCTTCTAGAGACTTTAAGCATCTCACCACAATATGCTGATGTAAATTTGTTTTGGCCTTGATGGTTTTAGTCCAAATCCCTTCTCTTCCTGATGCTTCGATATATGAATAAATCATAGCTTCGTCATCACTCATCGAAGTAATCTTCTTCGCTTCTGAAAGAGAAATTACTTGAAACTTCAATTCTTCTCCAACTTTCATCAATTTAGCTAAATTATTACTAACTAATTCTTGGGCTATTTCCAAGAGTGATTGCACATCACTCAAGTTCATCAATTTGAGAAGCTCCTCCTGCGAGAATAACTTCGATACTGGTGCCTCCAGCATCCTGCTGTGTAAGGTCCTTGCCTTTTCTGATACCTCTGCCATACCTCTATTTCAAACCAGAACTAGCCTTTCAAGAAATAATCTCAATAGAGTTGAATCGAATATTTCAAGATGAGTATTGATTTTTTTTTTTTCTCTTCGCTCGATGTTTTTTTTTTTTTATTGAGTTGTTGATAGTCTCATGAGGAAGATTTGTTAATGCTTACCACAAACAACCAAGGTAGAGGGTTTGATATGTTATGCTGTATGAATGCTTTGCTTTCATGATATCTGGAACTCGGGGTCCAATTTCGTTTGCTTTTAGTGAATACCCAGCAAGAACATGGATTCTCAAGACATTTTGCAACCATGGACAATTAAAAGTTAAACTACTTGCACCAGGAAATTGTAAGACCAGAATGTATCAGTATAGTGTAGCTGTCTTTTTCCAGGGACTGCTTCACTGCTATCGTTATCGTTCTAGATATACGGTTTGAGGTTTTTATGCTTGTTGAATATTTGTAAACTCGAATTTCGTAAGCCCAATAGCATCGAGATGGTGGACTTGCGTGAAGTTACTGTTCAAATTACAATAGTATATTGCTGGTAAGATTCCTCTCCTACACGTTTAATTACAAGTGGATATCAATCAACTTCCAGCAGATTTTCGTCCAATAACTGAAAAAAATACGAACAAGCCTAGTTTAAGAATTGAATACCGGCAACCCAGTCATTACCATACAAGAATCCTCTTCCTGAACACTCTTATGCTTTAGTATCGTTTGTATTTGGACCTTTTGTTATTGTGCTATATTGTACCTATCCCGAATAGTATACCCGTACATCTGATGGTGACCAATGTTGCAAATTTAGTGATTACTGCTACAAATAGAGAGCCATTAATCCTTTCAAATACATGTTTGGAATGTAGCCCAACCACATTCAATTCCTGTATCGATCGAAGAATGTCTAAATCGTAATTTATCTGATTCAAGACTTCTCTCAGCATTAGGCCAAACGAACGCTTCAGTAAAAGAGATTCAACCAGTCTTGAGCTGAAACTATATCTCGAACGCCAGATATCTCGAGACTTCACAATTGGTTTCTAATCGGTAGCTTGTTTATACAGTATATAAACTGGATGAAACCAGGGTAAAACAACCCGTACCGCACAAAACCATTCAGCTCAATATTTTTTTAAAGCAAAGCGCCATAACGAGAAACCAATGCTTGTACTACCTAAGAAGAATGGCAGGGAGAAAAGGATTGGGGTCAATACTGTTCGAAGAAGACGGCAGTGATGATGAAATATTCAGCGGAAAGAATATAAAACAGAGTAAGCCGGCAGGACCAGTGTTTAAAAAGAAACAATTCAAAAACCCAGCATCTAGAAGAGTCAAGAGAAGAGCGTTTGAAGAAGAGGAAGATGAAAAAGGGACTGAACCGGCGACCGGGGAACAAGCATCTTCTACAGAGGAAGTGCTGTCCGAAAGCAAGCTTTCAAAAATTAAGAAATACAGGCAATTGAAAGACGAGAACGGCGAAGATGGAGCAGATGAAGACCCAGTTATAGTGAATCCAGAGAAGGAGGAAGAAGACGAGAAGCCAGTTATCGTGAATATGGAAAATGAAGCAGATAATGCCCAAGTGCTTGAAGAGCCGGCCAAGAAGTATGTGCCAAATTTCGAAGATGACAATTGGAAACCTAGCCTAACGATACAGAACGAATACGGAGAGGATGAGGAAGATCAAGAGAACGTGGCCAATCACGAAGAATACGAGGATATGGTCATTGATAATGAAGATTTCACCGAAGATAAAACCAGTGCTACTGAATTGATTAAGCAGTCTCGCATCAGAGCAGGTATTCATACCAATGATTCGAACGAGAAATCCAGTATACAAGTGAATCAAGACTTTTATGATCTTGAATTGAGTGATGACCAAAGCATAAATGAAGATGAACAAACTGACGATAAAAATTACAAAGTTCAAAGTTTAAGTGAGATGGTGAGCAATTTGAGTATATCTACGATGAATTTAAAGGAATCAATAACTGAAAAAGAGGCCGAGTTGCAAGATATCGAGTCACAATTGGGTCAAGTCAAGCAAGCAAAGGAGAATCTCTTGATGAAGTTATAGTAGGGACGGATGCAAATATAAGAGGAGGTCGTGTACTTTTGGGGCGGTGATTGTCCACCGCGGTAAGGGATGAAAAATTACTCAATTGAGATGAGTCATGGTGAATTTTTTCATCTTTTGTTTAAATAGTTGAATAAGTCTAATAGATTTAATAGTATAAGGGTAAAGTAAAGATGTTCAGAAGATTGTTTAGTACCAGTGGGGCCAAGTATGCACCACGCCACTTGGTTAGTACTGTTGAATTGAGCAAAGAAGAGTTAGGGACATTAGTTGAAAAAGCTGGAAAATTCAAACAAATTGTTAGATCCGGCAACGGTACCCCAGTAGAACAACATCAGAAATTGATGGGTAAGTTAGTTGCCTTGTTATTTTCCAAAAGATCTACCAGAACCCGAATTCTGACTGAAGGAGCAGCATCATTTTTCGGAGCCCAGCCAATGTTTTTAGGGAAGGACGATATTCAATTAGGAGTCAATGAGTCAATTTATGATTCAGTGAAGGTTATGCTGTCCATGACATCGTGTATATTTGCCAGAGTGAATAAACATGAAGAAATCATGGAATTATGTAAACATCTGAATGTACCAATTATAAATTCATTATGTGATAAATATCATCCATTACAGGCAATCACCGATATATTAACAATCAAGGAATCTTTTGGAGGTAAGACCCAAGGCTTAAAACTAGCCTGGATTGGAGATGCCAATAACGTTATTAATGATTTGGCAATTAGCTGTTTAAAACTGGGGATATCAGTTTCGGTATCAATTCCCAAATCAGTGGAATTTGACCCATACATTATTGCAAAAGCAAAAGAAATCGTGGATCAAGATAATCAAGTCAGTTTCGAAGTTGTTAATGAGCCCCAAACAGCACTTACAAATGCAAATATCATAGTAACCGATACTTGGATATCAATGGGACAAGAACTGGAAAAACAAGAAAAATTAAAACAGTTTGAAGGTTATCAAATCACCAAACAGTTAATCGATCAAGGTAATGCCGATCCAAATTGGAAGTTCATGCATTGTCTACCAAGACATCCCGAAGAAGTCGATGATGAAGTCTTCTACAGTGGCAACTCCCTAGTCTTTGAAGAAGCTGAAAATCGTTTATACGCAGCCATGGCAGTAATCGACTCCCTTGTAGTTAATAAAGGAGATTTTTCAAAATAAGCTTTTCAAGAAATCAATACACATTGTTAATCCTTACGTCTGTTTACCTATCTGTAATCTCTCCAAAGTACAACCAGATCATTCAATAATTGATCATAACCCATCAACGTGTTAGCTTATCAAAACTTCCTCTGGTGAACTGGTGTTTGCAACTGAAAAACCTGAGGGGCTCGGCAGAAGGAAAATCCCCGGTGGATCATCGCCACTTTGACAATGAACATTGCCCTCAATTTGAATAGTAATCGAGACGAGTACAAATGGCTATTCAGGTACAACTACCTTTTAAAGAAACCATATCAACAAACCATGGCTTTGCATTCTTTAAGTCTGGCAAGGACTCCGGGCCCTGGCATGGATTTGCTTTGACAGCTTGGGTCGTGTGCTGCTGTGCACCGCAAAAACATGTTTGTAGCCCGATGGATATTTTTATCTAAAATATTCATTTGCTTTGCTGATGCTTTATTGCTTAAGACTACAGCCACTTTAGTAGGTATGAAAGGTAAAATGGCCAAAAAAGAAAAATGGGATAATGAAAACGTTTTCAGTAGTTTGCTGAAGGAGCGTGTGCTTTCATTCTGCTTTAGGATTTGAAATATTTTGTAGTAGAATAAAACCAAAGGAGCTTGCTCCAAACTTTTAGATTTTTTGAAATACTGTTTCTTATCTTCTTTCCGATTTCTCTAGCAACATGATCAAGTACTTACCGGCTGTTCCCAATAAACGCAGGTTTCATTACCTTGTATTTGGGATCCTTTTAGTTTTCACTATCATTAGTGTGAATAACTACACGGGGATTCATGAAACGGTTATTGACAAGATCAATACCAATTATAGTTATTATTCAAGTCAAAAGGCTAAACCAGGAGTGAGTCTGGTGAAACTGTTGAGCTATTACCCTTCAAATGATACGAATATCATTTTCCCTCGTGATTTTGAACATTCGACCTATAAAGATTTGAAAGACTATTTCAACGAATACTTTGCTAGTTCTAGCATTAAAGAAGAGGTTGAACATGTTTTCAAATATAGAGGGTCTTCGTCTGCATTGACCAAGAAAATCAAAAATGAAGATTATAAACCATATAACTTATCGATGTATGACTCGGTTAAGGATTTGAAATCGGATCTCAATCAATGTTCCAGTTTGAGTAAAGACGTTCAATTGGAAATTTCTCCCTATACAAAATTCGACGATGGTATGGAACAGATGGTGAGGATTCTTATTAACCAGTTACAAAATGATGATGCTTTTAGAGAATTGCAACCTTTTTTCAAAAATGACTTACAAAAACAAATTGATGAAAAAACTATTGAAAAACATTGGTTTAAATTTGCTGGAACCTCGGTTTGGTTGGAACAATACGGGGTCCATTTTATGATCAGTAGAGCCTTGTATAGTTCTATTGGCTATAAAAAAGCTCCTAACTTGAGTTTAACTTATGCTCAAATCTTTGATGAAAATTGGAATGAATTAAAAGACGTTGAATTGATTATTCCAACCGTTAATCCAGGGGGAAATCATGAACAAGTTTATAAAAATATGAAATTTCCAAATTTCTTACCAATTCCCTTTTATCACGATACAAAGTATACCAGGAAAAGATTCTACGGTCCAGAAGATCCAAGAATCTTGTTGACCAAAAATGAATATGGCATTGAAGAACCCTTGATCATTTTCAATGCTTATCATCGGGTTTTAAATAGAAAACAAAGTATTACCGAACAAGAAATGAAATTGAAGTTTAATTATTACCGTTCAATGTTTATTAGTTGGCCGTTCCAATTTCAAATGGGTAAAACTAACCTTAATGGATTTTCAGACCCTAAATATGATAACTTGGTTTATAATAAAGTTGTTGAATTAAGAAGAGAAAATTCTGATCGATTAGAAGTTCAAAAAAATTGGACCCCTTTTATCAGTATTAAAGATCGTTTACAAAATCATAACGATCATGATAAATTTGTTTATTTCATTTACCGCTGGTCAAATTTGGAAATTTTAAAATGTCCTTTGACTAACTTCAATGATAATGATGAAAGTATTTGTACTTTTGACTATAAACGTAGTGCTAAAATTGATGCTAATACCGATGTTGGTCCTTTAAGAGGTGGTACTGAAATGATTAGCCTTAATCAATTATTACCTTCTAAATTTGCAGATATTAATTCGAATCATGAGATTTGGATTGGGTTTGCTAGAGCTCATATTAAAGCTTGTGGTTGTGGTAAAGATATGTATCGTCCAAACTTGGCGGTCTTGTCTAGAGAAGAAGATGATTTCAAAATTAGTCAATTAAGTTCTTTCACTTCTTTTAATATTCCAGTGGATGGTTGGACTATACCTGAAGTCCAATGTGCTCCAAAAGATCCAAATGCTTTAATTCCAAATGGTATTAGCTCCTGGGTCGCTAAAGGCTTTACTGATCGTAAAGGTAAACCTATCATTGAAGATTATTTAACTTTATCTTTATCGGTTGCTGATGCTACTATTCATACTATTCATATCAAAAATTTATTGAAAGGTTTGATGGAATCCACCAGCTTTATGGATTTCAATAAAGCTGTTGGTTATACCGATGATGTAGTTGATTGTTCTTTAAAGAGCTCAGTACAATTTTGTTCTGATTATGGTGATGAACAACAAAAATTGGGTACTCATTGGCAGCCACCTCCACCTCCACCGCCTGCCAATCAAATGGATCCTAATAAGGGTGGTGATGGTAATAATGATAATAAGAACAATGAAGACAAGAACAACAGTGATGATAAGAACAATAGTGACCATAATGACAATAATGAAAGTAACCAAAATATCAAAATTCTGGAAAATCTGGATCAAAAGTCCAATAATTAATCAATTAATTTAGTTTGATTTTCACTTTCAATTCTTCCATCCTCATTTATAGACTTTGCTTTGTATTTAATACTTTATAGACCGGTAAATGTCTTTTAATACATTATAGAAATATTAAACAATATGTATATTACTACAAAAAATCATTGGAATCGTAAACATGGGAGCACTCTCTAATCCTCATTTATCCATCTTCTCATGTGTTTATTATTTTCAGTTGTTACCTTGAATAAATATTTTTCGAATTCATCTAATGAAAATAAAAAATTACTATTGATGTTTTTATTGGTATTACTAGCGTAGTTATTGATTTCAAATGACCTCTCATTCAACATTTGCATCGTTATTTCAATCAACTCGGTATTTCCAAACATTGTACTCCATTTTTCAATCAATTTATAAAAATTGGGTAAAATGGAGTGTATATCAACACTTGTTGCATTGGACTTGATGGCGTTTAAAACTTTCGGGTTGAGGAAATCTGGCTCCTCTAACCGTATGAAACTCGGGCTCTCATCACCCATTATTAAACACGTAGCTAAGAACTCGGCCATCCATAAAGGTAATTCAAGTTTAGTATCTTTCTTAATCGACTTCCCTGGATTCCCTTCTAAGTATCCTAATCCAGGCACAGTCAACTCAAACCGGCAAGGAAGTTTTTCTGCGTCTGCTAGAATATCATCTAAATCGTAGTAGTTATTAGGCATCGCTGTATCTCCAACTCTGGAAAGATTGTATTAAATGTTTATAATGCTTTAAACCAAACGCGTTATATGTTGATATTGATATGTGGTGCACGGGTCCGTCAAATTTGTAATTCTTTATAGAGAAAATTTTTAACTGAGTCTACAGTCTTCAGTTAAAGGGTTTGAATAAGGATGCCTGCTAAAACCATAGACCATGACTTTGATGTTGTGGAGCAACAGAACGGAATGGACCCAGATTCCCAAATCAATTATGGGGACGCCATAGACTACTGGTCCTCAGTGCCTGCCTCGGTCAATGGGGTTTTGGGAGGATTTGGTGAACAGACATCGGTTCCAAAAGCTGACATTGTTGGATCCTCCACCTTCTTGAGGAAGTTGCAAACCAGAATGGTATGCCCTGAAGGAGAAGCTAAGTTGACTATAGATGTTGGGGCCGGGATCGGAAGAATAACAAGAGACTTATTATGGAAAGTAAGTGACCAGGTTGACTTATTAGAGCCAGTCAAGCCATTTGTTCAACAAATGGAAAATGAATTGGTTGCCGTTAAAGCCAAGGGCAAGCTCGGTGATATATACGACATCGGAATGCAAGAGTGGCAACCAGCCCCAGAGAAAGTAGGCAAATACTGGTTAGTCTGGTGCCAATGGTGTGTTGGGCAATTACCTGACGATGCTCTCGTTGAATTCTGGGCCCGTTGCAAATCTGCCTTGATGGCCAACGGTACTTTGATAGTGAAGGAAAACATTGCCCCAGTGGACGATATATTCGACGAAACCGATAGCTCTGTCACCAGAACCGATGCTAAATTCAGAGAATTATTCACAAGAGCTGGTTACAAGTTGATTGCAAGTGACATCCAAAAAGGTTTACCCAGAGAATTATACCCTGTCAGAATGTACTGCTTGAAACCAATCCACTAGCTTATACTCTAATGTACTTTATTCCTTCGTCTTGTAATTGTAAAGTTGCAAAACTCTTCTCATCTCATAGGCCTGTATGTAGCCAAATCGCTAACAAACGAGACAAAAAAAAAAGACATTAAAAAGAAATGAAGAACAAAAAATTTTCAACCTTTGTAAAGAGTAACTATTATCAGTCATGTCGTCTGTCGGAACTAAGATCTGGCTTGCGGTAGCGGCCACTGCGGTGGTGACTGCAGGGGCCGTTGAAGCGTTGCACCAATACCGTTCTACACAACGAGGTAAAGCTGGCTCATCGTCTTCATCAAGCACCCCACAAAGAAAGTTAATCCAAGAGACTAATACCGAGTATTCGGAAGAGCTTATTCAAGAACAGTTGGCAAGAAACTATGCGTTTTTATCGCCTGAAGGTATGGACAAGGTCAGGAACCAGAACATTGTTATTGTGGGAGCAGGAGGAGTTGGATCGTGGGTGAGTACGATGTTGGTTAGATCGGGTGTGGGTAAGATCAGAATAATCGATTTCGATCAGGTTTCGCTCAGCTCTCTAAACAGACACGCTGTTGCCACTTTGCAGGATGTCGGGATTTCAAAAGTAGACTGTTTGAGAAATCATTTATTACAAATTGCTCCATGGATTAAGATTGAAACCAAGAATCAGTTATGGAATCTAGCCTCGGCACAAGAATTGATCTTTGGTGACGACTTCCAACCAACGTATATCGTGGACTGTATTGATAATATCGATACTAAAGTTGACTTATTAAGTTTTTGTTATGAAAACCAGTTACCCGTTATTTCGTCGGGTGGAGCAGCTTGTAAATCAGACCCCACTAGAATCAATATATCAGACATATCCAAAACTGAGGAAGACCCGTTATCTAGATCTGTTCGTATTCGTTTAAAGAAAAAGGGTATAATCACCAGTATCCCCGTTGTATTCAGTGCAGAAAAACCTGATCCAAGAAAAGCTCAATTGTTACCATTAACAAATGAAGAAATACTGAAAGGTGAAGTCGAGCAATTGGCTGCCTTACAAAACTTCAGAGTCAGAATCCTTCCAGTTTTAGGTACTATGCCAGGAATGTTCGGTCTCACCATTGCTACATACTTAATCACCCTGATTTCCGGCTATCCAGTGGAACCTATTGAAGGTAAAAACAGATATAAGATCTACGACGGCATATTACAAAGTTTGGCTGGTCAACAAAGCCGTTTGGGTTACTTGGATCAAAGAATGCCAATCTCCTTGAACGACGTCAGCTACATCTTGGAAGAAGTCTTCCATGGTAAGTCCCCAATTTCTAACTACTCAACCAGGCTTACCTTGAGTAGATGGGATCCTTCCAAAGAATTGAATTACCAAAACATTGTGATTATGACCAAAGACGAACAAAAAAGACACGAAGAAAAAATTTTGAAAGGTGACGAAAAATTAGAAGACGTTTATTCTCTGGAAGTCATCAAAAAAGTCAAACAAAGATTTGCAGAAGAGCATTTCTACTCTCAATTTCGTTAAATAGCTTTAATAGACCTCATTACTTCATTTTTTTGCATCTTTTTGTAGTCCTAATAAAAATGAGGAAGAAAAAAAAGGTGAGCGAAACAAGCGAATGAAAAAATTATCGAACGCCATCATCCCCAATAATCCCAAAGATATACTTAATTGAAGTAAAACTGAAGCAAACTACGTTTCCGGAAAATGTTCAAACCTAATCTTATGTTGAGAAGTTTGCGTAGCGGACCAGTCTCGAGAATTATGACTCGTCCAAGAAGTCCCATCTTCAAAAGATTTCAATCCAGCATTAAGACTGAACCAAATCCTAGTGGGAAAAAACCAACTGGTATGAAAGCTTTAATGAAAGAGTATGGATATTCAGCATTGGGTGTTTATTTATTATTGACGGCAGTTGATTTACCTATATGTTATGTTGTTGTTCATTCAATGGGACAAGAAGAGATTCAAAGACTTGAGAATAAGGTTAAGCAATTTTTTGGATTTGGTAAAAGTGATGACGAATTATCAAAGATGCAAGAAATAAATAAGATCCAAGAAGAAGTTGATCAATCCAATGATCAAAAGAATCCAGAAGGCCAAAGTATGCTTTCTTATATTTCAAGTCAATTTTCATGGACCGAATTTGCCATAGCCTATGGGATTCATAAATCTTTAATTTTCATTAGATTACCAATTACTGCTGCAATAACACCCGGTATTGTCAAGATATTAAGAAATTGGGGGTTTAAGATCGGCACTGACAAATTAGCAGCTACTGCTACTTTAGCTAAAAATACAGTTAAGGATATAACTGCATCCAATCCAAAATTTGGTACCAAAGCTACTAAAAAGAGAAAGTGGTTTAGTTGGTTTTTCTAAAGAATCTCATACTTGTAAATAGACGATAATATATGACTTATGTTTTTGGAAAGAGAACTGATATGTATAGAATAAATAAATAAATATATAAAGTAAAGAAGTAGACTAAGAAAAAACAAAAAATAGAACATAACATCACAGAATAAAACATAACGTAAAAACATGACAACAAACGGTATGACTAAATACCTAGTAATACTTTAGCTCTTTCGTAAACGTAAAATGAACAAGCACTCATTGGGATAACCTTAATATAACCAATACTTAAACCAACGAAAAAACCTTTAAATCCCATTTCTTTATAAACCAACCCAACTGTACTTCTAAAAGATAAGAATCTACCTTGGTTAACTGCACCACCGACTTGCATTCTTCTACGAATCACTTCAAAGGGATATGCTGCAGTTTGGGAACACATACCTGATAACCCACCAGCTATTAATTGAGCATAAGCTTTCAAAGGAACTCTTGAATCTCTCGAATTAACATGTTCGGTATTATCCTTTGATTTCTTGATGATTCTAGAGCCTGGAGAGTTTTGATCTTTAACAGTGTATTTTGATATGAGATTGGAACGGAAAATATCATGAATCAAATCATGGGTATAAAACGAAACTCCCGCATAAGGTATCATACCTAAAATTGTAGGAGCATAACCTCTATAAAAATTTGAAATTGATATTAAAGGTTGAGGTAATTTTTCTCTTAAAAATTTAATCCAATATGGATCATTTATTCTATGAGGTGGTTTTTCTTTATAAACATTCATTATAATGGACGATATTTTTCTATTTGGAGCGTTATTTGGATGTAAATGTCTTGTTTCGAATGCTAGTCTAACTCTAATCAAATCTAATGGATAAGTGAAGAAAACACTAGACAATCCACTTAATGAACCAGCTAAGAATCTTCTTGATGCAGTCTCGTAATTATCATTTGGTATTAATAAAGTTCTAATTTGCTCGTATGCAACAAACTTTATAGCAGCATACGGAAATATTCTAAGTAATGTAACAGAGTGTCCTTGAAATAAACCAGCAAACCCATCATTTTTTAATATTTTATTACCAGCTTTAACTAATCCTGACATAGTACCTCGATACTTAATAAATTCCGGATTCGATGTTTGAAATAAAATTTTGATTCTATCTAATGGTGCAATCAATGTCTTAGCTGCACTTCCTGCTATTCCCCCTGCTATTCCTGATCTAATAACATACTCTAGACTTTGTTTATCAATGATTCTAATTGGTTCAAACGGCGTAGATTGGTCATTACATCGATCTTGACTATCGGACTGGTAGTTCCTTGCCTTCGGTATCATTCCAAAGGATTTCTTATCCGTCACTAGTATCTCACTCTTGTCCGTCATGCTCAATCCTTTGACTTCCCAGCAACACAGATATAGAAGTAGTGACAAGAAGTATCCTCCCGTTGTTGAATTCTTCCAGTTTTTTTTTTCCTCTGTGATCAATTTATGGGGTTCGAGATAGTCTTTCGTGCTCTCTTTTTTTTTTTTTTCTCTTTGCAATACTTTCCAGAAACTTGATTGGATCTTAAAGGGAACTCTTCTCAGACAACTATCAACTCCCTTACGGGAGTAGATAAGCCCGGCTGCTTCTATGGACCAGAGTGATCCTGGAAAAAAGTTCGGCAAATTACATGCGACAGAGAAGAATACAAAATCAAAAGATTGCAAATATGAAAAGGATTGCAAAAAGATTCCAAAATGTAAATAGTTTTAACTTTATATTAATATATATACGTGTATACGGAGTGTAGGGATAGGGTGAGAACTTAACTTTAACTAAAGGATAAAAACAAACAATTAAGGGATATTATAAAACAACAAACAGATAAAAAAAACTAAAATAAAAGTAAGCAAAAAGGAAAAGGAAAAGGAAAACAACAGAAAACAAGATGAGGGCAAAAAAACATGAGTATGATCTATATTCATTCTTTTAAGTATATAAGGTATCCAACTATGAGTAATTTTTTTTTTTTTTTTAACGTTTTGGCAGAAATTTTTTTGATTGAATAATGAGGGAAACTATTTATAGGGCTAAAGTACAGGAGATGATGGCGATAATTATTGACCTTGAGTTCTATAACCAGAGGTTCTATCTTTATGGTAATTGGAAGGAGATCTACCTCTAATGATTAAAGGAGGGGTTTCGATGGAACTTAATAAGATTGGTTGAATTTGATTATTTTCATCTTGAACAATACCTAACAAACCAACTTCTAAAGTGAAATATCTTGAATTCATTGAGCTAGCTTTAACTCTAATTGAACTAGTGAATTGAATTCTTTCAAATCTAGCAACTTTTGAAATTGAATCAGAAGGATAATTTCTTAATATTGAATCATCTCTAAATTCATCTAAATTATTATTTTGATAAAAATTTTGACGATCAAAGTAGAAAACTTTATTCATATTTTCAATTTTTTGACCATTTCTTTTATTACAACTTGCTTTAACAACTTCATGTTCAGGTAATAAGCCAGGAACAGCAGGATAAATTGGAGGAGGAAATTGAGGACCTTTATCTCTTTTAGCAGTATGTTGAACTAAGCTAATAGAAACATCATCATCAGAACACTTTGGAGTTAATCTTATTGCGAAATAATTAATATCAACTCTTCTTTCAACATCAACACCATGTTCAGTTTTCAGTTTTTCATAAGTATAATATTTATTTTGTAAAAAACGATCAAAATTAAAATGTTCAAAATTAAAAGAACTAACCAAAGTAAAATAATTTCTTTTATAACCGATCCAAGTACCATTTTCACCAACTTCAAATCCACGATCAATTCTTGCTTCTAAGTTTGGAATCACTTCTAAATCAGTACCTCTACAATAAATTTCTTGATGGTTTCTAGTTTCACTAAATTGAGGACCAACTCTAAATAAATCACTTGATCTTGGGGCAACTTTTCTAGCGGTATTATCTAATAACTCATCTTCATTTGGAGTATTAGTACCATTAGTAGGGGTACCTGATTGAGTTAACATATCAAGATGGTGTTGAGCTGCTTGATTTAATTGAGGATGATGTAATTGTTGATGATGAGGATTAACTGATAATTGGTGATGGGTAGGTAATTGATTAGTAGACAAAGGTTGAGGAGTATGTTGAGGAGTGTGTTGTTGAGAATGTAATTGTTGAGGAGTTGGTTGTTGAGAATGTAATTGGTGATGTTGAGTATAAACTGAATTTGGATGAGTTGGTAAAGGTTGATGAGGAATGAAGTGATGAGGATGTTGTTGCTGTTGTTGTTGTTGAGGAATTGGAGGGGCTGATGAAACTTGATGGGTTGGTAATTGGTGAGTTTGTAATTGATGAGTTGGAGTAACCCCGGCGGCAGCTGCTGCTGCAGCGGCAGCGGCAGCGTGTTGACTTAATTGATGACTTAACTGAGCGTTTAATTGGTCTTCAGGATCATGGGAAGGCCCAGGAGGAGCAGAATGATGAGTTAATTGGGGCTGTTGTTGAGGGTGGGTTGGTAGATGATGCAGTTGATGATGTTGTTGTTGAGGATGATGTTGATGAGGTAAAGGACTATGAAGATGACCGGTATGAGGAAATTGATGAGTACTTTGAGGATGATGAACTCCAACTACACCAACCCCATTAACTCCCGTGACTCCATTAATCCCGTTAATCCCAACAACACCTACTCCTGGAGGTGGGGGTGGCATATAATGATTTGTATGGTGTTGAACGTATTGATGATGAAGAGCATCTTCATCTTTGATTTGCGGTAAATGTCCAACACCTACTGCAGAGTTGGCGGCAGCAACAGCAGCAGCAGCATCATCTGCTGAAATAGAATGATCATCATTTGGAATAGTCATCATTCTGAAATAATTTTTGGAGATATCTTATGATTTGGTAGAACAAAGAACCTAGGATTAACTATAAAGAATGGATGGATTTATCTTTGTAAACCGTTTTCTATTCAATCTTTTCCCTTTTAATCTATTCGATATATCGACCGACACGCTAAAAAAACGACTGTATTAACTGATAACAAAGATCAAAGCCTAACTTTGAGTTCTATTCCTTTATTTGAACTTTGTAAAAGAAAAGAAGTAGTTAGTAAAAAAACAAAAAAAAAAAAAAAAGAAAGCATAAATTTTTGTGCAATGAAAAAAAAAAAAAAAAAAAAAAAAAAAAAAATCGTTTTTTTCGATTTTGTAATGAAAAATTTACGGAATTCCGAGGGTGGGAAACAAGTTTCAGTCCGTTGGGTCACGTGAGCCTTGTTTTAAAAAAAATAAAAAACCAAAGGAAAAAGAAAAAAAAATAAAACCGAACAATCAAAAGAAAAAAACAAAAGAGAGGAAACTGATTTAGAGCCTTCTTTAATGCCGCATGAGCCAAAAGATATTACTACAGTAATTCTGGTTCTGCCGGGGCCTGGCGAGCGGGAAGATTCCTACACTGTACGCCGCTTTGCGATAGGTGGTGTAAATGGTACGCCAGACCCGTACCCACACTATAAAAATAATGAAAAAATAAAGGAATAATACAAAAAAAAATAAAGGAAAAATACAAAAAAAAATAAAGTGAAAAAAAAAAATAAAATAAAAAGAAATAAAACGAAGTGAAATAAATCCACAAATAGGAGATGAGATTTTTTTGGATTGTGTCAAAAACCGTTTTTTTCGCTTTAAATTTTTTATTTTTCCCTTTTCCATTATTATTTTGGTGTTTTTTTTGTTTTTTTCTATTTTATTTTTTCGTTTTCCGTTTTAATATTAAATTTTTGGCATTATTTTCTTTAACGGTGTTTCCAGCAATTACCTAAGCAATTAGCTAAGCGGTTTTGATTCCCGAATTAAACAAGAACAAGGAAGAAAAGAAAGAAAAAAAAAATTTTAGGTGAGTTTCGGTAACGATTACGTGGTGCTTACGGAGCAACCTCGTCAAAAATGATGCCCTACTCAACCAGTTGTCTTTCATGATCAATTATCAGAGACACTGAGTGCTCGTGTGGTTGATTCAACTGCCTGTCTTTCGGCTTAAGATTAAACTATTGTACAACGTTTTGTCTTTGTCTTTATGTAAATCACAAAATGTAAGATCAAATAAAGCGGATAAAAGAATCAGTGAAAGATCATCTTTACGCACGCCGGAACCAAAAAAAAAGGGGGAATGCAAAAAGAAAATCTCCCGGGGGTGAGTCGAACACCCGATCTCAAGATTACTTTGAGGAGAACCCATTACAGTCTCGCGCCTTAGCCAGCTTGGCCACCGGGAGCTATTTTCTGTTTGTGTGAAAAATTTTGGTTCCTGGCCAACTCACAGCTTTTTGTCTTTTTGGTTTGGTACTCAAATGTTTTTTTGTATTTACTCCTGGATGTTTCACTGTTTACAGAAAATATGATGAGTATAAATATGTATATGTGTTTTATCGGGAAAAATGCCTTTTCCACTTAGCTTTCCACTTAGTGTTTTTATGTCACACTAGTTGATTGTATTGGTCAACCTTTTCTTTTACCAACAGTATGCTTTCTGTTAATCTTTGACTAAATGAATATACAAGAGAAGAGAAAATAAGCAATTGGAAGTTGAAGCGTATGGATAACACTGTGCTTTATGCGAAGAGTTTTATGCATCATCTATTTTATACTTTCACAAACAGAGTTTTCGGTATGTACCTCCAGGTATTGAAACATGTCATTTGAGTAGATCCACCTTGTATTGCTGAAAGATTTCTAAGTAATAGATGTAGTTTTCATTGCAGAAAATCGTAAATTGACAATAAATCAAATGAATATACTATACCCAGATTATTTTTATTCAAGAACCCGTTACACTTAAGCTTGTAATAAAAGCAGGTATGTACATAATGTATAATGAAAAAGCCTCTTATGTCGCTGACTAAACCTCAACCAATAGAGTCCGTCCTGCGGATTCAAGAGAACGGATTACACTCGGAAAGTACTTGTTTATCCTAAAATAATATTCTGGATGTCACATGAAAAACACAAATCATAATGCAGCTATAAATATGCTTGCAACTCAATAAGGTGATTCCTTTTTTTAGGTCTAATCATATATATGGACTCATCGTCTGTAGACTTCACGGTATGGATAATAGGCTTATTTATATGTACGGCCTGTTTCGAAGGTCCAATTCGTCATTAAACATTATAGAAGCACCGATCTCGAATGTAGTCTTATTCGTGGCTTGCAGGTGTTACACCGGCTGAAATACCCACTGGAAATGTTTTGCTAGTTGTGTCAAAATTGCTGCAAAAATCGGGCCAAATTTACCGAAAGCGAGAATTCGCAGCCTCAACTTTTAAAACCATTTCGTTCCAAAAACTACAATCGTAAGGAGAAAAGCCAACCCAGTCTTGTTTAAGTAACAAGACATCCATTCGAAATAACAGTTACCGAGTGGTTTCACAAGGACGGATGGATTTGCTATGTCCCGTAAGTAAGACTGAGGAGAATCCATTGATCTTTCAATTTCACCCTTGATAATTACTTAGGTTGAGATGCGCGTGCTGAAAATGGTGATCATCTTCTTTAAATATTAAGTTTGTTTGTTTAATTTGGTTGTAATATAGTAACGACAGGATCCCAGTGATGAATCATTATCTCAAATATACTTGTATTTTGGCTGTTTGATTGAAAACTATACATACTTATGATCATATGGCTAATCGAGTCAGCATCCCAACTAGACTTTAACCAGATACCAAAAGTCCAGTTGAAAAATAATAACTGCAAAAAAAGTCTACAGCACGATGGTTTCCATTATGGTCTCCCACTAACGTACTCATCATCGCTCTCAGCAGCTTAATAATTATTGATCGGACGGGTAATCATGCTTTATACTGGATATGGCCGTAGACGATAGCTTGAGCCGTCATGATAGGATGGCCCCAAATGACTCCCAGAATCTTCGGTATTCCAAATAAACACCCGTACACCAAAAATACTCCAACATAATTTTTTTCTTCTTTTTCATAAGACAAATTAATGGAACTGAGAAGACGAAGTCTGGAAACGCTTTGGCTGCAATGTTCAGTTTTGAAGACTTAGCTTGAGATGTTAGGTTTGAGTAGGAGTTGAGAAGGGACCCAGACGCCTGAGACTTTTGCGCCACGAAGCACTAGCCTCCTATCCAGTTGTAAGCTAGGATCCCTGCGGTATGCGTTTCCAAAGCTACATATTACGTATACCTCTTTTTGTGAATAATAAATAGCACGAGAAGAAGAAAATTAGGTTGCTCATAGTACAATTCTAAGCTAAACAATAATAACAGAGTTGAAAGATAATGTATTGCTGTATAACCGCATTCTTCTCGTAGCAAGTATATCTTTCTTTTGGCAGTAACTTTTTCTTTTGTGCAGTTTTTGCACCCTCTCGAGATTTTTGACTGTTAAAAAGAAGAAAATCATTAAAAAAATTTCAACCTAGAATGTCTTTATCTAAACTATGGCTTCTTCTAATGCTGAGGCAGACCCTGACACTAGCCATAATGACAAGCTAGAGCTAGTTTTATCAGATTCCGATGGTTCATCAGACTCCGATGGTTCATCAGCCACTGCATCCGATAATTTTGCGTCAGTCATAGAACAAGAAGACGAGCTGATGAGAGAACGAAGTGTGGCTACTTCTGCGTACCAAGTTGGTGACGATATGATTATAGAAGATCAGTATGGTGAGGTAATGAGAGTGGTGGCCGCTAAAAACAAAGACTCGCCATACTCGTCATCTGCATCATCGTCAGGGTCTCCATTTTCGTCGTCCTCCTCAGTTAAGAATAAAGATCAGCAAGTCTATGTCCATCATATAGATAAGAACATTACCATAGAAGATACAGAAGGTGATGTGTTACGGAAGTATAAAATCAAGAATATCAATAAAGAACCACAAACTAAAAAGAAACTAAAGGCTGCAACTGATAAAACTTTACTGAAAATGAAATTGAAAAAGGGCTCTCCTTTAACAACTAAAAAATCACCTCACTACATATTGCAAGAGTCTTTTGACAATGACAAGCAAGAGTCTCCTTTAAGAAACGAAAAGGTTGAGAAAAAACTAGAAAACAAATTAAATCTAATGATTAATCAATAGGTAACTTCATACACAATACATAAATTTATGATTTGATTCTTTAACTTGTACATTTGAAAGTTTCTCTAATCATCACGTAGAAATAACGATTCTTTGGCTGCAAAACACAAGCTGAATACCAGCCTCATGCAATGATTTGCGGTTTGAACATTCCCTCGTGGCGAATATGGAAGGAATTCCACCATCAAATTGTGCTTCGTAATCTACTCAAAACAAATTGTTTTGCTCACAAACTTCATCGAAGACAAAGGTTTGGCATTCCTGACTCTGCTTAAAGATAGCTTGATGAATAAATCCACGAATGGCTCGTAGAACATCAGAAAATCCCAAATTTGATTCGCCACGGCTGCCACTAGTATCGCTTTCGAAGCCCTACGATCTGTTGTATAGGAATCATAAGAGAGAGCTCCCTTTCAAATGCTTACTACTCTTATTATTCTCCAGTTAGCTAAACTAACTTTAATTCACGGTTCAACCACCCATACACCTAGTCAGGCCACAGTTGCGGAATTTGAAATGTGAAAAAAAGATGCGGCTCTAAAGGATTTAATTAATCAAATTCCGTACTACTATTTAACCTCAGAACATCCTCTGCACTCTTTAGCTTAATTCTCACTCAGTTCTATAAAGATGGCAATTGATGAAAAGTCATTGAGTGGGTACTCAGTGGCAAAGACCAATAGAGCGTCTAAGGCTTTCACTATTTTGAAATACTCACTCTATACCTATCTAGCAATTTACCTTTATCTGAATTTTATTTCAACTAGGGATTCATTGAGTTTAAGCCCAGAACAGGTTATTCTTAATGAATTGGAAAGTAATCACGCTGGCGAATGGTTGCAAAAATATACCGATGAACCAAGTTTAACGGGTACTGCTAAAAATTTGGCCGATTGGACTAAATTGAAATTTGAAGAATACGGGGCTTCGGCTTCGATCGATACTTACGAAGTTTACTTAAGTTTCCCTCATGAACACGATTTGAGCTTATTGGATTCGAAAACAAACGAAACTTTGTATAAGGCTCCCTTAGAAGAAGACGAATTAAGTGTTGATCCTGCTTCTTTTAAAAATAATACGGTTCCAACTTTCTTGGGATATGCTGCGAATGGTAATGTTACTGCTGAGTACGTTTATGTTAACTACGGTACCAAGAACGACTTTGAAGAATTGAAAAAATTGGGTGTTGATGTAAACGGTAAAATTGCAATTGCTCGTTATGGTGCCATTTTCAGAGGGTTGAAAGTCAAATTTGCTCAGGATAATGGTGCAATTGGGGTCTTACTTTATAGTGATCCTGGGGATGACCATGGTATTACTCCTGCTAACGGCTACAAACAGTACCCAGAAGGACCTGCTCGTAATGACGGTTCTGTGCAAAGGGGTAGTGCTCAATTTTTGGGTGGATTAGGTGCCACTCCTGGTGATCCTACAACCCCGGGTTACCCAAGTCAAGGTGACGATATCAAAAGAAGTGATCCTCATCAAAGTACTGGTAAAATTCCAGTATTACCAATTTCTTATCGTGAAATTAAACCAATTTTGGCAAAATTAAATGGTAAAGGTGCTAAATCTCCTAAGAAATGGGTTGGTGAGTTGGAAGGTTATGATTATTCAATTGGTCCAAATCCAAAAGTTCAATTGAATTTGTATAACAATCAAATTTATAATATCACTCCTATTTGGAATGTCTATGGTGAATTCGAGGGTGAATCGAAAGATGAAGTCATTCTCATTGGTAACCATAGAGACGCCTGGGTTACTGGTGCCTCTGATCCTCATTCTGGGTCTGCTGTCTTGATTGAAGTTGCAAGAGCTTTAGGCAAATTAAAAGAATCCGGTTATAAATTCAAACGTACCATTAGATTAGCAAGTTGGGATGGTGAAGAACAAGGTTTATTAGGACTGACCGAAGCTGGGGAAAATTTTAGTAAAGAGTTTCAATCTAAAGTTATCGCCTACTTAAATTTGGATAGTTCAGTAAGTGGTCAACACTTGAAATTATCTGCTTCTCCTGTTCTTAATAAGATTTTGAAAAAAATAGCTTCAAATTTGTTATATCCAAAGGAAAGTGTTGGTACTTTATTAGATCATTTCAATCAAGAAACCGGTGGTAAAATAACTAATTTAGGTTCTGGTTCTGATTACACTGTATTTTTGGAACACTTGGGTATCCCCTCAGTTGATTTAGGTTTTGGCCAAGGTAAAGGTGACCCAATTTATCAGTACCATTCATCGTATGATTCCTATTATTGGATATCAAAATTTGCTGACCCTGGTTTTGTTTATCATAATTTGGCTGCCAAATACTTATCTCTTTTGATTTTTGAATTGAATAATCATGAAGTTATTGAATTTGGATTGAAAGATTACTCATCAGACCTTTATAATTATTTTAATGAATCAGTTGATTTGATACCAAAATCTTGGTTCAATGAAAAAATTGATACCCCAAATGTTGATGAAAATGAATTCTTCATTGACGAGATTTCTCAAGGCTATTATTTCAATTTAATTATGACTCACGGCTGTCATAATAAGGTTGGTGCCATGCATCATCATAAAAATAAAACTTTATCATACTTGGTTGATAATATTTATCAAGATTTGAATAAATTATATAATACCACCGCTGAATTCGATTTGAAAGGTGAAAGCTTACAATCTGAATATAATAACCGTAACAATTTACACTGGTGGCAAAAAATCAAATTACATTTTGAAATTAAACATCATAATAAATTACTTCAATACTACGAACGTAATTTCTTATATCATAAAGGCTTAGATGGTCGTGAATGGTTTAAACATATTGTTTTCGCTTCTGGTCGTTATACTGGCTATGCTGGTCAAACCTGGCCAGGTCTTCGTGAAGCTATCGAAGATGGGGATTTCGAAAGATTAGTAAAATGGTTAACTATTGTTTCAAAGACTTTGAAAAGAGTTGAAACTGCCTTATTCTAAAAGTTCTGGACTCTTTCTCCATCACTAATATTTTCTTCTATATGGTCTATATGTTTTTTTTTTCTTTCTTTTTTACGAAGTTTCCTTCTTGAAGACTTTTTGTTTTATCTATCAATAAAACGTATTTTTCAATTTAAAATTATATTTTAGGATATATTGTAAGATTGGCGTTATACGAGATAAGTCTTGTTCATTTACGATCATTTCAAGGGATCCACAATAGTCAAAGAAGGTTTTCATACAATGATAAGGCATTTCGAAGATTATCAATAGAAAGATTGCTACCTTCCATGAATCTGCCCTACCTTATCTTTCTGAACTTTTGGTTCAAATATCCGATCTAAATTAGATTTAATATTAATTTACTTAAAAAGGTTAATCTTGCATCAGAACACTTTAAATAAAATATCTTGATACGATAAAACGCCAGCAAATGTTATTTTACAAGACTTGCTAATATTTTCCAACTTGTGGATAATTCAACTTAGTATATTACCTATTAAGGACTAATTTAGCAGCTACAGCATTTGCGAGTATCATCACAGCTCTAAAGTATGAAAATGGCTTGAACAAACAGATCAAGTCTTACAAACACGTCCTAGCTCACTAACAGGTCCTAGCTCACTCAAAAGACAGCACGCGTGAGGGCTGGCTGAATTGGTCCACTACAACTTTGATATGGAGCACGGAGTCTACCGTTGACAAGCTTCATCAAATGTATGATTTACATTCTTTTTGCCCTTTTGGTAATTTTAATTAAAGGAAAATGTTAAGGGGTAGTCTTTGTAAGTAGACAATACAAGACTCAACTTAGTAGACAATACAAGACTCAACTAAGTAGACAATACAAAACTCAGCTAAGTAGACAATACAAGAACCAGCTAAGTAGACACTACACAAAATCATTCCAGAACTACAAATTCCAAACCAATCTTTGATTAGGTCCAATGAGCTACATGCCAATACAAAATAATCATCCCTTGAGCAGCATCTTACAGCAGTCCGATCTAAACATGTGGATGGTTGATATTTTCATCATCGAAAGTCATCAAAGTTAAATTGATACCTCGTAGTCTCATCAATGTACATCTTACATCTAGCACAGAATCGAATGTACAAGCACTAAAATGAATAATCAAAAGTCATCATTATTTTCACCTTTCCCTAATTTATTTCGTTAAAGCATGCTGTCTTGACTCCTTCCAACTGATTCAACCTCTGAATTAAACCCAATCCGGTAAGATCCTAAGAATGCTTCCCTCAACGGGTAGTCAATAACGACCGTTCGTCGAATTCTTTCTTTGCTAAATAGACGATAGTCTAAACCAACAATGCCAGAAGGAGTGTTCAGCTGATGTCAAATCATCCCTTTGGACTATGAATTTGGCAGTAAATTAGATTTAGACAGCGAATTAGACTTCGACAGCGAATTAAGATTTAATTCGTGCTTTCCGCATTTGGTTAAATTGAATGCGTTGCATTGTATACAGTAATAACATCGCTTTCCGTAAAAGATCAAATGAATGCAAAAAGAACTGGGTAGAGTCACCGAGACTTGGTGTTGGCAAGAGGCTCTTCACTGAGGAGCAGCCTATTATTGTCGGCTTGTCTGAATAATGGTGCTTTTGTTTGTTTTTACTAAAGAATAGAAGAACCTAAAGAAACAAAAAACATATATAAAAAAAAAGCAGACAACCCCTAGCAAGCTGCATTACCAATAGCCTCCAACCCTTCTCAGAAGACTTTGTTTATTCCCCAAACAAGCTGACCACATCATGGGTGTGAATTTAAATAATGGGAACGCCCTTTTTTTCTGTATTGTGACATTGTTTTGTCATTCCCATACCCGTTCTATACTTTTTATTCTATTTAGTTATTTGATATGTACGTTAATTAAAACAAAGGATCTAAGCAATGCTTTTTAAATAATTTGTTATGTATATTGATATACTATGAAGCCCTTCGTATCCCTAGTAAAGCAAAATTCCTCGATCCCTTCCTTTGTTCTCATGCATATCCTTACATTTAGTATAAATCTTAGAAGAATTTTAAGCTAGTACGAAGACACACGCTTATTTTTAATATCACAAATCCTAAATTTAAACCTTTTAATCGATTCGCCAAAAGTCTAAAGATTAAAAATTTAGATATAAATCTTGCAATCGCCTTTAAAAAGTTCGTTAAATAAATTGGTCTCATACTCTATTTTTTTTTTGCAATCGAAAGTCTTTCATTTAAACTGAATAATGCAATCCAGGATAAATAAACGTACTTCAATACATCATTTTTCAAATCGTTCTTCTATAAGTTCTTTGTCAACTGAAAACTTTGATTTTGATTTAAATACTGATATTTATAATAGTCCTCATGTTTATTCAATCATTGACTCACCGTTTCTGTCAAAACGTAATAGTAATTTGTCAATGAATCTGAGGAACTCAAGAATCTCTACTTCTACCCTATCAACTCTTGCAGCTGTTCCAACTTTAGAAGAAATCAAATCTCCTTTAAATCAATCTCCTTTACCAATACCAGATCGAGTCAATACGTTAAATGATGAATTGAACTTAGCTTTAGATCATTCTCAAATTGATTTGACTATAAATGGACGAGCCAATCCTCCAAGCTTGGATCTTTTAATCCCACCAGCTTCCATAGAAATTCCAAACAATGAACCAAAGACTCCTTTGGACCAAATGATTCCCAATGCCTTAGAATCAAAAAATTTAGATAGAACTTTTACCTCTGATGATACTCCCGCAGAACAGAATTCGCCAGAATCTTGTACTTATAACTATTCTTATGAAAATGTCTTGAAACCGAGAGTTAGCTTAAATCCTCATTTTGGTGATAGTGATGATATAACTTGTTTACTTTCGGTAAAGTCTCCTCATATCGATAATCAATTACCAATCAATCCACATGATGAATCTCTAAAATCAAATGTTGTTTCCATTTTCGTTTCTAGGTTAATTCAAGCTAATAACTGGTCATCCTGTATTGGGTTAAATGCTTTAGGTGATTTACTCTTGATCGATGTTCTACAAGTCAGTACTACTGAAGGAGTCCATTGGGACCCTTTACAATGTTTTTGTTTTACAAATGGGTTAATTGTTTACGATAATTTAAGTAATTCATTAATTGGTCAAATCATATATAAACAAGATTTTAAAGATTTAATTTTTGATGAAAATAAAATCATCATTGAATTCAATAACACTGATACAATACCTGAATTACAATTAATGAGCGAAATTGGTTTATTATCAGATAAATGGAAATATTACTTAACCAAATTATTAAAACAGCATTTGCATTTCAGCATCCCATTATTTCAACTAACAACTACTTGCTGGGATTCAATAATTGAAAATCTGGAAGTAAAATTACCTTCAGAATTAGTCAAATTCAGTGAATCTTTTCACAACAATCCAAATTGCATTCCAACGTCATTAGCATTATTAGCCACTCCAAAACCAGATAAGTTACCTTTAACTTTGATTGTCTCAATCTGTTTAGTAAACCATGATAATGAACTTTCAAATAATGAATATAAAAGTTTAATAACACAAATGGTTAATAAAATAAGATCAACTATGAACCAATACGATAAGTTAGGATTGATTTTCGTTGGTAATTCGGATAAAAATAGCTCATTCACTGGTTGCATTGAATCTAATTGGATTGGTTGGGATAAAATTTTGGATTCATTATCTATTTCATCAATCAAAAAAATTAACTTTAAACCATTTTTGAAAAATGGATTGGAAGAAATCTTAATAACCTTTAATAAATTCCGTCATTTGAATGATTTCATCCCAAATGAATCAAATTCCAATTGCCAATTAATGGTTTTACAAAATAATAACTACAATGCTAATAATATTTTAAACGATTTTGAAGAATTCTTAAATTTTCAAAAAATGGGACAAAGAATCTTGAAAGGTAATAACAATTTAACCATTTTGAATCAATTAAGTGATATGATTGAATTTTTCCAAGAATCTAGTTCATTGTCATCAATCAACATTGTTAGAATTGGTAAGAAGTATAATCAGGAATCTTTGATTATGCAAAAAATTTTATCAAATCCAATATTTAATAATCTTAATTCAAAAGTTACGGTATCATTTGGTCATAAACTTTTGAGATATGACACTTTATCAAATTTTGTTAATGAGGATTTGGTTCCAATGGTTAAAAAATTTCAACAAATAACCATTCCTAAAATTACGGTGGACTTAAACGTTATCCATCAAAATAACTTGAAGGTTGATGAAGTTGAAATTAATGGTGGAATTTATTCACTTTCTAATTTGCAAATCGAAAACATCCAAATCATTTTGAATGATATAAATATCAACTTTGATCGGGACATATACTTGAAACTAAAATTTCCAATGGATTCAAATTCAAAATTTACCGAAATCCCAATGATAAATTATCAAACACAATGGTTAAACCAGCTAGATGATCTTAAAACCATGTCTAGCAACTTATCCCAAGTCTATGCTGCTGCGACCTCGTCTGCATTCATCGATTTTGAATCATTAACTCCATCCAACCTGGGCTCAGAAGACCCTTTCTACAACGATAACCCCTTGTTACCTCCTCTTTCACCATCCAAGGATCAAAACTTGACTAAAAAGCTTCTCGAAATAGCAATGATGCATTCATTATCCAGAATTGACGAGCACTCTTTGAGTGAAGACAATAAATCAATCATTTGTTCGACCATTCAAAAAATTATCGATTCGACAAGAGGCCTTAATATCGATTCAGAAACAGACTTAATGAGCTCTACAATCCCTTCTTACTACAACTTCAACCATATCCATGACAACCGTGAATACGTCCAACACCTCTTGCATAAATTAAGTATTCTCGAAAAATTATTCGATGAAACCCCAGAGTTGGCCGTGGTCAAATCTCGGGACTTCACCAACCTGTTAATGTAACGTCTTTTTCAGTTCTTCCGCATTCTTGTCTTCTCTACATAGCTTAACCTCTAATGAAATATATGATGATCATGGACCCCCAGTAACACCCTTGCATACCATTGTCAACCCCAGCACAAGGCTGTCTTGTCCGAATCACCTTTTTACCCTTTCAGAGCATTTCCAAAACATCCAGGTCAGTATTTGCACTGGAACTTTTTTTTTTCACAGCCAAAAATTTTCAATTTGTGCCCGACACTTAAAATTCCAAAATGGCTGGCTAGTTGTAAGATCAACAGATCGCTTTACAATCAGCTTAATTTCAGTTAAGAGTAAACCGTGACGGTGGAGCCCTGACGCAAGGTGATGGGAACAAGGCTGCTGTTTATTTATAGGTGAAAGAATGATTTAGGGACTGCATTTCGTGTTTATCCCGTAATTTTTGCAAGCACTCTTGATCCTCTATATATATGGGGGAATAGCTCTTGATTTGTAAAGTTTTTACTGGGTCAGTAATCAACCATGTCTCTCCAAATCTCTTCATTCAATGCACCTCTAATTCTTTCGTCTGTTGCATTATTCAGCTCCACCGCTTACGGTGCAGTGCTTGGGGGGTTAGATAACCCCAACGCAGGCAATGATGCAACCACTACTGATGAGAAAGCAGATCAAACTACTACCAAGAAGGAGGATAACACTACTGAAAAGACTGCCACCGATGCCACCAAGGAAAAAACAGATGCTACCACAGCCACGGAGGCTACTGCTGAAAAGACAACCGACACCACTGCCGAAAAGACAACTGATGCCACTACTGAAAAAACCCAAGCTACCACCGATGCCAAAGATACCTCTACTACCCAGTGGTGGACTCCAGCCTCTGCTGCCACTTCGACTGCCACCACCGACAAAACCTCTCAAACTAAAGAAGCGAAAGAGTCTCACGTCACCTATAACCAATGGGGGTTCACTGGGTCCCAGTCGGTATGGAAAGCCACCACCTTGGCCTCTGGCTCCAGCTCGGGCTCCCACTCTTCTCATTCAGTCAACGGTAATAAAACCTCCAACGCCAACAGACAAGTCTCCAGTCCGTTGGTTGAAAAATCTTACGGTTGGAAGAAAACCTTGTTAATTGGCGGTCTTTTCGGTGTCACCCTTGGCTTACATTCCTTATGATTTATAGACTTCTTGCACCTTCACTTCTTGTATAATAGTATTTAGTATCAATCGCATTTCCTTTTTATTCCTACTTATCTTGTATGTTTTTTTAGGCTGCAAACTAGGCTTATTTCGATTTTTTCTTTCCAGGGGTTCTCCTCTTATACCCTCAAATGTTCTTCAGATGTTCTTTCGACCTTGTTCGAAATCGCCATTCAATTCTTCAGTGGGAGAACACCTCAGGACCTTGCAGTCAATACACCATTCGTATACAACTGAGAAATGTAAGTGCAAAAATGAAAAAAAAAAAAAGGAAGAGAAAAATTATCAAAAAACTATCAAAAAAAAAAAAAAAACTTACTACATCGCAAGACCATCATTTGATATTCCCTTCAAAGCCAACGTGAGTTATTTGCATCCCTCTTAGGAAAGTTCCACCACACGGAAACAGTTCCAGCTCATACACGTAACTCCCGTTCGTTTTAGCACTTACTGAAACCTTTCATGGGTTATTCTTATCGGCCAGGTGAAAGGAAATTTCAATCAAACAAAAAAACCCTGGCTAAAAACAAAAAAAACAGGTATTCTGCTAAATCCAATAGAACTAAACCAGCCATTATTTCTGAATTAGAACAGAAACAAGGAAGGAAAAAAGATCGGGGTTGGAAAGCGAGAGGTATTGGTCACCGTAAGACCTTTCTGGAACCTCCAACCATAGCACCAACCATGTCTACTCGCTCTCCTCCACCCCCGCTTCCTCCTATTCCTTCTGCTTCATCTCCTTCAAATGTGAATTCTGCCAATAACCGTAAAGGTAGATCAAGATCCCATCGTAAGAATCGCTCCCATAATTTGAATAATAGTTCCGATAACTTGAATTCAGTTGATAGAATCAATGATCGGGAACATTTAGATAATGAATCCGGTGACTCTGTATCTTCTTATTTAGAGAGGGTTGGCAGATCCAATACCAATAACAATGCGTCGCAGGATTCTCGTACCAATCTGAACCTGCCTCAATTGGCTCCTGCTCCTGCCTATCATAATCAACAACGCCTACAATCTCCTTCGCCTTTAAGACCCACCACCAGCACTGGATCAGGATGCTTCCCATTGCATGAAATGCCTCTTTTCAAAAAATTGGACTCTTTTGATGCATCCCAAATTACAGCTTTAAGCGAGATAATCGAATTATACTTTAAAAATTCAGATTTTAAAAAACATCCTTTATTATCAAATCCAAATCATAGGGCAACTCTAAAGAGAGGAATGGGTTTGGTTTACAAAAGAGAGAATATCTTATTTTGCATCGATGTTGAAGCTTGGGAAGTTAATCCCAAAATTGTTACCGAAATTGGTATCTCAATCTATGATCCAAGAGGCCAAACTTTCAATTTAGTTCCCTATATTGTTCAAATTCATATTATTATTAAAGAAAATCAACATTTGAAAAATGGGAGATATGTGCCTGAACATTCAAAAAATTTCAACGGTGGTACTACATATATTATGGGCCAACAAGAAGCTGTTGATTTCACTCAGGATTTAATCCAGTATTACTTCTTTCAACCTAAGACCAATATAAGAACCTGTCTTGTCGGCCATGATTTGAAAGGAGATATATCCTGGTTCAAAAATCTTGGTATTAAGTTTCCTACTCAAACTAATATATTAGATACTCAAGCTATTTTCAGTGCTAGTCATGGTAGTAAAGGAAATAGTTTGAAAAATGCTTTAAGAGCTTCTAATTTGCCATATGCATTTCTTCATAATGCAGGTAATGACTCCTACTATACCTTATTGCTTGCAATGACTCTATGCGACCCACATGCAAGAAAAATTAATCGTTTGGATCAAGTTAGAGTTGAAGCTGACCCACTTGATGCTTCTCCATTTCCTTCTCCTCACCAAGTCCAGTACTTGTCACCAGGTCAATCTCCAGGCAATTCGGGAGGTAAAAGGAAAAACAAATTGGGTCCTAATGTCAGTGAGTTTGTTCAAATACATACTGTGCAAGAAATGATTGATACTCTATTTTTAGAAGAATAAGCACTTTATGAGCACTCATTGTTTTCCTAAATCATTGTAAATATTAGTTCAAAACTCCAGTTTTGTTGAAATTACATGATTACAGAATCTTTATATGATTCTTTTTTTTTTTTTTTTTTTTTTGTCTTTTTCATTTCTTCATACCATAGATATCTTACATTTTTGTTCATTAAGTCGTTAAACGTCTTAGTTTATTCTTTATATTCTTTAGATCTATAAATTTAATAGAAGTTATTCATTCTATCTAATAATAATCTTTCATAAGAATCGCCATACTGTGTCAATCTTAACAATAATCCAGCACATAAGCTCTTTACCTTATCATCGATGATTGAATCCCAAATAACCGAGAGCCATTCTTGAATTAATCTTAATTCATTGGCATAATTTTCAATCAAATAGTCTGACTCGCAAATATCGCACACTAATAACATACCAGTAGTAACACTTTCTATTACTTGCAACTCATCGATCGAAACTCTTTTAACCACGGGGATTATTATCAGCACGAATTCTTTAATCATTGTATTTATTTCATGAGTAGTAGCACATGCAGCATGTAGAATTAATGCTAACGTTTTGATGTAATGGGCAATCAAAATCGGTGAAAATTCTCCAATGTTTATTTGGCCGCCGGATTCATGCCAGACACTTACAAGTGGGAAATAAAGCTTACTTCCCACTACAGCATTGAATTCGGGGCTTGTAGGTTTTGTGATTAATGAAGCTGATTTTTCTCTCTTTTTTGTTAGATTCCTGGATATTCTTAGAACTTTTCCACCGGCTAATTGATCGTTAGCTTCTTCAGAAGCCTCTTGCATTAACTCATCTTGTATTGTGTGCTGAATATCACCTAATCCGTAATCTATGATCTTCTCATTATTAGAGTATCCATTCTCTAATGCCAAATATTTATTATGAAGATTTCCAGGTAACATTTTAGAGGGAAAGCTGGATTTTTTAAAAGTCAGGGTCACAATGTCGTCTTCAAAACCTTTTAGTTCCCTTGCCGATAGTGATAGTGTTGATAGTAGACACATACGCTGCTGTAAGGAATAATCACCAATAGCAAGTAATTGGCATACCCTAATTCCAGAATCAGGATTTGAAGATACAACCGCAATTAAATTGGCCAATCTTTGGCTTTCAAAGTCAGCATCATCAAATGTGTTGGTCAAACCAGCTAAATTGGTTAATAGGTCATCTGAATAGAACTGTAGGTCATTACCAAAGCCTGCTTTTTGTCTTATTAAAGTAGGGCCATAAGTCAAGGCCAACTTTCTTTTTTCAAATGCTTGAGCATCTTTAGAATCTGTAGTGATGTAATCAAGTAAATCTTTGATATAAATGGGCCTTGCGACCTGGGGTTTTGGGCCGATTGTTGGATCGTCTTCGTCATCGCTATCAATAACTGAATCATTGTCTGAATCTGCTTTATTTGACTTAAGAGCAAATTCGAATTGGGTGGTGATATCATTCATTGCGTTAATATGGGAAGTCATTACATCATTATCTTCCGGTCGTATCACTTCAGGCTCATCTAGCAAATCCCAAGAATATTGAATGTCCGATAAAGCAACATCAGATTTCTTGAAATAAGATTTAGAATCAACAAGAATATCATAACCTTCAATATTATCTAAGTTAAAAATTTGATCGATTCCAGAGAATTCACAAAGCTTATCAGCAAGAATCACACCCAATGTTTTAATCTTTGATGACTGAGAGCTCAATCTATTTGAAATGGCATCTAAAAAATTAGATTCCGCCAGTAATGATCTCAAAAAATCAGGTGAACAATGTGAAAATAAGTTTATAACAAGATGGGTTCGATACTCTTGTCTTATAATGGATTCAGATTTCATCAAATGAGGGTTTGACCAATACTGTAAAGACCTTATCACTAAAGAATGGTAATTTTTCTCTGGTAACTCAGATAACATTAATGACACCAAAGAATTTAAAAAATAATCAGATGTTGCTATAACTTTTTCAAGTAAGATTTCATCAATCAAATCAGCTTTGAAAACTGGTTTGGAGAGTACACTTAGAGCGGCGACTTTATGTATAGAAGGATTCTTAGCCTTGAAATAACGTTTTGTTACATAAGATGTAAGAAACTTTGTTAAGATATTCTTTCTTTCAAATCTCTTCATTCTTTCGAATGACTCAATAAAGTAATTCCAGTGCTCTTCATTAAACATTATGTCGAATAGTTGGTTCAAACTCTCTTGATTTAAAGATGCCAACGAATTGATAAAGATATTGATGACAGTTACATCAGTTTTATTTTTGTAGAGTCTCAACATTTCCATATTCAAGTATCCCACATAGGTTATGGAGTTATTGAAAATTGTATTATTCATGTTTATTTGGCACTTTATGCATATTTCATTGATCAAAGAAAAGCATTTCCCCTTATGAAGAAGCTTATCGATCTCTTTCACTTCTAGATGCAGAGCATTCTTTACAAGTTTTAACACCAAGCCAGGTTGAAATAAAGAAACTAGGAACTCTACCAAAGTACTTAAAAGTCCAAATTCATTCAGATGTGGAGTCACTGATGACTTCAATAAACTTATACGACTGATCAAATTTCCTAGACCGACAGTGGACTGGAACAATTGAACCAATTGGTGTTTTGTCTCAATATTAACTTTATCATACGTGTCTGGAATAGTATAGTTTAACAAGGTAGTTATGAGGCTCAATTGAGCTACCAGATTCTTGATTAAAATCTGATTCACTGATTTGACAATTGATTCAATCTCGGCCAAAGTTGGCTTATTCTTGAGTCTCGCAACGCAGTCATCTAATTCAAAGCACACTTCCATCTTTCTGATGATGTTTCAAGTATGTTATAGGTAAAGTAGCTACTTGTCGCTCAAATCATCAGTGTTTTAACAATATTAATCCGTTCTGGAATCGATTTTTATTACTCACCAGAAACGAAAAAAGAGGAAAAAAAAAAAATACGATATAGACAGATGATCTTTTAATATCACCAAATAAGCTGCCTATATTTCATATGTTTCGTCTTTTGAGTAGACGGGTAGACTTTCTAGGAATATGCCAGCCAAAAAAGCTGGGGTTGGGTAGCTTACAGTCTATAATAGCGATACGAGGACAGACTATCCGATCATCAAGCACTTCTGTTTCTGAACGGAACCCATCACTAATAACACCAGAGACTCAAGGAGAAAGTGTAGGTGGGACTACCTTTAGCGGGAGTGAAGCATCTGACGCAGTGTTAGATTCATATTATGAAAGCACGCTAGGAAATTACTTTGATAACACTAAATTTGAGTTTCGAAAAGATAGTCATGTCGAGAGTTTGAAATCAGCAATGAAATACGTTTATCTTCGGCAGCATCCGTTGGTATCATTTGATGTCGAGGCGTTTGAGAGAAACCCCAAGATCATTACTGAAATTGGAGTATCAATATATGACCCTGCCGCTCTGAAAGCATCAATATATCCTAACATGAAGACTATCCATTTGATAATCAAGGAAAACATGAAATTTACAAATGGTACTTTCGTAGCTGATAATAAACATAACTTTATGGGAGGCAGATCGTACGTAATGCCTTTGAAGAATGTGAAGGAGTTTTTGAACAGACTTTTCCATGACTACCTCAAGGCAAAACCAGGAGTCTTAATTGGACATGGTATCGAAGGAGATATTAAGTGGTTACAACTGGTCAATGTTGAAATAGATCAGAATGCCCCGAGGGTGGATACCCTTAAACTTCATAACATATCAAGATCAAACGCAGGCAATCTACTGGCAGCACTTAAGATGATGAATATTCCTCAGGCATATCTCCACAACGCCGGTAATGACGCTTACTACACCTTGCTTTTAGCTCTTTCTTATTGTGATCCTCTCGTGAGAAAGAAACTTGAATTGGACATCTTCAAGACAAACCCGAAGAAATCACCCGCAGACAAAAGAAGGATTAAGACAAGGTCTTCAACTACTACAGAGAAAAAAGAAGCATTGGACCCTGAAGCATTGTTTATGGAATTCAAACATAGCCATAACTATTCGGACCAACCCCAACTACCTTGTAATTAACTGTACATAACTGTATATAGTTTTAAGAAATTAATTTTTTTTTTTTTTTTAACTTGAATTTTTCAGCACTTATTTCGACGCGTATCAAACGTTTTTGATAGTTTTATTGCTTGATCAACCAAGTAAAGTCTTTAGAGATCAAGAATGCCACCAAAAGGGTATGTGCCGTATTTGATATTGGATATCATTAATACTAACATCAAGAGTCAGAATCAAAAAAGCCGCAAAAGCCGTAAAGAAAGGCGAACCATTGAGTTTCCAGTATCCAAGAGTCACAGGGAATCCGTTGAAATTTGGAGCTCATGTTGGGATGGCAGGGGGGATATCGAATGCTGTGACCAATGCCATGAACATCGGGGCCAATAGCTTTGCTCTTTTCGTGAAGTCCCCTAGAAAATGGGTATCCCCAGATATCAAAGATGAAGAGGCCAAAAAATTCATTGACTTGTGTGAAAAATACGGCTACAATACTCGTACCGACGTTTTACCTCATGGAACGTACTTTATAAACCTTGCAAATCCAGATGAAGCTAAGGAAGCCCAGTCTTACAATGCTTTTGTCGATGAATTGAAGAGATGTGAAAAACTTAATATTGGATTATACAATTTCCATCCCGGTTCAGCATTGAACGGTTCTCGTCCCGATGCTTTGAAACAATTAGCTAAAAACATCAATCGTGCCATTAAAGAAACCTCTTTTGTCAAGATCATCATCGAAAATATGGCTGGCCACGGTAACTTGATCGGATCTACTTTACAAGACATCCGTGATGTTATTGACATGGTCGAAGACAAATCCAGGGTTGGGGTATGCGTTGATACTTGCCACAGCTTTGCTGCTGGGTATGACTTATCAGATCAAGATAAATTTGACGAATTTTGGAAACAATTCGATACCGTGATTGGACCGGAGTATCTCTGTGCAATTCATCTTAACGATTCTAAAGCTCCCTTGGGTGCTAATCGTGACTTGCATCAAAAACTAGGTTATGGTTTCTTGGGCTTGGAAGTATTCAGAATCATTGCCAATACCGAAAGATTGCAAAACCTCCCCATCATCCTAGAAACCCCAGTCGGAGACGACGACTCCGTTTACGGAGAAGAAATCAAATTATTGGAATGGCTACAAAATAAGCCAAAAGACGATACTGAATACCTTACTAAGCTGGAAGAATTATACAAACTAGGATCCAAAGAAAGAGCTGAACAATTGAAAAAATTCGAATCAAAAGTGGCCAAAAATGAAAAAGCAGCCTCCAAAAAAAGATCAGGCTCAGACATCAGCTCAATGCTTACGAAAAAGACAAAAGCCTAATTAATCCTTGTACATTTATTCATGACTTTGTATATATAATCCTTTTTGCAACTGTAGAACTTGATATGGTTTCGGGTGTCGCACGACACTTCTTCCCAATCCTGTTTTTTTTTTTTTTCTGCCTACAGAAAATTTTAAGAACTCACTTGGTTTAGAAAAACATTAACCGCTAGCTTCAATCAATTCATTCTCTGTTATCAGGACTTTGCCCATTGCCGAGACATAACAATCGATAGTCATCTGATATAATGTTTGGATCTAGATCGACCTCTGGTTTTGGAGGATTTGGTAGTTCCAACGCGAATACAGGGTCACCCTTTGGTGCATCTGCTAACACCAACAACACTTCACCTTTCGGAGGGAATAATAATAACAGTGCTGGAGGAATCTTTGGATCCACTAACAATAATGCCAACAACGCTGGTACTGGGGGTTTTGGCTCTACTGGTGGAGGTTTCGGCTCGAATAATACTGGTTCTGCTTTTGGATCAAACACTGGAGGTGGATTATTTGGAGCATCTAATACCAATGCTAATGCATCACCATTTGGTTCATCTAATAACAATACCGGATCTGCATTTGGTGGGGGTAACAACGCTGCTGGTGGATCGGTATTTGGTGGTGGCGCCAATACTAGTGGAGGTGGGTTATTTGGCTCATCTGCCCCCAAATCTACCTTTGGTGGGTTTGGTTCTACATCGGGCACTTCTCCATTTGGAGGTGGTGCTTCTGCTGGTGGGTTTGGTGCTGGTGCTTCTGATGCTAATGTTAATAATGGGACTGCTGTTAAACCATTTGCGCCATTTGCTGAAAAGGATAACACTGGTGCTACCAATCACTATCAAAGTGTTGCTCCCATGCCAGAATATAAAAATTTTTCTTTTGAAGAATTGAGATTGAAAGATTATGAACAAGGTAGGAGATACGGGAACTCTTCTGGTGCAGCAGGTGGTGCTTTTGGTGGCAGTGGTGCTCTAGGTGGTAGTGCTTTTGGTGCACCCGCTAACACTGGATCTGCTTTTGGTGGTTCCAACACTGGGTTCGGTGCCAATAATAATGCTTCCCCATTTGGTGGTGCTCAAAATAATGGTTCACCATTTGGTGGTGCTAATAGTACCGGCTCTGCCTTTGGTGGTTCCAATACTGGTTCTACTTTTGGTGGTTCAAACAATGCATTTGGAGGTGCTTCATCGGGAGGTGCTTTTGGTGCTCCAAAACCTTCATTTGGTGCCTCGGGATCAGCCTTTGGTGGTGGTGGTGCTTCTACTGGGGGTGGTCTTTTTGGTTCCTCAAATAATAACACTTCACCTTTCGGTACTAACAATAATAATGCTTCTTCTGGCTTTGGAGGTGGTATGAACAATAATAGTAATCCTTTTGGTGCCAATAAACCAGCAACGGGTGGGGCATTTGGTTCCAATACTGCTAACAACAGTTCACCTTTTGGAAATAACAACAATACCGGTGGTGGCCTCTTTGGCTCTGCGTCGAATAACAATAACACCGGTGGTGGTTTTGGTCAATCTAATAACACCGGTGGCTTTGGCCAATCTAATAACACCGGTGGTGGTCTTTTTGGCTCTAATAATAACAACACCAGTGGAGGATTTGGTCAAAATAAACCAGCGGGTGGTGGTTTATTTGGTAACGCTGGTGCTAGTAATACCAATACCAATACTGGTTTTGGTTCAAATACCGGAACAGGGGGTGGATTATTCGGCTCAAACAACAATACCAATAACAATACTGGCGGTGGTTTATTTGGTGCCAAACCAGCCGCTCCAAGTGGTGGCTTATTTGGTTCCAATAACAATAACAACAGTACTACTACCGGAGGTGGTGGTTTATTTGGCTCCAATAATAATAACAATAATACTACCAGTGGTGGTGGTTTATTTGGTTCCAAACCTGCTCAACCTGCTGGTGGTGGCTTGTTTGGAGGATCTACTCAAAACAATTCAACTGGATTTGGCTCAACCAATAATAATACTTCTGGTGGTGGTCTCTTTGGTTCCAAGCCTGCTCAACCTGCTGGTGGTGGGTTGTTTGGTTCCACGAACAATAATAATACTTCTACTGGTACTGGTGGTGGGTTGTTTGGTAACAACAATAACAACAATACTTCCACCGGTGGTGGGTTGTTTGGTAATAACAACGCCAACACTTCTAGTGGAGGGGGTTTATTCGGATCTAAACCTGCTCAACCTGCTGGTACAACTGGTGGGGGATTGTTTGGTAATACAAATAATGCTAATAACACCAACAATACTACTACTGGTACCTCTTCTGGTCTCTTTGGATCTCAAAATCAACCGCTGCAACAACAGCAACAACAACCATTGGTTAATATCAATGCTCAGAATCCTTATGGTAACAATCCACTTTTCCAAAGTATTTCAGGAACCCAACCACAACAATCTTCAGCTCAGCAAACTCCTCAAGCCATATTCATTTCTTCATCTCAAAAGAAAAAACAGGTCACTTTGGGGAGCGCTCATAAAGTAGCACCATTATTTAGCCCTGTGGCCCTCAAATATAAAAGTTCCAAACCAGATAAGCCAAAATCTGTTAATTCTGCTTCAAACACCTCATTGATCAATGATACTACTTCTTCTACTGATACTAAGAATAGCGTTTTCAATGGAGAAACTGATGCGGCTATTATTTCGTCTGATATTTTTACTCCAAAATCAAATTTCCGTAAATTAGTTTTGGATAAATCAAAACAATCTAATAAAGAAAGTCCGTTACTTCCATCTTCATCAAGTGAAAGAAACCCTCCAAAACAAGTTTCTTTTGCCTACAAATCTTCAAGTAGCTCAGAATCTGGGGAATCAACTCCATCTAATAAACTGCTTGAATACGGTACCACAGAAAACGCTAACGGTGGCGCAACTGCTAAATTGACAACAGAGGAAATAACAGAAATCAACGATGAAGGTTACTGGACTTCACCTTCTTTTTCAGAGTTGAAAGCCAAACCTTTATCCGAATTAAGATCAGTCAAAGATTTCAAAATTGGGCGTAAATTCTGCGGTACTATTGAATTTCTCGAACCAGTGGATTTATCTTCCTTCCGTGACATAGAAAGTATATTTGGTGAAATTGTTGACTTTCAAACATCAACCCTTGATGTCTATCCTGATAAGAGTACCATCCCTAAGATTGGCGAGGGTCTCAATCACCCAGCAAGAATCACCTTGGAAGGTTCTTACCCGGTAAATAGAGAGAATGGACTTCGTGTAACTGATCCAAAATCTTATCTTCTCCCTATGCATATTGAATCATTGCAAAATATCAGTCCATTGATGAAATTCGTCAAATACGAACCTTCGAATGGTAATTGGACTTTTGATGTTGACAACTTCTGTGACGAGTAAGCTTGTCAACAAACTCGACATTGTTAATTTGAATCATTTTGTTTTGTAATATAGTTATTAAATAATTGCATGGAAGCTTATGGCTTTTCCAAATGTAAGGACGCGCAAACGCGTTCACCGGTGTATTATTTTTTTTTTATATAATTTTTTTTTCCAAACGATCATCACAACTTTTGAACGAAATTGAAAAATTATTAGGGAATTGATCTAGCCCACTTAGATTAAGTAAGTAATTAAAGGATATAATAATGGGTGTTAAAGGTACGTTATGGCGAGTTGGGAGTGGTTTGAATCAGAAACTAACTTTTTTCCTTCAGGTCTTAATCAATTAGTCAAGGAGCACTCTCCAAATGCCTATAAAGAATTTCAATTGAAGAATCTTTTTGGACGGAAGGTAGCCATTGATGCTTCTATGTGTTTATACCAGTTTTTAATTTCTGTCAGGCAATCGGATGGCCAACAATTAACTAATGAAGCCGGGGAAACAACCTCTCATTTATCGGGGATGTTCTATCGAACTATCCGTTTGGTTGAGAATGGTATAAAGCCGGTTTATGTTTTCGATGGAAAACCACCAGTGTTGAAGGGTGGAGAGTTAGAGAAGAGAATGTTGAAGAAACAGGAGGCTTTGAAACAGATTGAAGATTTGAAAGAAACTGGTACTGCTGAAGAATTGATGAAGTTTGAAAAAAGAACAGTTAGAGCATCAAAAGAACAAAATGAAGAAGCTAAAAAATTGTTAGAATTAATGGGTATTCCTTATGTTGAAGCACCATGTGAAGCTGAAGCACAATGTGCTGAATTGGCCCGTGGTGGGAAAGTATTTGCAGCAGCATCTGAAGATATGGATACTTTATGTTACGAGCCTCCTTATTTGTTGAGACATTTAACATTTGCAGAAGCTAGAAAAATGCCAATTGATGAGATCCAATATGCCACTGCTTTGGAAGGATTGGGTTTGGACAAATCAACGTTCATTGACTTGTGTATTTTATTGGGGTGTGATTATTGTGAAACCATAAAAGGGGTGGGACCAGTTACTGCATTTAAGTTAATAAAAGAACATGGTTCATTAGATAATATAGTTAAATGGATTGAAGAAAACCCGGATAAGACTAAATATAGAGTTCCAGAAAACTGGCCATATAATGAAGCTAAAGAGTTATTCATGAACCCTGATGTTTTGAAAGCAGATGAAGTTAGTTTAAAATGGAAAGAGCCTAATGTAGAAGGGTTAGTTCAGTTTATGGTTGATGATAAGGGTTTTAGTGATGAAAGAATAAAGTCAGGGGCCGAAAAATTGAAGAAAGGTTTAAAATCTGGTGTTCAAGGTAGACTTGATGGATTCTTCAGTGTTGTTAAAAAGCCTGAGTCACCAAACGATAAGAAGAGAAAACAAGCTAACGAAAAGGGTAAAGGAAAAGGAAAGGCTGCCAAGAAGACCAAACGTTAGTTTAGTTTATTTAATTGTATATTAGTATTCTACGAAATAATTTTAATTACGGATTTTTGATTATGTATATTCATGAAAGAGAAGAAGTTTAATGTAGAATTAAAAATAAAAATAGCAAAAATGAAATGAAAAACTTTATTAATCTCTAGATTTTGGCTTCTTCTTTTCAGCTTCAGCAGCTTTTTCAGCTTCTATTTCATCAACATACTTTTTGATTTCATCAACAGTCATTTTATGAATTCGATCATTAGATTTTAAAACTGATACTTCGATATTCTTAGCACCAGTTTGAACTACTTCTAATAATGATTTTATTGTTAATTTAATAGTATGTTCATCATCCAATTCTTCTTCATAATTTTTCTCCAAAAATTCTTTCACAGTTTTAGAGGATCTACCAATTGCGTGTGCTTTCCATGCATTGTAAATTCCTGAAGGTTCAGTTTGATATAATCTTGGTGTATTATCATTACTATCAAATCCAGCAATGATGGTGGCAATACCAAACGGTCTAACCCCACCGGATTGGGTATATCTTTGTTGCACTCCAGCAACATATTTTGTTAAATATTCCACGGTGACTGAATCTTCTAAAGTTAATCTATGCGATTGGGCTTCCACTCTAGCTTTATCAACTAAAATTCTAGCATCGGCATTCAATCCGGCAAATGCTAATAAAACATGATTATCAACTTTACATATCTTTGATGGGGTAATTCGTGGATCTTGTAATTTCAATGTAGTTCTCTTTTCACATCCTAAAACAACACACTCTTTTCCTCTAACCCCTACAGCACAAGTACCTCTCTTTACGGCTTCTGATGCATATTCAACTTGAAAAACATGTCCATCTGGTCTATATTATAAGTATTTGTTAGTATTCTAAACTTCATTTCTCGAGGGTGGCGATCACTAAATCTTCCCGTTCCAATCACTCCCCCCGTCACAATTGACAATTGATACTTACGAGAAAATTGATAAAGCACTATCGTAGCCACTCATTATATTATATTAAAACCTTTGTATCAAAATTTAAAAGATAATCTATGATTAAAGAGCTTCTTCTGATAATTTCTAACTAGTTTTTGTTCGAAATTTGCCAACGGAGGAAAAAATTGCGACTTTTCACTTCTTTAAATCCAGTCGCGACATTTTCCGTGATGCGCGACATTTTTAGAACTTTTTCAGATTTGGGAAAAGATTCAGCTCTTGAAGCAAAGAAACCTACGAGTTTTGGGCAGAAAAGTAAGAATAATGGGCAAGAAACAGGAGAAAAGAGACAAGGGGTCCAAGGGAACTGGACAGAAAGGACCTCAGCCCCCCAAACAAGTGCCTAACAGGGAGCATTATTCCAGAATTTCATATTTGATTCAAGCTTCCAACTATTTTAATAATGATCCCAAATATTCTGTGTTGTCAAGGAACTTGACGAGGACGGCAGACCTTGTATCAAAGAAGACAGTATCCAAGCTTACTCCGAACTTGAAGAGAATGATATGTTCTAGATGTAATACGTTGTTGGTCCATGGGTTGACGGAGACAAAAACGATTGAAAATTCATCAAGACTGAAAAACTATAAAAGTGATATACTAGTAAGTCGATGCCAAACATGCCGAGCAGAAAAGCGGTTCCCAATAGGAAAAGATTTGGATTACACTTTATTCAGCGAGAGAGAAGGGGTTGCATTTAATGTTTAATGAGCTTTACGAAAAATTATCCCAATATATACTTTGCATTATAAGTTTAAATAAATATTTATTTCACGAGATTTAGTCCTTTGGGCCAATCATGTTTTCAGGTTTAACCCAGAAGTCGAAGTCTTCTTCGGTTATAACACCTAATTCCAAAGCTGATTCTTTCAAAGTTAATCCTTTTTTATGAGCATTCTTAGCAACTTTAGATGCATTATCGTAACCAATCTTTGGATTCAAAGCAGTGACCAACATCAAGGACTCATTCATAATTTTTGCAATTTTATCCTCATTAGCTTTAATACCTTCAACACAATTAATTCTAAAAGAATTACAACCATCACCAATTAATCTGATTGAGTTTAATAAATTTGCAATCATGACTGGTTTGAAAACGTTTAACTCGAATTGACCAGAAGCACCAGAAAAAGTAATTGCCGTATGGTTACCCATGACTTGGGCAGCAACCATGGTTAAAGCTTCATTTTGAGTTGGGTTAACTTTACCAGGCATGATAGAAGAACCCGGTTCATTTTCAGGTAAGCTTAATTCACCATAACCACATCTTGGACCACTACCCAAATATCTGATATCGTTAGCAATTTTGTATAATGAAACTGCAATGGTATTTAAAGCACCGGAAGCCTCGACAATAGCATCGTGAGCAGCCAATGCTTCGAATTTATTTGGGGCGGTTTGGAATTCAAATCCAGATTGTTTTGAAATCTCTTTTGCAACTTCAACATCAAAGTTTTTCTTGGTGTTCAAACCAGTACCGACAGCAGTACCACCTTGTGCTAAAAGAGATAATCTAGGTAAAGTAGCTTTAACTCTTTCGATACCAAAGGTTAATTGTTGAACGTAACCAGAAAATTCTTGACCTAAGGTTAAAGGAGTTGCATCTTGTAAATGAGTTCTACCAATTTTGATAATTTCATTAAATTCTTCTGATTTTGCTTTCAATGCATCACGTAACTTTGTCATTTCTGGAACCAATAAATTATTGATCTCGGTAATTGCTGCAATATGCATAACGGTTGGGAAAGTATCATTTGAAGATTGTGACATATTACAGTGATCATTTGGATGAACCGGCTTCTTGGATCCTAATTCACCCCCTAATATTTCAATAGCACGATTTGAAATAACTTCATTTGCGTTCATGTTAGATTGGGTACCAGAACCGGTTTGGAAAACCACCAATGGGAAATGATCATCTAATTTCCCACTGGCCACTTCATCTGCAGCTTCTTGAATGGCCTTGGAGATCTTTGGATCTAACCCAGCCAATCTTTCGTTGACAATTGCAGCTGACTTCTTCAAAATCCCAAATGCTCTAACAATTGGAATTGGCATCCGGGCTTGATCCCCACCAATCTTGAAATTCTGTTTTGATCTTGCGGTTTGAGCACCATAATATTTCGAGGTATCAACTTGGATTTCCCCAAAAGCATCGGTTTCAATTCTATAAGACATCTTCAATGTGTTCTATGAAGAAATGAAAGGGATTAATGAAAATTCAAAAAAAAAAAAAAAAAATTAGGCTGAAAATCTCCGAATTAATGAGATTTACTCGGAAAATTTTAATTTGTGACCCCGGAACAATCAGAAGCCAGATCTACAGACAGCCAGAACTACAGAGGGGTCTTCAGCAACAGCCAGAGATCAGGTTGTATTGAAGATGCGATTGTGTTGACGAGAAACAAGAAAAAAAAAAAGCAAGAATGGAGATATTTATTAGAAAAGTAAATGAAGAGAGTAAAGAAGTGAAGGAAACACATGGTTCTCAGTATATACATTAAGATATTCAAAAAGCTATAAGAACTTTGACTCCTTTTGTTTAGACTCGATTCTTCTTGGAGGGCTGACTTTGGCACCTCTCCAGTTGTACTTGAAACCGATTTCATGAGCCAAAATCTCACCAAAACCCAACATCATCCCGTTTATAAACGGCAATATGAGGTTGATTGAGCCTTTTTTCAATATAGACCATAAGTCAATGGTGTATGTTTCTTGGGTAACGGCCAATTCTTCTTCTTCTTCTTCTAATCTGCCCTGATTTATAATTCTGTCGGTATTCAAGATGTCTTCTTCGTTTACGAGTTCGTCCAGAGACATTTGTGACTTGACCACAGTTATATCGTTTGCTTCTGTGAGCTCCGAGAGCTCTCCTTGGGGTCTGGCTACTGACATTGGTGTATCGAGGATGAAGGAGTTATCGAAGGAGAGGATGGCGTTTTAACATTGGATGTTTTTTTGTCCTGGTGAACGGGTTTTTTTTACGAGGTACTACAAATAAGCTACTATCATAAACATTAATTGAGTCTATATAATTATAATTAGTTTTTCTTGATACCTACTGATTTACCTTCTTTCAATCTCTTTTGAGTTAAAGCAGCAATGATGGCAGCACCAGCACCAGAACCATCTTCAGCAGGAACAATAATGATTGGATCTTCTTTAGACTCCCATTTGAAGATATCTCTTAAACCTTGAGCAGCTCTTTCTTTGAAACCGGGGTATTTATTGTAAACAGAACCATCAGCGGCACAATGGGCTGATTTATAACCTCTTTTCTTACAAATGGCAGCAATACCACAAATTGATAATCTTGAAGATCTTTCACCGATCTTTTCAGCTAAAACACGGATGATTTTTCTTTCAGCAGAAGTGGTTTGAATACCTAATTGATTTTGGAATAAATCAGCAACATCACTTAAGTTTTCGAAAGGATCTTCTTCGATTTTAGCTGGGAATGAAGTATCTAAAATAAAAGAAGTTTGTAATTTTGACAAATCTTGATTTTTAAAGATTAATTTTTTTTCTAAAGTTAAATCTAATAAAATTAATCTTAAAACTTCACCCAAATAATAACCACTGATCATTTTTTCGAATGATTGTTGACCAGGTCTTGGTGATTCTTTATCAATTTGAATATCGTATTTAGTTCTTGGTAAAACTAAATGTTCATTATCGAAAGCACCATATTCACAATTGATTGCCATTGGACTTTCTGGATCAATATCGTCAGGAATTAACCCTTCTAATTTTGGAATATCTTTAACAACATCATAATAAGCACCATTACAACCAGTACCGAAAATCAACCCCATTTTAGCTTCGGAATCAGTATACATGGAAGCAACTAAAGTACCAGTAGTATCGTTAATTAAAGCAACAACTTCAATTGGAACTTGAACTTTCTCAATTGAAGCTTGTAATAAAGGAACAACATCTTTACCTTCAACACCATCAATGTCAAAACCTTTAGTCCATCTTTGTAAAACCCCTTCATTGATAGAGTTTTGAGATGCTGGATAACTAAAGGTAAAACCTAATGGCAATGGAGCAGAAACTCCTTCTGGGAATTCTTCATCAACAAATTTTTTAAGACATTCAGCAATGAAATCAAATAATTCATCAGATGTAGCAGTTCTCATGTGTTTTGGCAAAGCAAATTTAGATTGAGTGGTATCGAAATCACGATTGCCTCCTAATTTAACTAAAACAACTCTTAAATTAGTTCCTCCTAAATCAATAGCCAAATAATCACCAGTTTCTTTACCAGTTGGGAAATCCAAGACCCAACCTGGAATCATTGGAATATTCCCTCCCTTCTTACTTAATCCTTTATCTAATTCAGTAATGAAGTGATCGGTAATCTTGATTAATGTTTCTGGTGTAATAGTTAACAATTCTTCTAAATTTTTCAATTCAGTTAAAAGTTCTTGTGGAACATCAGTGAAAGTACCCTTTCTATGTTGTGGGGGTTTTGGACCTAAATGAACCATCTTGATTTGTGATTTTATTCTATTTCTTATACTATATAAATTATATAATTTACCTAACTAGTTAAGTATTGGGGATTAACTTGTTTTTATATACAAAAGAACAAAGCCAAAAAAAAAAAAAAAAAAAAAAATTCGACGAGATTTTCCAGTTTCTCCTGCTGTCGGTACAAAACCGTATAAACTCACCCCAATCAAAAGAAACAACAATAAAGCATGTTGAAAAGAGCCGTAATAAGCTATTGGTGGGGGTCAGATGTGTAATAACGCTTAAACTCCCAGCAAGGAACTAAGGTAAGGTGATGGGAGGCATCTGGTGATTTCATCATGGGGCCAGTCGTGGGAAACACTGGGAAAAATCAATGCTGCCGGATAAACAATAACGTCAGTCTTTGAGACAAGGCATCGGATGATTATGGTCCATGACCCCAAAGACACGAGATGATTTTGTAATGTACTCCAGATTCTTCCAAGGGGAGACTCCACAGATCAAGGCGGATCAACAAAGTTCCGTAACCGTCCCCAGCTGGAGAATTGAATGATTGTAGATAATCCGAAATACATGAGTTATTTCCGGGCTATTACCAGAGGTCTTTTGTTGTTTCGTCGAAGTTTTTCATTGAATCCCCCACTTTCTGGAGGTTAATTCTGATATTTTCCACGTAGTCATTCATTTCATCAAAGTTGGTTTTACGATATAACATATGATTATCATTTTCGTTACTAATTTTATTGAAAAATTGGTTTAATTTTTCATGTTTGGTTGTGTCGTTCGCTGGTTCTTCTTCCTGGACTTTGGCTAGGTGTTCAGAAGATTCTCTGGTGGCATCCTGTTGAGATTCGCCTTCATTGATGTGTTGTCTTGACATTACTTGTAAGAGGTTGGATTGCAGTTGTTTTAATTCAATCAATTTTGCTTCAAAAGATTCGTTGAAAAAGGATCCTTTCACTCGTACTTCTTCACTCATTCGATTGACGTCGTCTAATACATCGATTTGAGTCCATAACTTATCCATTTGGGTGATGGCGGGCTTGGCGGTTGGTAATTTATCCATGGTTCGAACACTTTCGTTAATGGAAGCCGCCGGGCCAGTTTCGGTAGTATTGGTTCGACTCAAGCGATTATTATAGTAGCCCGAAGTCAGCGACGCCCGCGTGTGACTAGGGCTGGTTCCTGGAACCCGTAATTTATCGGTAGACATTGGCAACTTGCTAGGAAGAAGGTGTAGTTGAAAGTTTTGTGCGGTACCGTTTTTTTTTTTTTTTGGCTTTTCTTTCTGATTTGATCAAGTACAACTACTTCTTTAATGTGGAAGAAATTACTATACTTGAAGCAGCCATTCCCAGATAACTATACCGATGAGTCGTTTCTTGATCAGTTGAAAACCAACCTGACGGTGGTTAAGTACTCGTATTGGAAGTTGGTGTATGATTTTTCGCTTATTTCAATGTACATTTCAAGTTTACTTTTAGTTATATTAACGTTTACCAGTATTTATTATAATCACATTAATCCAATAATCCCCATTATAATATCGAGTCTATCGTTGATGACGTTTTTAATCGGCTTGCCGAAAAACCTGCTATCAAATACTCAAAATATTAAGTCTTTCTTATTAATCAACTTTATCTTGCTTGTTTTATCCCCGTTACTTAAATCATTAACCAGATCAACTTCTTCTGATTCTATTTGGGCGTTATCGTTCATCTTATGTTTGATCAATATCGTCTTCCACGATTATGCCATGGACATATCCAAGATCATCAACTACAGACCGATTCTTTCCACCAATATCTCCATGGCCAATGGCATCGTTTTGGCATCGAGATTATCTTCAAATTTACAAGTATACTGTTTTTTATTATTTGTCCTACAATTCAATATCTTGCTTCCGTTCATTGATTTCAGTTTGAGGAAATTCTCCCGATTCAATCAGCACTATACTTTATTAATATCCATTCAATTGATTAGCTTAACGATGATTTGGAAATTGGCTAATTTCAACCTCTTCTTAATTTACTTCTCGGGTCAAATTGGTATTCTGTTTTGTCTTCCAGGTTACTTTTTGTTTTTACAAAAATATAAAAATGAATTACAAGGCCCTTGGGATCCGGCTAAACCTATCATTAAAACGATTTAGCTTCCTGTTTCACTCATCAAGTTGCTGATGACTGCAAACCTCCATGGTTCCTGCTGCTAACCTGCAATCCCCAGCACCATCCTGTCAAGGCCCAACCCGGGCTGTGTGCAGGTGTGCAACACCAGCTGTCAGACTGAAACGTTTGCTCAGTTGGTCAATTGGGGTATTGGTGTATTGGTGTATTGGTGTATTGGTGTATTGGTGTATTGTGTATTGGTGTATTGTGTAAGGCTTGGGAGATGGGCACGTTCACCAGACCCTAGATTGTTCGATTGTCTCATCATGAGCACCAAACATACTCTATCAAGACGGATTCCCAAACAAAAAAGAAACAAGACCAATTTTCGTGTTGAAATATCAAGGCCAAAGTCGTTCATAACTCACTCAAGCAAGCCCCGGAGGATGACCTTAACTGGAATCGTTTTTCACCAAATAAGTAATCTAGGTATAGCTAAACTAACTAATTCTACTAGCCCCAACCTGTAAAATCTATTTCATCGTAAGAGCAATTGCTGTTTATTGGTGAAATGAGTTGCTGCAAAACTTGTTTCGGCCCAAATGCTCTTCTCGTTCTCACACCATTGGTCTGCCAATGGCGTTGGCTTCGGTGTAGGCGTTGTTGTTGGTGTTGGCGTGGGCTTGGGCGTGGGCTTTGGCGTTGGCGACGTGGAAATGGTTAGAATCGATTAAACTGACTATCGTGTCGTATGGTTATGTTTACTGCCAAACACCAAAAAATAGAGACTTGTTATTTTTTTTTTTGTTTTGTTAACGAGCAAGTTTTTTGAGCACAGATCGTTGCTGCGATTTTTGCCTCATACTCCAAAATATTACAGCCTAGATGGAAGTCCTAGGTTGTTACCCCTTTTAATGGTTATAACCACAGTTAAACAGATTGTTTGCTTATTGATGACGATTGGTGGGAGACTCCAGCCAACTGAGGTTATTGACAAACAAATGAAAAATGCAGGAACCTTTGATGGAAAAAGTGGCTGTAAGATATTCATTTTGCAATTATATAAATATGGAGATGAAAGTCTGGTTTAGCTGGTATATTTTTTTTCTGTATCTGTCAATTAGTTCAATAAATCAATAATAATACAATAATGAAATTCTCAACCGTTTTATCCTTAGCTGTCGCTATTACCTCAGTCCAAGCCATCACTTACGGTGAAGCCGTCAATGATGTTGTCAAGAGAGCCGGTGGTGACTCTTCCTCTGGTGGTTCCTCTGGCTCCTCTGGTTCCTCTGGTTCCTCTGGTTCTGCTGCCGGTGGTTCTTCTAGTGAATCCGGTGGTTCTTCTAGTGAATCCGGTGGTTCTTCATCTGAATCTGGTGGTTCTTCATCTGAATCCGGTTCTCCATCCGAATCTGGTTCTTCTGAATCTGGTTCTTCTTCCGGTGGTTCTTCTTCTGAATCCGGCTCTCCATCTGAATCTGGTTCTTCTGAATCTGGTGGTTCTTCTAGTGAATCCGGTTCTTCTTCCTCCGGTTCTGGTTCTTCCGGTGGTTCTTCTAGTGAATCTGGCTCTTCCTCCTCCGGTTCTGGTTCCTCTTCTGGTTCCTCTGGTTCTGGTTCTTCTGGTTCTGGTTCTTCTTCTTCTTCTTCCTCCGGTGCTTCTAACAATGCCGGTGTTAACATTGGTGTCGCTGCTTTGGGTGCCATTGCTGGTGGTTTATTACTCTAAGTGGGTTAATCTAACTAGACTAAAAGTGATTTTGTAATTTTTATTTCCTTAATTTTTCTAATATCTGTGATATTTAATTTTCTATAATATTATTTTTAATATTACGTTTTTTTTTCAACTTTGTCAGCCTGTAGCTTAATCTGTCAGCATGAACTTTATGTCAGCCTGTAATTGATGCCCGTAATTGATGTACGTAACTTAAGCTTTCGGATTTCAGCCTGCCTGGTTGCAGCCTGACAGCTCTAGTATCCTGTTCCGACGTCACCTCTGTTAGGGTATCATCTCAAGTGCCTGGTCGGACTTGTGAACCCTTACTGCAGCATATCACCTCAGCACAGCGCCTACATTGGCACCTTTCTGCTATTTTTAGACAACCGTCCAACCCCTTCCTGCTGAAGGGGGGTCGCCATCAGCTTACCCACACCCAAGTATTCGATACCCGAGTTATCAATACCTAAATCTATCCAATAGCTACAAGTAAATGGCTGTAAAATAATGTCGCAATGTCGTCCACGTTTTATTTTTTTCTTCGCTTCGCTTTTTGCGACCACTTTTTTTTTACTTTTTCGGGGTATTGAAAAGTCACTCAAAACTGTTAAGCAGTGTATAAATAGTATAACCAGGCTTGGGTCTATCAAGTATAAATAGGATTAGAAATCATTGAAATGAAATTAATTACCCTGGCTCCCTACTCTTTGTTTGATCCTATTGTCATGAAGCTTACTATTTCCACTTTATTATTATCAACTTTACTTGCTTTCACTAAAGCTTCGGACGTTAATAGTTACGATATTGCTTTCGTCACTGCTTTAGTATCTGATTATAAAGGACATGCTAAAGACTACATAAATTTCATTCAAACTGCTGAAAGTGTTCCTGAAGAAGTTACTCATTTGGCCATTCAAGCTGCTACTTACACTAACGATGCTTATACTACTTTGTTGAATGATCTTGATGTCACTTCGTTGGAAAATTATGCCACCAATTTGCCTTGGTATTCAAGAATCTCCTCTGATGTTTCTGAAGCTGGTTATACCGATAGAGCCGAAGCGGAGACTGGTTCCAACTCTGGCTCTGGCTCCGGCTCAAGCTCTGGCTCCGGCTCTGGCTCAAGCTCTGGCTCAAGCTCTGGAAGATCATCCACTTCAAGACGTTCTGGTGACTCTTCTTCGATTCCTTATGAAGACACTACCCGTAGTACCCCTACTGGTGGTGCTAATGCCATGGGCGCCGGTTCTTATACCCAGGTCGGTGCCATCTTAGGTGCCATCGCCCTCGTCTTGCTCTGATTGTATTTTATTCTGTATTATAGCTTTTGATACCCATATATTCGTTTGTTGATTGATCTAATTGTAGTCTCGACGCATCGTTAGATTGCCTAATTGGGTAATCTCAAACAACCCCGATTGTTTTTCAGCCCGTACACCGAGCCTCGTAAAAATGTCGCATCCTTACGGCTACAATTATAATTTAAAAATGCAATTATATCAATTAACTGGTGGGAGCTGTAATAAATAATAGTAAGAATTGTAAGTTCCAGAGGAAATTGTCTAAGCAGTCGATTGGAATGTTATTTGAAATTTGGTTATTCTGGTGGTCTTTACTGCCAGTCTTGTTATAAATATCAGTCACATGATTGATTAAATAGACCAAGTTTTTATTTAGTAACTTTAATCCTTGTTCGAAATCAGGGTTTTTAATTAAGTATTTTGACCCAGAATCTCCATAGTAGTCCATTCCCTGTTTCTCCACTTGTTGGAGATCATGATATAATGGATATATCAATAAATCACTATAACTATCTCCATAAATGATTTTTAACTGTCTTTTCAAATGCTGTAGGTAGGTATCGTTTCTTTGTTTTTGAATCGGATCAAGGTTATTCAAGCTGGTCACCAGATCTACTATATAGCATTCACTTCCATTCAATATTAGGCGATATTTCAAATGCAGACGAGTAATCTCTGATAAATTTATAAGTAATTGAATAATGAAGGAAAGTCCCGAATTGATAATATCAATATTAAGCTGATGGACATCTTCACTTATCATGGAAATGATGTCATCCTCATAAGTATTGGACAAGTCATACTTATTATAATAACAAATGTCTAACAACTCTTTGATGGTGGAAGGAAATTCTAATCCCATGATTGTATACCGAATTGATTGGGGGGATTTATCAATCAATATGATCTCCTGGGTGACTTTCCCATACTCTTGCAATTTACTAATTATCGAAGGATAGATTAATTGATTTAAATTTTCAGTTATTGGCTCAATTTGGGATTTCACGATATCTAATCGATTTTGACCCATTTTTTTAATAATCGGGAAATCTTCTTCAATAACTGTCTTTGTTTGGTTTATCTTTATTTTTTTAGATACTATTTCTGATAATATGTTGTCATTTATAGACTTTTGTTTTATAATTAGCTTGTTTAATCTTTGAATCATTATCCTATACTTCTCAGTATCTTGGAGATCAGTATCCAAAGTTTTAAGCTTCATATGAATCTGTTGTCCCAATTTCAGCTTCAGCTCACTCAATTCTTTAATCAATTTATGGGAATTATTCAAACTTCTAATTGAATCAAATGAATATGATATACTATGACTGGTTAGTTCCCTTTCTTGTTTCATTTCACGTTTATAACACTCTTGGAATGTATAGTATCGTCCATTTAAGTTAAAGACTATGGAATTGTCGTTAAATAAGTCCTCGTCGGTATTACTAGATATCTGTTTCAAAGTTGGTAAGTATAATTCTATGAAGCTCATTAATTTCCATGCTTGATCTTGTATGTACACTTCAGACTCTCGACACCAAATCTTTAGTATAATGCTTTTGCAGTTCATCAAATTATTCGGTAAGCTAGGTAGATTTACGATCCCGAAATTGGGATTCGTGTTGCTTCGTACAATATCACTAATATATATTAACCCATCTGGGTTTTTGGAATTGACCAATTCCGATAAGTGGATCGTGAAAAAACTATCAAGTAGCTTCATGCGATTGATCTTTATCAAATCAATTTCGTTATTCATCCCATTGTCCAATGATTGAATCGATTGTATAAAACTAGTCCTTCGGGTTCTTCCCTTTTGTTTGTTCAATATTGCATTGTGTCCGTTGGAACTATCTAGATTAAGATTCCTCAACGATAGTGATCGTAGATTCTTGATCTTGAAATCATTTTGATTATTCATCCCTCTCCTTCTTTATCAATTGAATCCCTTAATTTTAGCAGGTGCTTTATTAGTGTTTTTTTTTTTTTCAAAACCAACCGAAAAAAGAGATCTCCTGCTTTGATAGCGATTTCCCATCAACAACTCTTCCACTTTAACCCAAACACCTTTAATCTACCTTATTGGACTTTGTTAGTTAATGTTAGTATGGCCAATTACATTGTATGTTTGGCCCATTTCTGCGAGATTCATGGTCCTTCCAGTATAAGCTGTACCCAATACACTACGCCAGAATTGAAATCTCAATACCTTCTTCCTGCTAAATCGAAATTACAAACATGTGCATCTTGTAAGTTAGTCTTACCCGATGATAGTATCAATGTGGTCACTAAAGAGAATAATCAACTTGGCGACTTGAAAAACAATAGAGACAATTCCATCTTTATTTCGACCCATTATCCAGTATCTCAAAAACGTTATACTTCATTGATGAAATTGGTAATGAAGTCGCTATCGGTTGAAACCACCTCAGATTTATCTAAACCCATCTTCTATGGTGATATAATCAATGGGTATTGTATAAACAAGGTATTCAAGATTAAAGACGTTAATGCCAGAGGAGGTGAACGAAAATACTCCTTCATGGTCATTTCAGACTCCGAGAGCGAATTGCTATCTAAATGGGATATTGTCAGTCAGTATCTCAACGAATTCATTTCCTTAATTCAAAAACAAGTCAATCTGGTGGTAGAACAAAGTTTGAATAAAAAAGAACAAGAAAAGAATAACTCTACAAACTCAAACATCTTCGTGGATAACGAAAGATACTTGAGAAGATCAATGAATAAACCAAGGTCTCTAGTTGAACTAACCAATGATGCCCAGATCTTTGTCAAAATTCATTTATGGGCAGTCGAACTCCTTAAAGACATTGACTAATTTTTCACATAACTTTACAACACTCGATCCTTTCCCTGTCCGATCACCCCTCTAATTGGACACACTTATACCATATCCATTCCTTAACGAATGCTTCACTGTTGCCAATTCCTTTGCCATTCCTCTTGGTGCACGGGTGTGTGATCGAGGATGTTTGTAAACTTTTCTAATGAAAAAAGATATCAAACCCTAAAGCAAAGTCACGAGAGACTAATTGCAATAGTTATCATGGTATAAGCTGGCAAAATGAGAGTTGGAAGCTATCGCAAGAAGCCGACTAGCTGGATATGTTACCAGTTTAATCATTTCATCGATAGACTCACTCAATTGATGGATAGATGGAGAAGATCAAAACTCGTATTGATCTTTGCAAAAATATTAGGGGTCATATTTCCTCTCAAAAACAAAACTAGACTCGGGTATTTTTTTATATCAATTGCCATTGGGCACTTGGTTGTTTATCTGGCTGCCAAAGATGTGCTTGTGTCATGGTTGTATCATGATGATTATTTGAACATCACTGATATGGAAGACTTTGAGACAAAGTTACCCATCTTTCAGGACTACTTGTATAGGTCTTACGTTCCATATAGCATTTTCAACTCTCTTTATCCTAATGAAACTAACGCGGATAGTAAAACCCTGAGTGTGTCTCAGCATCTCTACGAAAACTTAAATCAAGAACATGATCCAAGGTTAATTGTTTCTTTATGGCTTAATTCCTTGTATCAGTCATTGACCCATAATAATAAGCTTAACTCCCAATTTTCGTTGCCGTTCTCTTGGGCGTCTATCCTTGACTTGAAATCGAATTTCCGTGTCCAATATTCAACTGATTTGAGTAATTTAGATTGCATTCAATTTCTGGGGTTTGCTCAAATTCCCTTAGTTAATTATACTAGACATTGTCAATCTTTGAAATCCTCTCCATCGGGATATCCCAAAGTAAAATTCACGGGGCCCTTGAATTATTATACTTCAATCGAGGCCTATAAATTGGCATCTGCCAGTTATTTGCTTCATTCGGCCCCAATCCCGGACCGGTTGTGCTTGCTTGGTGTTGGTCCAAATGGTAATGCTGTCAACATTCCCACTTATAGGGCAAGACATGACAACTCCTATAATAAATATGATTTGAAATCAATGATTTATGATTACTTACTGACTGTTCCGAATGAATCCAGTCATGAATTTTTATATAAGGGTATGAATATCCAAGACCAGGTACAGTTTTTGAAGGAATTTTGGTCTTCAACAGATATCGAGTCTTCATACATTCCTGATCGCTTGATCGATGGTGATGTGACTAGAATTATCGGGAGTACTATGGGACATTCGACAACTTTGCAGAAATCGGATTTCCAATTTGACGCTGAAGATTTTGTAAATGAATTGAAAAATAAAGTTTCGAAATCAATTGAAATATTGACGCCGAACTCCCTTGATCATAGATTGTTAAGATCAATATATCCATTTGATTCTAATAGCGAACCCCCTAAGTACTTTCATGAGGCATCTATATTAGGAACTTCAAGAGGGGCACACTTTGATTGGAGGTTTTTTCAAAAAATTGATTATTCACATTATGAAACTCAAGCCATCCTACATCGAATATCCAGAGCATGGTTAAGGTTTGCTTACAATGTTGGTTTGAATACTTGGTTGGCACATGGATCGCTTCTTGGTTGGTATTGGAATGGATTAAATATGCCTTGGGATCAGGATCTCGATGTCCAGATTACTATGGAATCTTTGATCACTCTTGCGAGAAACTATAACCAAACTTTAGTGGTTGATTTGACGTCTAACAATAGAGAAAATTTGGGCATTGGCAAATATCTTATTGATGTCGGCTCTAGTATTCATTTGCGTGAAAAGGGTAATGGCGAAAATATAATAGATGCAAGGTTTATCGATATTGAAACCGGATTTTACGTCGATATAACTGCAATCGCTTTTACCCGGTCGGTTGAAAAATTATCAGTTAAACATAAGTCATCAAATGAGTTAAATCAGCTATTAGATCCGGAATTTACAAATAAAGAAAATTCGAATACAATTGTTAAAGAAGATCTTTATAGTGATTTATATAAACTGTTGACTTTAATGTATAAAGATGAAAATATATTCAATTGCAAGAACGACCATTTTTATAACTTACAAGATCTCAATCCACTAATTCCAACACTATATGAAGGAGTAATAGCCTACGTTCCAAATCGGTATAAAGAGATTTTGAAAAGAGAATATAGAAAATCACTACTAAATTATGAATATGGAGGCTACACATTCAGACCAATGCTAGACATTTGGGTCCCGAATAAAATCTGTTCAAAAGATCGTATTGGTGATCGATGTTTTGATAAAGAAGTTTTATTAGAAACAAAGTATACTAGGGCCATAACCAGCACGCATCGCAAGGAAATGGATACACGCTATAGATCACCAATCACTTATACCCAACAAGATGAACATGAACCCCTCAGGGTAGATCCTTGGATCATTAAGCGAAGTGAAAAAGTTGAAAAATTCATTAAATCGTCAATCTATTAAAAAATATACATATATCTAAGTATATACATGTAATGATTTTATATATCATTAATTGAGTTCACCAGTTTATCCTTTGGATTTGGGAACCTAGCATCTCTACCCCCGTTAGAAATATCGGCACCGATCCTTGACAAAGGCCATATTATACTACTAACTTTTCCCACAACTAACCCCTGACTTATTGGACCGAAAGTGTTGGAATCTATAGAATGAAATGAATTATCTCCTTCAACCCATAAATGATTTCTAGGAACCTTGGCTTGTTTTCTAGGATACGGAGGTTGTTTAGGTTTAATGACTTCACCTTGTAAACCAATCACTCTTTTGATAACCAATTTCTCTGGATCTGAAGGTGATCTAAACATTACAACATCTCCCCTTTTAATAGAATTGGGGTTCTTCATGCCCCATTTATATATCAACACCACATCCTTTGATAAAGTTGCAGTTCCTGGATTGAATGTTGGAGACATTGAAAATCCTCTTACTTGATATGGCATAGCAACATGTTGTGTGAAGCAGTACAATACTGGGACCCAAGAAACAGCAACCAAAGAAGCCTTGATCCCACTACTTATTCTAGAGAAGCTTGCCATTGAAAATCTATTCGGAGGTCAAAATTGCTCCCATTGGTGATTAGATTTTTTCAATTTTTTTTTTTTTTTTTTTCATCTCTTGAGAGCTTTTTCAATCGTGTATTAGCTTTGAGTCAAGGTTGCAACTTTTCCTAGCAAAACAAGAATAACCAACACAGCGATCTATTCATAATGTCTAAACCCGGTGCTTTGGATCAAATATTAATGGAAGACATTGCCCGTCATTGTCCACAGCAATTTTTAGCATTCCACCAATGTATGTCCAAGCCGAATCCAGATGCCAATGAGTGCAATGCCGAACAACAAAAGCTTACTCAGTGTATCAGATACGATGTGCCAGCTTTTCAAAGAATCCAAGGAGTGTGTGCTGGGAAATTGCAAGGTTATGATGCATGTTTGAAAATGAATAAGTCTGATGCTTCTAAATGTACACAAGATCTACAAGAACTAAGAAATTGTGCAACTAATACGTTAACTTGAATGGCTGTATATATTTTTATATTATCTAATTTGATTTTCTATATTTAAGAGGAAGGTTTTGTAATTTTATATCCAGTATGAATTGGTTAGTTACTTTTCTAATATCAGGGGAATCACCGTGAGTTTCTTCCATGGCATGTTCATGATGTAAGAGTTCGTGTTCAATATCTTCTTTATGCTTAATCAATACATCGGGATCTTGATTAGCATGATACTTATTCCAATGGTGTTCTTCGTATTCACTTTCAAAGTCAAGATGGTGACCTTGACCATATCCGAAGTCAGGAAAATCTTTACCTGAGTTCACATAGCTTCTCCACTCCTCAACACTGACTTTCCCATCATTATTTGAATCCATCAATTGTAATATAACGTTCACCACATGATTTTTAGCTTCTTGGGTAATGCCTTCTTCGTTGTGACTGTGTTCCCCCATCCCACTTCCATCCCCGACAATAGACTCTCTGGTTAACCCATATATGTACAAAATATCTTTTGACTCCCAATACCCTTTATTAGCTAAATCATGAATCTTGAAAAATGAATCGGCATCGTATTGATGTAAATTGTGTTCTTCAATCATATGCCAGTTTTGCCAGCTTAATGACTCTGGTCTTTGTTTGATCTCATTGTGGCCCCCGTGAGCTATAACATAACCCAAAAACGAAGCAGTAGCCAACCACGATAATCTCATCTTCGTTAATGCTACCTCTGGTACTAATTATGACACCGAAATGAAAAATTGAGTGAAAAATCAAATCACTTCCAGTCTAGTGCACCCGTACATCTCGGAGAATCCCCCACAAAATTCAAACAAACAAAAACTAATTCAATTTTAGCAACGTTTTTTCACGTTTTGATATAACAACTTCCAAAAGAACGGATGTCCACCAACTATAACTTACCGGTCAAATCGGCCACAGCACGGGAAGGCCGAGATAACCAACGGTATAATGCCGAGACTGGGGCTCGGATGGTTGCCGGATGTATATGTCTCAATGGTAGTAAAGATAAGGTAATAATGATTCTGTCGAGTGCCCATCCTGGGAAATGGGTTCTTCCCAAGGGAGGAATTGAGATGGATGAGGGAGAGGACTTTGTTATCAGTGCAGTTCGAGAAACATGGGAAGAGGCTGGGTGTGAAGGTAAGATTATAAAGAAGTTACCGGTAGTTTTGGATTCTAGAGGAGGTAAAGCACCGGTGATTCAGGAAGATTTTGATCCGTTGAAAGTTGTTCCCAAGAGCGAGTTTCATTTTTATGAAATGGTGATTGACCAATTGAGTAATGAATGGCCAGAGTCTAGTAAGCGAGACAGAAGATGGTGTACTTATTCTGAAGCAAGACATGAATTGATAAAACTGAAGCGACCTGAATTGGTTGAGGCTTTAAATCTGTCATCAATAGAGAAGGATAACCTGGATACGTATTGAATTATATATATATATATATATATATATTATGTAACTATTTAAATAAACCACCCATTAAGCTAGCTAAAGGATTCACGCCAGCAGAACTGCTACCAAGATTTAAATTGAAGTAGAATCTACCCAAGTATTCAATTGAGGCATTCAATTCATATTGAGTTAAAACGGCTTTATATTGTTGGTATAATTTCAAGAATTTTTCGCCGGAAGTAGTTTCTTTATTTAATGTGATGACTAGCAATTGTAAGAAATTAATCAATTGGTATTCTTGATAGAAGTATAATCCGTCGCTTGATTCGTAGTTCGTATTGTATTGGACCAAGTTCTTCATGAAAATGTTGAGGGATTCTTTAACGAATTTAATATTTTTCAAATATGAGTAATTTATAATGGCTCGGCTCAATAAAATCCCAGGATCTTTCACATCCTTGCTTGATTGCTTATACCAATCCCATAAAAAGTTTATATAAACAGGTAATGATTCATAAGTACCTAAGATCAAATGCAATTCAGCAAAATTAAATAATTTATATTTTTCATCTTCGCTCAAGGGACTCAATTTGATTGAGTTTAAGAATTTGACTCCGAAAACATGGTGTAAGTTGCAATCACCAAACTTATTATCATTCGTTTTAGACCAGTTGATCGCTTGTTTAGATAAATCTGGTAAACTTGGATCAGTATCCGGTAATAAATTGATCAATTCAATCAACTTAATTTTGTTAATATCAGATGACGATTCAATCTTTATGTTTGCTTCTTCGTATACTTGGATCAAATAAGTTATCAAGTCACTAGCTGATGCATACTCTTTCTTATTCGATAAAATCGAAGATCCTTGATATAATAAAGCAATTGCATCCGAGTATTGTTTCGATTTGACGTATCTATTGGTTATGGTTCTCAAAGTCTGGTGCGCCTCGTAGTATTCTCCGCTGGTGATCTTCGCATTAAAACGAAGCAATGTCCTTTGCAATTTAGCGTCACTCATGTCTGATCTATAAGAGTTGGTTTGGTGGTCAGATTAGTTTTTTGATTTTTTAAACCTTTTTTTTTTTTTTTTCATTTATACTTTGGGTGTACGGGTGTATTATTCTAATTGCAAATGATTTTTCACCTTTGCCAAAGAGTCAATGGGGTTCTTCATAAAAGACCAGCTTCCAGGGGGGGTGTTTGTAGTTTTAGTAAGGAGAATTTCGCCAATGGTATCGTGGATGGCTATGAAGCACGGCTGAGACGCTCTCCAGTTAGCCAGTTGAAAATCTGCTATCCAGGTATGTTTGTTCAAAATCGATATATTATCAATAAGGAGGAGTTTCAAACTGGGGTAATGGTAGCTACAGCTGCCGTTGAACACTAGTGCCAAGTCGACCTTATCCAATTCCACCGACTCGAGGGAGTTTCTGAAACGATCGAGAAATTGGTACACAAGAGAGCCAAAGCGAACCATGGTTGGTCTCTGGAACGAATACCTTAGCCCAACTTTCCAAAGACCAGCCTTATTCAAAAGCGGTTTATCGCTCGATACTTTAAAAATTTTCAAAGAGCAACTGACCCGAGAGAAATCGTACAAAGGCGTATTTACCAGCTTATACTTTAAGATAATGATTAGTTGAACCAAATTGGAAGAACAGCCCAATACATACTGCATTGCCCTGAGATTATTGGTGTTTATTGTTAGCACCGTCAAGTTCACAAATTTATTCATTTTTGTAAGAACAAGTTCATCAATTGGAGCAAATCGATTCATGCAAACAACGTTAACAACATACACCCGCGAGCATACCTGGTCGTTGTGCAACAACCTCTGCAAGCTGGCTCGCCCGATTCCCCTGGGCCCACCTCCCCTGGGCCTGCCACCAGTGGCTATAGTGAGTGGTTTCGTGATATAGACAAACTCGATATAATTGCAGTAGAAAAACCGATTCGTGTAGAGAAAATTCAAAACCCCACCCACCCCGTCGGTGGTCGCCACCACAAACAACACCCTGCCCATGATTTCACGCGGAAGCTGCTGCAAACTCATCCTGGCCCTGCTTTCAATTACTGCAAAAAAGTCACAAATGAAAGTCTTCAAAAAACATCACCAAAAAGACGTGTCGGGACCAAGTTCTCCCCGGAACATTTAGGAAAAAAATCATCTTCCAAACGAAGTCTTCTACTCTTTCTTACACCAACGATACAATGAAGGCTGCTACCAGATTGTTACAACGTGTTCCTCTTATAAAGTTTGTCGGGGGTCCACACCAAGCTCCAGGTATGTGAAAGAGCGCTTGTACTTGAGCGAGATCTGCTTGTTCAATGTCAATGGTGAGTGATGATACTAACAGATATAGCACAAATCTCCAACGCCGTTAAACAGCATCCATGTGCACCAGAGGGCTTGGTCCCAGGAAAGGGAGAAGTGATCAAGAGCACTCCATACTTCAATTCCAACTCCATTGAGCCCAAGGACGGTGAAGTTTTCTCCAGATCCCAATTGTCTCCAAGATTCAGATACACCTTCCCCAAGGAAGATGAAGCAGAGAGCATCATCAGCGGGGGTGCCAGCATTGTCTTTTAGGTATATATAATATAAGTTTATTGAATAGTGATGTGCTGTAAGTATGTACTGTAAGTATGTACTGTAAGTGTGTACTGTAAGTGTGTAAGTAGTGTATGTGTGGTGTACGGATGTTATTACCAAAATTTTCGCTTTTATAAAGTTCGCCACTTGAAATAAAACTCAAGATACCAAGTTATCAACTAGATATTAATTGTACAACAACAATGAATCACGATCCATTTCTTTGGGGCAGACCAAGTAACGAAACATACGGCCAGTATAACCATGCCATTGCCAATGCGTCCAATCACAATGAATTCCCCAAGATGAATACTCAACAACCAATAATTACCGGTACTTCAGTTTTAGGAATCAAATTTAAAGATGGGGTCATATTAGCAGCAGATAATTTAGGGTCCTACGGGTCATTATTGCGTTTTAATAATATTGAAAGATTGATCAAGGTTGGATCCGAAACGGTGGTTGGTGTTAGTGGAGATATTTCTGATTTACAACAATTGAAGAGAATTTTAGAAGAGTTGGAAATTAATGAAGAAGTTTATGATAATAACAGTAATGATAACAATTTAAGAGCACCACATGTTCATGAATACTTATCTCGAGTTATGTATAATAGAAGACTGAAGATGAATCCATTATGGAATGCAATTATAGTTGGTGGATTTGATGACGATGGATTACCATTTTTGAAGTATGTCGACTTATTGGGTGTTTCTTATGGTTCAAGTACTTTAGCCACTGGGTTTGGTTCCTATTTGGCAATTCCGCTTTTAAGAAAATTAATTCCTGATGATTCAAAATATTATGAAATTAGTGAATCTCAAGCTAAACAAGCAATTCAAGATAGTTTGAAAGTTTTATATTATAGAGACGCTAGAGCAAGCGATAAATACTCTTTGGTTACCATTAGAAGTAATCAAGGTTCTAAGACTGTCGATTTACAACAAGATGTTAAAGTCGAAGGTCAAAGTTGGAAATTCGCAAGAGATATTAAAGGTTATGGTAGTACTCAGCAATAGTTAAATGCATCATGAATAAATTTATCTGTTTAGTAAAGCCTTGTAATTCCGTAGTTTCAAACTTTATTTATTGAAAAATACTAATATTTAAAATTTTTCTCTGCCCGGTAAGACGGCAGTAACCAGTATACCGTTACCACCAGTGAACAGTGGAGTGAGCAGTGGAGTGAACAGTGGAGTGAACAGTGGAGTGAACAGTGGAGTGAGCAGTGGAGTGAACAGTCGAGTGAACAGTGGAGTGAACAGTGGAATTGACAGTAAAGTGAAGTCAGGTGAACCCGAAAGGTACGGATGTAACACGACATTTGTGCATCATGCAGTCCGATGCCTTCCTTGCGTTTTAGTAAAATTGGAAACTTCCATACATTGGAAACTGATGTATGGAATTGGGCGGAATTAGATTTGTTCTACAAAAAGGGATTTTAAACAGGTTTGTTATTTTAAATGCTGCTGGATTCACTAAATTTATTATTAACCAGAGTTAAATATTGGCATTCTCATCAAGTTATTGTTGGAGGGGAGTCAATTTGAAATTAAGATTGTTCGTTTTCCTTTTGTCTTTTGTTTTTTTTTTTGTCTTTTGTCTTTTGTTTTTTGTTCCCATTCGTTTTGTATTCTTTGTATCTTTTAAGTTTCGGTTAAGTTGAAGAGTGCTGAAGGGAATTCATACTTGACCTTTCTTCTGCTTTCTTTAGTTATGACATTTACCATTACGTTCTTGGGTTCAAGTGGAGGTCCAGTGGATGGGTTAACTTGCTCAATATTGATTAAACCATCAGAAATAAGCTATAAAGAAATCTTGGATTCAAATTTGACAAATGAATTACTAATGATTGATGCTGGTTCAGGAATAACACAATTGAGTGAAATCATTTATAATGAAATGAATAATGAAGAACAAAACAAATTACTCCAATTATATCCAAATTCATTAAAATTATCAGAATATTTTAAAGTACCGAGAGTTAAGCCTTTTAAAGATTTACAAGGTAATCCTTTTGGGATTTGTCGTAAGATCTTTGAAAATATTGAATCTTATTTGATAACCCACCCCCATTTGGATCATATAAGTGCATTAACTATTAATAGTGCAAGTTTCTGTAATCATAAACCGAAAAATATTTATGGGTCATTACCAACCATAAATGCATTGAAAAAACATATTTTCAATGGGATTATATGGCCAAATTTGGTCCAATTCAATATCTTGAAAATGATTAGTAAACAATTTTATCAATCTTGGAATATTCATCTATTTGAAATTGAAATGGTGGATTTAAGTCATGGCAAACTAATTAAAAATGAAAATGATCAATTAGAACCAATGATGCATAATGATTTAACCTCGAATCTTGATATCGACCATTATTTATCGTCTGCGTTTCTCATAACTTTACAACAGAAATCAATTTTGATTTTTGGTGATTTTGAATCGGATTCAATGTCCCATTTAGACAAAAATTTAAAAATTTGGCAAAAATTATCTCCTCTTATATCAAATAAAAGTCTCCTGGCTATAATAATGGAATGTTCATTATCAAATAATACCTCAACTAATGAATTATACGGTCATTTGATGCCCCATCATTTAATTAATGAATTGAAAAATTTAGAATCTCAAGTTAAAAAACTATCCCCAGATGATAAACCTTTACAAAATTTAAATATAATCATAACCCATGTAAAAGAATCGAACAATAATTCCGATCCGAGGAAAGAAATTTTATACGAGTTAGAGAAATCAAATGATATGGGGGTTAAGTTTTCAATTGCTATAAACGGGGTTTCAATTGAAGTATAACAGCATAATTAGCATTAAAACTACAAATATGTATTAATATTAGATTAAAACATGGATTTATTTTTTTTTTTGACCTTTTCTTTTCTTTTTTTTTTTTATGTTAGTTAGAAATACAAATCTTTACTTAACTTGATAACCATCGGTGACTAAATTCAAATGTAAATCAAATGGTAATGATTCTTCATCTTCGTTATTGCTAACAACATCTAAAACTTGAACTTGACCCAAAGCAGTATCACTTTCATTAACATTTTCACTTCTATTAATATTGATTTCTAATTCAATTGGGAAAAGCGAATCTTCATCAGGAGATGGAATTTTGAATTCAAACGATCCTTGTGGATCATCAAACGAAATAGAGTCAATATTGAAAAGCACCCCTGCGTCATCTAATTCATAACTGACTTTACCACTTTCATCATTTAATTCAACTTCATTTGATGAAATTGGAATTAATATTTTAACATTATCTAAACTAGTTTCATTTGGGAATGATTCTATGAAGTTTGAACTCAATTCATATTCTAAAGTTACTTCTGCAATGCCATCGTTACATGATGTCCATGCAGTTATAATAAGTGGAGTGAATTTGGATTCTTCACTTTTACCAACACCTCTCCATCTCAAAACACCTAATGATTGATCATTTGATGGGAATGGTTTAGTTTTGTCTTTCAACCCAATGGTTCCATTAGAAGTAAATAAGTTACGATCAACATTTGGATGAGTTTTATATTGAATACCATTGGATTTATCTCCAACTTTTAATAAAATTTTTGAGCTGGCTAATTCACTATTATTAATTCTTAATTGTAAATCACCTTTAATTTCACTTGAAAAAATCGATCCTTCACGAGATAATTCAGCATTAATTTTTTCATTAATTGTAATTAATATACCATTATTATTAATTTTTGGTAATTGTGGAATTGGTGATGATGATTGTGAGATTACTTGTGGGGTTGATATTTCAGGATTTTGAGTATGATTAAATAATGGTTGTTGTTTAGTTAATAATGGTTGGTTTTGTTCATTAGCCACTTTGACTGGTTTTTTACCTAATTGTAAACCACCACCTCTTGGTTTGTTATTTATATTTGATTTAGTTTCAATACTATTATCAATAAGAGTTGATGGTTGATAAGTTGGTTGGTAGTTATTGGTACCGCCATTAATTGCTTGATTTGATTGATAAGAATCATAACCAAATGAATTTTGATTTTGGAAATTCGATGAAGCTGATGGAAATTGCTCTAAATTACGACGAGCTAATTCTTTTCTTTGGATTTCTTTAGCACGTCTTTTCCTTTCTTCAGTTGCTTCTAATTCTTTATTTCTTTCAATGATTTCTTGAATTTTCTCTTCGTGTGAATCCATTTCTAAGAAGGTTTGAACTTGTGATAAAGTTAAATTTTCTTTAAATCCCAAATTAATTATTTCATCGAATGCACTTAAAATTTCAAATGAATTTTCAAAGATTTCTCGTTCATCAATTGTTCTTAACATATTACTAACTGTGGATGCAAACAAGTGTAATGTATCAATATCTTGTAAAATATTAGATTGTTTGTTAGTTAATAATACTATATAAAATTCTTCTAATGGTTGATAAACATATCTTACAAATTCATCTTCAACTATGGTATGTTGTGATTCAGAATTTGAAAGTAAACTTGGAAAATTGGCTAATAATGCAGTGATTCTATCCTTAGTTAAATCTTTAAATTGTCTTGATAAAAGAGCTTTACCACCACGGGTACAAATTGAAGCAGCTAAAACAACCATTTTATTCTGTTTTCAATTCCAATTTTATATCTTCAAACTTTTCAATTTATACTAAATAAAACCACCAATACTTTTCAAATGATGGACAGAACAATCGCTGATACGGTCTGTTAGCTGGTGTCTGATTCAACTTTTCAATCGGGTTTGATTAACTTGATTAAAATCACCATTTTTTCCTCTCTTCCAATTGAAAAAATTCGATTCGTGTCAACAAACTGAGATTAATTCAGAGAGGTCGTGTGCTTACCGCACTTCTGGGCCAACTTTTAGCGGTTTTGCTCTAAAATGGCCTTAGTTTGGAGGTATTCGGTAGAGGAGAAGCTTGAAGAGGGTTAGTTGGAGCAGGGGGGCCATGGGGATGGAACCAGCGGTTTCAAGTAGGTAAGGTTGGAATGCAAAAAAAATGACACGGACAGGACTTGAACCTGCAACCTTTGGATTTGGAGTCCAAAGCTCTACCAATTGAGCCACCGCATCGGATTTGTGAAAATTTTTGCATGTGGCCCTTTTGCACTGTCCGTATTTGATTTTATAAAAACGTATATTTTTCAAAATTTTCCGAAAATAGCATGATTCCTAAGGAATACAACCACAGGATACTTCTTTGATGTTTTCTTTAAATAAAGTGAGCAAAAATAAATTGTTTTAGAGTGTTTTCTGCTCTTTTTGATATTTTTGATATTTTCACGAATTTTGCAAGAACATCAATAAAGCCATTCGCTCTGATTCAAGGTTCAAGATCTACCTTCCAAGTGGGAATTTCTTCTTACGCGATGTGGAGGTGTTATTGGTTGAAGTACGGTCAACGGAGATTATTTTATATTCAATATATATATAATATTCCTAGGTTGGTCTTTGATACTTAACATGAATTGTAATAAGTTATTCTCTCCCTTCGAATAACGACAAGATTAATCTGAAAGTATTGAATTAATCCACTGCTTTGCCATGTATTAGTACGTATCTGACTAATACCATTATGCATGTGCTATGGTCAACCGAACCAATATCTAATACCTAGTTGTTGGTGGTTGGCTACAGGCCCGGTGTATCTACATAACCCGAAAAATCCATATCTTGTTCTTCTTCACCCACGATACAAGACCCAAACGGGTGAATCCGATTTGTATGATTTTTCGAAATTTTGGTTGAAAATTACAATATTTTGTTGAAAAGTGCAACATTTGCAGCAAAGCTCATCTACAATTTTAGTTGAAACCATCTGGAGTTTGATCTACCATAAGACGTTAATCATGACGCACACCCTTCCATTTTTCCATTAGCCAATAGGGGTATCTTCAAAGATATCCACGGAAGAGGAAATTGCAATTGAAACAAAAACAATCCATTTCCAATATTGGTCAATGTCGGTTTAGTGTCAACATTCAGTAAACTTGTAGATCAATTCCATGTCGACAGATTGAGATCCCCGGAAGTCGTTTTGCAACCAGCCACTCAGCAAACTCAGCTACTGACGAAGATGTTTATCAATAAGACACGGTTGGTTATCAATAAGACACGGTTGGGAAGGAGACTGGGACCGTTAGGACTCATATGCGCGAAACGGTTGGCGTTGATATCACTGCCCTGTTTGTAATGACAAAGCCTCCTGGGAAGCAAGTACCTGAGACGAACACTAAAGGACCATCGGCTGTGTCCAAGCAACACTTTGTCTACAGAGAATTGAACAACACTTTGTCTACAGAGAATTACTGCAAAAAAAAAAAACAAGAAACCCAATTTGAGTATATACAAGTTACTTAGTTAAATGAATATCTAATTCGATATCTTGAGATGGAGAGGCATTAGTCGAAGGGTCTTTCAATTTTTTACGTTCATCAAAGACTTTATTTAGTTCTCTTTCGATTTCCGGCATCAAATCATCGTATTTACAATTCCTAGCTCTTACTCTAGCTTCTCTGAAGAATCTTTCGGCTAAGTCATAATCGCTTAGATGTAAATGGATTACCCCGGAACCATAAGTTGCTAGAGCTGCAAATTCAACTGCGGTGGATAATTCATGAATTTCGTTATCGGAAACATCTAGCATTGAATTTTTTGAAGATTCCAATTTTTTTTTCTCTAAATCACCCAATTCAATGGTTAACTGATAACATTTGATTGATTGTAATAAATATTTATATCTTTCATGGATTGCGTTGAGGTAATTTTCAGCCAAGGAGTTTTTATCTTTAACCAACTTCATTAATCTCTCGAGAGAGTCTTTATCACCATCGAAAGTGAAGGAAAGGTTATTATTATTCAATTTATAAGTTAATTGATTTAAATCTTCACCCAATTCGAGATTAATTTTTTTACGGAACTGAATTTCTTTAGCTTCCCACTCTTCCGAGTTTAAATAAAGTAGCGAGCCGAGATTACAGGAGGTTCTTATTGCTTTAAAAGGAGGTTGCTTGAAACTCTTCATGGTATCCAACATTTTACCATTAATATTAATTGCCAGAATCAAATCTCCTTGACTAGCAGCAATTGCTTGCAATAAATCTTGAGCCGTCAATAACTCTTCGATAAATGGAGGAGTGATCAAACTTGAGTTTGAATTATCATCGTTTAGTTTATTTTGAACTGCAATCAAACGATCTAATTGATCTTGAGCAATAATTAAATGGGTTTGAAGAATTGCTTTTGAAAGCGAAGGGTTCTTCTGTTCATTTTCCACTAGTTTAATTGATAATCTTAAATCTTTTTGAATCAAATGACAACGATGATTTAAATTTTTAACTCTTAATCCTTGCTTTGATTCTGGCGATGCAGTTAATACTGATACGTATAAAATTGAAATTTCATTATAAATGAAATTAGCTTCATCTAACTTACCCAATCTTTCATACATTTCTGCAATTTTCAATTGAACTCCAGTGTATTCATCAGTTAAATCGTCCATTTCGAGTTTTTTACATTCTTCTAAAGCTTCTAAATAATGTTTCAATGCCAATTCAAAATCATTTTCTCCTTTATCTGATTCTGCCCATAACCCCAACCTTAAGATTTTAGCAACCAGAGATGGGAATGTATGTTTTGGCCACCATTGCCAATAAGCAAATCCAGTTACTACTATAAATCCGGCAAATAATTTTAAAAAATTCTTACCCATTTGGCTTTTAGTTGGATTATGAAGTTCTTGATATTGTTGGTAACGGTACTGCTGGTTATACAGCCTACAGATCCGCAAGGATCTGTAAGGTTTGAAGGATCTGATTGATCTTGGAGTAAATCTATTCATTGGTTGAAAGAAGAAATTGTTATACGAGAGAAAAGAGAAAAGTTAATGAGCAATTCAAAAATTTGAATGCGAAGATACTACGCTATTCATCAAGATGCCCGAGTCTAATATTCTTAAGGTGTTTAATCCTCCGAGTTCCCAGCCGGTGGCTCCATGCATCCCATGTACTGCCATTCAATCGATTGTATGTATTGGGGGAGGGATTTTTTTCGCTAGTGGATTAATTTTCAAAGATTTCAAGACTGGCAAGATGCCCAAGTTTGGTACTAAACAGCATCCCATGTGGTTTGTTAAGACGGTGAAGGGAGGTGGCATTTGCTTGGTTGGGTTGGGTGCTTATAGAGGAGGAGAAGTGGTGACTTCAATATTAAATAATTATATATAGATAAGAATATACAAACCACCAACTATCTAAGATGAACCAGCAAACAAGTATAAACTAGTCAATCATCAGATGAGTAAACTCCAGCCAGTATACTGATTCACAACTAGTACGACAGTACTCATACTAATGAACCAAATAGCCAACTAATTTGGAAAGTCTATACGCTTAGAAAATAAGCCAAAATAACTCAACTAGTAGCACTTACTCGAGTAAGCTCTAGTAAGTCATACGACAACTCAATAGTAGGAAGCTCATAGTAAATGATTCACTAGTAATGCAACTAGTCAACGAGTAAGCACGAGGAAGCACCCTAGTAACTTACGAGTAGGAGATGCTCTAGTAAGCTCACTTGACTATGTAAGCTCACTAGTAAGCTCACTTGACTATATGTAAGCTCACTAGTAAGCTCACTTGACTATATGTAAGCTCACTAGTAAGCTCACTTAACTATATGTAAGCTCACTAGTAAGCTCTAGTAAACTCATTAGACTCAACTCATTACTCATTACTCATTAGACTCAACTCATTACTCATTAAACTCATACTGGTAACTCATACTAGTAACTCATACTAGTAACTCATACTAGTAACTCAGTAACTCATACTAGTAA